CTATTTGGACCAATTGCTCAGAAATTTCCATACAAATAGAATTTACATATTATATGAGCTGAATGATGTTTTGCGCTTGTTATTTTTCAATAATCACTTTATTTCAATTTCCCCACATTATTATCGCAAAAAGTTTGCGTTTGCTCTCGCAATATCTCATTTCACAGCCCCTCGTGCTTCCTCCACTTCCGACATTTCCCACCGAACACCATTTTCCAGTGGCATTCCAAGAAATATTGCGAAGCGTCACGAATGAAAATTCCTTTCATGTGGATTATGTGACTTGAGTACTAATACCTCTGAATTACTTCATAATTAACATAATTTTCTCAAATTTGAATTGACAAAATATTCTTCTACGCTCCCCATTGCAAAGTCGCAGAGGGTTTGCGTGGGGGGGAGCACAGCACGTTCCTCACCATTTAGCCCCCTTTCCATGACAAATACACCCCCAGCAGTAGAGTGGTGGTAAAACCACGAAACGCGCAGAATTATTACAATTGTCATTGCTGTATATAATGGTGTGGACAGATAAAAGCTGAAAATTTCAATAATTCTTTTTCGTGCACAGTAAAATTTTGCCAACAAAGCCTCGAGAGAGACAATATCATCACTTGGCGCCAGACTCCATAATAGCCTTATCGCACATTCTCCCAGCGGACCATCAGCCATGACTGTGCGGGGTGTACTTTAGATTGAAATTGTTGCGATTATGAATATTATTAACACATTTGCCGGGACTTGTACCCAGTGCAGAGTGAGAAAAGGGAAAAAGAGTCATTTTAGTGGATTTTGTACTGTTTCCAAGTCCAGTGAAGGCAGGAAAGTGAGACCTTCATAGTGTATTCAGCTTTCCCAACGAAACATTATGCTGCGATCGCATGTAGCTTGGCAGCAGCAATTGAGTGTTCTAACTCAGCCTTCGTTGTGTCATTACTAAACGCCTAAAAGCATCGGATTTAATTATGCAAAAGTTTCGTGTTAGAAAACCAACACCACATCGTGAAGTGGTATATCAATTTGTCGATTGGAAAAGTTTCCGGTGAATAGTTCTCAATCCCCCTCCGACCGAGCACGTCGCCATGTCGAGGGAACACTTTCGAGCGACACTGAAACGAGGGACTCGTGACCACATTCTTTGAGTCAATATTTACAGAGAGTGTAAATACCTGATGGCACAACTTGAGTGCCAATTTCGGTGTTCGTGTCCTTGCGCTATGCTTCCGGGATATTTCCTCTCTGTTGAAAAATGCTAATTTAAGATATTCCAATAAATAAAAATATCCTCATAAGATACCGCGCAAAGGTCAGAGACAATTAAAATTCCAGACGCCCGAAATACAATATTTTCCCCAAAGAGTATATTTTTAGTAAGTAAACCACTCAACTTCCAGGAAGTGGCAGAACTTCTCAGACACTTGCAGGACTTCGAAGACGCGCAATCTAGAAATAATTAATCAAATAAACCACAAAGACGGAAGGCATTAAATTTGTGAGAATTTCTACAGCTCTTCTCATCCTTTTTCTCCGTCTGCAGAAGTGTGAATAAATGCTGTGTGAGAAAATATGCAACTGGCAAAAATTAGCTTTTCATCCTTTTTCGCAATAAACACAAACTTGAGGAACTTTTTCATGAGTGCTTTTTGAGAAAAGTATGCTGAACAAAAACATCTTGAAGGGCAATTGTGTGGCAGCGCTTTCAATCATCTCGTTTCCGTGTCCTCAGTTAAATTAGTTCACTGATTGAATTACAATTCTTCGCCATCGCTATGTGTTATTGTTGAGAAAAATTCTGCGGAAATTGAAGTTTGTGTGACATAAATTGAGTTGAATGCTGAAGATGGTGTGCGCTTTCATTGTTGTGAAAGTAACTTGTAAGATGCTTGAAATCTCTATTGACTTCTCTCTTTACATTCTGTGAGGATGACAATGAGTTCTTCTGAGGCGATCCCTTTGGGTATTTCTTATTAGGACATTGCAATGTATACAATTAGTGTAATCCTCAAAGTTTAGCATCTTCTATTACTATTTGGGGATCTGTTTACATCTCATGAGTAGCCACAAAGAGCTTAAGCACCGAGTTTGTGCGGAAACTTCTTATGACAAACTCACGCAAATGTAAACTTGAGTGAATTTCGGATATTTGCCCCACTTTGAAGTCTTCTGGGCTATTGATAAATTTATTCCAAAACATATATAATCATACATAACACACAGTCGCATGCATTCTGGCGGATGACGAGTGACCTCGCCTTCAGGAGTGTCTGCTGAGTGACTTGGAATTAGGCAGAATTGGGTCAAACTGTGTCACACACAGTTCTGCATGCAAAGCACACGGAAACCAGCACTCGTCCCAGAGCATTATACATCCGAGCTGGGCGTCCAGCATCTGAAACTGGCAAGTTCAACCCAGGCACGTCGAACCCAGTTAAAATTGTACATCCCTTGTGCGGTCGGCATGTGGGCGAAGTGGCTTCGATTTTGTGCCCTTTGACTTACCCACCCATGTACAGACCGCCCACATGTGAGAAATCAGGTGACTGAATTATTTAAATTCATTTCACAGCTTTTACCATTTATGCAAACTATTTTCGCACACAGTTTAAATATTCGCCCCCCAAACGAGAACTCTCACACACACACAGCCGAAAATTTTAATTAAAATTCTAGCAGCACCGAAGAGTGTGTTTTCCTAGATACTTTTTGCACTTGTTCATATATTCAGAAACATAATGCATACATGTAATAGCACAACTTTAATAACTTTATCCTCCCTCATAGACGTGTATTTATAACTGGGAAAAATAATATTTTATTTCACTGAAATTTCTACTCAAAGCCTCTCTGTTGACTGTAACTCGGGTAACATGAGACGTGAAGCTGTGTGTCTGCAGACTGTAATCCATGTAATATCTTGATCTATAAACATTGCGCGGATTTCACCTGAATGGTGAAAAGGGACATGGAGGGATATTAGAGTGGCAGAAGTTTTTTTTTTTCACTCCGCCAGAAATCGGTTGCGATGGGGAAAATTCAACCTTGTACTTTTCCCTCTCGAGTGGATACGCAACAAATTGTGCGGAAATGACTTCTCAATAAAGACAAGATTGGAAATCAGTCCAAACAGACGTGACTTCATGAAAATGATGGAAAAAGTAGACCGAAAGTGCTACAATTTGACATAGTTCATGGCCATAAATTAGACATGGGAATACAGTAATTTCTGGGGCAGATGATCTTGTCTCCATCGATAAGCGAGTGTGAAATCTATATTCAGGGATGGTGTATCACAATTTACTCTATTGGTCGTGATCCAAATATCAAATGTCCTCAGGAAGACTTTTGTCATTCACCTTTTCCCCAGTGAAAGTAATCTCTTTCGGTATATAAAGCCACAAAAGTACCACACAATATAAGAAATGTCTACCCGTCCTGCGAAATAGACTTCCTATCATCCAAAGGATACAAAATCAATTTTTCTCGTGTGTGCAAAAAAAGCCACGCTGAGGTCTTTCCACTTCAGTCAACAGAAATAAACCCAAATGATATATATACAAAGAATTGTGTGCGAAACAGATAAAATCGATAAAATCCGGTCATTCAATAATAAAATTTCAATTTTTCGTCCTTCTGGCCTGAGAACTCAATCAACTGCAAAAGACCTTCCGCCAACTCACCGACGACAGCATTATACCTCATATCAATTTAGCCAATTTGATTTGTGTAAAGAAATAGTTTATACACGTAAATTGTTTATGTAGCAGTACTTCTTTTATGTGCTCATCCGTATAACCACGGAATCACACTATATTATCATACACAGCATAAAATCTTGACTACACTTCGCACATAAAACCCAATGTGATTACACTGTATGATGGAAAATAGCAAAACGTGCTTCTTTCATCTAAACCTGTGCGTCTCTGAGTTCAGAGTTGAATTATTCTTATTTTCATTGTGAAGCTAAATAACTTCACTTTTGATCTTACAATGTTCTTTGAAATCCTGTTAATGACCTAAAAAATAATCACAATATGCATATTAATGTGCATAAAAACACAATTTCCTGAATTATGTGCACATTCTGTGCATCCCATTAATTTCACAATTAAATTTCCACTGCCGCAATATTCGGCAAATATTATTTTGTATTCTGAATATAACTGCTTATCTAGACAATTTCCAATGGGAAATTTTGCCACTCTTCACCATTCGCACTATGTACAATTTGATTGTTGATATTTTGAGCTCATAGCGCCGACATAGGATTTGTACATCTCAATAGACAACGCGTTCCTGGGCGCACAATCTATTGGGTCGAATGCCACGAATTGGCGGCCATTAATCATCCATTCAGCTATAAAATTGAACAAATAGATCAGTTAAACAGTCAAAAGTAGGGGAAACCGTCGAGAAACAGTACAAATCAGCTTGTTTCTCAATTGCCCGATTGGAAATGCTCACGAGTTTTCCATGCGCTGATTTTCGGTGTGTATTTTTAGAAAATATTAAACGATTTCATTTACAATACATAGCCAAAGTGACGGACACACAGATGAAATTGTAACCTGACAAAAGTAAACAGTTTTCGGGAATGTCGGCAGTACATACATATAGCCACGAGGAGGAGAAATGCTTTTTGGTGGCAAACACACACTCCAGATGAAGTGTACATGGGTCGAGGAAATATTATTTAGTGGGCATTTGATTATGTGGGGTGGCCTGGCGCTGTTGCCTCTCAGAGGAGTCATTAATCGTAATCAAGGCAAAACAACTCAGCTCGCATGATGGACATCGTGCTTCACGTGTTGATGTGGAAATTCCTTCATTCCTCCACTATTGCACAATATATTGCTCCTCTGCCTTGGGTCTCGATTGTTTGATAAAAATCTCGCTGAATATCCCATTTTCTCCATTCCATCTGTCTCCCAATATCCCAATAAAATTGTATTTGATGACCTGACTCATGAGATTTCTCACAATACCGTTTTCTTCCTTAGAGAATGTCTCCTTAGCAATGGCAAAAGCCGCGCGACGGTCAGTTGCATCAGATCCGTCGTCGCCGACATCCTACACTAGATACTACCCGCCAAGGTACACCACAGAACCACTGGATCGCCGCAGACACGTCGACGGACCACTTCGATATCATCCCCCTGAGGCTGTTGTATCAAGAATCGATCGGTCAACTCCACAGCATTCGCTTAGGTAATGCCACATCCCTTTCTCACATACATTCCTCCGAGCTCTTTGTCTCACAGCGTTGAGCAATGTTTAATTAGTTCACTGCATATCTGTTCAATTTCCTGCTGACTATGATAGGGACACAAATAGAAAATCCTTACCGTTTCATCCACAAGAGATTTGCATAAATTACTTTAATTTGTGATGAACACTTTAAACAGATAATTCCAAGATGTGTTTATATACAAGTTGGATACACACAATTCTATACAATAGTCAGCCTTATAAGACAATGGGAAATAAGTTTATCGATTTTGATGCGGAAATTTCAGCTGTTACACTTACTTTGCCAGCATGTGACTTACAATAACCTCTTCAAATGCTATCTGTTCGGCAGCTCTAAACGCTATGACAATGCCAGCACGAGCACGGTACAACCACCAACGAACTCCAGCCTCTCCCCTGCGAGCGTGGCAGCGGAACGCGAAAGAATTAGAATGGAGTTTTATGCTACTTACGACGTCATGACAGGTGTAAGGATAGCTGCGACTCTGGGTGGTTTCTTCGGCCTGATGGTGATATTGGTGATGTACAAGAGCCGCAGCCACACGAATCAGGCGCTCAAGGATCCCAACATAGCCGCCGTGGCGGCCGCCGTGGTTCAGGAGGAGGAGGAGCGCGAGCTGCAAGAGGTTCTCGAGGCCTCCGGACTGACACTGTACTCCGATGACTATCGGTATGATTTCCAACGACGAAGACTCCTGTCCCTGGGGAACGTGAGTGCACCACCGGCACTGCATCGGGGAATTCGATTCTCATCATTCGGTAAGCACACGGCGATTGATATATTAAACAATGCATGGTTGATAGCGACTATTGGCACTCTTTCAGGCGGATACAGTTCGCTGATCGATCCGCCACGGAGATATTCCTATGGAGGTACAAAGCCAAAGTGTTCGCCGGAGTCCTCGAGAGTTCTTAGTGCCTATCAAATGGGAGACAGTTTCGGAACGGATGACTTCATCGAATCGGATGATGAGCACGAGGTGGACGATTTCGATCAGACAACCATGACGGCCGAATCGGGATATCCCAGTCACTTGTCCGTTCCCCATAAGGTACTATCACTTTCACCTACATTACACTGAGTAGAGATATTCGATTAATTGAGGTGCTATCATGATAACCCCAACACATTCCGTACAATGTGTGAGTCCATCCCAATGATGCTGACGAGAGGCTAGTGTAACAGCTCAATCTCGCAAGATGAATGACACTAAAATTGCCATATAAACCCAAATGAAAACTACATTTTCTCACTTCGGCAGCAGAGAAGCACACTAAAAATCTCTCAGAACCGAGAGGATAGTAAAAAGCACACTATCACAGCTTATAATCACAATAATCTGCATCATAAATGAACCGTGAAGCTGTGCTGAGCTCCTATGAGAGAGGAGATATGTACGTTGAACTTTGTCTATATCAACTTAACCTTCCATGGGGAGGCATTACTTAAGTGTTTTAAAATCATCCATATACACTAATTAAAGGTTAAAAGTTTTCTAATTTATCACTCTCGCCAAACTTCACCAGTCACAAAATTGCCCTAATGAAAATCATGAAGTCGAGATCATAATCACGGCAATTTGTCGGGTTACCCGAAAGACTCATGCTCCAAATTCATTTGGAGTCGAGTTTAATTGACACACATTTCCACATTCTGTGATACTCGACTCACACATGGGCGACCAAGGGAATTAGCTCAATTAATATACTTTCTATATAGGTATGAATGAAGTCAAAGAAATAGTGAATAACTTCTGCTGCAGTGCGCTGGAAATGCTAACGATTTTAGCAACAAAAGACTACTTGCAATATAATACAATACAATATGTCAATTTTCCTTCCATTTAAGAAACCTTTCCAATTACTCGAATTTATCTAAAATATATCACAAATATAAAAATAAGTGAAATATATGTAGCTTTTCTTCTTATCATAAACTGTAAATAAAATACTTCTGTAGTTTGTCTTAATAAATCAACCCGAACTGTCAAGCTAACCTGCACTTTAGTATCGTTTGACCAATTTAGCGACATTGTGATTGTGTGTTGTTGATGTCATTTCAGCAATATGATTCCAGACGAAGCAGTGGGATCACTTGCTGCAGCACAGAAAGCTCATACCTGGAACGTCGGTGTTCGGCTATAACATTAGGTATTCACTCATTGGCGCCAATTTCTTCACATAATCATTCCCGACGTTCCAGTCGCGATGCATGGGACGTTAGCAATTTTCCCGATATTAACATTATACAGCCAACACCCAAGACTTCACCCTATCCCAGCGAAGGGAACATCAATGAACGCACAAAGTCGACGGTGCGTCTAAGGAGAAGCCACGAGCCAACCGTTGAGTCCTTCGATTACATCTCTGAGTATCCCGACGTGAATGGCGAGGAGGGTCGCCGGGAACGCTCAGTGGAGGATTCGGCATCGGGGGACAGCCGAAGAGCGCCGCTAGCATCGCTGAGCTCTTTCAAAATCTCCTCCATCGACTATCAAGACTCAGACCTGAGGAGCCTGGGTTCGGACTCAGTCTTTGTGGAGAGTTACGCTGACACAGATGAAGACATGGCACAATTCAGCACGGACAGCGATGACAGTGATGGCCACAGTCCGCCCCGAACGAAGAGAGCCACCATTGGCCAAGGACTCTTGCTCAGGCCTTCGACAACGGCTGACCTGGTAGCGAGTCGTGACAATAGTTGCTCAAGCGATATCCTGCCCAAACCCAACAAGACGTTCCAGACGAAGGCCGTAATTGAGAGTCGCCTCGACGATGAGCCCGAGTTCGCAAACAAGGGTATAATGAAGAGCAAGAGCGTGGAGGAGTGCATAGTGGTGAGCGTAGTTGCGACGGATCCCGACAGAAGATCCACGAGTTCTGGTCCAGCTGTGATTCTTGAGTTGCCTGTGATAACCACACAGCAGCAAGACGACGAGCAGCCAATTGATCCAAGTGTTCCTGGTCCCTCGAGGAAGTGGTCCAAAGAAACCCTCTTTTAGTTCTTTCTCACCTTTGTTAAGGCTACTTTAAGTGCTGCCGTGAATCAAAAGATATTTTGCTGCTAACGTATTAGCTCAAAGCTTATAAGCAAAATGCAATATCATTAAAATGATGGGTAAAATGTTAAGAAATTAATTGAAGAAAATCCCTTAAAACCTCGTCCACAGTTGAATCAGTTGGAAAGAAATTGAGTCACGGTATCTTGAGTGACTTGAGGACAGCTTGCTCGAATAATGTGATTGATCAGTATCGAACATTTTATTAGATTGGACGCGACATTCGAGTGGGCGAGATTTCACAAATATCATCACCACTATTTCACCCAATTGATATTGGACAAAGACGAAGTGCATCTAGAATTGCACAGAGGATAAAAGTTTCCATTTAATTTTCTAAATTGCACGCAACGATATTCTGGTCAATTTCTCATATTAGCGCGCAAATCAACAGAAGAAATTCAAATATCATGCTAAGCATTATCGATTGGCGCTAATTGTACTTCTTCTCACTTTCTTAAGAATACTTGCGATTCCAAAGGGTGAAAAGGTGAATAATAATTTTTTGTATGATGGCCACTAGTTATAATTTAGTTAGGATGTTACGAAAAAGAAATTCTCCAGTTGAAACTTTCATTAACAAAATCGATATATAATATATATATATATAATATACTTTTAGCCACGGGATGGGAAAGTTATACGAAAATTCTATACCTATGTTAATGTAAGAAGTACAGCACTAGGAATGATTTATGAATTGTTCATGGGAAATGTTAAAAATCCCCTCCTCTCTCCGGTCAAGTGGGGAGAATCCTAATCTCTACGTTGTAACTTCATGTGAATATGTTTATGGGAAAACGATGTTTTAATGATGAAAAAGATATAGAAGGAATACCTTTCAAATAAAAACCAAAACTATTTTCTAAAGACAACCCAGAACCTGTATATTTGTATTGAGAGATTCTTGTATGATATATATATTGGACAGGTGAAATATGTAGATAATGCCATAGAAATAGTTTTAAGAGAAAATACCACTGTATTGTAAAATTATATTTAGAGAAAAAAATGTGAAAAAAGCAGACAAGAGTTTGTTATCAAGGGTAAAAGTTCGCATGTCTATAGTGAAACTATATATTTGAGTATATTTGAAAGTAAAGGGAGAAAGAAAGTGTCATGACATATCTTCAATGAAGCAGTTTGTATAGTAAAAATATACATACTAAGTATTAATTGTGCATTTTGCAGTTATGTAAATTTATAATCGAAACTCTAGGGAGTGTTCAATCAAGAAATCAATCGATTGGAAGCATATTTGTGAGATTATGAAAATAAAATTGAGATAAACAATTGTTTTTAATTATCGAATACCAAAAAAAAGAAACAAAATATTTCATAGGTATCATATATTTTTCTACTGCATATTCTCTACTTTAGCAAATGAATAATACAACGTGTTATTTATAGAGAAATGGAATATTCGTTTGTATGGAAGAATGTAAACGTTTTTATCCCACTTTTAAACAATTGAGCCGCGCTGAGCGAACTTAGTCAGGTTATATCTATCGCTCATTTATCATATATGAGACGCTTTGACACCTTAATATGTATAAATTGAAGATACATAAAATTTATCTGTGAAATTTAATTTACTCATTCAGTTACAGAGAATAAAAATGATTGTGTCTCATTTTTTCAGCTTCAGTTCGACATTCCATTTGTAGAAAAATCTACTTTTCACTAACATTTTCAAATAAAAGCACAGAAAAAGCTCATAGAAGGAAATCTGTGCCAAATTCCATTATAAATCAAAATCACAATTTTCTTTTCAACCAAGTAATACAGGGAATTTCGGTTAGCCGCCAATATATTGAATTCATGCTTAAAATTTTATTCTGAGCGTAGGAAGTCAAGATTTCCTGTATTAAAAGGAATTAAATTTTTGACATTACTTTAAAGCACATTTGACAATTCCTATTGCATGAATAAATCTTGGCCATACTTTAGCTAGTTTGCATTTTGAGTATTCAAGTAGGAATGCAGCTAAACTGAAGCAGTGCCAAAAGCTCACTTCATATTATTGGACCATACCTCACAATCAATTAAAAATAAACTTAGAGATGTAAAGAAAAACCCTAATAAAGAATCTATGCCTTCTTAATATAAATGAGAGTTATTAAAGACCAATTTAAACGGGAAGAAACTAAGAAACTTGTAGTGTTGCAAAGAATTGTCACTGTATTACAAACAAGGTGGAGGAAATGTATTGTATTTCTCGAAAAAAAAAATCATTTTCTAGTTATGATCTACTCGGTAGTCTTGCCATGCAACAACAAACTGATGAAATGCACAAAGAATTTATAAAGGTTTCCATCCACTTTAACAGTGGATCGCATTTCCACACAGAATAGGTTTTCCAGTGGGAGTTTCCTTTTATCATTTCTGCCCCAAATTCCTCCTGCATGGCCAAGGAGAGGCGTAAGACCTTGTAAAAGTATTACATATGACATCACATACAATTTGCTACATCTGTCTAGTCTAAATGAATTCAGCGCCGAGGGGTCTTATTGGATCATTTCTCCCCGAGAGACTTGTTATATCGACCCATTAGCCATACATAGTTTCAATCTTGGAGAATCACTAACCGTGGCGACCTTAACAGTGAAGATATATTGATTTGTGTACACACGAGCCAGCAATTAATGTGCATTTCGTCTGTCATGTAAAGGTTGATTGATGGACAAGTGCACGACAGGGCATGATGTTAGCTTATACATTATACATAGAAGACTTCTCATGCACTAGAACTGTACCTTTTCAGCGTTAGCCTGAGGACATCTCGTAGGGATAAAAATGACATTTATACATCAGCAAATAGGGCACAGAGCAGCCATGAAAGTACTCGTGATGATGTTGTTAAATAGTGAAACCCATTAAGATAATGACTAAAATGAAATCTGTTGAATATTGATATGTAAAAGGAGATTAGCTGTTGTACAGGGACTCTTCGTGTTCATATATACTCTCTCGTTTCTTTCTGATTTATTTCTCCCATTACGCCCATCAGCATTTCAACTTTCAGTCTATCTTCCGCTATCAAGTGCGCATTCATTGCTTCTCTAACATAGCAAAATATCAAAACGCAATTAGAAACTCTGTACGAATTAAGTGTTTGGTAATTCTTCAAGCAGAGAAAAAAGAATTGTGTAGAATAGAAGATGACTCACAACTGTTGAGGTGAAATGTTTCAAAAAAGATGTCAATATAGCGGTAAAAGTCTAATATTTATAGATCTGTACAAAATGTATAAACTGAGGAATGTCTGACAAATGTGCATATTACATTATATAGATAAAACATAGTTAAAGATTAAAAGTTAAAAGAAATAAATTGTATGTCTATTTTTAGTATTAACGGACCAAATTCAGTTTGAATTCTCCTGCGGAGTCGAACCACAGGTGTCTTTGCTACTCATCGACGATGTGGCCATATATTTCTTCAATATATCTTATGAGATTTTCAGTGCAGCTCTGGGTGAACCAGTTCGTTTGCTAAAGATATATTTTTTGAATGGGAACAGAAAATTCATCGAATATGGTTTGTATCTTCGGTTGTGCAAATCTATGAACTACACTGAGAAAAAATTCATTCGATTTCTGCTCTACCTTTAGAGTAAAAGAACAATATATTGAAATTATTTGCACATTTTAAAGTTTGCATGATAATTTTATTATTATCCAGGAATAATGATTACAAAAATGGCTTTTAAATAAAAAGAAACTTATCTTAGGAAAATGCTGGAATTTCAGGAATGTCTTCATAATATACATTCACTATTAGCATTCCTTAAATTGATAATGAGGTAATTAATGAGGGATTTAAGACAAATCGTACTGAAAATCACCTTAAAACTAAAGGTACTGGCCTTCAATTCCACTGTTTGGAATTCTCTATAGAATACACACAAATCTTATGTTCTAGAAATGGACAAGTTACTCTAAACTCTAAATATATTGTCAAAAACATCATTGCATTCGCATTAAAAAGGGGCGAGGATTCAGGGGATAGGGAGGAGTGAATGAGATCGGTTTTGATTTAAGCCTTACGGATAAATTACGCGTGATCTTTTGACAAATACAGCAAAATATAGTGGAAAATATTAACTAAGAGCATTGCTTTTGTGGTTGACAAAAGCTCGGGCAGTGGAAGGTTTTCTGGGGCACACAAAGTTCGCCATTGAAGAGATGTCCATCTGAACAGGACTGGACGTTCTTTTTCCCACCAATGCAGAAGAAGTAGTTGCGGCATCCCGACGAAATATCCATGAAAAAGCCATCCTTGTGGCACTTTTCCACTTCACAGGATTTCTCCATGCACTTGGGCGTGAGTGTCTGACAGGAGAACATTCCTGGCTCCACGCATCCCTGTCCATTGAAGATCTTTCCCCCGCGGCAAGTCAGAGTGGTGATTTTCTCGCCGCGGAGGCAGTAGAAATAGCGATGGCACTCACTTGTCTGGTCAGGATAGTAGCCATCAGGCTTGTCCACACATTCTTCGCGATCACAAGGTTCGCCAGGATAGCGATCTGTGCACCGAGAGCCATTGAAGAATTGCCCTTCGGCACAGAGATAGGTGAATTTTCTACCGTGAACACAGCTGAAGTAGGAACGACATCCTCCAGACGGATCCTTGTAGTATCCATCTGATTTCCCTCCGCAGAAATTACCATCAGTCATGGGACACTGATAGACAGACTTCGGAACGCAATCCTCACCGTCGAACACTTTCCCTGCAGGACACTTGAGTCGTGTCTTCAGACCATTGTAGCAATAGTAGTAGCGAGTGCAGTCAGTGTTATCCTCCTTGTCCTTGAAGGATCCTATGGAGAACTCACAGTCCCGAGAGGGTGCAGGATTCTCGCATTGCTGATTATTGTCCGGAACGCAGCTTCGCAATTCGCTATCGAAGAAGCTTCCCGAAGGACATTCATACGTGCTGATAACTCTACCCGAGGTACACTTAACGTAAAAGCTACATCCTCTTCGCAGATCCAAGTGGAATCCGTTGGACTTTGTGCGACAGATGTTGTAAGCTTCTTGCTGATTCTGGGGACGTTGTTGTGGACACTCGTACAAACCCACTGGAACGCATTGTTTCCCATTGAAAATGCCCTGATTTCCACAATTAAGTCGCGCCATGACTGCATTCTCGCTACACTTTACATACTCCCGGCAATTTGAGGATGATGCATCTGGGTAAAGTCCTGTAGGCTTCCCGTGACACGGATTGTACACTAAGCAGGGCACCTGATCGGCCGACGCGCAGTTCTTCGCTGTGGCATCGAATCTCTGGCCATTAGGGCATATCTTCTCCTCAGTCACCTCTCCATTGGTGCACAGCAGGAAGCGACAGCAGTCCGTGAGAACGGGATTGAAGCCATCTGGAAGGTCTCTGCATCTCTGGTCACCAGCGTAGGGATAAGCAATAGACGTGGACTCAGGAGACTCGCACGTGACTGAGGCTTCATTGGCGCAGGACGAGACGCCGAAAAGATGTCCGCTGGGGCAGTTGAAGAGGCCAACAAGTGATCCTCCGCGACAAATAAAAGCCCGACGACAAGCGTGAGTGGTGTCCGGATAGTGTCCATCCTTGCGTCCTCTGCAAACAGCCTCATAGCAGACTCCTGGAAGACACGAATGAATCGATTAACTCTGAGAATTTTTCTCACAGTCTCAGAATAAGTCTGACATAATCCAATGATTCTCAATTCTAATCTATATTCGTCACCTAGTAAAACCCTAATGATATCTTCTGGAACAAAAAAAAGGCCAGAACATCTTTGTGGTCAATTTTGGGAGTTATTCAGCACAAAATGAAATGACGACACTTAAAATTTTGCTAGTAAAAATTTATAATTGGAAATTCCACTTCTCAAATTAGACTTTTCGAAATCTAGTATGATTGAAAGCAATAACCAGAGGAATAAGTCTACTATAAGAAGACGGTTTTTGACTTAATGAATCGAATCCGAAGCACACAAAAGTGTGAAGAAAATACGTATAATTTTGCATCCACGTCAGTGACCGCGTGAACTTGAAACATAAAAGTGTTGTTAATAATGACGACATTTCTCAAACAGGTCCACAAAAACATTAAAATTGACGTTCAAATACTGCAAAAATAGCCGCGGGGTTCAATTGTCCCAAGAGTTTCCATTTCATTTGCGACAAAACATGAATTTCGGATATAAAACTTGCACATAATATGAATACATCTATAAAAAGAGGATTTTAAATTGATTGCAAAATGCTAACAAAGGTCATCAGTCTGCAGATGTTCAAAATGACAAATGAAAGTTAAGGAGAAAACCCAGACAAAGATCGAGACAAATTGTCTGTTGGAGACGCCAAAAATTGCCTTATGGAAAATTTTTAGTTTGGAATAAGTTTTGCGCACTTTTTGCTTCTAAAGACGCTATCCTATATCATTTTTATGGTGATTTCTTGAATATTGAGTGACCTCATTCCACATTTTATGGTCTGAATGGCTGTAATAGAGATCTCAGTGGTGTGAACGATATCCGATTGATTCTGATTGATGAAATTGAACCGTCAATAAATTTCCGAGCATCTGCTGAAAGTGAAAATTAGCATATTTTCACAGATGGTTCACTTTATGTCCAAAATGCTAATAGTCAGCATTATGAGCCACCCACTCGAAATGACTAAGGGGCTATATAGTGTTGAGTTAAGTGGAATTTTGTGATTCTTCACTCCCAATAAATGGCAAGTTGCCGGATTGTCTAGATGGAAACCCATAATTCAAAGCGATGACTTTTCTGGTCAAAAGAATCATTCACAAAATCAGGTTTATCACCAGAAATTTTTTATTTATGGAATCTCTTTTATGGGTTGAATAAAAGCAAAGAAGTAATGCTTCATCTCTTTTTTTCCCCTAACTTATTGCAAACTTAAGGCGGTCATTCCTTTGGGCGGAAAAATTGGGAATTGAAGTAGTGATCTTAATATAGAAGATCCGTGTGGTATTTTGTCGAAAAGTCGCCCAAGGGATGGAAAATTTCCGCATGGCGGTAAAAACAACGGAAAAAAGTTGTCCGAAAATAGCCAAAAAAAAAATTCTTTGTGTAAATCAAACATCTCTTATCTCCCGTATCGATCATCTGCGGAATGCCAAACTCACCTGATGAGCTCGAACAAGTTTGCTTGAAGAAATTGAATACCGTGGAATTGGGACAGTGATACTGCGTCCCGTGGCCACCTTGGCACTTGTAGTAGGAGCGACACAGAGTTCCGGGAACGGCGTACAGATAGTCATCCGGAAAGGCGCACTTGAACTCGATGATCTCTGACGGAGGTGCGACTGCACTAGACGAACTGGCGCTCCCAATCCAACACACTGAAAAGAGCAATTAATATTGCAGTATCATCCGAATGAAGTGGCCAGAAAAATTTCGTGTATTTTTTGTATCTTCAGCACACCGCCTGCGTCTATCAATATGTCAATCTCCCATTGAATAGATACATAATTCACATAAAATATGTAGCTAAATTTCTAAATTAATTACAAATAATAATCACAAGAGGTCGACGATGTAATAAAAATCCTCCAAGTCATCGGTGAATTTAATATGCGCGAAATGTTCATCCTCACTGTTGTGGGAATTTTTCACAATTTATCTTATTAATTTCTCAGTCAGGGTGAAGTGCAATATTTGCCATTCTCCGGTTATACGACAAATTGATTGGAGAAATATTGATTTGCGACATGAAATTTTGCCCTCCTCGCAAACCCAGGGCGAATCCTTGAAAACGTACATCTTTTATTCTGACCCTCTCTCACAAGGAAGATTTTTCTTTATATAACATTCACCGACACATCCGGGACGGTTCATATTTCACCTGACTTGATATGTTGGAAGAAAAAACCTGTTTGTATATATGTATATTGCCGAACTCCTAACAATTTCCACAAGATAAAATTTATTATTAATTGCTAAATATGCATCCGTCACCAGCAAACACTCGCCATTATTGGTATTTTTACCACAAATTATTGATAAACAGCTGTAATAACTTTTTTTTCCCCCGAGAAGCGCATCCTCGCATTTTGGTATCTTCTGCGACTTTATTCATTTTCTCTTGCGTCCCGTCTTTATGAAGCAAACATTAGAGAATAAAATATGATCAATGAATGAGCGAGCGAATGAATGAATGAGTTGCCAAAATGAGGCTTCACCATATAATATGCATGTATATGTAATCAAGCGCGCATTTTCGATGCCAACAGAGTTCAAGTCGCTATCAATGGTCTACGTGACATAAACAATTTGTCAGGAAAATGTTGTTTTTCTACCCATTATAATAAAGACGTAAAGTCTCGAAATCCCCTGCGATCACATTTCTCGCTAGAATCTGTACAAATGCTGAAAATATCAACATGAGCGTAGGCTTTACTACCAATTTCCGCTCATTGACTTTTTCATCTCCGACATGCCGCCACACAACACACAAAATCAAGATTTGATGATGCAAAAAAGTAAATTACCAGCGACAAGGACGGTTATTGATGCTTTCACCATCATAATTGCTGTGAGGCCTTGACCGTTTGCTTCACTTTGAGCAACTTTTTGAGTGTATTGTGTGTAGGAAAGGTAAGTTTTATTGCAATCTCACTGCACAGCGTCTCACGTTTTCCGAGGTATAATTGAGACTTCGCCTAATCAAATACCATACAGTTATTTATTTATTTTTTTTTCAAATTCACATCCGGAAAAGCTCCTCTATGCCACGAGACACTTGATCGAGAAGTGCATTTTTCACATTTCACTGTCAGAAATCCCTCTTCACACACTTTTTGGTGATATTTTATGAAAAATGAATGATATTTGCATAATTCAAATTAAAATAAGCAAACGCTCACAAATTCAAGGATTTAGTAAATCCGGTTAAAGAAGGTTATTCTCATTTTCGATAGATCAATTAACATCTTTAGTTTGTGGCAGTTGATCTGCATACACTTTCAGCACAATTTGACTTCTCTTTTAGCTGTTTAGACAACACTTCCTCCTGCCAAAAGTACTTATTTTAGCCAAACAGAGCCTGGTTGCACAGTTTCCTCAGACCATTGAGGAAGAAATGCGCCGAAACATTTCAAGTAATCCTCGGAAACTTCCACTTATCGACTCCCACGCGCACTATCACTGATAAGTTCCAAATGGTATTTCCCCGTGAGGGTAGAATTCCGTGTCGTTACACAGCGCCTTGGCTTGAAAAAAAAAACAAACAGGAAGATCAGCTTTTCACAAACACTTCTGAGCTTTTGCGGTACTGCGTCCGGCCAGACGAGCGAGTAACACACGATTGAAAGCGCTACGCGAAATCACAATGAATTTATTCACCTCGGCTGTTCATAGTTGGTCCGTTGGTGGGGGAAATGTTGACCAACTAAAGAAATGCAAACCGACAAAACACATTTGAGACGAATTATATAACTTCTGGGTGCATTTTATCTATACATTCGGAAACTATGCAAAAATATCTGGGAGATAAATTGACAGGAAATGCCCTTCATAGCTCCAGATGAGTCAGACTCGCATTTTGCACCACACAGGATTGTAATGATACTCTCTTTCCCAACAATCCACCTGTTTAATGTCTTTGGACAAGAGAAGCAATCAGGAATTTTTTGCCAAGTAACAAAATTTTTTAGTGCGCGCGAAAAACTTTTCCAGTGCATTCCTCAACAATGACGATGAAAAAACCCGAAAATTGAGACGTATAGCAACTTTGGTGAAGATTTTGATTGAATAATTTTTCTTTACTCCAAATCACACAACATTATTTGTTAATTTTGCATATCCCAAAAAATACTTATTTCGCATATTGTTCAGAAACACTATTTATTCAAGAGGGGATTAACATTATGAATAAATATTCCCGAAAATTTTTGCACAGTCACTATTAAAGAACACTAAAGAAATGTCGCGCGAGCATGGAATTTCCCTTTGGAAATTCCCGCGACCGCAGATGAAGAAATTCAACTTCATAGTATTTCTTGATATGGAAATTACACTCAGTCAAAACTTTCAGAACGCTCAGCGTAAAGATCAACAGTTGAGAATTGCAATTCGCCGTCAGATCGACATATGCTTTGCCACGAGATTGAGCATCGTAGAGTGCGAACTGAAGCGATAATTTCATAAATTAGATAAATACAAATCCATGGAACACGTTTTCAGAAATTCTATACATATCTCGCAACACGTTTAAACAGATAATCGTGATGTGGAGTTGAGAAGAGTTGAGAAACTTAGGTTTCGCGTGATACACTTTAAAAAAAATTCTCATAGGCCATCGAAGGGTTAAAAGTAATCTGCCTTTATCAGAATCTTTCACTCAATAAAAGTACACAGTTAAAAAGCAGTTACATTTTGCAAGCTGTTGAGCGCCAGATGACTCAGAGCGCGCGCTTCAAATCCAGTGGATTAATCGATAAAACAGTTTCTCGCTGGGAATCCCCTTATGTTTCATGTTCTCAACATTTCTCGCCTAGAAAAACATTTGAAATTATTGTAATTGGTATAAAGGGATTAGGGCCACAGAGAAGAACTTTTGACCCGGCCTATTCGTGAAAATGGAGGGAATACATGAGGAAAATGTGGAAATTTCACTAGAAACTCATACACTTTCACCCTTTCTATCGCCTCTCCGGAAAGCCGCTACGTGAGCCTGTGTTTGTACACATCTACAGAGCATAGACAGTGAATGGCGGTGTGTTGAGCAGTGTTTTCACCTGGGGCTCGAAACACAGGTACACAGCCACTGGAGTCGTTTCACTGTATTTAGTGACACGCAGGCTATTTACAATTACGGATTATATCTGAAAGAGTGTTCAACTTGCGCCAGAGTCCAGTTTAATTTCTGGTTTCTCGGACGAATGAACTATCTTCGAGGTTGTGCCTGGTGAAGTTCATAAAAATTCCTCTCTACACCTCCAAAGCTTCTACCCGCCTTCCCTTCTGCACTCAGTGAAACACACACTTTATTGAGGAAAATCTATCGGGAGAAAAGAGGTGATGAAAATTGTGAAGTTTCAGAAGGAATTACATGTACCGTAGAGTTTTTTTTTCTGTTCCGAGTGTCTGATGGACTTTTTTCTCGGCTCTTCTTCTACATCTCCAACCACCTGAGTGTATTGTGCAATTCACTAAACGGCATTTCTGTTCGGATAGTGATGGAGAAAAAAAAGCCAGGGTGTGGATTAGAAAATTACAAAAATCCGCACTGGTGAAAATTTACGCATCATAGTGAGCTCTTAGGGGGTGAAATTTCATTGAGTCTGCAAACGAATTTCAGCGTACGCCACATCACTGACTTTTGTAGCAGGTGCAATGTTAATTGAACACGGGAGATAGACACAGTGCTCTTCACCTTTTTTCCTCTTTCTGCAAAATCCACGAGTCTTCCCCAGTGAAAATGGCGTCAAAAGTGAGACTCCGCAGTGTGAGATCCGATGTCACAATGTGAATTTGCAATTGAGGGACTTTCTCGTGAAAATCCGTCTGTGCATATTTAAATTTTTCGGAAACTCATCGTCATCGCGTACAGTTTCCATTTCCATTTTTCAATGGAATATTCATGTACTCTCTGCGGTGTGGCTACATAGTGAGGCTATGGCAGTGTGCGTTATGTAGAATTCGTATGTATGTAGGCACTATCTGAAGTAATCTCATAATGGTTCTCCAGGTAGTACCCCAACTAATACCACCTTGTGTGGATTCTATAGTACCTTCCACTGTGGATTCCTCATCTCTCCAGTTGGGACAGTGTCTCCCGATCGCCCATTAAGTGATTTTCTGGAGGCACAGTGGAGAGGCTCGTGTGCATATTTCACAACGTCTCAGATTTCACGATTTAACAATGATTCCGAACATATCTGACACCCGTCACGAGTCACGAAATTCCGATAATTGAACTCTCATGACGCGCTCGATTAATCTACTTTTGTCGCAACTCTTCGCGATCCACCATGTATGAGATAAAAGCAATGGACTATTTTTTCCCCCACAAGTACACCACCCGACCTTGTTCAATCTGATAGCATGTCTCAAATATTTTATCAGTGTCCCGGCAATATTATTTATTCTCCTCTTATCGCACATTCATTGCCTCAGATTTTGATCATATCGCAATCTTCTGCCTGATAAACACACAGCTTAGAATACCTTTTGTCAACAGTTATCCCCGCTAGTCAATTAACCGAATTCTCCGCTTTCCCAATACGCAGTCTCTCTCCGCGAAAAATCACAGTGTCATCGAGCAGGGAATGAACATCGCGAATGGTGAGCATCTGCCTATCGCGTGGGTTATTGAACTTGTCCTTGCATTGACACTCTTGACTTGATTGACACACTAAGTGCGATATGTCCACTTCTTCGCTACTATTACAGCGCAAATGTGTATTGCTGCCGAGCAATTCCATCAAATTTCCCCGCCCAATAATTGCATTTGAAGACAATTTTGAGGCCTTATCACGGCGCCCATATTCGAAGATCGCACATTAAACACAGATGAGAGCCACACAACACACTCAACACCTTTTCACACCTACGGCAAATTTATGTGAAATTCTTTCTAGCGTAACAGTAATTTCGTCTATGTGTTCAGACATATTGTGGTATAATGGAAAAATATACATCGCTTTGTATATACATATTTATTCATAGTTTTTCCAAAGCTACAAAAAAAAAACTCGCAGAGAAGACACAATAATAGCCGTTTGATTTATCACTCGGTTGAACAAATTTGGTTTTAGTTAATGTAAAGAAGCAACACGCCCAAATAATACTTTTGAATCTTCAACGTTTTGGTGGAAAATTCAGCATATACAGTGAGAAATATAATGAAATTATTTTAGAACCTCCGTGTTAAGAGGTGTTAACTTTGCCAAATAGAATGTGTAGTGAAATTAAATCATCACCTGACGAATAGATACTCGAGAGACGCTAGAAACGCCCAAGACTTCGTGCTATCGACTAGTGAAATAAGATGCTATTTAAAATTCTGGGTTCTCCGTTGTTTTCCTTTGAGAACCGTCGAAAAAATGCAGTTTCTCATCAATTTATTTACATTTTTATGGAGAATTCCGATGAATTCTCACATAGCGCAGTATTTCTTATTGGAATTCAATAGGAAACTTCACATTTAATTGATCCCCTCATAGTAATCACGTGACGTGGAAAATTCAAATGCAACACTCTGTAATTTTCCTGATTGTGTGGAAAATTGTTGAAAAAATCAACTTTTTGCTTGCCCTCGTGTCTGATCCAAAAGCACACATTTTAAAATTCAGACTGAAAGTAAAATAAACGTGGTCTGAAATCAGCTCAAACACGGTGTATCAATTTTACCATCGAAAATCCAGCGTCTGGTAGAATGCATCAATTCACGTATAATTTGGCATTTTTGAATGCTAAGAGAAACAGCAATTCACTTTTGGGCATAAGATTCCAGCAACTAACGTTAATTGATGATGAAAACATGCGGTAAAAGTATCAATAAGCAAAATTGAAATGATGGGCTTAAAATGAGAGAAATCGTGCGGAATATATGAAAATTCGGCAAATATTTAGAAATCCGAAGTGGATCTCATGAAATTTCGAGCAACCAAGCGTTTTATGAATAAATAAATGGGGCTCGACTCTTAATACAAGATTAATTTTGAATTTATTGCATAAAATTCTGCTCCCCCTCGTGGACCGTCCGGTGTGGCCATCCTCGGCAAGACGGTCGCCGGCGTGAGTTCAGGAGAGGGGAAAAACTCGCAAGTAATTGACTTGACTCACTTGATTGAGAGGGAATAACAGTTAAGAATATACACATTAAAATGGATGTGGTGGAATGTAGAAGAAGAGGCGCTGAAGCCAATGGAAGGTGCTGCACTGCCAGCACACCCGATGCAGGTCTAATGGCAATTTAATTCTCCGAACAGAAATATCGCCCCTCGACGGAATCGTCAACTCTGCACAGCAATCCGAACAAATTAAGAGTCAAGTGAGTCTGTTTCTTCAACTCGGGAGGTCAATGAAGCGAAGAGATGGTGATCGTAACACGAGTGAGTATTTCCCCAAAAAATCCACCTCTTTCTCTTCCTACACACTTTAAGGCGCTTGAAATTCTGCACAAACTCTTATGTATCTCTTTGTCATGCTTAAACACAGGGTGGAGAATTCAAAAGTAGCACACGCATCGGGTTTCATTTTCAAATTGTAACACTTCACGCAAAAATTGTATTGCTCATTGTCTCCACCAACATATATGGACACCACTTCTATGCTAAATAAATTTCAATGAATAATTCATAAGAAATACAATGCAATCGAATTGAACCTTCCATCAAATTACAGGGGAAGCACGGTAATTTTGAAGAAAATGTCATCAATTATTTGTTGTGCACTCTAAGTTTGGGCATCACTTGGAGACATTGAATTAAGTTTATGGCACAGTCAAAATAAAAAAAAAGTACTGGATCTGTTAGAATGCAATTGTGTTTCCGTACAGTTCAGCAATAGCTAATGAAGGAAAGCACAAGGGAGAGAAGGACTAATTTTCAAGAGAAAATATGTGTCTCGATGGCCTTATTTGAGTAAAAACCAGGAGTGCTTCTGACTACAGTGTAATCTTCAATTTCCCAAGTTCCTGAATCTATAATTAGCGAAGAATTTCGCATTTTTCCCCCCAAAAGGGGAAACAACTGTAATTTGGAGGACGTTCTTGTTGATTTTGTGCAAGATGTTCTCGATTGATCGCATCTACCATGATTCCCGTGTGCGATCTTGGCAAGGTGCTGGCAAGAGGGATGCACAACAGGTGGGCGAGGAAAGTGAAAGTGGAATGACCAGAGAGAGGAAAATGAGTAAAAATAATTTCCCTATGTTGCGGTGGGTGTGTGTGCATAAAAACGTTGATACACCGTTGAGGAAATTAGAGCCCCACATTTTGTTGGGTGAAAGAGCCCGTCTGACGAGGATATTTCGTGGTCTCTGGCCTTCGTGACTTGACATCAAAGTGGAAGAAATTGCCAGTGGTAGCACGCCATCCGTGGGTATTTATAATTCCTCTGTCTGCTACACACTTTTTTCTTTCTCACCATTGCATTGCTCACCTTTCCATTGCACAAAATGCACCACATCGTTGGCCAAACACACTGGAAAAAAGAGAGGAAAAGGGTCTGGCACTGAAAAGAGTTTGCTCATAATGCCAGCGACACACTTCCGGAATGCCTCGTTCTCTGTTTCTGACGCCACACGCTGCTTCTCCCCTCTTTTCAGGGTGACTACATCTGGATCGAGCCCGTCTCCGGGAGGGAATTCGATGTGGCGATTGGAGCCAGGGTAGCGTCGGCGGAGGGACGCAGGATCCAAGTGAAGGACGACGACGGTCACGAGCAATGGCTGACGCCGGAGCGCCGAATAAAGGCGATGCACGCATCGTCTGTCCAGGGAGTGGAAGATATGATCTCCCTGGGAGATCTTCACGAGGCGGGGATTCTCAGAAATTTGCTCATTCGCTACAATGACAATCTTATTTATGTAAGTGAACCAGTGATGAAAACTATCACACGACCATTGAAATGCTAATATTCTTGTGTTGAAAATGAATCTCTCAGACACGAAGAGTTTCATTTATGAGAAATCTCTGCACAATGTGCTTTATGGGATTCGAAATTTCTTCTCCATCTTTGAAACCCAGAGAAATATTGAGTTGACTGAATGATAAATCACACACCTCTTGCAGACATACACCGGATCCATCCTGGTGGCAGTGAATCCATACCAGATACTTCCAATTTACACCGCGGATCAGATAAAGTTGTACAAGGAGCGGAAGATCGGCGAGCTGCCGCCTCACATCTTCGCGATAGGAGACAATGCTTACGCACACATGAGACGATATCGTCAGGATCAGTGCATTGTGATTTCCGGTGAATCGGGCGCCGGGAAGACTGAGAGCACGAAACTCATCTTGCAGTATCTGGCGGCCATCAGTGGAAAGCACTCGTGGATTGAGCAGCAGATTCTCGAGGCGAATCCCATTTTGGAAGCCTTTGGCAATGCCAAGACAATCAGGAATGACAACTCATCTCGATTCGGAAAGTACATAGACATCCACTTCAACAGCAGCGGAGTGATCGAGGGAGCGAAGATTGAGCAGTATTTGCTGGAGAAGTCACGAATTGTGTCTCAGAGTCAGGATGAGAGGAACTACCATATATTCTACTGCCTCCTGGCGGGCCTCTCATACGAGGAGAAGAGGAAATTGGAGTTGGGAGAGCCTCAGGATTACAGATACTTGACTGGTGGGAATAGCATAACGTGCGAAGGACGAGAAGATGCGGCTGAATTCGCTGATATTCGCTCAGCAATGAAGGTTCTCTTGTTCTCAGACAGTGAAATCTGGGACATCCTCAAACTCCTGGCAGCCCTGCTTCACTGCGGCAATATCAAATACAAAGCTACGGTCATAGACAATCTCGATGCCACGGAGATCACGGAGAATATCAATGTTGAGAGGGTGGCAAATCTCCTGGGAGTGCCTGTTCAACCCCTCATTGACGCCCTCACGCGAAAAACCCTCTTCGCGCACGGAGAAACTGTAGTGTCCACTCTATCACGAGATCAGTCCGTGGATGTTAGAGACGCCTTCGCCAAGGGAATCTACGGACGACTGTTCATTCTGATTGTGAAGAAGATCAATAGCGCCATTTACAGACCTCGAGCCTCGTCCAGAAACTCCATCGGAGTTCTGGATATATTTGGATTCGAAAACTTCGACCAGAATAGCTTCGAACAATTTTGCATCAATTACGCCAACGAAAACTTACAACAATTCTTCGTACAGCACATCTTCAAGCTAGAACAAGAGGAATACAATCACGAGGGAATCAATTGGCAACATATTGAATTTGTGGACAATCAAGATGCTCTGGATCTCATTGCAATTAAGCAGTTGAACATCATGGCGCTGATAGATGAGGAAGCCAAATTTCCCAAGGGAACGGATCAAACCATGCTGGCAAAGTTGCACAAAACTCATGGATCACACAAGAACTACCTTAAGCCCAAGAGTGACATCAACACGAGCTTCGGTCTCAACCACTTTGCCGGCGTGGTATTCTATGACACAAGAGGGTTCCTTGAGAAAAACAGGGACACCTTCAGTGCGGACCTCTTGCAGCTCATTAGCATATCCAAAAACAAATTCCTGCAAATGGTCTTTGCCGAGGATATCGGCATGGGCGCCGAGACAAGAAAACGCACTCCAACACTGTCTACGCAATTCAAGAAGAGTCTCGACTCGCTCATGAAAACCCTGAGCAGCTGCCAGCCATTCTTCATCCGGTGCATCAAGCCAAATGAGGCCAAGAAGCCAATGATGTTCGACAGAGGACTGTGTTGCCGACAATTGAGGTACTCCGGAATGATGGAGACCATTCGCATCAGACGCGCCGGATACCCAATCCGGCATGGATTCCGTGAGTTTGTGGAGCGCTACAGGTTCCTCATCTCTGGAGTGCCGCCGGCTCACCGGACAGACTGTCGCTTGGCCACTTCGAGAATTTGTGCAGCTGTGCTTGGGAAGTCTGACTATCAACTGGGCCACACAAAGGTGTTTCTCAAGGATGCGCACGACCTGTTCCTAGAACAGGAGCGCGATCGTGTTCTCACGCGAAAGATCCTCATTCTGCAGCGCTCCATTCGAGGTTGGGTCTACCGAAGACGCTTCCTTCGCATGAAGGCGGCCGCAATAATTATCCAAAAGTACTGGAAAGGATACTCTCAGAGGAAGAGATTCGTCAAGATGAAGGTGGGATACATGAGACTCCAGGCGCTGATTCGCTCGCGAGTCTTGAGTCATAGATTCCGACATCTAAGAGGTCACATCGTGGGCCTCCAGGCTCATGCCAGGGGATACTTGGTGCGCAGAGAATATGGTCATAAGATGTGGGCTATCGTGAAGATCCAGTCTCATGTGAGGAAAATGATCGCCATGAGGAAATTCCGTAAAATGAGAGAAGATTATCGCCGCTACAATGAGGCGCTGCGACTCAGGAAGATCGAGGAGCAGGAACTGAAGCATCAGGGCAATAAGAGAGCTAAAGAGATTGCTGAACAACACTACAGAGATCGCCTGAATGAGATGGAGAGGAAAGAGATGGAAATCGAGATGGAGGAGCGTCGGCGCGTGGAGGTGAAGAAGAATCTGATCAATGATGCTGCAAGAAAGGCAGATGAACCAGTGGATGATAGCAAGTTGGTGGAGGCGATGTTCGACTTCTTGCCGGATTCCAGCAGCGAAGCACCAACTCCTCATGGTGGACGCGAGACGTCGGTGTTTAATGATTTGCCATCCGTTCATTTGGATCACCAGGAAGAGATCATCGGTCAGGTGCATCAGATTTCTGAGGACGAGGAAGACTTGTCAGAGTTCAAGTTCCAGAAATTCGCAGCCACATACTTCCAAGGCAACGTGACTCATCAATACTCCAGGAAACCACTAAAACATCCTCTGCTACCGCTTCACACGCAGGGTGATCAATTGGCAGCACAAGCCCTCTGGATAACCATACTCAGATTTACAGGAGATCTTCCTGAACCGCGCTATCACACCATGGATCGCGACAACACATCTGTAATGTCCAAAGTCACAGCTACTCTGGGGCGAAATTTCATTCGAAGTAAGGAATTCCAGGAAGCGCAAATGATGGGCTTGGATCCAGACACTTTTCTCAAGCAGAAGCCCCGCTCGATCCGGCACAAGCTCGTGTCCCTGACACTCAAGCGTAAGAATAAGCTTGGAGAGGATGTTCGCCGACGTCTCCAGGATGAAGAATACACTGCCGATAGCTATCAGTCCTGGCTCGAATCGCGTCCCACGTCGAATCTGGAGAAACTCCACTTTATCATCGGCCATGGCATCCTGAGAGCTGAACTCAGGGATGAAATCTATTGTCAAATTTGCAAGGAACTCACCAACAATCCGTCCAAATCCTCCCACGCCCGTGGGTGGATCCTCTTGTCACTTTGCGTGGGCTGCTTCGCCCCATCTGAGAAGTTTGTCAATTACCTGAGAGCCTTCATTCGCGAAGGACCTCCCGGATATGCGCCATACTGCGAGGATCGCCTCAAGAGAACCTTCAACAATGGCACACGCAACCAGCCACCCTCGTGGCTTGAGCTGCAAGCCACCAAGTCCAAGAAGCCCATCATGCTGCCCATCACTTTCATGGATGGCAACACCAAGACCCTTCTGGCAGACTCCGCCACCACAGCGAGAGAGTTGTGCAATCAACTCTCGGACAAGATCCAGCTGAAGGATCAGTTTGGATTCTCACTCTACATTGCGTTGTTTGACAAAGTCTCGTCCCTGGGAAGTGGTGGCGATCACGTGATGGACGCGATCTCTCAGTGTGAACAGTACGCTAAAGAGCAGGGCGCACAGGAGAGGAATGCCCCATGGCGTCTCTTCTTCCGCAAGGAGATCTTCGCGCCGTGGCACAATCCAACTGAGGATCAAGTGGCGACGAATCTCATTTACCAGCAAGTGGTCAGAGGTGTGAAGTTCGGAGAGTATCGATGCGACAAGGAGGAAGACCTGGCCATGATTGCTGCCCAGCAGTACTATATTGAGTACGGCAATGACATGTCCATGGAGCGTCTCTTCACGCTCCTGCCCAATTTCATTCCTGATTACTGTCTCACTGGTGTCGAGAAGGCCATGGATCGCTGGGCAGCTCTTGTCCTGCAGGCCTACAAGCGGAGTTATTATCTCAAGGAGAAAGTCCCCACGCTCAAAGTGAAGGAGGACATTGTGAGCTACGCAAAGTACAAGTGGCCCCTTCTCTTCTCCAGGTTCTACGAGGCGTACAGGTGTGTAGGCGAATACTTCGCGCTTGATCCAGTCTAATTGGTATGTTTTCTTACAGGAACTCTGGGCCGAACCTGCCCAAGAACGATGTCATCATTGCAGTCAATTGGACAGGTGTGTACGTGGTAGACGATCAGGAGCAGGTACTGCTGGAATTGTCCTTCCCCGAGATAACATCAGTGGCTAGCCAGAAGACCAACAAGGTTTTCACCCAAACTTTCAGTTTGTCCACTGTTCGAGGAGAAGAATTCACTTTTCAAAGTCCGAATGCAGAGGATATTCGCGATCTGGTTGTCTACTTCTTAGAAGGACTTAAAAAGAGGCAAGTGTATTGAAAATTTAGTCAAGAAAACATTTAACAATTGATCCTTGAACTGCAGATCAAAGTTCGTGATTTCCCTGCAAGATTACAAAAGTCCAGGTGAGGGAACGAGTTTCCTGTCATTCTTGAAAGGCGATCTGATCATCCTCGAAGAGGACAGCACAGGCGAAACAGTGTTGAACAACGGCTGGTGCATTGGACGCTGCGAGAGGACGCAGGAGCGCGGTGACTTCCCTGCCGAGACTGTGTACGTTCTTCCGACCCTCACGAAGCCACCCAATGATATTCTGGCGCTGTTCAGTGTTGAAGACGCTCATCATGGTCGTCGTCTGAGCACAGTATCTAATGGAGGCACAGAACCCCGAGATCGTCCTCACAACTTATCCGAATACGCTCTGGATCACTTCCGACCGCCGCCGAAGAGAACCATGTCCAAGACTCTGACGCTCAGCACAAAGCGAGGCAACGACGAACTGTGGCGTTACTCCAGAGAGCCACTGAAGCAACCACTGCTGAAGAAGTTGCTGATGAAGGAGGAGCTGGCCGAAGAGGCCTGTTTCGCCTTTTCGGCTATCCTGAAGTACATGGGAGATTTGCCGTCAAAGCGCCCGAGAATCGGCAACGAGATCACAGATCACATCTTCGACGGGCCACTGAAGCATGAGATCCTGAGAGATGAGATCTTCTGCCAGTTGATGAAGCAACTCACTGACAATAGAAATAGAATCTCAGAGGAGCGCGGCTGGGAGCTTATGTGGCTGGCAAGTGGCCTGTTCGCTTGCAGCCAGGGTCTCCTGAAAGAGTTGACACTCTTCCTGCGCTCCCGACGGCATCCCATCTCTCAGGATTGCCTGCATCGCCTGCAGAAGACCATTCGCAATGGTCAGCGCAAGTATCCGCCACATCAGGTGGAAGTGGAGGCGATTCAGCACAAGACCACGCAAATATTCCACAAAGTCTACTTTCCCGACGACACAGATGAGGCATTCGAGGTGGACTCCTCAACGCGCGCCAAGGATTTCTGCCACAACATTTCACAACGTCTCAATTTGCGCTCCGCCGAGGGCTTCAGCCTGTTCGTGAAGATCGCCGATAAAGTCATTTCGGTTCCGGAGGGTGACTTCTTCTTTGACTTTGTGCGTCATCTCACAGATTGGATCAAGAAGGCGAGACCCACGCGCGACGGCACCAATCCTCAGTTCACATATCAGGTGTTCTTCATGAAGAAGCTCTGGACCAACACCGTGCCCGGCAAGGACAGGAATGCCGATCTCATCTTCCACTATCACCAGGAGTTGCCCAAGTTGCTGAGGGGATATCACAAGTGTGCCAAGGATGAAGCGGCCAAGCTGGCGGCACTCGTCTACCGCGTGCGATTTGGAGAGAGCAAGCAGGAGCTTCAAGCAATTCCGTAAGTTCAGCAGCGTGACTTACCTGGGTTGCACTCATTCAAGTGATTTCCTTTGAATTCCAGGCAAATGCTGCGGGAGTTGGTGCCTTCGGATCTCATCAAATTGCAGAGCAGTAATGACTGGAAGCGCTTAATTGTGGCCGCATACAATCAGGATGCCGGAATGAGTCCCGAAGACGCAAAGATAACATTCCTCAAAATAGTCTACAGGTACAAAAGCGCTTCTTTAATCAACAAGCGGTCAATTGACTCTAAACCTTACACACAATTTCAGATGGCCAACCTTTGGATCCGCCTTCTTCGAGGTAAAGCAGACTACTGAACCCAACTACCCCGAAATGCTCTTAATTGCCATCAACAAACACGGTGTCAGTCTCATTCATCCGCAATCGAAGGTAAGATGAGCGCTTGGTGAGCCTTTGAAACTGTTCACACACACACTTTCTTGTCTCGCAGGACATCCTGGTGACTCATCCCTTCACGCGCATCTCCAACTGGTCGTCCGGCAATACGTACTTCCACATGACGATAGGGAATCTGGTTCGCGGCTCGAAGCTCCTCTGCGAGACGTCGCTGGGCTACAAAATGGATGACCTTCTCACCTCGTACATATCACTAATGCTCACAAACATGAATAAACAGCGCACTGTCCGGATGAATTAGTGGGCAGCAAGGATTTCTCCTTCTATAGAATCTATGTAACAATATTTATAGCCAGTGCGCGATAATTAAGGCAATTATTTACAAAATACGATCGACGCATTATATTATTTATTCAATCTTGAATTTTAGTCCATGGAGACGCACAGCGAGTCTCTGATATTTTTCAAGCAATTTCACACTCCATAAAGTACATTTGGTAGTGTTTGTCTCTTTGGAGGAAATCACTTTGCGTAATTTTTGTAGCTTTTAGTCAAGTATAATTACCTTGTATCCTTTCCCTTTTACCTCCTATTTGCTATATATTTTTGATTATATTTTAGGGATCTTTTGATATTTACATTATTATGCCAACTCGTTATGGTGTTGTGCATTCTGTAACGATGAAGCATGTTTATGTATTCCGTTGTAAAAGATCGCATTTTAAAATAAAAGAAAACTCATCCCAATAAAAGAGAGATTATCAAATCTGGAATCAACTGGGCGAAAAATTCATCTTGTCGGTCGATTATGCAATTTGCGACTCTTCCAATGAACTCAGGTGAGTTGATTTATCATTTCTTTGGCAGTCAATACAAAATTGAGAAATTTATTAAGTGCTCTTTCAGCCTTTTCGCATTAGAGCCAGTCAAAGCAAAGCTCTCGTAATCTCACAAAAAATCATTGTCGGAACAAATTTCTCAACAACTCAATTGATCGACAATATTCTTAGGCGAAAAAGCATAAATATTTACGCATAATAGCTAAATCGTGTGTTTGCAATACATTTTTCCCTTCCGAAATTTGTAAGTACTTAAAAATACACGCAATATTGGCAGCAATTTGTTCAAAAATTTCACTATTCTCATTAGTTGCTTTTGTAAAGAGACTGAAAAAATAGTCAAAGACGCCTAAGCATCACGCAAGAAAACCAATCTGGATGACTCACTGAAGCACACGCGAAAAGAACAAGTGAATAAACAGGAAGCGACTCTAGGCTAGAGACTCTAGCTACAGACTATGAAACTCTAGGCTAGACACAGAGATATTCGGATAATTTGAGCAGCATTATTTAAATTGAAGTGCTCTGTAATCTTCCTTCATTCAAGAATGGAGAAAAGCAGAGATAATAAATGCCATTTTCCCACGCGTTATATCACTTTTATATTCCTGTGCGAAATGCCGTTTTCTATCACTCAGATCTCTTCTCTAATCCCTAAGTTTTCTGGCAAGACGCAAAGTGCCATTTGTCTCTCTGTCTCTCTCTCGCTCTCTAGATAATCTTCCAGGTGATTTGCCTAGCTTAATTATTGTCGACAATTTGGTGGAAATCTTCAATTGAAATCAAAGAAAATTATTCATCATATTGTAATCCACACACGGCAGTTCATCATGAAATCAGCGCGGAAGACAAGGCGAGAAAACATGCACGGGAATGTGGAGAAAAAAAGGTTTGTTAAAAGAATTGCTGACACCGTGAGAACGAACAAATTATATCTTTTCTCCTTCAAAATGTCTGGAATAGCAAATAATAACGGTAGGGAGACTATTTTTCAGCTGTTTTGATTTCTTTTTATTCTCTCGTATTATTAATACATAATGTGTAATCATTTTTCTTCTCCTCTTCCTTCCATAAAAGCTACACGCATAGTATGTATAGTAAATATAAAGAATATTACTAATATTGTAATTTCTTTCGTTGACAGTCATATTCAACCGACTTTCTTCTCTCTTTTCCGTGTATTATTATGCAACTCTCTAATGAAGAATTTCTAAAATAAATAAGATGCTCTACATCGATAATTTCTTCTTCTCCTTCCTTCACAAAAAATAAAATTATATTTATATTTAAATTGTAAATATTATCTGAATTATACACATACACATATTTAGATGTACCTTTTCGTGGGAAAAATACTATAAAAGGAGAAAGGATGGATACAGAGAGCGTCAATTGGAGTGGGTGAGAAAAGGAGGTCCTCCAAGATTTTTTGTTTTCACTTCTAAATACCCTAATTAAACAAACACAATAAAACATAAATAAATTTAATGACAAGAATGTGGTTTGTGTGTTTTTCCTCAAGTAATTTCCCCATAGCTCGATTGCCATCGTCAGAAATAGAGAAATAGTCAGAAAATACAAATTAAAATCTATTAAATAATTAAAATAGAGAGATAAACTGATACAAATCCTTTCTCACACCGCCGCGACTCGTTATGTAATATCTAACTATGTGATACGCATGCATTTTTGTTCTTCTGTACTGTATTTCGTAGAGTTTGTTTTGAATGTACTCTCTTTTCTTCTTCTTCTTCTCTTCCATCAAAATACTTATTTGAATTGCAAATTGAATGTGAGAACATTGTTTCTCAACAATAAGATGAAGTTCCTTTTTTCACTACTCTCTGTCTTTTTATTCTTAATTTAAACTAATATTAAATTAATAACTCACTCATTCACACGATCCCGCCCGAAAAAATGCCCGCTCACAATTTCCTCTTTTTGCTTATTCTTGTCTTACTTAAGCATGTTTACAGAGCGAATATATTAAAAATATATATTTATATGTATTTATATATGAGCTCTTTTCATCCCTCTCGTCATTCACAAATATATATATAAAATATTATCATGTATACGAGGATAAAACATGGAAAAGAATTTTCAGTACTTGTCAAACCCACGGAAATTACAGATAAAATCTATATAAAACTAAGAAGTACGCACGCAAAGTCACTCAATCACTAATAAAACAGTCACACTGTTGCACAGTTTCACCTGGAATCAATAGGTCTTCCTGTCTCTCGTTCAGATCATCCGGAATCAAGGCATCTGCCCATGGGAGTTCCACGAGTGCACATCCATCGATGGGAGCGCGTTCGTGGTTGAGGTGTTGTTGTTGTTATTGTGGTGTCGTCCTGCAAATACACACATCATTCAGAGATCATTAGATCACTTTGAACCCTCGCAGTGGCTGCAAGTGCTGCTAATTCAATTAATACAGTGTGAATAACGTGAATTACCTTTACCTCTCATCACATCATCAGCTGGGCCACAATGTTGCCTGGGACCAGGCTCTGGAGTGTACGTGAAGGTGAGTCCAGTGGCGTAGATCACACCATCATTCCTCACCAGAGATATAGGCACTTGGGTTGGCTGTCGCACCTACACAAGAAGTTCCCCAAAAATATAGTCACGCAACTCCAATTGGAGGACAAAAGTCTGCAACTTACATAGAGCCATTCGCCGCGAAACTGTGATATGTCGGGAACGACGCAGAGCAGCGTCTCTGCACATCTGTACATGGTCTCAGCCTCAACATCACCAAACCACACCTGCAGATGTGGCGTGAAGTTGTCCCCGGTGAGCTCCAGCATCGCCACATCGCCGCCCCCATTGAGATTTAGTGAATTAACTATTGGCACTGGTGTCACGAGTGATCTCACATGTCCCATGCCCTCATAGAACTGATACTCTGCCTTGTCAGTGGAGATGATTGTCCAGCACGCACCATCGTTGATCATCTCCTTGTTGGGCTCCTTCGGGCACGGCGTGGCCTGGAACTGGATGATCTTCTCCTGCGACAGACAAAGATACATCCGCTCCGTGTCCTTCATGTAGAACGCACACTTGTGCAGCTGCGACACGGGATCATCCGCCTCCAGAAGGGCCATCTGCTTGTCCACTTTGCGTATGATCAGCCGCGGCAGCGCCATTCCCGTCACCGAGCACACCAGCTTCACCGTTGAGCCATAGTGAACATATCCATCGCGCACTTGAAACTCCTCCGATTCACTCTCATTGTCATCCAGCAAATGGATGGTGAAGGCGCCCCATTGCGTGGAGCTGGCGTGGAAGTGTCCATTCTCCACATGCAAATACCGCGTGGACACCGTTTGGGAGCGCAGACGGTTGAACAGAGCCACATTCGTGCCACTGGCGATGCACAGATCGGCATTCTTCAGCGATTGCTTCTTCTTCGACGGCTTGGAAATCACCTTAATCCGCTTCGAGTTGAACACACCGATATCCTGCCCATTGCCGTAGAACATCTTCACGGACAGCATAAAGTGCTTCCTCTTGTCGGAGTCGGAGATGAAGAGGGTCTTGGCGGCACAGTATTGCTTGTCATTATTGAGATCCAACGGCTGGCTGTCCTGCTCAGAGTTCCCGATGCCAATGTACGCTCCCAGTTGAACACCCTCGCGACACTCGCCCTTGTGGAGCATCTCCTCCTGCCTGTGTCGCCAGCCATTGCCGAACAGATAGATACACGGCGGCGGGCAGAAGAATCTCTTCTCGTTTCCATAAGACTTTTGAGCAACCTGCGGAGGAACGCAAAATTAAGCATTAATAAATGCAATGCACAAAGAACATCTATTTGCACCGATTAAGTGCTCGCTAAGTTCTGAATTTCTTTCTGATTATCAGCTATAATGGAGTAATGGTAAACGCATGAATATTTCCATATTAATTTGTGTAAATCCACACCACAAAAATGCAGAATCACTTAACCACCCTGTAGATGGGAAAGCACTGAGATTTATTCCATCTCCGTCGACGAAAAATTCCCACAGAAATATTTTCCCAGGGTTGCCGGAATTGTTCTCGAAAAAAAAACACAGAGAAGCGGAGAGGAAAAAATGATCTCTATAACTGCAAAAAAATTCCCACCGACGCGATTCTCACCGTTCGCCCGCTTTGCCTCCTCCACCACATTAAAAACATTTTTATATTCACATCATTTTCAATAGTAAGATGAAACTATCTCGTCATTATGTGTATATAGAGTGTACGGTATTCCGGAGGGCTCTTAAATTACCAAGTCAAGCTTCTCCCCGACACAGTGAGAATTGCGCGAGGTAAATTATGAAGAAGTCTCTCTCGTCAGGCTTGGCTGACTTCCTCGTCCGAATCTTCACCCTCTCTCGCTCCCCCCAGATTATCGCCCATCAGAATCACAGCTGACGTCCTTCTCCTCACCTTTGCATGCAAAATCACAATAACCATGTCATTCCTCTCCCTCATGTAGCGCCCCATCGCCTCGCGCGTGAGCCGCTTGTCCTCATTCTGCGGCCTGTACACCGCCGTGATGGACTGCGGCTGTGTCACCGGCACCACGCCGCCGGCCACGATCCTGGGCACCAGCGCCCCGTGGGCCGACTGGGAGTTCTGCTGTCCGGAAGGTTGCTGCTGTTGCGTCGGCGGACTCGGTGGCGATTGCACATAGCTGGGCAGTCCGTACGTCTGATATGGCATCGTGGATGTCGGTGTGGAGCGCTTCTCGCTGCTGCAAGCAAACACAGGACATCAAAACACATCACGACTCCTCTCCGGGAAGCCCTCCGCCACGGCCAACTTACTAATGCATTTCCAAATCCTCAGGCCAGCGCACAGTGTCACTCAGCCCTGGCGTCGATCATTCTCAATCCCTCACAGGACACGAATATGCTGAAAGTGGGGCGCTATTGCAGGAATAGTCACTGTAGTAAACATAACCACACTTTCGCCCCACAACACTTCTTCATAGTCCCTCGCGACGGTGCACTTCCGCCTTAATGCACAACTTCAGAACCGGACGCACTGATGGTGGTGAGATGAGCCGAGAGGCGTCTTATTTATCACAAATTCCAAGCAAGAATGATATTTTTCGTAGATTTTTCCCCCAAGACGACCGATTTGACTGAAGCGTCCAACACACTCTCATCGCATACTGTACACAATTAGAGCGAGACAGCTAGCAGTGCCGCCGAATATCGTGGCGCTCGGTGGGAGCGAGAAGGCGACATGGGAACACCTGTTCGGAGTGAATATTTTTCCACATTGCCAACCTAACGGCACCAAAAACTCCTCATTTTCACCGCTCTTGAGCAGCTTCTGGCCCATAATTTCCCCCAACGACGATGCGATAAAGCCCAAAGAGCACCACAGGGGCCAAATCATCCCCCATCAGCCCGCCTATCGGGTGGAAACGATAAAATTCACAATCCCCCTGCCTTTGAATGCGTGGGAAAAGTCATCTGGAAAGCAGAAGAGCATGAAAGTGTGTGAGAGAGAAATGTTGCGGGTGCGGAGTGGAGGGGAGGCGCACTCACAATTTGCTGTAATTTAATTGAGAAGCATAAGAGAGAACAGTGTTCCCAGAGAGAGAGATTTGGTAGAAATTTCTCTCCTCTCTTTGAGCACTTCATCATGTGCTCCATCTCCCTCGCGCCTCTTTCCCATCCGACCAAGGAAGCGAGCGCGACCGAGACGGCAACACCCGCGAATGCACATTTAATTACCACCGCGAGAGTGTGTGAGTGACCGTGGGAAGAAATTTCTGTTCCAGCCTTTTAAATTTTTTAATCTTCTCATCAAGGGCACAAGAGAAAAAAAAACAATCACACGAGAGATCAAATGATACGCGGAAAACATGGCACAGAGGTGAGATGAATTGAATAAGATTTTCTCTCGATAGTAAATCGCTGTTTTTCATAACTGTTGTTGGTTTTTCCTCCCATAAAAATATCATTTGCTCGGCTTAGGATGAGCATAAATTTCCATATGGAAACTATTATGAAAATTCACCCTTTCTTTGCTGCCTTTTGCTGCTCATCAAGCCCATCAAGCGGCATTATTGGAGGGGAAATACGAGTCGTGATAAAGCTGGATAAAACTGACAGCGAGTGTCAAAATTAGGATTCATTTTGATGGATTGGCAACGGCAGCGACTGTCACATTAGGAGGCTATCAAGCGGTGTTTCTTGAGATGTTACGGTAAGATTTATCTGTTTCTCTAGCTGTTTTTTAGATTTTCCGGTGGGTAATAGATAATAACATTGAGTAAAAATCGCGCCCTGTTTTGTAAACAACCAAATTTTGAATTGGCATATAAGTTTTGTCCGTCGCACACGTGCAAATGTGCATTAAAAAAAAGCTAACTGTAATACAAGCTGTACTAGCATATCAGGTTGGAAGATTGAAAGCCTTGAAAGCGCTGGAAGATCCAGATTTATTCGAGATTTATTATAAAAATACAAATAGCTAATAGTATCACTATGCATTCAATGCACTTTTGAGTTTAGTTTTTATCGTTTTTTTACTGAATGAGCAGCAATCATGGGAACATCCGAGAATTCTTACAGAGAATATGCAAGACTGCGTTAATGGGTTGTTAAATGTATATTTTATTATCTCCATTATCTATTGAAAGCATTGAAAGTGATTGATTATTAGGTTATAATTTGGTTTAGAAAATCCATTTAATTTTAATCCATATTTCTTTTTAGATTTGGATATCGGAACCATAATAAATGAAATCAACAATGATGTGTTCCGTTCAGAATTGCAATTCAGCGAATTCAGTGGAATCGACAAGTAAGAAACGAAAAAACCGGGTTTTAGAAAAATTTTTTTTCATCGGTGAGTAAAATTGAAAAATTAAATGAAAGAAAAAATGTAGATACTGAATATTAAAACTTAATATTTAACCTTCTTCAAATCCAGATTTCCCTCTGATCCAAAACTGTGCGAATTATGGATAGAAAGCCTAAAACTGAAGGACGTGACTAACTTTGACACATTTTGTGTGTGTGAATTGCATTTCAAGCAGACTGACTACCTAAGAGGAACAGAACTGAGATGGAAGCTGAAGAAAGACGCTGTTCCCAGCCTGGTAGTTGAGAACTTGTGTTATCTCAAAATTCTTATCTGTATTATCAAGATATTTTGCAAATTCCAGACATTACACGGATGTGAAGATAGCCCAGAGGAACCTTCTTTAATATATACAGAGGAATTACAGGTTTCGCCTCGTATCGACACTTCAGATCACCTGCACCGAAGCTCTACGCCAATTCCTGAAAATAGTCCGACAAACTCGCTGATTTCTACAGAGAAATTCGTGAAGAAATCTCCTGCACGCGTTCAATCGGGGGTCGAAAGCAGTGCGGATCCTTCAAAGCAAAGGATACCGTCATATCTCTACGATACTGGCAATATGACTATAAAGAGAGCCATGAATTCATCATCAGACGACAGTGACTCGGATCGTGCGGAAATTCGCTACAGAAAGTTGAAAACACTCCGGAAAACAGTAGCTGAAATGAAGACAAAGATTAAGAAGCTCCAAAATGAGAGTTCGCACTACAAAAAATCTTCAAAGCGACTAAGAGAAATCCTGTCTGGTCTTAAAAATGGAAATGTCGTACTGATGAAGAAACAATAAACGAGATTTTCAAACCAGCATTTTCGCATGTTTCTTTTTATTTATCAATAATATTCATATCAATACATTTTTTTCTTACTTTAGCATGCAATTACATCAAAAACTTCTTACAACTCTAAAGCATTTCTCAATGTTTCCATCATTTTCTTCACTAAATATTACATAGATTAGTTTTGTTTTCATTTACGAAAATTCTCTGCAATGTCCCGACGCGTTTTTGAATAACATCTCTTTATTTTTTTTCCTATATCTTCATTTAACAGCAAGTGGGATTATCATCTTTTTTTGTTTTGAAACATCTGCCCATTAAAAAGATTTTTTTTAAGTTAAAGAAGGAAAAATCACATGGAAATGATCAAGACATGATAAAGATTCTTGGCTCTTCTCTAGTTTTCAGGGCTGAGTAGAGAAGCAGAAAGAATGTCGAATTGGTTAAATTAGTGGAAAGATTTATTTTAAAAGGAAAAATACTTAAAATGTATACACATATCCTTTATTTTTTTGTGTTTTAACCATAAACTTGCATCTTTTTTAGCTACACTCTTGATAAAACTGTGATTTGGGCTGCAATATCGCATGAAGTTTAGCTGGCTGGTGTACGTATTGTTAAATATGAATAAATTCTAGACTTGGTTGATCTCAAAAGGGCTCTTTTCCTTTCCATTTAAATGCTACTTAAAAACATTACATTTCGATGTAAACTGGTAAAAGAATGCGCGCATATGAGGGGCTTTTAGCTAATAAGTTTCTTCTTTTTATGTATAAATTTCATCTTTCTTTTATATATATATAATTCTCTCGTCACCTAAAAACTCCTGCAGAATGTGTGCAGTTTATAATTATGACTGTCTTGATGAAACACCATTTTTTTTCTTCTTCTTCTCATGCCTAACATTCACATCTCATCCTGTAGATAAATGTATATTTTTTGAGGGAATATAAAAAGAAAATCGTGTAGCTTATATGTGTTTTCACTGACATCAATTCTGCAATTACTGCTCCTCGTCGCCCAGTTCGTGCTTTATTTTCGAGAAGTCAAACTCCTCGCCCGTGCCGCGCTTGAAGATGTCCAGCACATCGAGGCAAGTGGTCTCGAAGTGAGTGGTCGCATCGTAGGACTCTGATATGAAGATCTGGGACGCGAGGCCCTTGTCCGTGGCCTCCAAGTAGTCGGAAATTGACACAAACTTCTGCGTGATGGGCCCCAAGAGGTCCAGGCCCGGCTTGATCTCCGCCTCCGGATTGTCCGTCTCCACCGTGGTGGACACCATGGCGATGAACCACCCCTTGGCGGCCACTTGGTGCGTGTAGCTGATCAGCGACACGTAGATGTCCGAGTTGCGGCCCACCTGCTTCTGCGGAATGATGATCTGGGTCGACAGGGCGTCTTTCGTATTGGCAATCGGATGATCCAGCAGACAAATGCATCGAATCACTTGACCTTTCTTGTGAGTCTACACAGTGAGAGCGAAAAGAGAGCGGCAATTAGTAAGCAAATACACTTTGCCAAAAGCGGAAGTCAACGATCGGAATAATGATATAGAATAACACTTCTAGAAACCGTGCTTTGCGAAATTTGTTATAAATCATGCGGAATAATTGGCAGCACAGGTTCGAAAATTGCGACTGAATTGCTGAAGTGTAGGAGAAAGACGGTTTTCCATGAATCTCTTTTCTTTAGTAATTTTTCACTACACAATTTTAAAGTTCTATTGAAATTCTAAACAGAAAGAGGCTTCGCGCTTAGTAGCCCCGCCTTTCCCTACCAATTGTATAATTTTTTATAACATTTTAGTGTCCGATGGACTCAGAATTTAACCGCCAATTATAACAGAATTACTGAATTAGAAAACATTCGATGAAAACACATCTATTTACACACAATATAAGTCCCTATCTTTCTCCTAAGCACTATTTATTGCACAAATTTGCAGAGGGTTATCAAGTTGGAGCAAACAGAGGCGATTTTCTCTGTTTTGCTCGCTTTGCGGTGAAAACAAATCGGCGTCATTTTATCGCCGGGAAGTGCAAATTCACACTCACCTTCTGTGGAAAGTAGCTAGGATCACAATACACCTGCTTGCAGCGCGCCACCTCGGAGCCCGAGCGCACGCCCACCACCTTCCCGCCCTCATCGAGGACGATCTCGTCGATGGGCTTGTCCAGCATGTAGGTGCCGCCGTAGATGGCGGACAGCCGGGCGAAGCCCTGCGGTAGCTCGCCCAGGCCGTACATGGGATAGAGATAGGGCGACTTGCCGTAGCGCGCCAGCGAGTCCGAGTACAGCTTGATGCGGCGAATGGTGTTGAGCGCCGGCTCCGCGAGGTAATCGTCGTCCCGGTAGAGTCCTAAGGCGTGTCCCGTGAAGTCCTGAGTATTCTTGTCCAAGCCGAATTTATCATAGAGCGCCTGAGCCGACATGGTGTTGGGATCGAAGTCCTTCCATGTCTTCGGGTCGTCCTCCCGGAAGTCCTGGATGTACACCAGGAAGTTGCGGAAGCGCCTCTTCTCGAACATGCCTGGGGAGAGTGAGAGATAAGTAAGAAAAAAAAAACCACTGATTAGAATACATTTCGTCTGCAATTTCCACGTATTTCTGCCTCATGCGCAGTCATCCGAAGTGCTTTCTTTTTTTTTCCTCCCCACACGCGCTTTATTGCTTGATCTCTTACACGATGGACAAAAAGATCCGTATGAAAACCAGTGAATTTCAAGCCTTTGCGGTGATTTTCTAGTCTTCATTGACACTTCCATTTTTTATCATGTCACAAAGAACGATTGAGGTTGAGGATTAGATGATCTCAACAAAGCCAGATATCAGAATCATTGATTCACATGTTCTGTTGTGAGTCACACAAAGGAAAAGGCAGAATTTTTTATGCCAGGATATTGATTCCTCAAGACAAACAGGGAAAAATCGATGTGCAGCTAAAAAGAGATCAGAGAATGAACCCAGTGTGATTCTAATTGCAAATGCGGGCAGCAAATATCCAACTCGTCCGGCTTCTGAGAGATCCACTCTTCCATGTCGACAGCACTCGAGGCAGTCGGCCGGGCACAGTGCGAATTGCCACAGCCTCGACGCTCATCCATCACCTTTTCCGCTCATGTTCCAATTCGCCTGTTTTAGTGCGAACTGCGTCAATGGCAGTGCCACGAATTCCCTGCTAAATTCCCCCCCCCAAAGAGCCACACCCGGCGACCGAGCAGTCTAGGGATTTCCCCCGACAGCCCCAGGAGGTCACTGGTGAGGATGTCGCCTTAAAAACTAGGAAAAAGCCAGGAAGGCGTTACCCATGAGGTCGGATGCGAGGGCCTCCTTCTGGTCCACCGGCACCTTGCTGATCTTGCCGCCCTTGTACACGTAGCTGCCCTCCACGGACTTGAACTCGAGGTATCGGGTCACGCCCGTGTGGATGAGCAGCTTCACGAGCAGCCCGTTCGCCATGAGGAACTTCGGGATGAGGTCTACGTTCCAGTCGCGCCCGCGCCCATACCTGTCCGCCGGGGGGTCGACGTTGAAGCGCTGGAAGAGCTCCTCCAGCGGCGTAATGGAGGCGCTCTCGCCACCATAGTATTTATTGCGGTCGATGTGGAGAACCTTTTTGCCCGACACTGAGAGCATCCCGCTGAGGATGCACTCCTTGAGGCCCGTGCCCAGGACAATCGCATCGTACTCCTCATCCATTTTCGCAAGTCACTGCCCTTTTTTCACCACTGGATAGTCACAGAAAGAGATTTTTCTTAGCCTTTTTTCCACGCACTTGTGCTACACTTCTCAAAATGTCCACGAATCGCCCTATCCAAGTGTTGGATAGAGGCGTTTTGGGATATCTCTGGGACACTTTGGGACAGACAGCTGGATAAAACGACGGCGGCCAGGTATAAATTACAGAATTATTTTACTTGACGGAATTCATTGTAAAGAACTCATGCAAGCGGTAATTTTACAAAAAGATTTATTTCAAAAGTTCATCCTTTTACATCCTTTGCATCTCAATTCTTTTAAAAGCCCAAAACATCTTCATTTCCCACCTAACACAGTTTACGCATTTTACATAGTCTTTTCCTCCTCTTCCTTCAATGAAATACCACTCAAATTAGTCAATTTAATTTTTGCGTTATGGCGAAGTTGATCCAACATGTACGAAGGAAAGTGTCTCAATTCAAGACACGTACTAATTTCCAAAATCGTGGGTCGCTCATTCAGGAACGGCAGAATCCGATCAATGAAATCAATCTTAGATATAATGTCATGATTATGTTGAGGAGGACATATTTTAATGCGTTTCAGCAATGGGCAGTTCTTGACCAACATAACTAAGCCGTCGCTTTTGACATTATAGCATTTCACAATTTCAAGCTCCTGGAGACTCTGGGAGTTTTTCGACAGTGACATTTGAATGAGATGTTCATCGTCCAAACGCAAACATTGTCGTATCTTCAGCACCTTCAAATTTGTGAATATACAAAGTGCGCGCAAAATATTTTGTGAAAAGGATATCGGATTAATATCCACACACTCCAATGTATTCCAAGCGGCCAATTTAAACAGACAGTAATCCAAATTGATGAAACTATAATTCCTGCAAATGATCTCAAGGTTTTTGAGGCAAGTCAAATCTCCCAGCACGCCGAAGTCGAAGAGCATATTATCATATTCTTGATAATCATCATATTCTTCATAATATCCGTGATATATTTTGATATAACTGATTCTAAGGCACTCTAGGCTCTTTAGATGCTTCACCAAAACTTCGAAGAACTCATTAGTAATATGTAAATTTGCGATACTGAGGCTCTTGAGTCCTTGATTTCGCTCACAAAATTCGATGAAATCAGATAATCTGAACCTATTGTCAAAATTCAAGGTGATCTGCTTCATATCACGCAAAACCGTTAAACACTTTCCGGTAATCGTATCTCCAATGAGACTTAGAGTCTCCAATTTCTTCGCCTCTTGTAAGAAAACTTCAATAGCATCGTCTACAACACAGCATTCAAGCTCCAGGCTCACGATCGTCTTGGCGATATGCTGACTATTTTCTAGCTCATTTATTCTAAGCACATCAATCGAGTGTAGATGCAAGTTTCTCAACTTGGTAAACTCCTTGAAGATTACTTTTAGAACCAAACGGGAATCAGCGCAAAAATCGAGAGAATGAGCATAAAGTGTGTGAATATAAGGACCCAGTCTTTTGGCGATGCACTTTACTTCCTGAAGCGTGATTTTTTGCAGCCTAGATTTACGCTTCTGAAGCTCCTTTAGTTTTTCCTCGCAGATCCTTTCATAATTCAACACACGCATGATCTTGTACACCATTTCAGTAATACTTTTGAATCTGCGACATACCTTCTCCGCCGCCAACAGGTGCCAGATGTTAAGAAAACCAAATATGGTGAAGAGGTAGTCGTCATCCAAATTCAAAATGGAGGGCTTGGCGTTTCCGTTCCTGTTGGCTTTGGTTGTGGGACAAGTTCCACGAGCGTTCTTTTTATTTCTGCATTTCTTCACTGTAATGGCTTTGAAAGAAGTCTTTCTGGGATGCTTCCTCAAATTGAAAAGTGATAGACCCATTTTCTGTGTAGTACAATCGCTTGATACAATTTTTCACAAGTTCTTCTCAGCTTTTCTCTGCTCTCGATGCGGTATCCGTGAATTTTGACAGAGACTGCTCAACTTCCCAATTGTGAATCACTCCCATATCCTTTGAGAAGTGTCCATGGACAAATCCAATGAGTTGTATACACAATGAAAACGAACTTTTATGCGAAGAACTATGAGAAATGTGGAAACTTTCATTTATTCTCAACTCCCAAGAACGGATTTTACAAAAGAATCAAACATTGCTAGTCAAAAATAACGTAAACGGCGTAAAGTGTGTAAAATAAAATACGCGCATGTGTAATTTATTAGTGTCCCAGAGCGATCAGCGCCACCGTGAGGCTGAACTGCGAAGCGGCGTTTTCTCTCTCTCTCGCTCGCGTGAGCGGAGTGGAATTGTTCAGTTTGCAAGACGTGTTCAGCGGGAGCAGTTATTTATTTTTCTATCTGCCTTTTTGAGACAAAAAACGACTTTCTCAGTGCCAGTGGTGAGCGCCCACAGTGATTTGATAATCCTACGTGTCCCATTGAGAGTGGCAGTGTTGCGGAATTCTGTGGCCGGAAAGTGCGTGCGAAAGTGCTGGATTAATGCTGCATCTCTGAGGATAATTGCTGCGAGAAGAGGAGCTTCATTGGGACAGGTAATCTCTCGAGTGGCATCAATGGCCCCAGATTGAGAAAGGGAATTGCCACGAAGCACGCTTCGCTCTCCCCGCGGCCTGTCCTACGCGACACCCCACGGAAACTGTCACGTCACCAAGAATTCGGTGGGGTTTTCCTCCAGATTACCGAGATCCGCGATCAGAGTCGAGCAGCTTGCTCAGATTCTCACGCAGATTGGCAGAGACAAGGGGCTATTTTTAAATTCACAGTTCACAGCACGGTCTCTCGCGCATTCCCACAGTGTCTCTGGGAGGCCCACGAGTTGCAGGGAATGAGGTTACTTAGAAGATTCTCAGGAACTGGCGTTCTCCTTGCCAAAACAGTGAATAGACCAAATGGATGCACCGCGCGAGAGACGGAAATTTCCGCTCGTGAATGAAAAGAGAGTGTCGAAAACGCTGTGACGAATGTGGGTCAGTTTTGTTTATCCGGCTTCAGAAATTGACCTGGCAAAAAGTCTTCAGAACGACGATTAGAGTCTTAGCCTCTATCTGCACTCCGTCGGCCAATGGTCGATTCCGCAAGTGATCGAGATTCCCGGAATCCGGGAAGCAAATAGTAATTTTCATTGCGGGTCTCCAGATAAGCCGTAATGATAAGACCCGAGGCGAGCATGGGACTGATTCCCGCAAATTCCGCCCATTTACCTGTCTGCTGGCCGAAGAACCTGGAAGTTCAAATCACTGAAGCTCGGCTAGATGAAATGAGAGATAATTCTGTGTGGTTTTTGCAACCTCTTAAGTTGAAGCAGCCAAAGTGATTAAATGAAAGCTTTTAGATAATCGCAATTGAAATCGTATCTGTTTATGTCAGACCTCTAGAGAGCGCAATAAACTTTGTGATGCTGTAAACTTGTATAAAAATTGTAGGAACAAATATTCAGTTGGTTATATATAGGTTGTAATCATTAGTTTATGGTTTCGACAGAGATTTTTTTTTCTAGGTTTATGTCGCACATAAACTTGGGACTACAAGAAATTGGGATTCTCAACTGAGAATATATATCCGAATCTGAATGTCAATGTCTGGAAAACTTGATTTTCGATATACTAACCAAATTAAATTTATTAAACTACTTAATTTAATACATAGTTTCAGAGATCAAAATGCTGTTCAGATGAATATATTAACTTATCTCTTGGTGAGCAAGGGTTTGCCTAGAATTTGGGTCAATTCTAATCACTCTGTGTGATATTGCGCTACTGAATTGTTTTTTTCCTGCTTCTTTCACACTGTTGGAAATTGTGCTAATTTTTCTCGGAGAAAGATTTTCCATCAGGATGATTGTGCTAACGCGGCAATAGTTTTCAAGCTATCTGACGAATGGGAGAGGGTTAGTCATTGATGGCCTTCTGGGCGTGCCTCGGTGCTGAGCGCTGAGGAGGATCAATTTCAGAGTGTTTGATACATTGGAAAGACAAGAATTATGGACGTGGATATTTCTTCTTATGTAGTGCCTATTTCCACACATTGCACGCTCCAATAGTTCAGCTACTGAGAAGACTGTTGCGTTTTCTGATGCGACGGATGGCTGGGCGGGTGGCGGATTGTGGGTGGGGGACTGAGTGCAGTGGAGAAAAAATCGAATAGAATTGAAAGTGAAATTAATTGGATTCAAATGCGCGCATCACACAAGTGAAAGTGTGATGGAATCGCACGGCTCTCATGCCGTTTGGCTCACATTTTCCCCACAACAGCATCTCCCTTATCAGCGCGTGTGAAGAGCTTGAATTGAGAAGAGAGGATAATTTGCCAGTGAGACCATGAACTCATCCACACACGTTTTCGCATGGGCCACCGAAGATCGTTTGTTTGCTCAGTCCAAAGTGGCCGTGCTGACGAAAGTATCAGAGCCTCATGTGTGGAGAGAGACGCAGACTCTCTGGGTGGAAAAGTAAACGCGATTGCCAACACCAAGTGAGATTACGTCAACCGCGGAGAGGGTCCGGTTTAACCACGAATCGATGGCTGAATGAGGCCATCATTCGGATGTCAAGACACACTCAATTGATGGCATTAGCTCATACTTGCGGCCCGAAAGCCGTTCCGGGGCGCACCTCAGCGCTGAGACGAAGGTGACTACCGTTCGGTGTGCGATGTGATTGAATATGTTGTATTGATTTTCTGCAATTTCCCTGATGGATAGGAAGAAAAAAAAAAAAAAATCGAGGGAGAGAGAGAAGCTTATCACACCTTTCAATCTGGACGAAAGACAAAACCGTGCGCCATGCACGCTATACTTGGGAGCTTTTGTAGCGTCTCGCAGGGTTAATTGAAGAGAAGAGCAGCGATACACACTCTCGCGGTGTTGATATTATTCCTCAAAATGGAGATATAGTTTTTGTGTGCGAAGCTTAACACTACAAAAGGCCATTGACCATAAAGTGAAAGATTCTCCATGAGTGAATTTTCTTAGAAGGCGCGCACATCTCGCGAGATGCGATGGCAAGAGCGAAGAGATGAGAAGGAGAGAAGAGATGAGCGACAATGCACGAGTTTGTATGGATGAGAACCTAAAGAATTTAATACATGCATAAACGTGAGAGCCAACAATGAAATAATGACATTCAATTTAACATCTCTCTGCCAATTCCTAATACACATTGATTCTCTGCCCTGGAAAGTCCATGAAGCGTAAAAGAGTGTATCTAATAAACTCAAGACAGCGCGTTTACAGCTGGGTGAGAGCAAAAACCCCGGAATTTTCAATTGAATTCTCTCTGGTCATTCATCTGGCGGACCAGACGAGAGATATAGAAAATTTATATGTACTCCACTGACCTTTCTCTAATTGCGAACCAATACCATCGCGGATTGGCTGGGAGGGAAGGTAGAAAATTGCACTCTATGTAAATATGTTTCATTTCATTGTGTAATATTTATTTTTTCCGGTCTGTATATGCGAGTTGGACGCGATGCAGGAAAGATTGCCAATGGTGGAGAGAGAGAAAGAGAGACTGCGTGAAAAAACTCAATTGAAGCAATTAAATAGCTGAAAAAAATTGTGTTTTGGGGGCAAGTTAAATTGCACTTTAACGTGTTCGTCAGTCAGGGAGAGAAAGGTATTTTCCTGTTAGTAGACCAACTCAATATAACACTAAACAGCCCTCACGATGGCACTATTAAAAAAAAATATGTTGGAAATTCATTTCTTTCACACCTATTCGGAAGTTTATACTCTCAGTGTCTTTGGTTGGGTAATAATTGAGAATTCTTGAAAAATATCGGAGGGCATTTGTATTGCAAAAGCCAGCGAATCGACAGTTTGGTTGATAAATCGTGCATATTGCATAAGATGAAAATCAGAATTTTAAAACTCCTCTTGTGGCCATTTTAGTAAAGGTATGGCAAGAGAAAGGAATAAATTTCCCATTCTGACGGTGTAAATATTCAGACATGCAGACGAAATCGTAATTTTGGTGATTTTATGGTTACAAAGGGTGAAGTTTGTTTCTGTTTAGTGCTTGTATTTTATGATAAAATATTGGGATTTCTTGACAAAGAGTTTTGTGAGGTATTTTTAAAGAAATGTTATTGTACAGAAGGCCTAGAGTTTATTTTCTCACTCTGTGTATATGTAGCGTTATTTCCGAAAGCCCCTCCCACTTGCATGCCACGCCTACATTTCCCTTTTATCTGTTATATAACAAGAAAAAAAGGATGCTGGAATAATTGGATTTTAAGAAGAAACTCAGTGGCCCGCCAAATTTTAATGAGAGAATTTCTACAGTGGAGAATTGGGAAAACTGACTAATTAATATTGTTTTTGTCCTCTTCCAGGGTGCATCAATCTGGTGCGAAGAGTGGAGAAAATAGCAGAGGAAAAGGAGGACAGCAAAGTGGCAGGAAGTGTTGTGTTAATTTGACGTGGTGGGAAAGGAATTTGTGTGCCCATTGAAGGAAGAAGGTGGAGACATAGGGTAGACTAATGAAGTGAATAATAAGCAAGTGAGTGATTGAAAATGTTCTAGAGGTGGAATTCACCGAGCGTATAGTGTGGCACTGTGTTGATTTCTGGGGCTAAATGGTGACTTGTGATCATGGGAGATTTGGAGGATTTGCGGAAAAAGCCATCGAGTCTGCCGATAAGTATCAAATCGACCGGTGGCGTACCGTTTGCATCGTCCTCCGACAGTGGCAGCAGCGACGAGTCCCAAGGATCGGTGGCCCAGCTGCCGAGTGTGGTGCGCAAGGAGCCCGAGAGGACGTACATTTTCCCAGGGGTGTCGGGAAGCGGTGGAGGCGTCGCAGGGGGCGGTAGTAGTCTGGACAGTAGCTTGGAGAGCGGCTCTCGTGGGCATGCGAGGTCAGTCAGCCATGGCGGTGGGGCCATCGCGAGCTCCTACAGTCGTCCGTCAGCCCTCAAGTCCGCCATGCGAGGACACCAGCGAGCTCTGTCCCAGGGCCAGATCATGGACTCGACGGGAGGACAAGCGACGCAGTCGGGGCACAGCCGCGTGGGCTCCAAGACGGACTTCATCCTGCCGCCGGGTCACAAGGAGGCGCTGGAGGCGAGAGATGCCACTCAATCGGCCACAAATTCCGGCCGCGGACACTCCAGACAAGCCTCCAGATCGGAGTCCATCTACACGCTGAGGCGCACGGAATTGCCGCCGTGGTGGAAGCGTTTCCTGTTTTGCCGAGATGACAAGGGGGACGATTGTGCCTTCAGGACAGTCGTGCCAAATCACACTGTGCCTCCGAAGACGCCCAAGCGAGAGCATCCCAATGGACGGCGCGTGGGCAATAAGATTCGCACCACGAAGTACACCCTGTTGTCATTCCTGCCCAAGAACCTCCTCGAGCAGTTTCACCGTGTCGCCAATTTGTACTTCATATTCATCGTGCTGCTCAACTGGTTTCCAGCCATAAACGCCTTCGGCAAGGAGATCGCCATGATACCTGTGCTCTTTGTGCTTGGCGTCACGGCCATAAAGGATCTATTTGAGGATCGACGCCGCCGATCGTCGGATCAGCGAATCAACAACACCACATGTCGCGTCTATCACGGGTGAGTTTGCACATTTTTTACGGTAGTTTCCATGCGATTTACACGAATTTGAGATCTGGATGGAACTTGTTTGGTCGCCATGTGATGCCTTTTCGGCTGGTGGCAGGTTTTTGTGTGGTGAAAAAAAAAAGACTGTAATTACTGGTGGATACATTAAATTAGGGGCTTGCGATTATCTCATTAAAATAATTGCAAAAATTGTGGATCAAAATCTATACCTTTAATTATGGAAATTTCTCTCTTAATGAATTAATGAGAATTTATTAAGCTCGAAATGGTTCTCATCACTGATTGATGAGATGCCGGCGGTTGTAATTTTGAAACACACCTAATTGATTTTCGTGGAAAAATTTGAATTTCATATTAGACCGCTGAAATATCAGCATTTACATCCTTGAATAGATAAAATTGCAGATTTTTTCACAGTTAAGCTAGAATAATGTGTGAACCATTGGTGAAATGTGAAAGTAAGAAGGGGGGAAAATTACTGATTATTTATTTATCATGTGTACTAGAAAAGTCTCGCGGGATCCTTCAACAATACCGTCGTGTGGATGTATCAATTTGGTGGAAATATTAATATTTAATCTGTGTGAAAAGTAAATGTTACAATTGTAGCTCGTCAAATGTCAAGTTCGCAGAGTGGATGAATAATGACAAGCTACTTCTACATTTATTGCTCTTTTTCCCACATCTTCATCGAACTTGAATTGGTGAATTTGGCCAAAAACTCCCTGTTCACCTCTTTCAATCACTTTGCTTTGTGGTGGCCTCACATTTCCGCGAAAACTCCTACGAGCTGTTTTTTTTCTCCTTCTCTTGAATAAATGTCTGTTATAGTATCTCCCAAGCGATGGGTATTTGCCATCGTGAAGGACAACTATTGTTATTTGGCAGCGCAGCACAAGAGTAATTTATTAATTTCGTGTAAAGTGACCGATTGTCCTCGAAATACGCACTTTTGCCTGCGTTATTTGCCGTGTGTCGTCGTAAGAATTTTGTCGTTTTTCTCCATATCTTCGCATCTGCCTTTTTTACGCAATAGTTTTCTTTCTCCTCACTTTTCGGCATAAACAAGATGAGACTTACGTGCTCTGCTTTAGGAATGTGTTCTAGCTCATTTCAATACCTCGGCTTTCAAAGTGGAAATATTTGCTGAAGACTTGCGATGATGGTGAAAAAAAAAATTATAAATTAATACCATGAAATTTTACACGTGTGCAACGGAGCGCCAGATGGTTGATATTTATCTTCTCAGCATATTGTGTATATGGACGAAATATTAGATATGATGCCCCGTGTCTTGTGACACTGTGTCTGAATATAATTTCTCCTCGATTTATTGGAAAGATTATACGTCATTTATACAGAAATAATCATTAGTCGGATGTTTCATTTCTGGCGATTAGGAAGAGTTAATGAACTCCATGCTTAATTGGTCGTCTGCAATTGAAAAGTGATGATAAATATAATAGACTTTTGTGCTGAGACCAAGAGTGGAAAGACCGTTTGCGTTCCAGTCGTCTTATTGTCGCGCACACCCCAACTTGTATGATAACGCAATTATTTTCCTCGATCAGCATATTTATTGATAAGATTGCTGATGTTGCAAAGTAGGCAATAAATTTGTCGCTGAAATCGCAAAAATGGTCAGATAAGTTAGCGCAAATGTTTACTCTAACGCCTCGATTCATGTGATCTGAGAAATTCCAGAGCTGCTATTCTTTATTCACACACAATTTTGGGTCATTCAAGTGAGATAAATGAAAGTCTTTTCACTCATTTTCCTCTGGTTTGCCTCAGTTTTTGTATAGTTTCCACATTTTTTTTCCTTTTATAAATATCGCAAAGACGAGACATTCGCGATGCGAACCATCAGCATTCGAGCGGCGGCGTGATCGTGAATATCCGGCGGAACGTGTAAAAGTGTATTTTCCCAATTATTTTCGTCAATGGAATTGTAAATAACATTATTAATGTATCACAGTCAGTAAAGTCGGAAAAGATTAGTGACAGTGAAAGAGATTGATTGGAAATTTCGGTTGGTTTTCCACTCGGCTATCGAGGGAAGCTTATCAGCTTGATAGAACACATTTTTCCACCTCTCATGATATTATTGCAAAATTATGGATTTGTTTGATTATATGCACTCAATGAGTGGGGAGTTGAACATCTGTATAGGATCGGCAAAGGGTATATTATAATGCAATATTTAAAGTGAATTAATGTGTGGTTTTTATCGTGGATAGAGAGAGGCGCGCTGTATATAAAATGACATAGTGGAAATCCTTGAAAATGCACAACCACGGTCAACCAAAGTGCCTTTAATGTAACTCTGCCGTATAAAATATTACCAAGCTTCGTACGCGGCGATTGTTGTCATTTTGTGTGGTCTTTTGCTATAGATGAAAAAAAAAGAAGACGACAATTTTAGCCATCTAAATATCCCACCTTTTAAAATACATGTCACTGTGTTATGTCTGTATTTCACTCTGCATATTAATTAAATTATATTCGCTCATTCTTATACAGCTTTCGGTGTTTAGACGTGAAATATGGTACAAAATGTAGAATGATGGTCGTAGAAAGAAGATCTGTCTGCTCAATTTTTGATGCGTTGGCAGTTTTTTTTTGCGGTCACGCATTAAAAGTGCGTGTTTGTCTCAGAAACGACTCAAACATGGAATTTTTTTAACGGAACTCGATACATGAGGAGAATATTTATTCCCTCACAATGCAGTCTTATTAATATTGCTAATCGAAAATGTTCAACGTCACAGCAAATTTGGTGTATTTACTCAAGCTAATTTCACTGTATTGACATTCAGTTTGATGACGTGATTGTTTGCTTTTTATCTGTACCTTCAGATGAGATCTTCCGAGAAACATTTGACCATGAATTGTGGTACAATCGAAAGTGGTTTGAGTGACTGTGCGGACAAAGGGTATTAGTGAGCTTTGAAAGGTCTCTCTAAAGTGAGTCACTCTGTGGTAAAATCTGCAAAATATCACAGTTTTGCCATGCAAGAAAATTTTCGGTGTTTGGCGAAATGCAAATGAATGTCGTGAATTGATTACTTAATTAATGCCAATGCTTATAGGAAGTAATTGAAATTTAAATATTCCACAGCTGTGCGGGGTTCCAATTCAGCAAAAGTGTCGTTCAATAACCGATTAAGGTCTATTTTTGTGGAATGCTTGGTGGAATGAAAATAGTTTTGAGTTGAGATGCAAGTGTTTTAGCTTGACGACATGTTATATGGCATTATAACCATTTTATTTGAACGTTCCTTCACGACAGCAGTGAAAACTCGATTTAATATGACAGAATTATAAAAATTTGTAATAACCACGTATTGTAATTTCACAATATTTATTCATTTATGGCATGTTTTGCAATTTGCACTTAATCTCGTGAGGAGAAAAATGTCAACTATTCCAGTCTTTGTTCTGAGTGTGATAACTTTCTAAACATCATATATATATATATTAGAGTCATAAAGAAGGCGAGATGAATTTCTTGTGAGGTCATTTCATTATCAATTGTTGCTGATCTAATTAGATAAATTAAAGAAATTGACCATTCGTTTGACCCAATAAATTTTTATGTCACACCTAAAATATAGACTTTTCTCGCTCTCAAGATAGCGTGAGAGAGAAGGAGAAATTAATACTTGCGACATGAGTTTGTTTGTAAGAATTTCTCAATTTTTATTGACACTGTTCTACATCTTGTCTTTCTGTGCCGATGTCTGGATGATATAGTTTGAGAAAAACATACATAAGATGGTAACGGCGAAGTTTGAAACACAATTAGCAGCAGTTGAATGATTGAAGACAGTGTTTAACGTTTTTTTTTTATATTGGGCTTTATTCCGTAAAAATGCGTAATTTATGGCATATAAAGACTTTCCTTTCCAAATGCTCCACACTTATTTAATTGCTAAATGACAGATACAGTTTCTGATACTGTATTCGCCATAGAGAACTGTAGCAGTGAATTCTTATTCAGAGACATGCGATTGTGGCAATATTCTGAGAGTGGGTCTAGGTTGCAAGTGTGGGAGACTTGTATACATTTTTAACGCGATAATGCTACGTTTGAGGTAGAACTATTCTGATTTTATCCAGTCTTGAGGTGGAGTAATACAAACATCATGTCGACTGTGAAGAGGAGTTGAGAATATGGCGTGATGATGAACTGGATGCACAATTAAATGTTTTAATAACATTTATCTGACATTTCCCATGCAACTTTCTTGTGTGGAAAATGCTGAATATGGACTTGTCTTCGCTTATTAATTTAATTGCATTGACTTTAGCTTTTATAGAGCACTTGATCAATGGCAATATTCCGTTTGATACAATTGATTCTCTCTGCATTGGTGAGGAATTAATGATTTTATGCGGAAAGGGGAAAAATTGCTTTTCTCAATGAGTTTGCAAAAGTCGTTTTGTATGTATTTAAATAGATGCGTCACTTTGCATATTGAATCAAAAGCAAAATTTATCGTCCATCACTCATTTGAATTTATGCTGGCTTCACGCCTAAAAGAAACGCCCCGTTAACTTCCAAACGATTGGAGTTTTGCTAATGTATATTTCTGGGGAAAAATTCCGGCACATTTTCTATTCTCTTATTGAAAAATCACTTCATTCTTTTCGAGGGTGTTCAAGGTATTGATAAATCGATTAGTCGCGGGAGGAAATGGGCGAGTAGTTCTGATCAATACAATTCGTGTCACGTGCACAGACTGGGAAAAGATCATAAATGTTCATTTAAACTACCGCACATTGCTTCATACAATTATGTATGTATTTATTAATTGATAAAGCGGAAACTTGGACAATTCCGTTATTCCCGATGACCTATTATGTCCGTTTCTCTCACAGCTTGAGCAATTTTCTCTTGACTATCTGTCTGTTTAGTCATTTATCACACATTGTGTTGTATTTTATGATTCTCCCACGTGTACTGGACATTAAAGTATATTAAGCTTTTGGGGAAAACCCTCGTACACACTGCAAGATGTTCCACGTCAAGTCCTTGCGCTCGTGTTGCTGCTGCACATCCATATATTAAAATTCAATAAACTAAACATTCTCTTTCAGGGTCAACCAAATGGTGGAAACTAATCGCTTCGATTTGGTTTCTGCCTTTCGCCGTCCAACTTGCTATTTGTCCCTGTGGGTGGGCTGTGTCGAGGGGGTGGGATTGGAGGGAAATCAATGAAAAAAACAACTCTCGGAACAAAATGGTGTGAGTGCCTTGATTGGATTTTGTATGACCGCGTGAGGTGAAAGAGAAAACTCGTATGCAGTGTATGAGTATGCTACTAAATTGTCACATCCCCATCATTGGTCTCTCTTTTACACTCCCAGTCCAGACATAATAACGTCAGACGGAGTGTGTAGAGATTGATAAGGTCATGGCTTTATAGTGGAGAGAAAAGAGTTCGTTGTTCACAATAATAATAAAATTCAGAGCCTTTAATATGCCTGCGGGGCCACGAAACGTGCAGAAAATGGGGAAACATTGAATGGTGTTTCATAAATTAAATTTTAATTAAAACTCTTTTGAAGACTATGAGCAAGAAGAGCGTCTCTTCTGACCCAATTTCCAGGATTTTCATTGACTTTCAAGACTATGGCTGAGATGTTATTCCATATAAATTGCCATTTCAACACTTTTCCGATCAATTGAAGCATTCAATTCAATTCTGACGCATTCGCCGACATATAAGAGCACACTATCCAATTGATATTGTGACATAAGCCAGCATTTTTTCGCACTGTCTCGCTTTTTTTTAATGTTGTAAAGAAATCGACAGAGAGTCGGTGAAAAAGAGAAAATTAATTTACCGGGAAATCTTGCATAAGACTGCTTTAAATTTCAATGTATCGAAGTGACATTTTCACAGTCGTGGAAAAATGATGACTGCAGAAATGTAATTGCAAATTCCATTTACATTATTGTAAATTGAAATCGTCGACATTGATTTAAGTCAATGCAAGTGGGGTTTAAGGGTAAGCAAGAAGATTTTTTTTCTCCGTATCGATCGTGAAAATGTCATTAGGCCATTCAGAAATGATTCATGTTGTAAATACTGTCGAGGCGAGTGAGGGAAAAAGTATTTGATTCATGCAATGATGTTTGTACAATCTCTCTCCAAGTGTCTTTTTCACTTCAGAGTCTTGAGTTGTGGAATTTTTTTTAGTGGTAATTTTATACGGAAGGATTTTTTATGCTCAATCGACAGGTGAAGGTTGAATGAATTTCATTATACTGAAACACGCAGAGTTGAAAGTCAAGGGCTCACAACTTTCAGGTAGATAAAGCTGTGATAGAGTCTAACATGAATCGGTTTGAGGCACTTGAGCTTTAAGGGGGGTGGTTGACCTTAGATCGGTGGCCATCAGGGCGAGTGTCTCATTATGGTAAAATATTCACCCCATTACCGTCACATTAATCAATTTTCTCATTGGCAAAGGGTTCTCGATACACAAGGAATCAACATGAATCTCAGTGCCAAGCAGGAGGAGCTTCGGTGTCCAGACAGACGTGATAACTTCCTGCCGTCGTGCATACATATGTAGTTAGTGGGAGGCTTTCGTGCCACTGTGTTCTTGGAGTAGTTTTCTAGTAAACGCCCAAATGGCTTCAGCTGCTAACACAATTAATAATAAATAAACATTGGTTTTTCTGCCACAAGAGGGAAGAAGAAGAAAAACATGAGAAGGGGCTGAACTTGTGGGTGGTTAAGCAATTACAATGTGGAAGAATGAGTTGACACGTTCGTGATGATGTGGAATTTCCGAGAGAGAAAAATCTCATTGACAGTATCACGCATATCAACTTTCTTATCTCTGCTCAACACTTCCTTCTGCCTTCAAAACACTTTGTGGAAAATCACAAATCACGCTACTCAAACATATTTTGCGTGTCGATGGCTTTCGGGAAGTACAAAATTCCGGGGAAAATGTGAAAATTTGCAAGAAATTATGCTAAACTGGAAATAGAGTGAATATTTGATGATAGGCAGTCCATTTATGGCATCAATTTCTGCTCACAGATGAAGAAAAAAACTCAATATCATTACCATACAATTTTTCTATCTATAAAATCTATGATGAAAGCACAAACTGACGGATTTTTGCAATGCAATTGGCGATATAAATACAAATGTTCACGCTGAACTTGACCGAAATTTGCGAGTAAGAGTGCAACATGTGAAAATTATAATTCATTCGCATTGTAATTCAATTATTAATGATAATTTTCTTCAATTGACTGGACAAATGTAATGCATAGTTGCTACTTATGCAACTATGGAAGAAAAAATCTATGTACTCATGTGTACATAGAGTAATTTACGTTAAATTGCTGGAGCATTGTACAAGTAAATCACACATTATTGAGCACAGCGTGAAATGTATTGAATATGGCAATTTTGTATTGTTGTATAATAGCCAGATATCAATTTGCATTATTATACTGCATGTGATGATGTTTAGTAAATAACATTAAGAATAATCTAATAATGCATCATAAATTGTCAACATTTGACTTTACCGCATGAATACTGCAATATTAGGATTTGTCATCAAACAACTTCGGCAAAGTTATGCTTACTACATTGTATTAAAGTAAATTTTTCAGATTTCCCACATTTTCTTGCCTTGGAAGTTTAAAAGTATATCATAGAGGCATTTTGAATGTGCTTTAGTAACCGCAATTGCAATTTTCTCTCTGTAACTTCAAGGGAAAATGGGGAAAAGGCATAAAAAACGCCGCACTCACAGTGTGTTTGAACTTGAGCAAACACTCCAGTGAAAAGCATAATGCGATGTTATTGATTGCTGAACTGAATGGGTGTCCTGTTTCCGTGTTTTCCCCACATGTTCATAGCAATGTCAGGGTTGCCTCAATGCGCCTGACCATTCCCCAATGTGTTGTTCATCTTAAATGGATCAATGTCACTCACGTAACGCACAGATGACCTATATTTCCCTTTCTCCGATTTTCTCGATGAGAATGCTATCTTGCGCCATCAGTGCGGAGTGATTGAAATGATTGAAGCGAATGCCTTTTTCTTCTAATGATCCCATTCAATGGAGGCAATGAATATTTGATGCGTGTGGCTGAGATTGTGAATAACTTTGGTGAATAAATTGTAATAGAGAATCCATTATCAATTATATTGAGACAATTAGGCGTGGTCAAGATGGGGGAAATATTAAAAAATTTATAGTGACAATTTGTTAGCTCTTGATTACTATTGAGTCATTACACCTACGTGAGGTCGCTAATTGGAATGTAGCGCGATGGAATATATATTTTCCGGTGTATCTGTTCGGCGACACGCGTGTTTGGGTGGGTGAATTTTACTCAACAACCCCTCAAATATGCCCTTCACAGAGTATTACATGGTGTTTAACCACCTGTTGCTCTCTTTCAACTTTTCCATATATACATAAGTACACCCTCATTCATGAGAATTCGCCGCGATGGAATATTCATGGAAATTACTATGCGCGCTCCGAAGAGGTGCAACTTTAAAAAAAGAAGAAAAATAATCTGTAAATAATACATTAAACTGCACAGTTGAAGAGCTAATTGGTGTTTCTCTTTGCAGAGAGTCTGAGCGGTACAAGAGGATCCTGTGGCAAGATATTCGCGTGGGTGATTTGGTGCACATCTCGAATAATGAGACTGTGCCGGCGGATATCCTCCTGCTGCGCTCCAGTGATCCTCATGGTGTTTGCTACATCGACACGTGCGATTTGGATGGCGAGACGAACCTGAAGAGGAGGGAGGTTGTTCGTGGTTTTTCAGAGAAGCAGCACTGCTTCTCTGCCAGCAAATTTGTCAGTCGTGTTGAAGTTGATGCACCATCGACGAAAATTTATCGATTTCACGGTGCCATGATTCATCCTACAGGTGAACAAGTTCCTGTGTCCACGGAAAATCTCCTCTTGCGCGAGAGTCGTCTCAAGGTAACTGTTACAACATTTGTGTATCGTTGCGTTTTTCCCGCGAATTACAGGAAAAAAATACCGCCATAAATATTGACTATGGGGTTTCATTCCATATGCATCATATACAATCTCCCTGCGTGACATGTTGCTGTCCGTTACGTTTTTATTGACCATAGTAAATTGGATTTTTCGCGTCATAATTACACGTTTTCTTTGTACATATGACAGAGTGTATGAATAATATAGAGACACAGTGTGACATTATAATACTTTCCACGCTTTTTTTATGTACAACGCCCAGACTTAAGCCGATGGTTTGAGAAGTTGCGCGGGTGGGAAGACACTTCTAATTAACTCGTTAGAGCTTAGAAAAGCACTAAGAATTGACTATAGCTTGTGGTTTACCTATCAAATATCATATACTGGCTGTATTTAATCAGTGATATGAAAGATCTAATAAAGCACTCTAATATCATGTCACAGGAAAGATATTTTACAATAATGTTCTATTCTATGGCAAAAATTTGACGTTAAATTAACAAATATGATGGCACTTCCCAAAAAAAAAGAATAATGATGATGGTTCTTTTCACATTTAACATTACAATACTCTATTGTTTGGTTGAAAAGTATAAAGTGAAAGAAATCGCCCACCCTTTCGACAATTTGAAATTGAGCAATTGACATTTATTACACACTATAATGTGCAACTTTTATTGCTTTAAGCTCGTAGTTTTTTAATTGCGATCTTGTCGGTTGAGGAGATTCGAGATTTTGATGTCTTTAAAGGATCTTTTATTGTTTCTCTATCTCACACAGAATACGGACTATGCCGAAGGATTGGTGGTTTATGCTGGTCACGAGACAAAGGCTATGCTGAACAATAGCGGTCCTCGGTACAAGCGTTCGCAGCTGGAGCAGCAAATGAACATTGATGTGATTTGGTGTGTGATCATCCTTATAATACTGTGTGTTATTGGTGCTGTTGGGTGCAAAATGTGGCTGAAGTCCTTTGAGGGAATGACTGTGCCCTTCTTGCCCTTCGAAGTGAACCCGAGCTATGAGGGTCTCCTCACATTCTGGACATTTGTGATAATTCTGCAGATAATGATTCCGCTGTCGCTGTATGTGACAATTGAATTGTGCAAGATACTGCAAGTGTATCATATTCACAACAATGTGGAATTGTATGATCCGCTCACGAACAAGAGAACTGAGTGCAGAGCCATGAATATTACGGAAGAGCTGGGACAGGTGCAGTACATCTTCTCAGACAAGACAGGCACTCTCACGGAGAACAAGATGATCTTCCGACGGTGCACGGTTAATGGGATTGACTACAATCATCCGCCGAGTGAGCTTGAGAAGGATTATCTGAAGCCGGGTTCGCCTGTTCCGCCTGTGATTGCGAATTCCACTCTCTTCGAGGACATGACCGCCACTCTCGGTGATCGGGTGACGTACACGTCCAGTGCGCAGCGCATCCAGGAGTTCCTCTTAGTGCTCGCGATTTGCAACACTGTGGTTGTTAGTGTGACTCCGCATCGGGATCTGATGAACTCAAGTGGAGTGATTGAGGACGATCAGGGCTCCGTGACGATTGTACGTCCGAATGAAGGGCCACAGGCTAACAGTATTGGCGATCGATACACTCGCTTGGCAGAGTCTCGATCCATTACACCCTCTCCGCCACCGAATTCGACGCTCAAGCAGCACGTGCCTTCCTTGTCACCCATTCACAGCTCAGCTGAGTCGTCGCCGGTGAGCGAGAGTCCAACCAAGATTCATCGGCAGATGCCAGTGAGTCCCACGATGAGAGCAAAGTCTATCATCACGTCCAAAATCAATGCCATATCCTCAGTGCTGAGGAACAAGAATTCTAGTCGGAATATAGACAAGTGAGTAGCACAGTGGCCTCAATCCACTGATAATGATGTTCGGGAGGTGTTAATTGAATTCACGATGAAAATTCTCCTTCACTGGCTTTTCAGTGTTATCTAATTATCAAATTGTTACATTTGGAAAGTAAATCCCTGACCTAATTTTGGCACTTCTCGCGCGAAAATGTGCAATACGTAAAAGTTGACTTGAATGAGTAACACAAACATGAATGGTTTTTTTTTCTCGCCTCTCCAGTAGGTCACAAATTTCACCGTTGAGGAATCAACAGTCGTCACAACAGTCACCATCCAACGGGCGGCCAATCTTTGAGGCTGAGAGCCCTGATGAGCTGGCTCTAGTCAATGCTGCATTCACATACGACTGCGGCCTGATCAATCGTAGTCCCAACCATGTGTTGGCCAACGTTCCGGCGGCGGGAGTGGCGGAGTTTGATGTGCTGAAGGTGCTGCCATTTGACTCGTCGAGGAAGTGTATGTCAGTAATTGTGCGGCGGACTGGGACGCAGGAGATTGTGCTGTACACGAAGGGAGCGGACAGTTCGGTGATGTCATGCCTGACGCCGTGCTCTCCGGACTCCGTGGAGGGCCATCTGAGAGAGAAGACCCAGCAGCAGCTGGATTTGTACGCCCGGCAGGGATTGCGAGTGCTGGTGATGGCGAAGAGAGTGCTCTCGCCGGTGGAGTACGCCGACTGGGCGGCCAGACACAAGGAGTGCGAGATGACGATGGAGAATCGCGAGAAGAGGGTGCGCGACTCGTTTGTGGGGATCGAAAAGAATCTGACACTGCTGGGTGCCACGGGGATTGAGGATCGCTTGCAAGACGGTGTGCCGGAGACGCTGTCGTCTCTCCTGTCGGCGGGCATTGTGATCTGGGTGTTGACGGGTGATAAGCCAGAAACTGCCATAAATGTGGCGTACTCGGCGAAGCTATTCAATCCACAAATGGAACTGCTAAGACTGACTGCCCGTTCGCGGGATGCCGCCGAGACGTCCATCATGTTCTATCTGTCAGAGATTGAGAGATCCTTCACGGAGGGTCCGAGTGGGAGTCGCGCCAAGGCGAGGGCTCTCGTTGTGGATGGCAAGACGCTAACTTTTATCCTGGATCTGAGGTCCAATTTGACGAAACCCTTTCTGAAGCTGACCAAATATTGTGCCTCCGTGCTGTGCTGTCGATCCACGCCGCTGCAGAAGGCCTTCCTGGTGAAAGTGGTGAAGGAGGAGTTGCAAATGAGGACGCTCGCCATTGGGGATGGCGCCAATGATGTCTCCATGATTCAAATGGCCGATGTTGGGGTGGGAATATCGGGCCAGGAGGGCATGCAAGCCGTGATGGCGTCAGATTTCACACTATCACGCTTCCGGTTGCTGGAGAACCTCCTCCTTGTCCATGGATTTTGGTGTTACGACCGCCTGGCCAGGATGATTTTGTACTTTTTCTACAAAAATGCGGTAATTTACTCAGTCGAAGGCTAATGAAGCAATGTGCTAATGAATTTTGTCTCTGTTTCAGACATTTGTCTTTCTCATCTTCTGGTATCAACTCTTCTGCGGCTTCTCCGGTGCCGTGATGATCGACCAGATGTACCTCATGCTGTACAATTTGGTGTTCACGTCGCTGCCGCCACTGGCCATTGGTGTCTATGACAAGTGCGTGCCCGAGGATCTGCTCTTCAGTCGGCCACAATTGTATCGATATGGACGGCTAGGGAAGGCCTATAAACCGCACACCTTCTGGCTGGTGATGCTGGAGTCCCTGTACCAGAGTCTGGTGATATTCTTCATCGCCGAAGCCACGTATTGGGACTCGGACATTGGGATATGGCAATTTGGCGCCACGATTGCCACTTCAAGTCTCATCACGATGCTCCTCCACTGTGCCATAGAGATTAAGTCTTGGGTAAGAGAAATTTATGTGCTCTGGCCGGCCATTTGAGAGATTTTGCATGATGGTGGGCGAGGCTGAGAGCATTTATTTGAACCATTATTCTATTTTCAGACAATTCTACATGTGCTGTCTATAGCGATTAGTCTGGGGGCATTTTATGTGTTTTCAATTTTCTACAATTCCGTGTGTGTCTCCTGCCTCGGCCTTCCCTCCAGCTATTGGGTAATTCAGACCAGCATGAGTACATCAACTTACTGGTTAATATCACTCCTTACGGCCGTCTTGGCAGTGCTCCCAAAGTAAGTCATTTATCTTCTCACGCAGTTCTCCTACATTCTTTTCTCCTCCCAATCGAACCATGAGATTTTCCTTGATCGAAAATACGCGATTCCAGTGGACTTGCAAGGCGTCAATTGAATTCACGAAAATAATGTATTTCTCAAGGTTAATCCATAAGTTCAGTTTTTGACTTACAAAATTTTTAATGCGGTTTTGTGTGCCGACTGGAAAATCCGCTTTAAGCCAGAAATACATGAGGTCAATAGAGAAAATTCCACATTCGACCATTTCAATTTTTGTGCACAGCTTGTTCTCTTGCTGCTGTTTGTTGAAGAAATATTTCTCAATTATCACCGAAAATGTTACCAATCTGGCTATTTAACTTTAATTCTTTGCAGTGATTTCTGATTTGTGATTGCTCAGCACTTTATTACGGGGAAAATAACACATGAAAGTGGTTTATTGGAAATGAATGAGGCAAATTGTTTTGACAAACTGTCTTTAATACACTTGAAATGTCGCAAAGTTGATTTGTAAGCTATGTTGAGGAAGGAAACAATCGAATTATCTTGTAATTTAATTTTGGGTCAAGATTTTAGCTTCAAAATCAAATTATAAATGGCTTAAAATCCATCACTTTGAAGACGCAGCGATCAGATATTTCATTTGCGCATTTCCTAACTTTATGTAAGACTTGTTTGGCAAACTATTAACCTATTTTTCTATCTTATCTTCTCAATCCAGTTACACAATTCGGACGTTTGTGGCAACTCTGTGGCCAGATGGTGGAACGAAGGCAATTCTGCAGAAGCGCCGAAATGAACGAAGAGGTGAAGATTTACTTGTCGCTTGGTCCAGATCAACATCTGCCTCGTCTATTTACAGGTACAACTAGCGACAAACAACATGACCTTTGGATTTTTACAGTTTCCTTATTTTCTCATTTAATATTCACTTATTTTTTACCTTTTCGTCGCAAATATCATGCATTTAATGTAGAGTGGAATTTTGCTGAGAGGAATTTTTTTTTCATGGTTTTTATTGAGCTTTTTGCCAGTTTAATTTCCCTATTATTCAATTTTTGTTGTTTAACGCTTTTTTCACCTCTAAATTGACGAGACAGGTAAGTAGACACCGCTTTTCCTAACAATTGTTTTTTTTACGTTGAACCGTTAGTTCATCTTATGCGTGTTGAGTAATTCTCGTTGGGGTTTCATCGCTGTTTGACGCTTTCTTTCTCACTTTCTCCGCAGAACCTCTGATTATGGGACTAAGCATCAGATTGTGAAGACGATAAGCTGAGAATGGCGAACGAAGAGGACGTTGTGTTTTCCGGGATGGCGCCAGAGCGGCAGGAGAGTGACATCTCCATCGAGGCGGAATGTCCGGCGTGTGAAGCCTTCGGTGGAATTCATTGAAATCAATGGGACGCGAGAAATGTGACTGAATGCGATCAATGATTCGGAAGAGGCCTTAGAAGAGAATTTGCCAACGTATCAGCTGCGAAGGGTTAGAGAAAATGTATTTTTTAGGATTTCTTTCTATTTAACTGACGAGGACATTTCTTGAATACTTGCTATGGCTGTGATTTGAAGCATAATGATTTATCAAATGTTAAAAGTTACACATCCTCATGTTGCATGTAAAATTGTATAGAGAAAAATAACTAATCATGTGCAGAAATGCAAGTATATTTGTACCCCTGTTAAATGGGACCATATATTTTTGAGAGGAAGCATGCAAAAATGCGGAATATTCTAAAGAAAAGCAAAGAGGAACGCGCGTGAGGAATGAAATCATGTTGAGGAAGAAAATTTACAACAAATCCTTGGGATGCTCCGAGAGTTTATTGACATGTTTTGAATTGATTTTCGCAAAAGAGTAAAAAGTGAGACAATTTTATGAGTGTGTAAATATGCGATGTATGTAAATAGCTGAGGAATAAATTGTAGATATTTGTAGAAATGATGCAATGAAATATATTTATTGTTGAATAGATGAATGAATCATAGTGGTGTGTTTTGAAAAGCGCGCGTCCCAGGCGTTTGTCCCAATTGCGGTGGGACAGTTGACGGCTGCGGTGGCTTCGCATTTCACAGTGTATTCCCCGGTTCGTTGTGTGTTTTCTGTGAAGGAGTGATTTTCTAGGAGATAAACTGAGGTAAATATACCCAGGAGGGCATCATCCTGGCCAGGGAGTGACTAGTTACAAGGTGGGGCTGGGATTTTGCCTGGGGCTGGGCGCTGGACGGCGCTTTGAGGGATTTGAGTCTGAGCGAGGCTGTGTGCCATTGTGAGCATTCCCAGTGCAATTAGCACGGATCAGTCGCTGCCGGAGACTCCTGGGCGTCTGGATGCACCACTGAGGGGCAGAATGGGGCGGCCGAAGGGCCCCGGGGCTTCGCCGTCTGCTGCGGCGTCGGGAGGAGCGCTTTTTGTCCGTCTGTCTGTGCTATGCGAAGAAGGTATAGAGGTGAATGATTTTTTGCGCTATGCTGAGGACACCACTACACCTTCACGAGCGCGCCTGTGAAGAACAACACAGAGGAATTAACAGCGCATCCAGAGAAAATCCCAAGCGACAGTGGCAGATGGTGAAATCTCTTTGTTAATGCCCTTCCCTTTCCCTCTTGCGCGCAGACTTCCGCACTCGCCATGTCGTCCAAGCGAAAGTCTGAGCCCACCAAGAGGACCGTGAAGCGCCCCAAGAAGCGCCAGGACGGCGACTTCGAGTCCGACTTCAGCGACAGCAGCGAGGGCCTGGACGGCGCGAACCAGAACCAGCCCGTGGAGGTGCTCATCCCCAGCGACCAGTTCGAGCCCACGGTGAAGCTGCCGGCGGAGCTGCTGCAGACGCTGGACAAGGAGCCCGGCCAGCTCATGATCGCCGGCTTCGTGACATGGGACCTCACGGGGCGTCGAGACACGAAGAACAAGACGCTGAAGGTGCGCCCCAATCTCTACGTCTTTCATCGCTTCACCAAGGAGAAGGTAAGAGCGAGAGATGTTCACTCACGTTCGTGGGTCAATGTACTCGAGATCACAACACATCAACTCCACCTGAAACGTTTCGCTGAGCACTCTGGCAGAGGTGGAAAACTCATGAGCGGTTTTTGGGATTTTCCAAGAATCGATGTGCTGCGTGAGAATCACTTTAGTGGGCATAAACACTTGGGCAAACATTTGATTGGGAAGAAAGTGCAAAATGCATTTTGCTTTTTCACTCTTTGCTCACAAAGGTGCCAATGACCGAGTGTTCATTTAAGCTTATCGCATTTTCTAATACATGCTGAATTGACGATTTCTGGTAATTAATTCCTTCACAGTTGAAGACTCTAAAATCAATTTAGCCCATGATTTCAACGTCATGTTTATCGTCCTTGAACATCGCAATTCGCTTGTATTTGATTTTTCCCCCGCGAAAAATGCATAGTCTGGCATTTTTCGCTATTTGTGCAATGCGAAATATGCGTAAAATTTTTCCAAGTGTTTGCGCGTTAACCAAAAACTCGCTATTTGGTTCACTTTAATGTGCATAATGCAAGCATTTATAGTAAATATTGATGCTACTTCAGCTATTTTGCAAATGAACGGAAAGCAGGGGTAGAAAATTCCCTTCCAAATATCCAATTAAAACATGATTTCAATCTCACTGTCTATATAACAGTTGATTAAATTGAATTGTTCATTGCTCAAAAATGCCCTTCTGTGCTCATCTCATTTATGCAAATTGTTCACAAAATTTCCATTTGCGCGCTATTCTAACACTTCGTCACCTCGTAGTCCGTTTCCCGGGGTTGAATAATACATATTTCAGTGAATTTGAATAACAAATCCTCCCATTCCCTCCGCATTGCAGTATCGCTTGGCGGTGAGCGGCTGTGCTGCTGCACACTCAATTCTGATAAACATGGATCGCAAGGCTCTGGCCATCGGCCGCAATCAGTTCAATCAGCTGGGACTGCCGGACACGAAAAGCTATGAGAAGCCGACGCTGATACCGGCGCTGGAGAATATGAACGTCATCTCGGCGGCGTGCGGCAGGAATCACACGCTCTTCCTCACCGACACGGGCACTGTGTATGCGTGCGGGGACAACAAGAGTGGCCAATGTGGCATCGGAAGCATTGCCGCCGTTGTGGCGAAGCCCACGCGCATCAACTATCAGGGTCCGCCGATTGTGAAGGTGGCGTGCGGCGCGGAGTACTCCGTGATCCTGGACATCAAGGGCAATCTGCACACGTTCGGGCTGCCGGAGTATGGACAGCTGGGACACAATACGGACGGTAAGTACTTCATGACCAACACAAAGATGTCCTTCCACTTCGAGATGTCGCCCAAACGGATCGTGCTGTACATTGAAAAGTCCAAAGATGGTCACGTCACACCGATTGACAATGTGCAAATTGTGGACTTCTCCTGTGGCTACAACCACACGGTGGCAATTGACACGCAGAAGAGGGCCTACAGCTGGGGCTTCGGCGGCCTGGGGCGCCTTGGGCACGCCGAACAGAAGGACGAGATGGTGCCACGCCTCATTAAGCTGTTCGATAGCCAGAATCGCGGAGTGCGCAATGTGTACTGTGGCTCGTCGTTCAGTCTTGCCGTGAATGACATCGGAGTGCTGTTCTTGTTCGGGCAGAACAAGAGGACTGGCGAGGCGAATATGTATCCGAAGCCCGTGCAGGATCTCGCCGGGTGGAACATCACGAGCATCGGCACCAGCTACACGTCCATCGTCATCTCGGCTGACGACAGCCTCATCGCTTGGGGCTCGTCGCCGACGTTCGGCGAGTTGGGCCTCGGAGATCTGCAGAAGTCCTCGAGCACACCCAGAGAGGTGTCACGCCTGGAGGGCATGAAGATCCCACAGGTGACGATGGGCTATTCGCACACTATGCTCCTGGTCAACACGGAGCACGAGCTCACGCGTGAAAAGTACGAAAAGCAGCCTGAGTTCGATGTCGATGATTAGGCCTGATGACAGGCATTTCCACCCACGTATACTCGATTGGCTTGGAAGGACTCTCACACACACACACCTCATAATCAAGTAAGAATCACATAATGTCTCTGTGAATACAAAGGAAAAGAAATCTCTATATAATGTATAAGGAAGATTAGAACAAAGAACGGAGGCGATACGAAGGCTGATATGTGAGATTGAGGTATACTTACACATTAGGAGTATTTATGCTCTCCTCCAAGAAGTGGCATTATCTTCGTAACTCATTTCATTTCACATTCACACTTTTGTTTCCTCTGGTGCGTTTTTCTTTGCGACTTTTGAATCTCACTGAGAGCCAAATATCTATCCGAGAGCGTGCAGCTGAGCATCAAAATAGCCCATTTCGGCCGGCTTTAGATTTATATTAAATATTTGTGGAGATTCTCTTAACGAACAATATACTTTATCTTTGTACTTTGAATTTTATATTTAATGTATTTAATCATGATGACACTTAAAATGAAGGAGGAGAATTTGGCAAAGTAAAAAAAAATCATATTAGTGTTTCTTAGGGATTTACATATAGCATGAGATGAAAAATAAAAGTAAAATACAGTTTTTTTGGTAAGTATTTGTAGTGAGAAAGAAGAATGTGACTTATGTTGAAGGAGTTTGCTAATCGATTGATGGGGAAAGAGGAGTTTTAGAGAGAACGAAAGGACTGCCTCCTTGATATAATTTTGCACACCTTTTATCTTCCTTGGTATTTGACGATATAATGAACCTTTCTTATGTAATCACACCCAAAAAAAAACAATAAAGAAGAAATATTGCTAGAATATACATAATATAATAATACTTGTTAAATAATAGAGAGTATGACAAAATAATAATGAAAACAGTGAACAACAGATTAGTGATGAAAGCAGTTGATTGCAATTTATGCAAGCAGTATTCCAGAGTATATTAAATATTTTTTAATTATTTTAGAAAGCTTTTTAGTTTTGATTGTAAGAGTAACGAATTTTTTTAAGCAAAAGATTTTTAATAAAGGTATACCACAGACTAATACCGCCTTTTCTCATGCCGTATGATGAAAGCCTCACAATGGAGAGATGAGAATCTGCAGTTTTACTTTCCATGGGCGAAATTGCAATCTTGCAGTGAATGAGGAAGCTCTTCCTCATGTCGCCGGCTCTGTTAGCTGTTGTCGGACGCATTCTGGAAGACGCAAGTGCGCCTTGCGGTTAGTCTGGGACTGAGACTATCGCAGTTATTGATGCAAGAGGCGACATTTTTTAATCTGGGCACGGGAAGTCGATGTGGAGCATTTAATCGGCCTGCATATAATGCATTTTTATCTCATTTTTATCTCAACCCCATTCGAAAAGATGTTTCCAGTAAAAAGGGCCACTTTGCAATATCTAGCAACACAGAAGACACGATATTGTGCAATTGATGAGTATTTATGCTGAGACACTGCATGAATAGGAAATGGAACACACGAGATGAAATGAGATTGTAAAGCTCATTCTGTGCTCAATTCAGGCAAAGTGTTTGTAAATTGAGGCGTTTAACATAAATCGACAACTTGTAAAGGCGCATAAATTAATTTCTCTCCCAAATTTACATACAAAATGCCATCTTGTCACGACGACTGGCGCTCAAGCGCAAAATTCAATGAGGACAAATCTAATTAGTTTCTGGATCTCATGACAACGAGCGATGACAGTCGAGAAAAGAAGTGATGAAGTGTAATTCGATCATATTATTGGCGAAATTATCATTCCGTTTATCACTCATTTGGCCTCAAATTGCCTAATTACACAGGCTTAAGTGAAAGCTACCTGGAAATCATTTCACCCAGTCGGGATTTCTTCCAAATCCAATCCATAAATCATTCTTTTTGCACATTTGCGCGCTCAGCCACGCCATGCCCACATTCAGGGATGGAAAATCGAACATCAATATAAGCGTCTGTCAGCAGTTAATTGATGAATTATAAATTAACACAGGAAATTACCTCGGTTCTCCCGAGTGCATGCTTTTTCCCGCACGGTGTGTAATTTTCCGCGAAAACAGCCACAATATTCCTCCTAAATAATCAATGCAGAGACAGCATTAATTGGGGTTTCCCACAAAAACTTGTAAAGACATATCTCTGAGAAATTTATGGTAAACTTAATCCGAAAGAGAAATTTACGCTGTCGCGTTAATTATGCAAAAGTGTTTTATATAAAGTAATCCACTTTCCTTCGAGTGATGAGTAGTTTAAGAGTTCTTAAAGTCTGCGCGGCTGCTTTCCGTGAAAATTCAATTATGCAATGCAGCCTCTCGACATCTCTCGCGTCTTGACTTTTCAAGCAACTTTTCAGCCCCTTTTCGCTCTCTTTCCCTTGTGCTTCAGCGAGGAAACATCGAAAACAACTCTGTTAATTTATTATTTTGCCACCTTCGGCGAAATCTTCATACACCAAGATTATGCAGATGATGTCATTTAAATTAGGAAATTCCGCTGCTAAAAGCGTCACAGTCCTCATAATTGCGAGAGATGAAAGCTCTTTCATTTGCATGACACTTCCGAGATTTTCATCAGCCATGTGGAAATATGAGGCTGTGGAAAGGCTGGATGTATCATTATCGAGATAAATCACGCAGCTTTTTCCGTGCTCGCGACGTGGACCAGCAAGATGTAAGATTTGGTCCTGAATCTTTAAAACCGTTCGCTTTACATTTTTTTTTTTACATAATAATGTGGCAAATAGGGAAGTCTGGGGTTTTACAGGCAGGTTTTCAGTGCATTTGGCTTTAAGGCGATCTTTTAGATCTCTGAGTAAGTTTAAACGAATTTAAATTACAATTGCATCGTTTATATTGGCAAGAATTTATGAAATCGCAGTAAATATCTCAAAAATCAAAATTTCTAATAGCACTTAGCCAGTTAAGTAGCTTGTCCAGTCACATTTTGAGCGTAGAAAACCACGAACAGCTCCACTTTTCCCTACTTTGCTGATACTCGCGTTAATCTGACGTATTTGGCATGTGCGGAAAAGTCTTAAGGTTTTAGAGGACCTTTTTAAAATGCCCAAGACCAGCAGCAGTCAAGAAATGTATAAGATTGCCACGCTGAAGAGCGGCGGATTTCCCTTGCCAGCCCGAGGGGTAAAAATGGTATTTAGGTATTCAGCATTCAGCAGGACTTTTGGGTAAGATTGAAATATGATTTATTAAGTCCACCGCCAACTTTTGGGGTGTAATTAAGAGCCAGAAGAAAGCAAAAACGAATGTCAGCAAATCTCTATTGTGTTCCGCAATAGCTTTTTGTACTACATATATATTTTACAATATCCTACAAATGAGTCACAGCGTGAGCTTCGTGAATTAGGCAAATCCGATTTGCGGTGCGTACAATTCAGCGAGAAAATTGCTGAGGCGAAAGGGACGAAGCTTTAGAAATGTTTTATTTCTGTTATTCTCTGCAAATCTGTCTCAAATATCTTCTCTAACGAAGGAGACTTCTGCCTTCAATGGAACAATAATGGCACCAAAGTATAATTATTTGGAAGGTAAATTCTGAGTCTCTCATGAGTGAGTGCATAATTGTGTCTGCATATTCGAGACAATACTGTATTTCTTGTTCGAAGCGATTGAAATATCAAAAAATGTTTTACAACATAAATTACATGAAATGCAGGGCATTTTTCTATGGAATGTTTGCAACCACACTTTTTACCCTGTTCTGTGGTTATATTACATTAAACTAGAGGATGTCTAACTCATGCATCACTTTCACCACAGTCAATACAGAAATTCTCCCTTTTCCTCCCCGGAGAATGGCAAAAAGGGTGAAATTTCCACTCAATCTCCAAGATAAATCCCCAAAATGAATGTCACGGAGAAGAATTTCATTGTAAGCTCGTTTTTTGCACTGGGAAAACTCAAAAAAGGTATGTCCAAGCCGAAGATGAGATATCATGTGACCTGAAAAAAAACTCACCCTGAGAATGAATCAGCTCAGCATTCCCATGAAAAGAAGTTTTTTTTTGCGTTTTCAAGCAAGGATTTCAAATAGGTACATTTAGCACAGTCAGAATGAATTTAATTGCAATTTGAACAAAGTTTTCCTTCGTTGTGTGTTGTAGTGCTAAAATTTGTATTTGTAGCCTTCACAGTTGCATGAATTCTCCTGTTCTGAGGTGCGCAGTGGTTTCTGTCAACCACAAATATCTCTTACACTTATCCTTATCAATCACACTGAAGAACGTCGCTTTTGTGTGATTCTCTCCATTTTCCCCTGAGCAATCCTTTCACGACCACTGAAGCCAACCGAAACACTGCTTTCGCATTATTCGTGATAATTAAAAAGGGAAATGAGAAAATATAGCTGGAAGAAGAAACAAGACAGTTGACAAAAATTTTGTACATTTTATTGCCCATTGAACAATTACTTTTTCATACAGAACATTTTATTATATTTATTCTCACTTTTTGCTTCACATGACAACATCGAAAATATGAGTTTGATTTTCTTTGATTTCAAGAGTAGCTCAATGGAAAAATTTCACCTCCTCACCAAATATATATATAGAATAGACTTGTATTTAGTCGATTTATGAGAGGCCCAAAACGAGAGGAATTGAAAAGAGATTCTGCTTCACAAGCTTCACAATGTTAATTGAAATTTATATATTTTTTTTAAGTTTATAAAGTGAAATCCAGTTAATTTGCAAGTGTTCTTGTTCCAATTTTTTTCTTCTTCTAACCTTCTTTGAGACTGAAATCAGATAAACTCATGGAGTTAAAGTGACTAAAAGCCAGTTGAGTAACATTGTTTTCCCTCTTACTTGATGTTGTTGCTGTTGACTTGTTGTGTTTTCTTGTCATGGTTAACATTATTAACATGAAAAGTTAGAATATTCTCTTCTCACTTTAAAATATCTCAGGCACTATAGAAAATAGTTTTCTTCGCATAATTTTTTTTACCATATCTTTTTTATATCTCTTAAAATATTTTGACCAGAATCACAGATAAGAGACACGAATCCGAAGACACGCTTAGTTCAAGTATTATATGCCTAAATATCGAATTATTGAAATACGACATGTTTTCCTTTTCCTCCTAACAATTCATCACCATCAATTAAACCATCGTCATTAACATCACACGGGAAATATTATGATAGATTTCTATATGTTCCTCCTTCTGTCCATTCTCTGCTCAGCTGACAACATAACACTTATTTGATAGTATTACTTAATAACTTCACTATAGTCCTTATGTTTAGTCAGTTTAATTAGTTCCACGCTATAATCTAAAATTAGACGTTGCCTGCCTCACCAGGGCGATTAATTAAAATGTTCCTCTTCCACTATTCTCCAATTGAATCTTCCTCATCCGCAAAATTATCCATTTGTTTGTCTCCATGCTTCTCGTGGAGCGCCCGTAAGTCACAAATAAAGCACCCGAACGGAGCACTTTCCACCCCCACCTCTCGCCTACAGCAGAAATTGCTGTCTTAATGCCCTCTTGGAGAATTTACCCATGCAAATACAGTCCCATTGACGTGCAGTGCCATTCAGCTACGATTAAGGATGTGAATCGATTGGAGACATCAATAAATGTAACAATGGTTATTGAAACTGTGCAATTTTCTGCCAAATTTTCCGCCCCTTCGAATTCACATTGTTGATGAGGAAAATAAGCCCACCTTTAAATGTCATATAAATCATATCGTTTTGCTTGCTAGTCTGCCTGCAATGAGGAACTGATTAAAATTCTTATAATGGCGTCAGAGGTAATTCAAAGCAATTTCGAAGTGGAAAACGCGAGAATTGATGTCAAAACTAAATTTATGATGATGCTCTCTCCCCAACAACAGCCTGTTGCCAAGGAGGGAGAGTAATTCTTGCAATTTTCCCCATGAATGAAAATTAATTTTGTTTTGTATTTGGAAACTTTTCTTCTTCAAACGAACTTAGAGGGCAAGTAAAAATTCTCAACATTAAACCATTTTATTCGTGGAACATTTTTCTATAGGATGTGCTTTGTAATAAAATTGTTGCTGCTGAAGGCATGTTAATTTGCAGAAACAATTCTGGTTCTTTGTAAAGGAAAATATTTACAAAGGCTTTCAAATGCAAAAAGATAAGATGTACATTCAGAGCACTTTCTCAGCATCTCACCTTTGTTCGCTCACCTGCACCATCATCAGCAGAGTGGGAGAACGGCTTCAATATTCACAAAGAAATTGTGTCAATGAAGATGTTAATGAGTTGGGGCGACGAAGTGGGAGTGCGAAATGGTGTCCTCAACCGGGCCATTTCACTCCGCACAACGGGATGCACGATGGGCGTTTCAGTAGAAGCAGTGCGACGAGGCCTGCGGCCGCGGCGCGGGCTGAGGGCGGGATTTGATGTACCTGGGATTGAAGGCACCCAGGGCGGCCTCATTTGTGGACGAGGGCTGCGGCGACGGAGCGGTGATGCGGAAGCGCGTCCGGAGGAATTTCTGCGCCGATGATATTTGCCAGCACGGCGTGCACGACAGTGATTGTCGGAGGGTGTTGTGGTTCAGTATCCAGTACACGATGGGCGACACGGCTGAGTGCGTGTATCCTGCAAATCCAATGCATATTCAGGGGGCTCTTGAGCTGCTCTCGGAAATTCTTACCTAGCAGCAAACTGAAGTCGGCCAGAGTCTTCGTGCACAGACTTCCGTTGCCCAGCTGAGAGCCTAGGATGCAGGCCACGTGCGGTGTCCAACAAGCGACGAAGATCAGGGCAGCTCCGACCAGGAGATTCGCCAGGCGTCTTCGGGAGCGCAAAGTGGACGTCTGAGGCAGTGGAAGTTCAGAACTGTGCCTCGTGCCGCTGGCTCTTTTGCTTCGCTGACGACGACGCATTTGCTCACGACGAATCGCTCTGCAATGTGGATCCCCGAATCTCGATATTACAATGTGCTATTCACACTTCCGCTGGTGTAAATCCACTCGGAAAAGACATGCATGAAATTTCGCCAGGAAAATGCCATTAGGATTCAAATCCATGCAATGATGGAATACAGGAAACCATATCGCTTATGAAATTTCCGGAAGGGAGACACGGATTTCCAAATATATTCCTTCGAGGGAAGGTGTAATTGGAATTTTACAGAAATGGCATTAGCCAGCTCTAACAGCCCATACGGAATATCGCAATAATAAAATAATGGCCTATCCCTCGAGCGGAACGCACACTTCCTCCCCCGAATCTCACCTCACTCTCAGTGCTTCGGAAAGTGGCGAAGTGGCAAATGGGCCGGGGTGGATGGATGAGTGTGTGGATAGGAAATGGGTCGACCTTTCGATTTCACACCCCACACTCTCAGCCCCTCGGGCAGGGCGAGAAGCGATACACTGCAGAAAGTGGGGAGGAAATGGGGAGTATGTCTTGATGAGAATCGAGGTGAGAATGTGAATGAATGGAGTACATGGTCAAATTTTTAAGCTCAGTCGACATTTTTATGAGCCCATTTCCCGCTCCATCGGGAATTCTGAACTTTCAGCCACTTTTCCGTTCACCCTGCGACATGACGGGCTGCAGGAATTGCTGTCGGAAGCACATCACAAATCACTGCAGACGCCACGTCATTGAGGGAGTTGTTAATGACGGCATGACTTACCTGGGCGTTTTCGGCATCGTCTTTCCCGTCGCCTTCCTCGATGTTGCCGCTGGTGTTGTAAGATTGCTTTCCGCCGCTCCGCCTCCGTCTGAACTGTCGTCCTGCTGTCCCACGACTCCTCCGCGGGCTGGCGCCATGCCCGTGACGATGATCATGTGCGTGGGCCTCCTGAGGATGGGCATGGGCAGCGGTAGCTCGCCGTGAGCCGCGCGCGCCGTGAGCGAGAGTGCGCACAGCTTCCGACGAACTGCCAGGTGGTTCAGGAGCACTCCGAAGCCCGGAATGACGAAGACCAGGATCGTGTGAGTGGCAAGGAATGGCACGTGAAAGTCGCCGTAATCGGGTCGGCAGGTGGTTCGCGAGTGAGGCGCTTGGTCAACGCGGTGGGCCAACAGAACGGGCACGCTCACGAGATTGGCAGTGAGCCAGGCTCCGAGGGCTAGGACGGTGGGCAGGAATCTCGTCTGGCGTAGTTGCGCCAGTCGAGGGTGCTTCACAGTGGCGAAGCGATCCAGCGACAGCATGAACAGGCAGAATGTACTCGCTGCCACGGGCATGGACTGAAAAGCAGGGAAGCTATCTTAAAGTCTTACATAACTTATATCTAAATCGTATATCCCCGTGAGAATCTCACCGAGAGTTATGCAAACTTCTCCGAAAAATGTGAGCAATTCACTTGAAGTGCACAGAGAAGCTTATTTGTGTCAGCACACATAATAGTCTCATCTTTTACGTCTCTTTAAGTTCATATAATCTCTCACACTGTGAGGTGATATAGAGCACCCCACTTAAGACGCTTTAAGCACCTGGATAAGGGTGCATCGTTCGCAATTCATGTGATGGAAAAACGTGCACACAGTATATGAAAGTTGTGCTGCGTTTGACTTCACTGCGAAGCTATGGAGAGCTTTGAAAACTCATTTCACCAAAATGTTTGCATTGGTGGATTTTAATTCGGAAGCTTTTGTACATGAATATTTTATATCTGTCTGCGGTTTGACATGAATTTTATGAATACATTTGTAAATCCTGTGGTTTCATCCCATATTACGAATCTGAAAATGTTTTCGGACTGCTCGTGAAAATTCTCATTCGCCAGGGAATAATGCTATTATCACTTTCAGTGGTCACGAAATTGATTTTTAAAACAATTTCTGCCCCACTTTGGCTCTTGGGGGTAACAAAACGTGTAAAAATTAATGCAATGTTACCCTTTATGTCATCGTAAACTCTTTCCGCGAATACACCAGTAAATGGTTAGGAGCAATTTGTCCAGAATACTGACCATTAGACTCAAGATAATAGAATTTCGCTGCTCTCTTTTTCCCTGTGATCAAAATTGATTGCGCTATTAGTTAATTTTTGTGACATTTAGGTCACATTCCCCTCGGCACGATGCAAATCATCTGTCTTTATACATCATATAATGCTGGCAATGCACATTCAGATTTAATAAAATTGTGAGATAAAATGATCCCTAAGTAATTAAAAAGAACTTTAATCTCGCATTGCATTTGCTGTGCTTCGCAGTGCACGAGCTTTGCACATAATTCCTGTGGATATTTAATGTTGATTTATGGCATTAGAGTGATAAGGCAGGATTTTGCAATATAATATTCTGAAATGTATTAGTAAAATACACAGCAGCCTCTCGAATTCTCCACATTTTCTCTAAATATGCGTCCACTTTGCCCCGTACTTTCAACATTCGTTAATGAATTCAATGGAAATTTGCTACTGCGGGTAAATTCATTTCATTTCCCTCACCCATAAGGTAATTAGTGAATCTTTTCACCTTTGTCATCACATTTCACCCCCCCCTTGGCAGGAATTTCGACCGTACAAAATGGAAATATAATTTCACCAAAAAATTCCTGGCACTCTTGCCAACTTTTTATGTGGATAATTTTATTACTCGCTCGCATTTTCATTTCTGCTCCTAATTTTAATCCTACTAATTGAACGATTGGTGTATTTTCCATGTCTGGAGAAGGCTTAGCAAGATATTTTGCCAAGTTTTTTTTGATTAATTCCCCTAGCAAAATCATACCGAGTGGGATTTTATTGATATCACCTCAATTAATATACCATATTAATCCCTCCCATCGTCGAATTTAATGGCTATTGCTGAATCATTCACATCACGAGACTTGGGAAATTTCACCCATGAGACAAAACAAGAATTTTCTTTTCAAACCCAATTCGAAGTGACGTATTTTCTGTTGTGTAAATTTGATTAGGGAAGTTTTACAGATTTTCCAGCAATCCCGAAAAGTTGAAAAGTGAGAAAAGTGAGAAAAGTTTGCTAGTTTCCCGAACAACAATAATATAGAGCAGTCCAAAATGTGACCACCCTCGGTGTAGTGAAATTGCTATGCTGGGTATAAATGTGCACAAAAGACGTGCAGAACTCACCTTTACGAAAGACATGGCTTTGCATGCCGCGGGTGGTAGACTCCATGTGCTGTAATTAAACGCCATGCTGACGACAGTGAGAGGCGCCGCGACGCCTGAAACTATCAAATCGGCAACGCAGAGCGCAACAAGTAGTGGATTCCGGAGGCGTCCATGGGCGCACAGCGTCACGACCAGGGATGCATTTCCAAACACGCCCACGAAGATCACTGTGCAGTAGGTGCCGAGGAGGGCGAGCGTGCTCGACGAGGAGAGCCAATCCCCGCTGGTGGCGTTGGCGCGGGAATCGTTGGTCCAGAGAGTGGAGTCGCCCGGTGGGTCAGCGTCGCGGAGGAGGTCCATTTGCCTCGCTCCACTCACAGGCTGCTCATTCACGCATCACTTCCGCGCGCCGTGACGCATCGCGTGAGCATTGGGACTCCTGGAGATCTGCAAAGTACGCAATCCGCGTCTCACTACTCTGTTAACCATTTATCACACTCAGACACACTCCTCGAGTGTGCTAACAGGCTCATATGCAACAGTTTACAGCCCATGTCACGGGGATTAGGCACGATATGATGGAAATATCTTTAGGGTGGATAAGGAGGTGTTCAAGACAAATGTTTGACGTCAGAGTGGAAGGCATACAATTCCATGTTGTGGCTTGAAAAATATTTTTTCTAACTTTTTGTGACAACACAAAGAACCTCTAGAAGAACATACAATTTCTGTTATAATGTGTAAAAGGAAAAATTGTTCATTGAAGTATATGCACGTTTCTGAACTTTATCACGCTTTATTTATGAGTTTTGGAATCAAATTTCAAGGAAAGACGTCGTATTGTCTTTCACTTTTCTTTGAAATGCTTAATAAAATCCTCCAGAAGAAAGTTTCAAGATATTATCGGAAATGAGTCCAGACTTCCATCAGAATTTTGATCAGCGCAAAATCAATATTTTGTCATTAAAACAGTCAACAAACGTGTTTTCGAATACATTGACACAATTCCAAGCCACTGGAAAACTAATCAAACTTAGCACACATGTGTAATTAAGGGATAATCAGGGATAATATTTAGAGTTGGTCAACTGTTTCTTCGTAAAGCTGTAGCGCAAACCACTCTTTTTCCAGAATCTGTCGTGAGATATGGCAGAAAATGATTGACACCGTGTCACACCAAATTTCCGATTCATCGGCTCACCCTCAGCGCAAAGAGCTTTAAGAATTTCTTATTTGCCATCACATTCGTTCATGTATCCAAATCAGAGTGGAAAAGGTGTGAGAGCTGCCTAATCCTTTAATGCTCTGCGCTCAGGGGGTGGCGCCAAATAGTATGATTCGCATGGAAAATCATCTTAATAGTGTGCGTGGGGGTTTTCCCTCCATTCTCGACTTAAGCGCCCCTGGGTAAAAAGCCTCCGGGGATGAAAGCCATGCGGATAGGCATTTAATCAATACCCACTCCATCAAAATTAAATCCGATTTGATTGCTTTACATCTTTTCATGCAAGGTGCGCCGGGAAACGCCGTGGGGATGATGTTTATGGGGCTGGAAGGAGAAATGTGGCGCACAGCATCAGAAACAAATATTGCGCCCTTCGGGTGTTCCCTCATCGAGTTGAAAGTTAAATTCTGAGCTTAATTTTCCCAGCAATTTCTACCCAGCCGTCATTTGCACTCTACGCCTATTCAATAACCTCTCACTTCTCTGGGCTAAGAATAGTTGCTGATGGGTTAAAATTCTGGAAACCGCAGCTCGAGAATTTCCATCGATCGGATATAAAGTCTGATGAGAGGCCGGATTTCTCGAGCAAATCTCTCGACACCGAGGAAGTTTCAAAGGGGTGGTGTCCATTATGCCCTCAGCTATCCTGCCTATGGCTTCAGGATAGGAATTTCGCTTCATTTCAGACATTCTCTTTTGCGGTTCAAGAGATATGTATCTTCTAAAAAAGGCCCAGGTTGAGTCTGATAGAACTCTGGGAATGTATTCGCCGCAGAGCAAAATTCTTTACCTCTTTCTCTTCCATCTAAATTTTCCCCTTTCTGACGAATGTAAAAGCGATTGTAATTGAATTATCAAACTGTAAAACGTAAGAAGATTTTTGATAATTGAATTTTATGTTAAAGTATTGTGTGGAAAGTAAGCCTATTTCGCTCCCTCTCGGATTATTCGATTATTATTCTGAAAGCATTGGTATTGGTGTTTCGAATAAATGTTATGCAATTGACATTCACCCATTAATTCTGCTGTTGTTTAGGTGCAATTTCTGTAGGGGCGTGTATTCTATTGAACAAGAAACAAAAGCAGGAGTAAGTAATTATAGTAATTTTAATGAAAAACCACACTGTGTGTGTTAATTGTGCGTTAAAGTGAGAGCATGAAGAGGACAAAGTAATGCTTACACTTTACACTAAAAGTGAATTCAGAATCAATTCCTTTCACTGAATGTCCTCCACTTTACCATTAATCCACGTCCTTTTCACAGAGTGGCAAACAATCAATATCTAACTTGTTGGATACTTAATGTTTGCCTCGTGTTCTTCCGCGCGATTGCATTTGGGGGGAATTTTCAGCGAAATTTCCTCGCAAATCACCATGCAATTACCATATCAGTTAGATCGGTATCTCAGAGTGGCGTGAAAAGTATTTTATGGCCGGCAGATTAATTAGACTCCGCTAACCGGATGCGTTTTCGGGCCACCCAAATTTACTGGCGGTGGACTTTTTAGGAGAGTCATCGTAAGTAAGATTGGTGCGAGGGCTGTAGAATCAGGTCACAAAATTGCTCTTCGCTCAGTCTTTTTGCACTTGGTGAAAACGTGAGCCTCCGTGCGAGTTGGGTGGTCGCCACCCTCACTCCGTGCACGCCAGGGTGTATTTCTCCGTGGCGTACGCGATGGAAAAACAAACACCCACACAAGAACTCCTCGAAGGCACCATATCGCAGAGGACGATGTGCTAAAGAGACACCCAAAGCGGAGAATCGATCCCTTTGGCCACTACTCAACTCACTTGCTGCGCGTTTTTCACCGAGAAAATACCCTGTCGCTCCATGAATATCCAATGGGACTTTCTTGAGGACACTCTTTGGTCTCTTTGACGAATTTCGAGGAAAGTGTTGCACCTCAAGCGACAGCAAGGATCGACCGAAAGGGCAGAGCCGAGAGAGGCTTCTAAATTTTCTCAACACATTTCAGCACCATGCAGATAATTTTTCCACAAGCCACAAATTTTCTTTGAAAGAGCGATACAAACCAACAAGTGAGACGAGCGAGGATGTGTGTGAAATCCAGCCACATCAAACATTAATGTTCCTCTCGACGCCACTCTAGAGCACTTTTCCGCACAACGAGCAGCAGCAACGACTCTCCGCCACGAAGGTTTCACCGCGACTGATGGGAAATGCGTGCTCCTCTCCTGGCCAGAGGGAAATTTTCCACTCTCGCTGCGGCTCTCTCGCTCTCAGTCGCTGTGGCGGCCGGTGGCGGGCGGATTGCGGAGTACCCATCTTCCAAGGAGCACAACCCGGAGGCGAGGGCGCCAAGTCAACTGCGCAGAAATTTCAACCGAAAACACACAGTGGCGGACTCGCCAAATATTTGTCATGCACTCCGGCAAATTTCCCAGCCATTCTCGGCCACGAGGAATGGTATTTGCTCTGGGGCTTTGCCATTTAACTGTAGTGCGGAAAGGGATGCTGCTCAATGGCAAATAGAACGGCTCAAAAGTGAGGCAAAGGATGATGCCGTCAAGAGGCACGAATTCTCTGTCAATGGTATTCCAGTTGAAGTGGGATTTATTAGTCCGAAAAAGGTATATTTAAGGGTTGCGGAAGAATGCCTTGAAAGATTGTAGCTGCAATGCAAAAAACCTCAGCTTTTCATATCACACCCTCTAATTACTAAACCCATATTTGTTTGGCACATAAAATATTTGCTGTGTGAGTGAAAAGCGGGAAAGCTCTTCCTCATTGTGTTGTGAAACCAAATATTGCATTTCCATTATTCTATTTTTATGCCTTGTTCCCAGTCATGAGCTGCAACTCTTGTTTGAAGAGCCTCAGGCCACTCAAGTGCACTCTGTGCTCTCATTTGGTCTGCACGGTCGCTGTAAAAGGACACGTTTAAACTCCTCCTCCGGCTTCCCGCACCTTCACGTAGCGCTGGTAATTGTCCAGTAGGTACACTTCCCTCTTTATCCCCTCGTGTTTGTCCAAATAGTCGGTGGCTCTTTTAATATATTGACTCTCATCGATCACACTGTTCACTTTGACACCGTCGCTCCTGGGCAAGCGACCGCAATGTCGCTGAAAGTGTAGGAATATTTTCATCATGTCCCACAGCGTGACGGTTGGCCAGTGCTTAGGCAGGAAGGACAGCATCGCATCAGACGACTGTAACGAGAGAGAACGAGAGAGAGAGAGAGAGAGACAGTGGAAAATTAGAAAAATATGGAAATCAAATGAAATTTAGTGATTTATGATTATCCCCCGAATGCAAAGCATCAGCAATTCGTCCAGATGTTCCACCATTCGGCTTTCGAATGAATTCTTATGAGCGAATTTATTGAATTTCGTAATTGAAAGCGATGATTTATCACTAAATAATTATTTCATTGCTACTTGCGTGCCTTCGCAGGCACACACACACCTGTCGCCGAAATTTACCTCCCAGAGGAGAAAATCGCTGAGCCTCGTCTCGCCAGATGTTCGAATAAGGAGATCCACTGGATTGCAGTGATTTGTCAGGAGACTCCTTTCCACATCCTCCTCATCGATGCTCTCCGGCGACAGCAAATTGCTCTGCACCTCCTCGCAAACACCCCTGATTCCGCCCACAATATCGTCTCGACTTGTGTAGGCCACGGCAATGTTTATCCTGAAGCCATCGTTGTGTCTCGTCTTGATCTCCACCTCGTCAATCGCATCCCGAATGTCCTTTGGCAGCAAATTCACCCGACCAATCACGCGGACACGCACATTGTGCTTGATATACTCCAGTTCATGACGCCTCGCATGCGAAATGGCACAGCGAACCAGGGAGAAGAGGATGGACACTTCAGATCGTGTCCTCTTGAAATTCTCAATGCTGAACGCGTACACCGTGACTTCGGGCACGCGAAGCAGGAAGAGCCATCGAATCATGCGCTGAAGCATCTGGAATCCCTCCACGTGTCCCATCGGCAGAGGCAGATTCATCTCGCGAGCGAATCTACGATTTCCATCCATGATGAATGCCACATGCCGAGGGATTTTCCGCACAACCATCAGGTGTAAGAGGAAAATTTCAAAGTGATAGTGAAGCAAATTCAGCCACTTCTCGATTCTACTAAGCACATCACTGAGGATTACTTTCATTGCTCCAACCTGAAGCAACGCGTGACGATTAATACTGAAATTTGTCACTTGTTTCCACGTACTTATAATGCCATGAATTCCCTGAGTTTACTTGCCAGACAAATAAAAATGTACACCCAGGAAAAATTACGAGACACGACATGAAAAGATATCACACAGATTCCTCAAATAAGAAGCATGAATAATAAATTTTGCGCTGAGTATAAATGAAGTACATCGTATGCATTCATTGTCGCAGAAAGAGTTGAAGGTTGTCTTTCGGTAAATGAACAGGAGTTTAATGATGTCTCGTGTCACTATTTACTTCCAAATTTATACACTTTGAAGCAAGCATTGCAGAGCGTGTTTTGGTCATTAATCTAACCCCGTGAACTTTTCAAACAAGTTAAACATTCACACAAATTCTCGGACTTCAATGTTTTTCTCTTGTTTTCCAAAACATTCTCTCCTAACTACCGTCGAATCGTCTAATCTTCTATTTAATGACTGTTTTTGTGATTCTGCGTTCAATCAACTTAATCAAATTGCATTATTAATTATTCAGGAGTAAACAGAGTAAATAAGACGGAAATTCGACACAGTGCTTAAACACAGTAATCATGACTGTATTTTCCCACTATCACAAAAAGGGTCTGATAAGCGTGTCATCTGATACCCCAGAAAGCTTATCATTCAATAAAAAAAACTTCTTCCTCCTGAGTTGGTCTAGGAAGATAATTAAGCAACAGTCACTTCCCCGCCCAACTTCTGTCAACCAATTTCACTCTCATTCACTTCTCACACTTCATTTAACCTAATCAACGCGCTGCTCGTCTCATCAGCCTCTGAATGAGGGGCGACTCATCCCCCTCTGTCAGGCTCGGGAAAGACAACGTGTGGTTTTTTATATAGATCCACCGCACAGATAGTCCCCGACTTTTTGTGCATGACGCCCACCCCCGCGCTGCGGAACGTGCCATTCCAGGCAGAATCGATCAACGTCGTATAAATTTTCCACGCTCCAGCTCAGGCAAATGATGATGCGGAACGGGTACGCAGCGAGGGCTGGGAATATGAAAAGTGAAGAGAGCAGGAGTGAAATCATATTGAGGAGAAGTAAAACTGACTACGAAAGAGGCTGAGAGCATGTAAGGATTGAGGAAGGATTGAGGATTACAATTGATCCCGATTAATTTATTGGAAAATACCCCAGAAAAGCACTAAACTATTACTTTAGAGTGGGTTGTAAACTCTTTTTGGGGATAGTGGAAAAGTGGCGGTTATCTTGCTATTGTTGGGGAAATTTATGTGAATTGAGGAGAAAATGCTTCTTACCCTATTTCGTGGTTTTCGGCGCAGTATTACTAAAAATCCAATTCCGTCCCACGTAATAAATTGAATTTCGAGATAAAATGAGTAACTGGAAAATTTACATAACAGTCATGGTTGAGGAAATAAGCACGTATGAAAAAAAAAGTTCTTCTGGTCACTCACTTTTTCCAAAATCTGATACTATGCCTATTTTATCCACTTGCTTTAAAATCCTCAGTGAATCTCCTCTCAAGCCAGCTCTAATAAGTCCTTCGGTTTTCATCTCTCCAGAATTTCCATGCACTTTAAAATCAGACGCTATATTAATGTCTTGAGATGCTGTCGAATATGTCTCAGATGGGAAACAGTGAACAGCGACTAATATCTGTGATTTTATTGTTCATAAACCATCATAATTACTCGTTGCGCGTGAAAGCGTGTTGCGGAAGTGAAATTCTCATGCGACACCATGATTTGAGATTATTATTGTATTTCTCGTAACCACGCTCCGAGGGAGTGATGATAATTCAATTTGCAAGACTAAAAGTAAACACCCCACGGCTCACCCCGTCGTGATTCCGCCACCCTCTGGAGATCATCTCCTCAGCGTCATCCTTTATTGTGGCGCAAATTTCATAAATTGGTTTTATCACACGCTCGTATTGATTTTATTTTATTTCCGGATAATGTGTGACTGAGGATGTCCGCCCGATGGGAGGCGCCAGAAGAATGGTTCTACAAAGCCGGAATTTGTTATCTGTTATTTGATGAACTCTCATATTGACTTCCGCTTGGAATCAAGTGTACAGAAAGGAAGAGGTTGCGAGAGGTCGAGCCTATAAATGAGGGTGAAAAAAAGCGTCTATTTCACCGTGTCAAGTGAGAGTGTCTCGTGCAAACCCGCCCTCATCTTCCAAGTGGAGCGGCACGAGAGAAAATTGAACTTCTCCCCCTGCTCTCTGTGGAGGCAGCATTGAAGGCTACAGGACTGTTTCATGCTCTAATTGAGGTACAACCACTTTTCAGCTTGCCCTGGAAAAAAAGATGAGATTGTTCAAGTAATAATGCACAGACGTACAATGCAGATGCCAAATCTCCTTATGTTCATCCCTCCTCACGGCTGGCCTGAGTGGGTGGGAAAGATAAATTGCGAAAAAATAACAATGAACCAACAAATAGCGCGATCTACGTGAATGTGACATCATTATGCTGGGCGGTGTGAGTCACATATTCTTTCTCCCTTCGTTCGTCGGAACACTTCTGCCTGGATCCGTCTTCTGGCGAGGTACAAAGCTGAATACGGAATGATGATGACAATGACGAATGTCTTACGTCCTCCCCACAATCACACCACCGAAAGGAATTCCCATCTCAACCTCGTTTTCGGGTGATTGAAGGTGTCATTCCCACCCACTGTGTGAGAACTACACCATGTCTATGCTATCTGTGTACATATAACGACGACAATTCAAAAGTCTCACACGGAAAATTGGATGTGTGATACACATTGAGGGATGACTTTTCAAACGCAAAGACAATATGTTCGCCTTTCTCCCCATTCATCCACTGAGGTGAAGAAAAAATATTGATTCGCCTTAAATTTCATCACTCACGAAGTTAATATAAACGATATAAACTACATTCAAAGACAATTTCACTTCAGCACAGCACTTTTCGTTGGCATTACGTGTGTTTTCTTGGCAAAGCCTTGCCATTGAAACAAATATGTGATATTTTTGTTCAATTTTGATTTCTTCAACGTCTTGCATTTTTCACAGAATTGATGTGTCGGTCATAAGCACAGTGCTTACATACGTATAGAGAATTTAACCCTTGAAAGAAGTGCGCAAATTCGTGGCCCAAAGGAATTTTGTAGAACTTTTTTGGCATTTCGCGTACTTCTTCCACGAATTAAGTGATTAAATTACTATAACAACTCCCTACTTAATAAGTGTCCTAAATTCAACTGCACGACGCTTTGTTTCCAAGTTGAGAGATTTGGCTTTTTCCACAGATCTCCACACCTGCAAATGAGTCGAGAGTGAGTTGAGCGCGTCATGACGGTGCTTGAACGGGTTCACCTTGATTTTGTAATCATCACTGGTAGTAACAAGCATTTCATTGTCCCTAGGATTGAAGGCGACACTGTTGACCACCTCAGTGTGCTGATACTTCGCCAAGCAGACTCCGTAGAATCGATCCCACAGATAAGCATGCATATCCTCAGCGCCACTGAAGAGAAACATTCTCAGACAAATTCTATCTAGATAATACACACAGAAAATCCTTTCTGACCTGGCCACGTAGTTTTCACAGACATCCAAAAAGATGAAAAAGCAATCCGTGTTCGGTGTGTACGCCTTGTGAGCTCTCAGCATTGTTCCCACTCTCTTGAGAGTGGCGAGATCTATCACGTGAATATCAATCTCCTGGGCGATCGGGGGCGGTTCCATGGGATTTGTGATGACATAGTCCTTGGGCCATGGTCGGCTGTTCACATACAAATACCTGTGATCGGGACTGAGTCCCATTCCGATGATATGTCCATGCAGATCTATCAATTTATCCACCTTGTCAAATCTATCCGCCACTGCTTCATAGTTCTGCCAGTCATGCTCCACTCTCGGCTCATTGGCCAACTTCTCCCTGATCCGCTGGGCAATGCGCTCCTTTAAGGACGGTCCCAGATCGAGCTTCTTGGGGAAGTTCACATTTTTAATGCGTTTGAAGCCAATCTGATGCGGCGTGTAAGTTTTCGAGCCCAGTGAGAAGATCAAATATTTTGGACAGAGATTCTCCAAGTCCTCGCCGTCCTCCTCGAACAAGTCCTCATCGTCGTCATCGAAGCAGTCATCGGAGAGATAATCACAGTGGCTGTCCTCGTACTCCCGCCGAAACTCGTCGCTGTAGTGAATGGGACTGGCGTAGTCGAGATTGGCCAGCGGCTGGTAAGGGATGTCCACGCTGTCCATGTGGTGGGAACTCGTGCTCGGACAGGGGCCGCCCATTTTCGTGTGTGATACCGGATTGCCGGCGCACTTGTCCTCCTCGACAGACGTCGATGGATCCAGGAAGACTTCAGAGGGCCCGGCACCCTTCTCCTCAGTCTCTTCGTCCTCCAGCCACGGGCAATTGGCTATCATCACAGCTCTGATGGAGCTTCCGTTGCGATTGTAGAACTTGTAGAGTTGGTTCATTATTGGCACATGTTCCGAGTCGATTTCCTGGTTGGCCTTGTTCAACCAGAGAATGGAAGTGCTGACGAGGTGCGCGAGCCAGTGAATGTCGCCGGAGATGAGAAACTGATCACTGAACCACGTACCAAAGATGTCATAGGGACGATTGAGAATCCGGCAGCGCAACTGTGAGTCCGTCTGGACACTGAACACGGCGATCTCGCCGGAAGACGTTTGTGGAGAGCCAAAGTGAACTCCCGATACCAGCAGGAGTGTGTCACTCTGGTTGAACTGTGAGTACTGGGTGTACTTCCAGCTGAAGTGCTTCATGTTGTGCGAGAAGACCGTCTTGGTGGGGTAAGACGACGTCCACACCTGCAATAATTTGAACCGCATCCAAGAAGTTAAGCATCTCCCTTGGCGCTCTTGGCACAAGATAGCTACACTCACAATCACAAAGCCGTCCTTGGAGCAGGTGGCGAAGTACTTCCCATTGTGTGAGAAGCTCACGTGCAGCACCTGGTGGGTGTGCTCTGTAAGGACGTCCGTGAGCACCATCGGGATGTTGTTGGTGAGGCGCTTGAACTCTGAACTCCATGACTCGGCGCCTTGCGGAGAGACAGAACAAAGAGAAAAAGATGTGAAAATTGCCCAAAAATGGAAGCTGCTTGAAGGACTTCCGGTTAGTTGACTACTCAACAAAGAACCACTTTCGTTTTGTGGTCTTTCGCAATACCTGGCTTCAGGCCAATGTTTCTGTCGACTTTGAAATCCCGATTGAAGAGCTTGCGCCACAGATAGTCATCTCTGGAGATGTCACACCAGCGACGACATGTCTCACCAGCATTCAGGATCTCCCTGGGCGTCAGCAGGAAGAAGATCTTGAGGAGAATTGGCTCCGGGATGAGATGCCAGTTGGAGTACATCTCCTCCTGCTCACTCTCCATCGTCACACACACACAATAGTTCCCTATTTGTAACTCTCTGCACTTCCTCGTCACTCCTATTGGCACATCCTCGAGGGAGAAGCCACACAATCCCTAAGCGAACTGGGCCAGAGTTGTGAAAATGCCCAACGACACAGAGCGACTTGTCAATGCACAGGTGAAAATCAGCTGTTTAGACGAGGGAAGGGAGGCAGCTTCCATTCTCCGCTGTGCTGGTCCGCTTCCCCTCTTCTGTCGTCGAAAGCAGGGCCGCTCGCAGCGGACGTTTATACCAGTGCCGTCAGGAGGAAAATCCAGTGAAAATGAGTGACACGGAGGAAAATGATATCCACGCCAGGCACCGGAAGGAGCGTAAGGAGATGCAGGCGAAGATTCAGGAGCTGAAGAAGGCGTCTAAGAGTGATAAGAAGAAGAAGAAGGAGAGCCTCGAGGAGATCGCTAGACTCGAGAGTGAATTGGATGAGAGACACGCTGCCGAGTTGAACGGCATCAATCGGGAGCACAAGGAGCGGAAGGAGTCCGAGTCCACAGATCCTGAGGAGAGTCATGACAAGAAGAGTCGCCTGTCCAAGGCACAGCGTCGCCGAGAGAAGAAAGAGAAGGAGGAGCGTGATCGAGAGGCAATGATTCTGGCCGCGGAGGCTCTGAATATCAACACTGCCCGTCAGCAGGAGTGCACTGCCATCCGCCAGCTGTTGCAGGCTCGGAAGCTGGCCATGCACGAAATCCCCTCTGACGGGAATTGCCTGTACAATGCGGTGAATCACCAATTGACAGTGACCGGCCGGAAGGCACTGGATGTCACTCGACTGAGAGGTTTAACGGCTGACTACATCTTCGCCAACAAGGACTCCCTCCTGCTGTACATGACCAACCAAGAGACGAACAATCCGCTCACAGACGCGGAATTCAGCAAATACTGCGACTCCGTGAAGAACACCGCAGCCTGGGGAGGCCAGATCGAGATCAAAGCACTGTCGCACAGTCTTCACGTGCCCATCGAAGTTATCCAGGCCGCAGGCCCACCCACCGTCCAGGGAGACACTGAGTTCGAAGGCCCCAATCTCGTACTGACGTACCACCGCCACATGTACAGCCTCGGAGAGCACTTCAACTCCACCAAGGTCGCTCCCGACACTCCCGAGGACAACTAACCAACCCACCATTGTGATGTTTCTCAAGCAACTACGCAGTAATCGTCTTATTGGCTCATCATCCGGACAAAGATACAACCGCAGGAATCACTCGGGAATACATTTGAAATAAGTTACGGCTGATGAGATCAAATCTACTGCTTTTGCTCCTCCTTGGCGGCCTCCTCAGCGTTCTGAGCACCCTTATTGGGATCGTCTGGCTTCATTGCCGGGAAGAAGAGAACCTCCTGGAGAGAAAACACACAATTCATCAATTTTTTATGGGTATTTTGTAGTCATTTGTGACAATATACTCAGCAAAATACCAATGTTTACAGGATTCAAGATCACACATTAACTATTGAAAGAAATAATTAAATAAAGTCTCACCTTGATGTTATTGGAGTCTGTGAGGAACATCGCTAGCCTGTCAATGCCCATGCCCCATCCTCCCGTCGGTGGCATTCCGTATTCCAGGGCCGTGCAGAAGTTCTCGTCCACAAGTTGAGCCTCATCGTCTCCCGCCGCCTTGTCGTTGGCCTGCTGGGCGAATCTCTCGCGCTGTACCAGCGGATCGTTCAATTCCGTGTACGCATTGCAGACCTCCTTCTTCATTATGAACAGCTCAAAGCGCTCCGTGAGACCCTTCTGCGCCCTGTGGTACTTCGCCAGTGGGCTCATGATCTGCGGATGGTCACAGATGAAAGTCGGATTGATGCACTTCTCCTCGAGGAACTCGCCCACGAGTTTATCCAGCAGACGAGCCGACGTCCTAGGCGCTGGACACTCAACCTGATGCTTCTCGCACAGGCGACTCAGGAAGTTGTTGGTTTCCGGTGTGGCGAAAGTATTAGCGGCTGGGAATTTCTCCTTTAGCACCTCCTCAAGACTCGATATCATAGAGATTCGCCTGAATGGGGGCGTGAAATCGATTTCCAGCTCTTCTCCCTCTGCTCCATTCGGATGGTACTTGACTTTGTAGCCGCCGAAGATGGACTTCACCATCCCAGACACAAGCTTCTCCGTGATCTCAATCAAATCATTATAGTCCGCGTACGCCATATAAAATTCACACGTTGTGAATTCTGGATTATGCGTGAGATCGATGCCCTCATTTCGAAACTGCCTGCCAATCTCATACACCCTGTCCAGACCACCAACAATCAGCATCTTGTGGTACAGTTCAGGAGCAATCCTCATGTAGAGATCCATGTTCAGCTCATTGTGATGCGTCACGAAAGGCTTCGCTGTGGCTCCACCCGCGATCATATTCATCATAGGCGTCTCCACTTCCAGGAAGCCCTGACTATCGAAGAACTGCCGGATGTAGGAGACAATCTTGGCGCGAGTGTAGAAGATCTGACGCACACGATTGTTCAGAATCAGATCCAAATATCGCTGTCGGAAGCGTGTCTCCTTGTCCTTGAGCCCAAAGTGCATGTGAGGCAGCATATGAAGACACGGAGAGAGCAGCTTCACCTGGAAAGGTGCAAAAACACCTTCAGACCTATTACTCACACACTTTATCTGATGCAATACAGAGATTGCATCAGAATTCAACTCACCCGCTTGGGCATGATGGACAGTTCGCCCTTCTTAGTCTTTCCAGGGCATCCATTCACCCCAATAATATCTCCTCGCCTGACTCTTCCCGTCTCCTCCGCAAAGTCCTGCTCATTCTCATACATCTTTGCATTGGCCATCACCTGAAGCTTCACGCCTTCACCTCGCAAGTCGAAGAAAATGAGTTTGGCGCCAGATTCGCGGATGGCATGCACCCTTCCAGCCACGCTCAACTGCACATCCTCCAGTACTTCTCCGTCCGTGAGATTGGAGTACTTCTCAATAAACTCCTCCAGAGAGATGCTCACGTGAAACTTGTGAGGATAGGGATCAGTCTCTGGGCGCTGCTTCAGTTCCGCCACAGCCGCTGTCCTGAGCTTGAAGTACTCATTCGGAGAGATTTCCTCCTCATTCACCTTCTCAGGTTTCTTCACTGCAGGCGCAGCGGCTGCCTTTTCCGCCTTCTCCTTGGCCTTCTGTTCCATCTTCTGCCGGCGCTTCTGTTCACTGCAAAGGGAAGACACAGGGAAGGAATGAGAATTCTCCGGAACGGCAGCATAACCTCAAATTTACATGGTAAGCGATGTGAAAATCAATCTATTGGGTGGATTTTTGTTCATAATTTTCGCCAAACTCATCAACTGCGACCGAGCGGTGAGGATATTCAGCATTGGACGCATCTCGATGGGCAGGTGAGTTGTATAAATCTTTACACGTGTCGCAAAGTGCAAAAAAATTGCATTGAATGGGAAAATCACTATGAAAATGCCTTACTTCTTCGACAATTGTTCACCACCGTCGCTCATTGCTACACACTTTACTACACAGTACGATAATTTAGTAATAAATAAAGATTAATACGAGGGAATATCAGTATTTCCTCACGCGTTTCTGCCGAAAAAACGCAACCAGAATGAATGAATGGCGATTGTCAGCTTCCCAGTTTGCTTGTGCCAGAAACTTATAAGAAACGCGTTTGCGATCTGTAAGCGGTACGCAAACTTATGCGCGCATAAATTTGAAACTTCATAATTATTTTCTCGTCCAACAGCATTTGTTGTGCATGAAAATGAAAAATACTCTGATTTTCCTATTTCTAAATAGTAGTTTTACAATTTGCGTATATTTTAAAGTGATAACGATGAAAAATTTCATTATTCATGTGTGAAATGGAAAAATTGTAATTTGGCGCCCTAAATCCAAAGCTATCCTGGAAATTGTGATCCCTTATAATATTCTCCCTTGTTCTCATTCGAAGAATTCGAAGTCTCAGATAGGCTGAAGCTTATGAAAATCTTCTGACTTATCAGCAACTTCGTCTGCAGTTACATGGAATCAGGTAAGCTTTTGATATGTGATTTGGCTACTTTGATTCCGGCAGAGAAACTCATATTCAGCACAAAATTCTGATTAATTTCCTAAGAACTGCATTCTAGGTGTGAAAGGGATCAAAATATATGTTATTTTCATAATCAATCACATTTCAAGGTCAAGTTTACTCCTGATCCTAGATCAAGTCCGATATCCCAGAGCCCAACATCTAGCCAAACGTAGCAAACTATCCAATAAATTCATTTCAGGAAATTCTGCACGTTGCTCAATAATAATCGAGTTTTCATCATACACTGTATTTCACGCCAATCGGCAGAACGCCAGATAGAACGCTTTCAGTCGGTGTTGAGCTCTTGCAAGAGCAGAAGTGTGTTTTGTTGATAAATCTTCCAAATTCCCCGTCTGCCGAACACATTGACCCGAATTCATTAAGTACATTCTGTGATAAGGTTCAGGCTCAGGGCAAGTTTAATCCACTTAAATTCGCGAGTGTTATTTAATGACAATGAAAAATTTGCTAATCCCTTCCTTACTGATTCATCAAACATAATACCTGAAGTGTGAGTCATATGGCAATTATTTTACATCCATTATCTTTTGCTCTTATATGTGCGGAAAACTCCACGTTTATAACTTCACTAAAAAAAATTATATAGCCACTGAAAGTATTTATAGATTGTATTTGTTTACGTTTCGTCTGATTCAGTTTTAGTGACGCAATTGGAGGCCACCACTTTGATAAGAGATTCAATTCTCTCTTTTTTTTTGATAGATGAGAAAGCTTTTATTGAGCAGTTATGACATCACTTTATTGTAATTTAGAGAACATGCGCGAGAGCACATGAAAGTTGTACAGCGATGTGAATAATTATAAGTTCATCCATATTTCTGTGAATCGTCCTTGGTGGCAATGAATTGTACTAGCCATATGCTTAGGTAAAATCGATAATAACTCTCTGGCACGGTCTCTGGGTTATTGTACGATTCTATAGCTATAGCGAAAGTCATGTGAATTTATTGATTTGTAACACACTCCGAATCTTATGTGATTTTTTTGTAACATTCTGGCTATTAAAACTTTAACTATTTTGTTTCTTGCAATTTGAATTTCTACTTATCAGCCAGCAAAAACCCACAACGTGATTCAGTACTTATTTGAATTGGCAATAAAGTGTCTAAGTAAAAGTCTTTGTTATCTATCACATGTGTAACCATGGCCAACTGTAGCATCCTAACCGATCATATGAGAGCAATGGCGGGTGGAGATAGGAATTCATGGACCCTCGTGAATCACGTGCGAATCAGCTGAGGTTTCGCAATGTTATCGATAGCGATTAATGATCCCGGATCACCTGAACTCTCCCCAAATGATTCATGATAGTCATTCCCACGCAAATATGTCACCTGTTGATGTCGCAATTCCAGTCTTGAAGTCGTGTTTTATGATGGTTAAAATGGCAACAAATTTTCCTAATCGCATTGTTCGTATGTATTGCGAAAGAATTCGTTTTTTGGTATGGAAAAGTGCGCCTCAACCAATAAATTCGCCCATTCATATCGCGCAAAATACATTCTTATCACAATTCCATCGTCATAAAATAAAGTCGATAAAGGAATCGCGTTCTGCGCTAAGCTTCACCACACTTCGGCTCTTTGGTCACTTTTCCGCCTCGATATTACTCAGTTCACCTGACCAGCTCGCAGAGAAAGGACCGAAAAGTGAAAAGCTCTCGCGATAAGTTGAATAGGCTGTCTAGCCATAGACAAAGTGATCCTATTGACCAAGTATCTGGTGAAGTGTTAGAGAGTATTAAATAACCTATTGAATTTCTTCACTGGGTGGGAAAAAGGTGATTCATTTAATGATTTTGAGAAGAGAGACTTGTAAATAAAAGTATAAGTGTACTTGAGAAGGCAATGTCCACCGTCTGCACTTGAAAGACCTTGTCTGAGGGTTTTATCATGAAAAGCAATTTTGGGGGAGTTTTCCGGAGAATTTTTTCTTCACAGTGCCATGATTTTCTAATGAAAAGAAATGTTAACTTTTTACTAGATCAATTCTAATTTAATGCCACTGAGCAAAAACTGTGCAATTCATAGTCATCAAACTCTAATTCGAGTTATCATTATCGCCAATATCATGTGATGGTATTACAATATCAAATTATTTCATGCTACACCCTTTCGAGTATTTCCTGATATGCGAACTTCAAATGAAACGTTTTATCTTTGGGACATATCGTGGGATTTGTGGGGCAAAATTTCATCCACTTTCGTCAACTTATCTGTCAAGTACGAACAGGTGTAAAGAGAGAATTTGTATTTTGGCAACAGAAAACCACTCAAAACTCTTTATCACAACACCCACAATTTGGAGGAATTAATCTAAAATCAATACGCAAACCTCGAAAGTCTGAATTAATGTCACTTGCTGGGAAGTAAGATAAGAGTATTTCATTTGTTGAAATATTAATGTTCAATCCATTTGCATCCGATGATTATCATAACTCTCCCACAATTAGATATGTCTTTTGGTTGTCTGAGTAAAGTGTTTATAATACGCTTTTATATAAATTATTACTTAAGTAATGAGAAGGAGAATTTACACGATATCGCGTCAACATGCACTTTTCTCTCTTACATTATTTAAAAAGGACACGCGTGAAAAAGTTTGTGGTGAACTTGATTTTTCCCAGGAAACTAATAAAAAATGGCATTGCTGGAGTTTATCAGCGAGATATAAATTTTCCCATTGATAAGCTTCTCCCTGTGATACAGTCATAATGGCACATTACGTCAATGTTTACCATTCCAGAGCTTCCTTTTATGATCTGGACGTATAAAGATAAGCAAAATGAAATTACCATGTGAAAATATCAATAATATTTTTCCCAATCTGCAAATATTTTCAAGTAATGACGATGGAAACAACCAGTCCGAGAAAATGGAGCAAATTTTCTCTGCTCATGTGGAAGAATTTCCTCCTAATGTGGCGCCACAAATTCAACACCATCCTCGAAATTGTCATCCCTGTACTGATAACATCCCTCCTCGTTGTCATTCGAAGTCTCTCAGAGCCTGAAACTTACGAAGATCCCCTGACTTATCAGCGACTGCCTCTGCAATACATGCAATCATTCAGGTAAATTGTTGATAGTGCGTGAGAATCAATAAAATTGACCTCTTTTACTGTAACATCACACAGACCGCCTAAAATTGATACTGATATGCAGGAACTCATCTCAAAGTTCCTCGGACCACAATTAAAAACGAAGATATTGACGAAGTATGTAAAACAGTGGAGTTTTGTCACTTTACACTCTATTTAGAACTATTATATTGACTGAAAGTCTCTAAAATCGGTCAAAATTGTATTCTTATAATACTGCACTAAATGTTAACCACGCAATTAATTTTATTGATCAAAAGTAGAGGTGGGAAATCTGGGTAGAACCGAACAAAGTGCTTGCAGCACAATACAATTATCCCTAATCACATTCTTGCATGCCTCAACAGGTGTTTTTCTCCAATGAAATTTTAATCGGAAGTGAAATAGGATTAAAGTGCTTTCTCTTTCGGCTAAAAGCACTGAACTCACTATTTTCGTATCTTATAGTTTGCACTAAATATATGTGTAGTTGTCGTCTATTGTAATATTTAACATTTTCCTCCACTAAAACTAATTCTCGGGATATTTTCCTCACAATTGCAGATATAATGCAAGCAATTTTATAGATTTGATCGACTGGAGAATCGCCTATTCACCATCACCGAGTCCTCTGGATGGCCTTATGAATGTCGTGAGCGAAATGCTAAATGTTACAATAAATGCCTTGGAGAACTCATCCGTTCTGGCTGATATCATGCAAACCTCACCACGCCCACGACCTTTTGCTGGAATCGCTTTTGACGATGAATATGCTTCATTGGGAGGTCTGCCAGATCACATGAACTACGCAGTGCGCTTTCCAGCTGAATTGCGATCGAGGCAAAATGAAGAGGATATATTAGGCGCCAATTGGCAAACAGGACGACTTTTCCCGGAGTTTCAGTCCATTGGACCAAGAAATAGGAATCATTCAGACGGTGGAATACCGCCAGGATATTACAGAGAAGGATTCGCAGCGATTCAGCATGCTGTGTCTGTCACTTTCATTGAAATGAAGAAGATCAATCCGGAAACAATCATTCCAACAATCTTCCTGCAACGATTCCCATATCCACCATTTACAAGAGATGTTCTGCTTGAAGTTATCACGCTGATCATACCCTTCATGATTCTGGCCAGTTTCCTGATTCCATGCATCAATAATGTCAAGTACATTACGCTTGAGAAGGAGAAACAACTGAAGGAAGTCATGAAGATCATGGGTCTGCCCAATTGGCTACACTGGACCGCGTGGTTCTGCAAGATTATGATCTTCTTTCTTATTTCCATCACATTGATCACGATCTTGCTGAAAGTCTCCTGGTTTCCTGACACTTACATCGCCGTCTTCACGCACACACAGTGGACAATCTTGTGGTTCTACCTCTTCATCTACAGCATAGCGACGACAATGTTCTGCTTCATGATGAGCACCTTCTTCTCCAAGGCCAATACAGCAGCTGCTGTGGCGGGTCTCATCTTCTTCATCTTCTACGTTCCCTACACCTTCACCGAACAGAACTACGATCAGTTGTCTCTTGCTCAGAAACTTCTAGTCTCCATTTTTCACAACACTGCCATGAGTTTTGGCTTCTTGCTGACACTGAAGCACGAGGGGAACATGGAAGGATTGACTTGGAATAATCTCTTCCGCCCTGTCACCATTGACGACGACCTCACTGTCGGTCACACAATGATTATGATGATAATAACTGCACTAATCTACTTGGCTATCGCATTATATGTGGAGAAAGTATTCCCTGGAGAATTTGGTGTGGCTTCTAAGTGGTATTTCCTCTTCACAAGGAAATTCTGGTGCGGCCAGGATGACTACAATGGTGTTGAAGATGTTGTGACATCACAAAATACAAAGTTTTTCGAACCAGGCCCCGCGCGAAAACACGCCGGTGTTCAAGTTAAAGGCCTAAGAAAAATGTACAGCAATAAGAAAGTTGCTCTTCAGGGACTCACAATGAATATGTATGATGATGAGATTACGGTTTTATTAGGACACAACGGCGCCGGTAAAACGACAACCATGTCGATGCTAACGGGCATGTTTCCACCAAGTTCTGGCACAGCTCTGGTAAATGGAAAGGACATCAGATTGGACATCGAAGGAGTTAGAAACTCCCTTGGACTCTGTCCGCAGCACAACATTCTGTTTGACAATTTAACCGTGAGAGAGCATATTAAGTTCTACAGTCGACTCAAAGGATTAGATAACAAGCAAGTAGATGCTGAAGTGAAGAAATACGTTGGAATATTGGAGTTGGAGAACAAAATTGATGCACTGACCAAAACCTTATCTGGAGGAATGAAGCGGAAATTATCAGTGGGTGTTGCTCTGTGTGGCGGCTCAAAAGTCGTACTTTGTGACGAACCTACATCTGGAATGGATCCTTCGGCTAGACGAGCGCTCTGGGATCTTTTGCAGGCTGAGAAGAAGGGGCGCACAATTCTCCTATCCACACATTTCATGGACGAAGCGGACATTCTAGGTGATCGTATTGGAATTCTCTACGATGGAGAGCTGAAATGTTATGGATCGTCGTTCTTCCTGAAGAAAACCTTTGGCATGGGATATCATTTGGTAGGTGAAAAAATTTGTAGACAACAAAATATTAGTCCTTCATACTATTTTTCCATTGTAGATTTGCGTCAAAGGACCTCATTGCAACACCTACGATATTACGAATCTTCTCGATCGTTACGTTCCGGGAATCAAAGTTGAGAACGACATTGGTACTGAATTGTCCTACCAATTGCCAGATAGTGCTTCTAAAATGTTCCAGCCTATGCTTAAAGAACTGGAAGAGCACTCGACAAAGCTAGGCATCGATAGCTATGGTATCTCACTGACAACGCTTGATGAGGTCTTCATGAAGGTGGGATCAGATTATCAGAACGGAATGATACACAATAATAACAACACCACTCTTGATACCACGAATGGCAATGGAAATTACACCAGCGGCGATTCTGAGAGATCTCTAAACTCTACTGATACCATTCATCTTTTAACTGGTTCAAAGCTCACCATCAATCAATGGCGTGCCATGTTTATGAAGAAAGTATTCTACACGATCCGTAACTGGATTCTACTCTTTCTGCAGAACCTAATTCCAGTATGTTTCCTAATCATGAGCATCTTGATTGCGAGAACTTTCTCAGTGAATTGGGTTCTGCCGCCTAAGACTATGTCATTTGAGCCCTACACAAACAATCCAGTGACCATGGTGCAGCGGAACTACTTCGTTGGAACAGATCCTGAACTGGCTATCAACATCTTCAATGAATATGTGGCGATGTTTGATAATCCACCAACGGAGAGAACGCTCATTCAGACGGACATGGATATGGAATTAAAAGCATTGGAGGAAGCTGGGAGGAATATTGTGGCTTTCAACAGTAGATACTTGGTTGGAGCGACAATATCAGGAAATGAGATTACCGCTTGGTTCAACAACCAACCTTTTCACACTATTCCACTGAGTCTTGATACCGTCTACAACGCAATCCTCAGAGCAACTTGTGGCCAACAATGTGGCATCACAGTCACTAATCATCCTGTTCCGTTCACCTATGAGTCTCGCTTGATCATCCTCAGTGTTGGAAACAACATGGGTTTCCAATTAGCCATTAACATAGCATTCGCCATGGCCTTCGTTGGTGCCTTCTTCATCATGTTCTACATCAAGGAACGGATGTGTCGAGCCAAGTTGCTGCAGTTCGTGTCCGGCGTGAATGTGTTCACATTCTGGTTCACCGCGCTCATTTGGGATTATATAGTGTACCTCGTCACAGCGTGCCTTATGATCGCCACCCTTGCAGCCTTTCAGGAAGAGGGATGGTCTGAAGGACCTGAACTTGGACGCGTAATGGCCTTGCTAGCCTTCTTCGGATTTGCCATGATGCCTATTGTCTACCTCTTTTCTCTACTCTTCGAAGTGCCATCGTCAGGCTTTACCAGAATGTCCATGATTGGAATCTTCACCGGAGTGGCCTTCTTCCAGGTTGTCTTTGTACTGCGAATTCCATCGCTAGAACTAGTTCACATCGCTGACGGATTAACCTGGGCCTTCCTGATCTTCCCCTTCTTTGCCCTCTCAAATGGACTGAGCAACATCAACACTCTCAACACCATCATTCCATTCTGCAACAGTGTTTGCAATTGGCCATCGGAAGACTGCTGCGTTGAGGATCTTCCTGACACATGCTGTGTCGGAGGATACTTCGACTTCAAGGCGCCAGGCATCGGCAGGGATCTCACATACATGGCTGTAGTGGGATTGATTATGCTGGTGATCCTGCTGCTGAAGGAAACACGAGTGCTGGAAGGAGTGTTCTACCGCGGAAAGAATGTCGTTGATAAAGTCACCATCCCGGAGACTGAAGAGGAGGGAGGCTTACTGGATGACGATGTGAGAGATGAAAAAGAGCGTGTGAGAGAAATGACTCTGACGGACATTGAGAACCACAATCTCGTCCTCAAGGATATGACAAAGTACTACGGGAAGTTCTTGGCTGTTAACCAACTGTGTGTGGGCGTAGAATCGTGAGTTTCTCCATCATTCAATTCGTGATATTAGATTTTACTAAGGCTTACATCTTTCCAGGGGATCCTGCTTTGGCCTTCTAGGTGTGAACGGAGCCGGAAAGACCTCGACATTCAAGATGTTAACTGGTGATGAGATTATCTCTAAAGGCGAAGCCTGGGTTCGTGGGATCAGCATCAAAACTGATATGAAAACAGTTCATCAGATCATCGGTTACTGCCCTCAGTTCGATGCTTTGCTAGATGATCTCACCGGACGAGAGACTCTGTACATCTATTGCCTTCTGCGAGGAATCTCCACTGTTCAGATGAAAGAACTCAGCGAAAGCTTAGCGGTGGAACTCAACTTTATGCAGCATATCGACAAGAAAGTCAAAGAATACAGTGGAGGCAACAAGAGGAAGCTCTCAACGGCCGTATCTCTGATCGGAAATCCACATGTGGTGTATTTGGACGAGCCGACAACCGGAATGGATCCCGGAGCAAAAAGACATCTGTGGAATATCGTCTGCAAGAAGCGCGACTCTGGAAAGAGTATTATTCTAACGTCACACAGCATGGAAGAGTGCGAAGCGCTGTGTTCCAGACTGGCCATCATGGTGAATGGGGAGTTCAAGTGTCTCGGAAGCACACAACATCTGAAGAATAAATTCTCCAAAGGCTACATCCTCGTCGTGCAACTCAAGAGGGACTTCGAGGACAGGTAATGAATTCTTAATGAAAACACTTTCCCCTTTCAGGAGATCTCGTGCTTAATCCCAGGATCTTTAAATTCTATTTAGATTGCGACAGGCTGTTGAAGAGTCCGAAAACTTTGGCCACAAGAAAGTCCGAAGAGGATTTCTTAAAAGGTATCCCAAATAAACTGATCTCACCTTAAACATTCCTAAGACAAACGATCAGTCATTCACACGAGGAGTCACCAGAAAAACACGCCGGAAATGGGACATAAGCCATTGAAAAGAAACATAATCAGCAAACAGAACGGCTTCTTAGAGACCTAAGTTTTTCTTTGAATTCACTAACTGGGTGTTTTTTTTTTCTTTGCTCCGCAGTCTTTCCCTAGTCGAGGATGCTGCTGGGACTTCGGATAGTGGCGATAATCCAGAAGGAGAAATCAATGAAGCTGTCAAGAGGGTGAAAGATTACGTATTAGCCAACTTCACAAGTGCGATACTCAGGTAAGAAGACCTAATGTTGATCAGATGAATTGCTAAATGGCCTCTTTTCCTTGACAGGGAATCATATCAGGGCAGACTGACCTTCTATATTCCGACCACAAATCTCAAGTGGTCCAGCATGTTTGGACTCATGGAGCAAGCGAAGGAGACGCTCAACATTGAGAGCTACTCTCTCAGTCAAACGAGTCTGGAGCAGGTGTTCCTCTCCTTCACGAAGAAGCAACGTGATGAGAGTGAGCAGAACCAGAAGAGTTAATGCAAGAACACGCTGACGACGATGGCGAATGACCATTGATAAAAATTCTAGTGATTTTCTACACAATTGTATTCTCTAGTTGTGAAATAGACAAATTTCAGTGATTTAATGAAAGCGTGAATTTACTTGGTCAGCAGGAAGCGAATGTTGTCATCGCACGCGACGTCGTGGCACGTTTGATCCTGGTCATCCTTGATACTCGTGTCGGCTCCCGCGTCCAACAGCATCTCGGCGCACTTTGGGTGGCCACAGAAAGCGGCGTAGTGTAGAGGTGTCTGTCCGTCCTCATCCAACACATTCACGTTGACTTCTGGACGCTTCAGAAGCAGTCGCAGCATCTCACTTTGCCCTCGATCGGCTGCCCAGTGCAGAACACTCAATCCAGTTTCATCCAGAATGTTTACATCCTCGAAGTTCTCGAGCGCCTCAACGAACTTCTCAAAGTTCTTCTGCTGCACATGGTCGTAGATTGTTTTGTCCTCATCTTGAATATCGTCATCCTCGGGTTTTTGCGTGGAAACCGAGACCCAAGACTTTGATTTAGATCCTGAGACTTCAGAAGGCGAAAAATTACCGTTTTTTCGCACAATTTCTACGTATTTCTCCAAAGCTGCCTCTCTTTGGGTTCCCTTCACTCTATTCCAAGCATCCCATTTGGCCCTCTTAGCCATTTGTAAGATTCCTGGGCGATTTCCTTCGCAATCTCCCGCCGTTGATTGCTTGTACCAAGCGTAGAGCTCCAAGAGCTGCTCCTGAGTGAAATTCTTCACATTTTCCTCCACATATTTTGTTGCTGCATTGAATGTCCCCTCCAATTCACTCTCCTCTTCGATAAAATCCATGTCAATCATCCTCCGGAAATCTCTAACTATTCTAACGATACTAAGAACTCTAAAGCTTCTGTCTACTAGTTGTTCTTGTCCAGATGAAGAGTGTATCCCTCGAGAATGTGCTGCTGCTTGCTCTCTACATTCTCCAGGCCCTCTTTGTTCAGGCTCACGAAGCCGTATCCTTGCGAGAGACCGGTATTCTTATCGAAGACCACGTTAGCCTGAAGCACCCGGCCAAACTCGGAAAAGTACAAGCGCAGCTCCCGAGTGCCGACAGTCCAAGGAATGTTTCCCACAAACAGCTTGTACACGTTTTTCGTGCTGGCCATCACAACAAAGCGATCTTTGAAGGATTTCCGCTGAAAAAGAAGGAAATTGTAAAAAATCTTCAAGTGTTTACAGGTTAGTTTTGAAAAACTGTGACATCACTGTGAAAATTAATCTATTATTCAAAAACAATTACCTATCACCTTTCCGGGGAACTTATGAATGATTTCTTCGCAAAGTCAGTGTGAAATTCCCTTGAATATTTGCTAAAACACCAAGGAAATGTTATTACGAGCCGCAATGAAGAAAGCACTCAACGAGGAATCAGCCATCAACGTTTAAAAACTACGTGTAATTAAAGCGATTGATTTTCCCATGGAGGCGATTCATTAATGAATTATTACATAATCTTCTCTAATGTAGTTCTTTGAATTTGCCTACACTTCATTTGGATGTTTCCGCTTGACCTTCTCAAAATCGTATTTTTCACACATTTATTACTCTCATAAATCGTATTTCATACGGCACGTATCAAAATATTTCCATTTTTACAATTCGGCGGTTGGCATCCCTGTCAGTCCATGGTGGTCGTTTTGCGGTGAAGTTCACACTGGTGAAAGTGTCAGATGAGGCCAAGGAAACACAAAAACCATTCTGGCTCAGCATAATACCAGTCGAAAAGTCTCTGAAAATGGATAATGTTGGAGTGAAAAGTGCAAAAATGTGCACCAAGTGAGACGTGGAAGTGCATGCAAGTCATCATAGCAGTGAATTGTCGAGGCGATTTCCTACAGAGCGAGATTTGCAGTGTCCTAGTTTTCAGCACAAAAGAGAGGAGAAATCTTCAACTTTATTGGCAATTTTCACATCCCAAGAAAAGCACTCGAGGCAGTATTCTTGAGGTGTTTCCCACGCCATTCCGCGGTTCTGGACGTGGAGCAGTGCCAGGAGGCAACGAGGCATGATCCTGCAGTGGATGAAAGGTGTTTTTTAGTTGCAAAAGTGTGGCAAAAAACGTCTGGAAAGTCCGTGAAAATTTTGAGTGCGCAGTGGGAAAATCCCCAGTGAATGCTCATGTAAAGGCCAAGTTGCTGTCTTGTGTGGAAAATTGCAAGGGAAAGGAGTAGTTTTCCGACGTGATCTCCCAGAGGTTCTGACCACAAACCATTTGTGGGGTCTTGAAAAGAGAAAGAGGTTCTGTGCTTGTGTGCGTATTGCTAAATATTGTGTAAATCGCATTGAACGCTTGTGAAGACCAAACAAAAAGGTGAAAAAAAGGCCAAAGTTGGGCCTTTTTCCCATCAAGAGCGGGAATTCGCAGTGCTTCTGGATGTCGTGGAGCCTCTAAGGGGGCCACTTGAGGCAGAATAGCGACTCCCAAACTTCCTGTTGGCGCCCAGCATCGCCGCAGATAAGAGAACTTGGTCATAAAGTGCTCTGGCAGTGACTCGAGTGTCGGTCCAGGCAAGAAGTCAGTGAGGGATTTACCGAGAAATCCATTGATTCATCCTCAGTGTGTGCAAGGAAGGAATATCTGTGGCAAAAATGTCTTCGAAAAACATACCTGCAGATAAGGTAAGTCCCTTTCTACCTGCCTTATTCCATTCAGCTCTCTTTGTTGGCTTTGTTGTCGTCCCACGAAGCGAGCAGGAAGCTGGTTGCGTCAGCTGATAAGCCCCGAGTGCCTCATTGGGCGCTCTCTCCTCCGTCAGAGTATCAAAAAATAGCCCAGCGAGTCGTTTGCGGACATTTTCGTGACATTTGAAGGATTCCGCACACATTTAGCTCTCTGACTCTCTGCCTTTGCTCTCTTCCTCTCTTTTGTAACATTGGAATTATGCAGGAAATATGGTGGTAAACCCTTGAACAAACCTTCTGACCTGCTCACGCTTTTTGGATCTATGATTACAAAGACGTCTGTCTGGTAATAAATTAATATTTGAATTTAATTACTCATACAGCTTATCGAGAGTGAGATTAGAATTGCAAAGTATTTACAGAGGGGATTAATTATCAACAAAGATAAGGCATAGTGTGATAAAGATTGAGTTTTTGCACACAATGAAATCATAATGAAATTGGTCTGGGAAAAATGTAATGAACTTTTCAGTGATGACAACTGTCCAGAGTGGGCGGGCACTTCGAGAGGGCGGGGCGTAATTCCCTTGAATGGACTCGATGATGTGTTCGTGCAACTTTTAATTGTGGCCTGGCAAAGAGTTTAATAAGCACATTTGCGCAAATTTAAATTTTGTTCCACAAACAAAAGCTGTGATTCCTCGTGGGATCCCCAATTTCCCATTCTCCCAATGTGATTCACTCCCATCCATAAATGCGAATCTGCATGGAATATTTGCACTCGTCATTCATATTGATTTCTGTGTGAGAGGTGTGCACCGAGGGACGAGGGAGTGTGGGCGTTGATCATTTGAGTGACACACCTTTGAATCGGCCACCCGCTGTGGCGCGAGAGTCAAAGGCAAAGTTCCCCAAACTAATTCGTAAATACGATTTTGCACCCTTTCCCTCCATTTCATGCCGTGGGGCGCAGAATAAATGGCACAAAGTCACCGAATGGGGGCTTGAAATAAAGGGTTTTGGGTGGTGGGTGATTCATTGAGGCCTTTTCACGCGACAATAGGCAAGATTTTTTTTTGACTGTTTTGCTTGACTGAAATTTAGATGAAAATGTATGTTTTATAATTAGGTTTTGATTGCAAAACCTTGATTTCTTTTGAGTTTGCGTATTTGCCTTTACCATATTTTTCATTAGTAAAAGGTTTTCATATTGTGTAAGTCAAATTCGTTGTGAAATTGGTCCGGAAGATCCCACGGTCTCTGTATAAGCCCAAGAGTTGATATGCTAATGCATTTCCCGACATTGCTAACGTCCTCTAGTAAAATTTATCAGAAATATGAAAGAGCGCTATACTAGTAAAACTGAGAGAGTCCACTCTCTCTTTTCTTGTGAAATTTTTTCTCCTCACGTCAGCAGTAAATGGATGCTTTTAAGAGTCTTACTTCCTTTACTTCTTCCTCTTTCTCTTCCTCCTCAATCGAACATTCTTCATTTGCCATTAGGAGGATTTTCGTCGATATATTCTTCCTGCGCGTCAACTTTTATCCCAGGAAATGGTGTGAATTTCCCATTGAAGTCTCAGGGCTGAATTAATTTGTTGTTTGACTGTGTGTATGCGAAGTGGAAATGCGAAATTCCTGTTGGGTTGTCTAATTAGAGCTCAGTGGGATTAAATTTACGCCAAGTTGGTATAAAAGTTTTTAAACAGTGATAAATTTACACGTAATCACTTGTCTCCCAGGCTGTCCAAATATCTTTAAAAGAACACCTCTTATCTCTCTATGTCACGGCTTTAAGTTTGAACTGTTATAAACTTACCAGCAAGTTTCGGGCCAGGACGTTGAACGTCTGTGTGGTTTTTCTGAGTTATGACATGTTTTAATAATAATGGTTGAAATCTTCATCGTTTTTATTAAGACAGAAAATACAGAGCGAAGAAAAAGTTCATGGGGTGCTTTAGCACGTGGTTTTGCTCATATATTGAGAGTGTTATCATGTAAAATATTTTACATATTCACTTCTGTTTGATTGTCCATTCTGACCGGTTTGTAATTAACCTCTGGGAAGATTGAGAAATCTGTTGACAGTAGTTTGTCCCCTCTATTTTTTTCGTGGTCACAAGGTGTCTGAGAAAGTCCGAAGAATGTAATTACAGGGAGACTTTTATTATGCCATTCTCTTGAACTGTCTGTGTTTGAATTGTCAGGTCAAATTGTGTGCGATTCGAGAACGAGGAGGAGCCAAGGCGAGCAGAAGAGAGAGAGACTGTGAAAAGAAAATATTTTTATTAGATTCATCAAGATTCTTTGTGACACACAATTTGAGTTGTGGACTGTTTGTTTGCTATGCGTGGAGGAAAATTCTCTTTCTTGTCTTCTATAGTATATATAAGCATATGTACATATAAGCTCGTGTGTCAATCACCTTAAGCATCAACTATCTCTGTGCCTTGGTGTGTAAATTTCCTCTGCGTGGGGTTTCAATGGGTTGGATTATCACATGCATTTATCCAATTTAAAGCGAGAGAGAGAGAGAGAGAGAGAGAGCGAAAGATAGTATGGGGACCTTCGCAGAGGGCCGTTGCATGTGGTAATGCTGATGCCCGAAGGGAGTTATTGTGTTCCTGAGGGGATGGCAATTGAGCTAGAGTTTTGACAAAATTGTAGATTAAAGAGAAGATTTGCTGACAACATCAAACTGCGTTCAACAGTTCAGTTTGACTGAACATTAGAATGTTGATTATGCGTGAGAATGTGAATGAAACCGATTTCTAATGTGTAATATTTCAGGCATTTTAGGCGCATTATATGGTCTATTAATTTGAAATGTCAGATTGAAAAGAGCGACATGACTTAATTTTATGGGAAATTGAAAGCCTTTAGACAATTCAAATCACTTTCTTCTTGGCTTTTTCAACTTTCCTCTTCCGTTTTCCAAAACAGGCACACACGCACACAGCTTCTGTTTTCACGAGAGGTTGTAAACTGAGAGCTTTTAGCCTGTATATTGGCCCTGTGAGAATTGATAGGAGAATATCAGCATATTGTTTGGGAAATATATATGTCTATTGAAATATTTTGATTGGATGATAGAGAATAAATTGATTCACATTCGAATTTTCTCATCTTTTCTCCTCTTCACTCCATCATCTTCTCACAAGCAGACTGTATAGCAACAGAAAACATAAGCATCTTCTGTTGCACCATCAATTTTGTTATTGGTTTTCTTATTGGTTTCTTTTTCCTCTCGTCCAATGTATATTCATTTAATGATTTTATATCCACTCTCTGTCACTGTCTTCTTGTCTTTTTACTGCCGATCCATGGCAGTATTTACCCAACTTATCTCTCTCTCTCTCACTCTCGTTCTCCCTGTTTCGCTCACTCACTCCACTTTATTCAACTTAATTTCACTGTCTATTTTTTATGAGTGCGCGTCTCTGCCAAAGAGATCGATGTTTATGCAGAACCACCCATGAAAAAGCCTCATATAAGAGGGAAAAACACCAACATATTGTCCATCGATGATACATGTTACGTGCTCTATGTCATAGACAAAACCAGTGAGAGAGTTATTTGAAGAAATGAACAGAACTCACTAGTGTTCAATATGCCTTGTCTTGGCTGTAAAGTCATCGCTGGCAGCGACACTGCATGCTTTCCATCTTGCGCACATGAGGTGGTGAGCTGATGTGCCTCAAAAGTGACCTACTTTCTGTCCTCTCTCTCTCTCTCTCTCTCTTTCTCTCTCTATTGTGATGCCCAGAGAAATGGTGGTTTATTGAAGAAATCCACCCGCCATAGGGAAAAGCTGTCGCCCCTCGAAAGAATAGATGACTGTCGTTGCATTATGGCGAGTAATTGACGAGCATCCCCCAATGCCTATCGCACACAAAGCACTACACCAGCGATTTTTCTCTTCCTCGCAATCATAAATGAGAGAAAGACGCAGCCAGATTTGTTCCACTCTTCATCAACGTCCAGAAACTTCATCAGTGAAACCCGAGAGAGTGATTCATTGAACTCCAGAGAGAAGCTTTCAGCATCATAATCCTCAACTGCTCCCACGCTCTCAGTAAATCAAATCACTCCTTCAGTGTGTTATCATGAAATGTAATAGAAATGAGATTCCCGCATTTTCTGCATGAGGCAAAAACACAATAAAAAAAATGAGAAGAGAGGAAGAATGGAAAAGCAGACGAATGCTAGCGCCTCAGGATGACAGAATTGAATGGGGATTGGCTATGACAAGTCAAATATTGCAGTGACACTTTGCAATTGCACTTAGGGGGATATTCTTCATGATTTCATTAATTTCATTGTCATTTCCTACATCCATAATGCATACAACCACAGTCTGTGTTAATCATCCCACCCTTTAAATCACTTCTACAAGTGTCTGGTCCACCCAGAATGCCAATCGTTATCACTATGAATATCATTATAAGAGGTAAACGGTTATACAAATGTGTTTATTTGCTTGATATTGACTCAGACTACATAATGATGAAATAACACACATTTTGTCCTAGATAATAATCCAAACCTGTGCCTTGAAAATTCAAAATCATTCACATATTTTTCAGCTCATTACAAATTCAAATTTATTTTTCCCTCGAAAAAATTAAGCATTTGCTCAATTTCACGATATTTTGCACAATTTTTCAATGTAAAAATTGTTCATCCATCTCACATTTAAACATCATTACATCACATTATTAGCAATTATTGTACCTAATTATTGTTATTATTGCATACAGTAAAGATAAACACAAACACAGATACAAAGAGGAAACCGAAGGAGACCCACATGATGGTGTATTATCGCGATAATTAATTAAACCTCTCGTACATTTAGCAATTTCACAGCTGATAATGAATATATTTTCATGACTCTTCAGTTTCTCCGCAATTTTGTCAGAATTTTCCAATGAAATGCACTGAAAAAGGAAGAAACAACGAGTAGCAAATTTTCAAGCTCAGCTCGGTCGAAATTCGTGGAAATGTCTTATTTCGCCAAGTGAATTTCATTCTTGAGAAAATTCAATCAACTCTACTAGTGAATTTTTTCCCAAGCACCTCTCTTTCAATAGCAACTCCACATTTTTTTTCGTACAATTCACCATCTCTGACAAAGTGTTGCACAATGGGAAACCACATGAGAAATACATACATTAACCCATCAGAGACGACCGCCAGTGTCTTATATAACAGATGTGAAAATGGTAATTCTTGAATAATTCCCTTTTATTGTGTCACAAGTGCTTCGCCCAAGTGTGTGCACTCAAAATTTCAGGGTGCCCAAAAATAAATGTTTAAAAAATGCCATAAAAGTCAGCACTTGGTGTGAATGGGTTAAGAAATATAAACAGTAGAATTACAGCAGAAGTTGCTCCAATGTGAAAATTTTCTGGAGTGGTTTTCTGAATTGATTGTGAAAACGGCGAGCGACAAGAAAGCATGGCAAAAAGCTCTCGACATTAAATAGAAATCATTTTGTGAAATTTCACTGTTGACACTTTCATGATGTAAAGTGCAAACAGAAAAGTGGACGATGGTGAAAAAAAACACAGTCTACATAGTGTCGGACAAAAGACATGTCATGGACATAAAATGGGGAAATAATTGAAGAAATTTTTCACGGGATGTGAGGCAAGAAGAGACCGCCAGACACTTGATGAGGAGTGGGAAAAAGCAGCATGTTTAATCGATTTTCCAGAGACACCGAGAACTAGTTAATCTTCTCACTGATTACCGTTACAGAAACTCATTTTACACACAGTGAAACAGAATTCATTCACTCTTGAGATTCTCTTTTATATGTATACCCCCAATAGGAGAGCATATAATGCCATGGAAAAGAAGAAAAAAGAAGCAAATGCCAATGATCCAGTCGTTCACTCCCCATGGAGAAATTTTTCTCTTATACTTTTTCCCTTCTTTCTATTCCCACTTCACACATTCTCTGTGTATGTGTCTCTCATTTAAGGAATATAAAATCGAGAATCTCATGCTGAGTGACACCAAAATGTCTGTGTTCATTCTTCTGTGTAATAAACAGCAGATTTTAATTCTATATATTTCAGCAGAAGGAAAATCTCGCAAGGAGTGACGATTTATTCCTTAAAAGCAGTTCTGCTACAATTTCATGCTGATCTAATTTTGATTTGTGAACAATATTCTCACAAAACTACATTTCCTGTATCTTTTGGAGACATGGAAGAAGGGAAAATTGCTTGCAGCAATAAAGTTCTTCGTTGGTAAATTAAGCACCTGAGGATTTTCTCGAATGGTTCGCCGTCAACGATATGGGAAGAGCTTTGTCAATGTCGTGTGTGCTTGTGAAGTTGATAAACTCTCTTCTCTCGTATTTATTTCTTTCATTTGTGCAGACGAATTGTACTCGTAGATTACAATGTAAGGGATATTAAGTCGCACAGTGAGATTGCTTTCATCAGGGTTGCTAGAGTGATAAAGTGATTATAAAGTGGTGCTGTGACATCCTTGATGGACTAGGCCAGCTTGCTGAGTGTCTTTCTTCACCGTATTATTCAAAACTCATACACAATATAATGTATGATAGACATTATACTGTAGAAGCACACAAAGCACTCTTGAAGATATGATATTTGTGGCTGAAAAGGTGGTGGAGAGAAAAGTGCTACGGCAATAATGGTGATGAGTGGTGATGAAAAACGAATGCGAGATCTTGTAAATTTGATTGCGGATTTGCTGCGGTGGTTGCGAGAATCTGAACTGTGTACAATGAGAGGACAAAGAGCTTCGTGTGGAATTATGAAATTTTCAGCCAGAGACAAAAAAAGGCATATTATTTGTTTGCTAGGCTGAGATACAAAAGAAACGTGAGTTTCTTTTGAAAACTTCCTGCTCGAGTACTCACCATAATGTATCTCACCGAATTTCTACCATGCAGTGGTCATATTATGATTCTTGAATCTCATGAAGAACTACAGAATTCACAAAAGTCTTGTTTTTATATAATATAAAGCTGAAGTGAGCTTTGCTGTTGTGGCGTTAACACCACACAAAATCATCTCTCTATCCGTGTGTTTCGCTGGTGAATGAATTTACCTCTAATTTACTCAACTCTGTGTGTTACGCACGTTGCGTTCGACTTTTTGTTAATTAATTCCTTCAGCAGAGTGTGCAATAAAGAGCGCCTCTATTCACTGATGTATTTTCACAATTTTCTCTCTCTCGTGCTGTAAGTGCTCTTTTTTGCTGCATTGACGGCAACAGGAACATGACAATTAAATTATTATAAAAGCGCTTGCAAGTGTTAAGGCCATGGATAGTCTTCACTTTATCCCTAATGATATACTGCTTGTGTTTCTGTATTGACACAGCATTGACAGTGATATTACAATATTCCCTTTTTATTTAGAAGACATGTCATTTGCATTGTTGTCACCACAGCCAGAAAATCAACCAGTTATTTGACCGTTAATGTACGTGCATTCAATCCTAAATACGCACCAAAAAGGCATTACTATCTCGTGCTGAGATTGCTTAGTGTGCAGTGGGGGTAATAAGAAATGTTGTGTGAGCGCAGACACGTTCACGGAGTCCATTCACTTAAGAGGAAATCGTATACGAGACAACATGCATGAATTAATAGATGTTTCCATGGGTGTAAAAATAGAAATTAACTATTAAATGGTGTCAAGTGAGGGAAATTGAGGGTGAAACATTCTCTGGAGGATCCCATAAAGTTTTCAAAAGAAGACAAACAAGGGAGAGCGATAAGATTGTGTTGCGCTGCTTTTTTCCCTCCTACAATAGGATCTTGAGGCACTCCCCGAGCCGCTGAGATCAATGAGCAGTGCATTTACTCATCCAGCAGTTTATTCATGAAGTCTTTTATATGAAAGAGTGATTCCAATTGTTGATTACTCTAGCAAGACTTCATCAACAATGTAAAGGAAAAGTTTCCATTGTTGATTATCTAAGAGAGACTCGAAGTGATGGTTATCCGCGATGCTCTGGTGTTTGATTTAGCGGTCACAGGCTTTTGAAGATTCTCTTTTAGCAGTAAAATTTGCAGAGTATGAATTATGGAAAAATAATAAATTAGTAGAAATGATTTTTTTGACTTTTTCGCTTCAATGATTTTCCATCCATTTCGATAAGTTGCCTGAAGAGCCGTTGCGAGGATGTTTCTTGTTGAAATGCGAGCAAAGGGAGAGGACGTTGAGGATCATAAAGTGACTTTTTAGCTCTGACATCAGTGAATTATATTCCAGGAAAAAATATGAGGGATTACATTGAGAAGCGGAGGAGTACAGTTGTGCCGGAAAGAAGAACCATAAAAAGTAGAAATTGTGAAATTTTTACGATTCATTGAAAATGTACACACAAAGTTATGCCAGACAGTTTCACACTGGTATTTGAGCCCCTGCTCGTTATCTTGTGATCTCAAACGAGGACACTCTTTCGCAATAATTTAATATGTTACAAAATGACAGTGTGACTAGGATGTTCGCAGAAACCTTCTTTCGGTGTTTTTTGAGCGTCACACTCTAATTTGGATGGTTATACGTCTCTTTTTCCAAATTATATTGCACCTCTTTACGTGTGTTTTTATTTTTTTTGCCGTGAATTACTGCTTGAGATGATTGGTAGACAAATAAAATGTGTTTTCTGGGTGAAATAACGTCAAATTTTTTATGGGCAATTTGATAAAATTTGCAAATTACTCACTGAATTGGTCACAATGTAGTCAAGATACGGATAATAAAATAAATACATTTTATTAGCATTTAAATGTGAATTCACTTGTTATGTTTTTGTCTATTTTAATGAATCACAACATGTAAATGTCGTTCATTTTAAACTACGTATTTTCAAAATTTGTACATCTGTAGAGGCAAAATTCTACTCGAAATCATCAAATTCTTGGATAATTTGCTAAAAGACTGAATATTGCAAATGGTTATGCCAATAAAAAGTCCCATCATTTCTACGTTTTAAATGCCCTTAAGGTGTGTTTTCTTTCCACGAAACGAGAGAAGAGTCTTTAAAAAGGTACATAGGCGAAAATTTCGCAAATGATACATAAAACATTGAACTTGACTTGATGTTTTCTGTACATATTTTATTACGGTTGCCTATCGACGCACATTTCTCGAGGTCTCTTTTTTTTTCTCTGGGGAGGATTGAAAAATGTTTGATAATAAAATATTCTTTCTTACGTCCTCAAGGGTTATGAATATTTGAAATTGATCAATTCAATGGAGTGAAAATGACAGGATTGATGGTGTATATGAGTGAGTGGGTGTGAAAGAATATCACGATATGACGGCTGAGAAGGAGGTTGCATGTTGGAAAGATTATGAATTAATGGAGTCTTTTCTCTTTCACTTGTTGCAGATAAATTTGCGCTTGATACTCGTGAGTGGCAAAACGAGAGAGTTCCTCTTCAATTCATCGGATTCGGCAGGTGATATCGCTCAAACTGTGTTTGACAATTGGCCAGAAGGTGAGTCAATAGAGTGGGAGAGAGAGAGAGAGAGAGAAACAGGAAATCCCACAAATTCAAGTTTGATTATCATCTCTGAAATATCATCCAGAAATTTACTCGATCATTTTTTCACTCTCAATCGAGTCTAAGTATGGAATTTACATCGTCTAGCTTGCAAATATTTATTACACTATTGGGAGAATCCAATAATGAAGTCGAGAGTGAGAGGGAAAAAATTGTAGGTGAGGCGTGGGTGTTATTAATAAAAACATGTATACAGCAGACGAAAAAAGTGTGAGGACAGACACGCAATAAATATTGGCTTGAGGATGAGAGTTTTCTCGTCATATTCGCGGATGCTTAATATGTTTCTCCTTCACATTTTTTTTCGCCTGTGGTTTTGTTGTGAGATTCAAATATGCGCAAGCACACAAAGGAAGCAAAAATTTACGCATACGAAATTGCAAATAAGTGGAGAAAAAAATATGCTTCATTTCCAGATTGGGAGTCGGAAGCTGTTTCAAAAGCAGAAATACTAAGGCTGATTTATCAAGGTAGATTTTTACACTGCAACGTAACACTCGGAGCACTTGGACTGCCTTTAGGAAAGACAACAGTGATGCATTTGGTACCACGAGATAATTTGCCGGAACCAAATTCGCAAGGTGAATACTCAATGTGTTTGTTTAAAGTCCTGACACACCCTCGAACTGACTGTTTGGCCACTTATCGGGTCATTTCGAGTGAAAATTTAACGAGTCATAAAGTGGAGTAAATGTGAGTAATGTGCTTTTTCCCCTGACTTTTGCAGATCAAAGGCAAAAGAGCAAAGGAGCGTCCAGTAGATGTTGTTCTGCGGCATGTTGCATCTTGTAACTATTTTATCGTCTTCTTCTGAATGTGTAGAATGTGACAAAATACAATTTTTTGTCTTCTCTGTGTGGAGAGGACATTGCAAGAAAGAGAGAGAGAGATAAGAAATACGTCTATAATTAATGTTAAAAACAAGAGATGATTTTATTTGATTAGATGATAAATAGTAAGCATATACATATATATTTTAAAGAAGAGTGAAGTCCACAATTTGACCATTAATTCTAATTGGCTAAATTCATTGATTTTTTTTTGTCAGAATACAATTGAACACACGATTTCTTTTTTTACCTGCGAATTTTGTGTTTCTCTCCATCGGAGAATTCTCTGTTCTTAACTTTTGGCAACATCAAAAAGATTTTCTTTCACACTCATCGCTTGGGGAATAGAATGAAGTGGGTGAGATGGTGACATCAGAGCAAATTTCATTTCTTTGCCCTATTTTAAGTATTTATGAAAGTTAACAAGAAAAAGTGTGGAAAGGAAAATTGTCAGTGTATCAAAAAGTTTTGTGGGCGCGACGACGCGAGAAAAGGTGTGAATAGGAATGAAAATTGTCTTCTCAATGAAGTAAAAAAAAAATACTATAGACGTGTTACATCATAATATGAATAAATTAAGGAATTACAATATTATTAATTATATTTACAGTCCCACAATGAAAAAAAAATCACTCAGCATTGCAACAGAGAGTAAATAGCGATGGTGGAAGAGGGGTTATATGAAAGATGAGCAGAAGGAAATTTAATTAGACAAGATAAAATATTTATAAAGAGAGGTTGAAATTATATATGGGAATCCGGATGTAAAAGTATGAGACTTGTGTAAAAATCCAGCGAGACGAAGTGGAAAAAAGATTTGTTATTCCTAGAAAAAGAGTGGATATTACTGAGTGGGATGTTAAGAGAAGGCAAAATGCAGGCATAAATGGTGGACGGAGAGGAGAGTACTCGGATGAAAAGTGGGGAATAAATGTTATAAATGTGTCTATTGCTCGGTAGATGTATTACTATATAAAAATTAAATGACTATGGATAATAATAATGGCAAAAATGCAATTACACCCAATGATATTTGCAACTCTAGAATTGACTATTCTGAAACAGTGAGAAATAATAATTTTCCTATCCAACAATATTTCCAGAGAAATAATTCAATTATTGGAAAAGAGTACATTGTCAAAATAGATGGAGAGCACACAACACCAGACACATTTTACGTGATTGTCGAAGAGAAGATGGTTTTAGTGGAATAAAAACATACTGTAAATAATAAGTTTAGAACGGTAGATACATAAATTCAGAGAGATTCTTCTTCTTGGACTATATTTGTATGTGAAATGTCCAAAATATTGCGAAATTAATACTCTGATATAGATGAATTTATGATGCCGACTCGTGATTATGTTCAATTTCATTGCTGTTTAACTGTGTGAAATAACCTGAGATGTCTAAATGACTGCTTCATAGTTGAGATTCAGTTGAAGTCAAACTCCTTGCAAATTCTCAATGAATAATATCACTGAAGTCACGTGTCGGACACTCTAATATCATTTTTCCTTTTATTTCCTCTCGAATTTTGTGCCAAAAAAAATTTAACTTTCTTCAAACTTAGGGCATAAATACAATTTAGTAAAAACTGCGAAATCCTCATCTTTGTCAGAAATTATCTATTCGTATAAGCAATTATTGTTACATTTCAATCAGTTCTATGTAATTTATGGAGTTATTTCAAATGATTTCCCTTCCTACAATGCCATTAAATTGCTCCTAAAGATACAAAATATTATATAGAGAATGTGTTCAATGCAACAAACTCCGCTCATAGTTTGAATTGTTAATTTGCTAATTCCCAGTACATCGAATATGTGGTTATTGTTCTGTTTAATAGATGATTGAGGATTGTTTAGCGTGAATAGAAGAGGAGAGTACAAAAATCTTTAGTGTATTTGTGTGTATTGTTGACTTTTATACATTTTTTTCCTGGCCAAGAAAATGGCCATAAAGCAAGGTTTGCGTTAATTATTTCTTGTGAAATTTAGTCTAATTGGAGCAATTGCACTCTATATAGTCATTCTATTCCTGACAAAGTGAAGATTTTACGCAAGAAGAATTGTTTGTTCATTTTCCTTTCATCGAAAAAAGCACATGAGGAAAATCCCCCCAGTTGTAGAGAGAGAGAGAGAAAGAGAAAAAATGCAGGAGAACGTGAGAAAGAGATGAAGAAAAATTTGTAAAGAAATTAAGTAATATCTGTGATATGATTCTTCAGTAATTTCTCCATTTTTTCGCCACTTTTCATGAAAGCAGAAGTGAGAGATTTCATTGTGAAATGCTCACGTCTCCTTATGTTGCCCATAATTAGTTTTCGCTTCTTCTTTTTGCATACCTAATTGGAGTATTAATTTCAATAGCGCTGCAAATGCCAATTTAACGATCCATTCTCATTGAATGCAATTTTCTATCATCACTTTTTGGCATCGTGAGAGAAATGCAGAGTTTTTCAGTGAAACAAATCAAGCACGAGCAGTGAAAACAAGACGCCTTGCAAGGCTTATAATAAAATGAAAGAGATAGATAAAATGATGTGTAATAAAATTGCGTGTTTAAATTACTATATATATATTATATATATCGTAGAACTACATATTAAATGAGAATTACCAGTTGTTGTAATAATTCAATTCTTTCCCGTGTCATTTTTCTAACACAACTCAAGAAAGAAGATTTTGTGTGATTTTCCCGAGTTATTCTTTTAGCCAAAAAAAAAAGATGGAATTTAGCGTAAAAAACCAGCTGTAAAATCAACGAATCCTTTCGATTTTCTCAAATTTTCCAAAAATACATAGAATAGCAGAAATGCGACAATGGAGAAGCGAAAAGGTTTCTTCACTGAGAAAATACGTTTACAAATTTTATTCTAAAGGAAATTTATAGCAAAATTAGTAGAAAAGAAAAGAAAAAAACATCGAATTGACATTCTGTATTTGTTGTCCACTCTTTCTTTAAAACACAAAAGAACAAAAATCTACAGTTCAAAGCCACTAATTAGCAAATAATGCCAAGAAAACTTAATGTTGAGTCACAGAGTAAGAAAAACAATCTCTTTCCAATCATTTTACTAAAACTCCCCTCCATTTCCTGTGAGAAATGTTAAGAAATAAAATTCTAAGCTATATTGATGAAATGAAGAAATTATATATTATTAATTAGAGATAGTCTAATGAAAAGAAAAAAAACGAGATTTAATGAGACACAGTTCTGGGTTATTTACATAATTTGAATTTGCCGTAACTTTGCTGATTAAAGGATGGAGAAAACATCACGCAAAAAGAGCTCGATAGAGTGTTCAAAAGAAATAACTAATACAATAGATTAGGTAAGAGAAAATCCCAAATAATAATAATCAAAGAGCGAAAGAGTGAGTGTGTAAATAAGTGTATAAAATGCCCATTTTTGTTGTGACAGAATATTATCCTCAGAAATACAGTGGAAATGTATGATTAATTTTAACATTTGTTGTATTTCCTGTTCGAATGCTTTAGGAGAAACATGCGGAATTTAGTTACTTTGTAAATTTTTTTTTATTATTCAGGTGTATTAATTTTAACAAGTTCACTTACATTACTTAAATACTACCTCAGTTTCATTCTTTATTTATATTTCTATTGACAAGAAATCTCATTTTTTACCAACTGCCTTTTGAATCCCTGATTATTATTATTATTATTTCATTAAGTTTCCAAGGAATTCAATTACTCTCTTTGGACAAAACAAAAAGAAAACATAAATAACGCGTTTAAAGTCTGTGAACCTCTCAAATGACGTAAAAATCGTTTCACACTCAGAGGTAGCGTCTGTAGCTTCTCCTCTCGGGCGAAATGAGTGTCGTGTCGCCGTAAATTATTGTGTCTTGGCCTGGCCTCACAAATTGCCTGCCCGGACTTGAACCGGGAGACGCTGAAGGGAACGGCGATGTTCGTCTCGTGCCATTGCCAGGTGACGAAGAAAGTGCCTGAGCAGTTAGAATTCTCTCATCGATGCCATTCCTGTTGAAGACTTGCGGATTGAGGTTAGTCGATCGACGATTGGAGTAACTCACGAAGGCTGCAAGAGAAACACTGTTGAATTAAACCAAGCCAAATAGGATCGGTGATGTTAACTCACCCCACAAGATAATTCCCAGGATGATTGTAAAGGAGACGATGAGTCCCAGATTTGATATGACATCGTAAACTCCACCGACGAGATTGAAAGCTTGGCGGGAACACTTTCTGGCCGCCAGTGGTGACAAAACGGGCACTTCGATGGTCTGCTTCGTCAGTGGAGACGATATCTTCAGATGCACCGTGTCATCTTCCGGCAGAGCAGCGAGCAACTTCAGCTGACTCTGCACCATTCCCTGTGTCTTCTCCAGCTTTCCCACCTGCAGAACTGTCGGATCTGACGACTGCACCTCTACTTTCTGGAGCACTTTGTCCAGTCCCGTGATCGCGATGCCCTGCGTCGGGATTTGATCCACTGATATGCTGCTCGGCGCCACTGAGATCGCCGGAATTAGTCTCAGCGACATGGTATCCGAGTGACCAGCCATCAGAACAGCTTCCAGCTCCAGATTGATTTCCTCATTTTTCACCACGCTTATGATCTCATCAATCTTCCTCCGGGGCTCAATCTGGCACGCATAGGAAATGGTTTTGGGATCAAAAATAGCCTGCGTGCGGAAGAAGTCCGGCAGCTGCTTGAAGTCGCTGTGACGCGACGAGAGACGGCACGAGAAGAAATTACTTGCGATCACTTCCACTTGATTATGGCACGATGAATTGAGACTCAGCAAATTCGACGTCTTGGTCGTCTGGACATGATTCCGGATCACCAGTGGCGCACGATACATTTCGCCATTGAAGATGTCAAAAGTGGTGGCGAAAGTGATCTGATTTGCCTCTCTCACTTCAAGATTGTGTGTCACTTGAATGAAGTTCGGGCTTCCATGGAATATGGACACCTTTCCCGTGCCCACGGACGTTACAATTGCCACTCCCGAGTCCTGGTCGATGGAAATAAGGCTGTCATCCGAGCTGAACCAACTCGCGGTGGTCGTGAGAGCAGACTCGAAGCACACAATATCGCCTACAGTGACGATTTTCCCATCCGGAAATGTTGTCTTCATCTGCTGCACGGAGAGTTTGACGAAGTCTTCGCTGTACTTCACTCCAAGGATGTCCTTCAGTCCAATAGACAGCATGTTTGTGGTTTCCCGTGTGAGTGACAAATCCAGGATGAAATTGTCCACTGTGTGCACATCTATCAGATCTCTCTGGGCCAGATTCCACTGAAGACTCGACACTGAATTCAGATTATGGGAGAATTCATTGCCAATGTTGTCATGCAGACTCACTTTGAGCCTCACATTGAGTCCCTGGGGAATCTTCGACTCAACAGAGCGCAACTTCAGGTTGACCGGATGCAGAGTGACTAAAACGTAGTGGATGGGCTTCACTTCAATAGGAATTGAGAGACTCTGGTCATCCGCTGTAGCGACAATGAGACTCAATCCAGTATTCTCTGATGATTTCACTAATCCAGAGCTCGACACAGTGACAAAGTTCCTCTGACTCGTGTCCACAGCGTAAGTTACCTCGTCCAGATTCGCCTTCAGCTGTACACTTGACTGCGGAGGTATGAGAATCGTGTCGGACGTGATACGCCTGGGAGATTCAAGCTCCAGCAGACGGAAGACACTCACTTCCACCCTCGACGTGAGTGTGTTGCCATGCGGAGTGATGACTTTCGCATGAATTGTCGCCTTTCCTGGACTCTTTCCACGAATTCTCACCGTCACAGCGTCCTTCTCTGAGTATTTCACCCCAATCTCAGCAAATACCCCGGAAATCTCCACCACATCTGGCTGATTGGTCGACCAGTAGACTTTCAGGTTGTCCAGAGTGCCCAGAACCATTGGAGACAGATTCGGAACACCCCAGATAGCCGCTGGCATTGTATTCCCACTTCGCAGACGCACTAGCGGTGCTCTGATCTTCACTCCATCCAACGGAATAACTCGCACATGAACTACATCTTCAGACAACACAATCGCTTGTCCATTTCTGGGATTCACACCCATCGCTCTTCCCGTGACTGTTGTTTCGCCCAGCTTTTCGCCACGCACCAGGCTCGCCTCCAAAGAGATCACATCCGCCTTCTCCACACTGTACACGATGTTCACGTCTGGATGAGGTCCACCCACGGCGTAAATCTGCACAGAAGCACCCACTAAGATGGTCACATTCCTTGGCTGGAGTCTCAGTGGTGGGAAAACTTGGATATTCGCCGGATTGCTGGAAATCCTCTTCTCTGCGTGTCCCGAACTCACCACCAGTGTGGTCTCGCCAAGCTCTTGTCCTGTCACTTCATAGCGCACTTCGCCCGGATTTAGGTTTACTTGTCTGCCCAGACGCACAGAGACAAGATGAGGATGCGCAATTTCCTCTGTGAGATCATACGTGGGCAAGTTCGATGCGTCCACGGCGAGGATTCTGTTGTTGGAATCGAAGAGAGTCACGATAGCCTCGATGCTTTTCGTTCGCTCAACACGATCTGGCATCTTGATGTCAATTCTCCCAATGGACACCACAGAGATGAGCAGGAAGTTGTCTTCAGTCGTAAGACAACGATCCATCAGACTCAGCCGCACCTGAAAATAGGTAAGAGTTCTTAATTTAACTATCAATGTCCTTATCTAGTTGTGTTTCCATCTCACCTGACCAATTCTCTTAGGCCTAATGGAAAGTTCTTTGAAGTTCTCATCAAACTGCACATCCACAATGTCCTTCTCGTCCAACTTCGTCTCATAGAAGCCACTGCCCTGGAGGATTTGCACTTTCGATGGCACCTTCTGACCCAGGAAAATTGAGATGTCATTGTAGGGCAAGAGAGTGTGATTCACTGCCAGGAAACTCAATTCATCTTCAATTGTGGGCATCACGGGATCCTCAGATGCACTCTTCTGAACACCAAAGTGATGTTCACCCTTGATTCCGCTCTCGGCCAGAACTTCTGTCACGTACTTTGTCACTCGGCCACGAATGCGAAAATCTGCATTCACTTCCGGAGGTGCCAAGTAGAGAAGATCTCTGTCGGGAATAGCAATATCCTCCACAAGCTCCACTTGGCTCTCTTGACGATAACTCACGTCTTGCAGCTGCTCAGAACCATGGAGAAATTCCCAATCGAGATGAAGTGACGAAATATTGGCCAAGCGGCGATTGGATGCATCGAAAACCTCAATATCAACTTCCAAGCGCTTCGATGATCCCTGAATTTGCATCAGAGACATTCTGTTCTTCAGTGGGCAGCTCTCCCTCAACTGCTCCCTCGACGACAGCCTCAGGAATCTCGGTTTCACACAGAAAACTCGCGTGATGAACTGCGACACGTACGGACGATGGCGTTCCTCTGACAAATGATTGTAGATCTCGAATGTGAAATCCGTCTCGCCGATTTTCTTGCACAGCACTCTGAAGACTGTTTTCTCCTGGCCAACATTCGGTGACTTTGTGACAGAAATCACGCTCTTCGTGTAGGAGACTTTTGTCAGCAATTCTGCATCGACATGAAAGAGCTTCTGAGGTCCATTGTGGTAGATCACATTCCTAGAGGCGCCAATCGGCAGGACAACCTCATTGGCCACTGGATTCAGAATGGTCAGCTTCTCGAAAACCACCAATTTCACGGTGTCTGACAACACGGAGCCCAAGAAATTGTAGGACACCTCGAAACTGGTGCTGCCCAGATTCTTTGCGCGCAAGTTGATCAACTTGCAAGCCTCCCTCTCAAGTGGTGGCGGCTCTTTCAGCGCCTCCACTGTGAAAAGTTGACTCGAGAACTGCAGGGCAAAGTCGATGTTTTCACAATGAGTGAATGCCTGGAGCGTCTCATTGACCATCGCATAAAGCGCAACGTGCACTTGAACGACATCATTGAGGGCAGTCTCAAAGTTATACTTGACTATTTCCAATTTCACAGGAGGACGGAAGAGAATGTCTGATGACTTGAATATCTTGGGATTCCTCGCCAAAGCTACGCGAATTTGAGTTAGTTTCTCAACACTTTTCTGCTCTTCTTGGGTCAGTTGCAAACCTACAAAAGCAATAAATAGTCAGTTAAACAATAATAAAATGCTAAAGACAGAGTAATTCACCTTTCAAATGATCCAATCGCGTTTCAGCCACTCCATTCTGGTTCACAGCCACCAAGTTGTTGTTGAGACTCGACCAGACAAAATTGCCATCGCCTCCAGTGGCCACGAAGTCAATCTTCTGCCTCTTTGGCGAGTTGGGATCATAGGGAATGAGTACAAATCGTGGTGACAAGTTCAGTCTCTCGTAGATTTGCATCTCAGCGCGCGCCTCCAAGTCCCGAAAACTGCCCACAACTGGTGTGGAACCCTTCCGGAGAGCCTCTCCGTAGATTCTCGTGCCATTCGCGGTCATTGAGAGTGACTGGAAGTAGCTCTGATCGAAGGAAGAGTCGACATTATAGGTGACACCTAGAGTGATTTTCTGGTCGTCCGCTGTGAACAGATCAATGGCAATTTCATGTCTCTCTCCCTCGACGGTGATCCAGTTGTTGTACGGCAGGAGACTGAGGCCGATCTTGACTGCATTGGACACTGTCACGATGGCTCTGGGTGGGGAAGGCTTCCGAACACTCTCATCAGTCTCATGAGGGATGTTTCTGTCCCTCAGAAGCACGCTGGTTCTGCCCAATTTCCTCCCCTTTGCCATGTTGCTATGCATCGCCACAAGATTAGGATCTTCCGCTTCGAGATAGTACTGACTATTGAGATCAATCTCTTCCAGTTTACCGCGCTTCAGCTGGAACACGCGAAACTCAACAGCATCGCCCACGAGAACATGCACGTCCGACGGACTGAGGAGAATGTTGGCCAGAATCATGATGTCAACCTCAATTGCGGGCACATGGTCGTAGTCTTTGTATGGTAGCGAGACCCTGACCTTGGCCGAGCCCGTGTTGATGCCCTCAAGTAAGGTCATGTAGCCGGTGAGGCCCAGAAACTCGAATCTCTCCATCGTCTTCGGCACTTGGTGGTAATTGCTCTCCGAGAAGGTGAGGAAGCGCATCACTTGCCGCCAATTGTCCTTGCTGTCGGCCGTGTGGTGATGCTGGGAGATGATTTGCCACGTGAACTCCACACCCTCGAGCGTCGTGAAGGCATTTCCCTGCGAGTCCAGCGCCATCAGCTCGAAGCTCTCCGGCGCCTCCTCCAGGTACAACTCCCTGGTGGTCGTGAGAACGCCCAGCTGATCGATCACATCCAGGATGACATCACAGCGAGCCACTTCGCCTGTGGCGAGATTCTCCGCCAGGACAACAGCCGTGCTGCGCTCCTTTTCCCGCAGCACCGGAGTCACAATTGCCGTGTGCGAGCATTCGGCATTTATTTCGTCGAACACTGGCACGATTTGCACCAAGTCAGACCGTGAAGTTGACCTGCAAATAACATGTTGAGCATATGCAAACAATTAGATCATACTGAACATGTGTGTTTCACCATGAAAACATGAAAAAGCCGACAATTTCGGGCTATGATGTCACACTGAGGCTTAAGAAGTTAGGTTATATTGAGGCACTCACCAAGCAAAGCACCCCCGATCGATGATCTCCACTGTGAAATTCACAGAAATCTTCTCAAAGATAGGAAGCAGGATACGTGGATAATTGAATTTGGTCGCGGTAATCACACTAAATAGTGTAAACACTGAGAAAAGCGCAGAAACCCTCATTTTCGCGCGAGCCGCTTTTCCAATCACAGACCGAATGAAGAAACTCAACGCGATGTGAGCGAGAGGGAAGAAAAACCACGGCAGGCAATTGTTCGTCAAAGAAATTCAAATGGCAACGGAAAACACTGCGATGGAGTGTGTCTTGGGTGCAAAATGCAGTGGCGGAGGCAAAAAGGAATGCCAACGGCACGCGGTGTTCCCAAGCGGTCCCCCATCCAAGTACTAACCGCGCCCGACGTCGCTTGACTTCGGTGATCGGACGAGAACCGGTACTTTCAACGTGGTATGGCCGTTGACGAGGGACTCTGTAACTTCCCCAGTCACATTCAGATTTTTCTTGCATCTTCTCGCAAAAATTCAAGACTTCGCACTTGAACTCCGCGCATTGCCAAAGGGTTCGAGGACTCCAGAGGTGCTCTCGAGAGTAATCTTCAGTCTTAAAAGTGTCATCTCAATATCCAGCTGGGAGTATTTGGGTGCGAATCGCAAGGAGACGCGCTCTGATTGAGGGTTCCTCACCCTGTGAGGTCCTCTTCATGCCTGATATATGACAATTTATTCAAAATTTATTATATTCTCCTCAGCACACAAATATGCATTGTTGTTGAAGAGGCTTGAAATGGGTAAATAGAGTCACATATAAATTTGATGTGAAAACAAAGTGCAACATATTTGATATGGACTTCAAGAGTCCTCGAGCGAGGGGAGCGAAAGTACATAGGATGTTTCGCTACTGTTGTCCCTTGAGTAGAGGAGAGAATAGAGGCGGATCCTCTCCTTATGTACAGTCCTGCCGATTCAGTAGGGCTGCGAAGCAGAATTCGCCGCTGTGATGAGTGCAGAGGAGACTTTATCTTTAATAATATTGATTTTCTCACTTAAAACCCATCTAATGCGGCCATTTTGGTATTGATACATAATTTCTGCGCATGGACATGTTTAAATAATGGCAATTTTCTCCCCATATTTCGGCCCTCCTTTGAGTGTTATAATGAAGTCACGTCTCACATTGAAAATGATGGGGTGAATGGAGATATTTGCCAAAATCTCACTGGTAATCTTCCTAAATTATCGAGGCAATAACATACACGAAATGCTTTAAAATCAATTTAGCAATACTCGTCCAGGAACACGCAGAAAGAAGCTGCAAAGAGAGAAAAGGAAAAAATACGACCCGTGAAAAGGAAGCAAAAAGCAAAAATCTCCCGTTGCGATGTCAAACAATCATAATTTAGTCATAATAGAGGTATAGAAAATGATTTTCTGTAACTTTTACCCTGCTGAAAAATCTCCCGCATGGATAAATTTCATGTCTCTCGGACACACATTGAGCTATTGGCAGAAATTCCCATTTGATTGCAACACACTCACAATCCTCACATTAGACTGATCACAACGCCTCTTCATCGAAATGGCCAAATCCGGTCAGTGGATGCAACAAATTGATACAAATTCCTCACAAAATCTTCCACCGTCAGATGAAACTTGAAGCTCTAACGCTGAAAAATCGTCCTGCTGACGTGCCGACGATGAAGAAAAAAAAAACACCCCGCACAGTCTTGCATGAGGAAGACATCAAAAGAAACTATTTTCACAAAAGAGCCTTTTTATTGCTCTGTGCCTAAATTAATTCTACGTAATTCTCAAGCCCTGCCTGGCAGACAAATATTAATATTTTCATAAAATTTTATTCAACCTTGGCGAGAGAAAAAGAGTGTTTTGCTCTAAGGATTTACGATGACTTTTATTGCACAAGAAATACGTATTTTTCTAGCTATCCAAATGCTGCACTTTCTGCCTGAGAATCTCTGGAAAATTTCCGACCAAAATGTATCCTGTAGGCAATAAGATACATTTTAGGGTTTTCTTATACAATATTTTAGTGACACTATGGATTAAAAGCAGCATTATTTTGAGGGTATTTTAAAACAGCACTTTTAGAGTGATTCAATGTTGCTCATTTCAATTAAAGGTAATTTTCGAGAGAAGTGAAAAACGATGAGGCTTCCGTTCTACTTTCCCATAGAGAATTCCTTGATTATGTAATACATATATTTAGGATCTTATATACGATCCACAGATATGTTAATTGGGACCAAATCAGAGATTTATCATTGCTTTATTCTCTCCACCAGCGATTGATTATCCTCTTGAATCGAAAATCCCGCGTTTATCAGAATACGCACATCACTTTAATTGAATTAAATTGCGAATTAACAATTACGGCGCGTAATAAAAGACCCATAAACACCCTCGCTGGTCGATTGTGACTGTTGGAGACAAAAAGCTCGTGTGTGGAACAACAAAAGGCGATCGCGTGCTGATATTAATCAAGATCGTCACGTGTGTTTTGTATACTTCTTATTCTATGTCTCCTCATGTTCCATTTATCGTGTGCGACACATCAAGTAAATCTCCATTGTTTCACTCTTGATGAGCTCAACAGCACAATTGGGAGGCTAAAAGGGTGCTGTTTTCACGTCAATTAAGAGGATTTCGAGGGCGTGATAGTTATTATTCAAGTGTCCTTACTGACTTCCATCAAAATAATCACACATCAATCAAGAATAGAGTCATGTAGGAATTCGGAAATTCGCTGAAAAATTAGTCACTGCAAGTGTTTCCTGTTTTACAACGTGTAGTCCTAAAAGTTTACATATTTTTGCATTTTACGATCACAGAACATCCGTCCATTGGGGAGTATATTTCAAAAGTTTCAACAAGACAGAAATGGCATGACCAATAAAAAGGGACAAATTGGCTTCTAGAGGGCAAACATGCCGTGTCCAGGGTTCACTGTTTGTGAGAATTGGTCAATTGCACGCCCCCGTTTTTCCCTGCATTTCGGGTATAATTAGCTAAATTAGGGTCCCTGGAAGCATCATGCAGTGACGAGAGTTTACGGGTGAGTTCAAGGATCGTGCGTTGTTTGGCATCCATAAAAGAAGTCACCCTTCGAGCGGATTCCCGGCATGTTTGGACATTTGTAGCACTCCTCCTGAATGCCTCTTTGACAATTTATTAATCTGCTTCGAGTGCAGCAATATTCGTCCTCAATAAAACCCACATGCACGGAGAAGTCTCTCATGTATGCCAAGAAATGCATCTCAATCTTGCGCAGGACTGAAAAGAGGCACACATAGAGAGGCTGGAGAGAATGCATTAAGGATGCCTTTCAACAAGCAACAATGTACGACGCTTCATTCTCACTCATGGAGCCGTGAAATAAATCACAAGTTTGCTGTTAACGTAAATAATCAATAGCACCGAAGGTAGAGAAATGTCGAAACATTTTTCTCCACGCCAAAAAGACCCTCAAATGGAAGCACGACTCTTGATGAGAGCCGACAATCGCTTCACAGCAAGGGAAATCGGAAAGTGTACTTTTTGACCCTCGCAATCGATGGGATATCATTTAGCATGGAAATATCAACAATGACGATCTTTTTAGGTGTCTTTTTCATCGAATGTGTCACATTTTGTGATTGACACTACGCACAGGGAGTCGAATAAATTGAGAAAATTCAGTAATTTCACAGTGGCGGAACATTTCGCAACGGGATTCATGTGATAATGTGCTTTCAGCAGTAGGAAATTAACCGATTGCCAAATATTTGAAAGTGCCCTTGCGCCCTTAGTTCTCTTTCCGAGAAGATCTCCTCGGCAGGATCAGCAAAACTGCTTCTTTTTGCATTTTTTACGCGCCCTTTACACTTCAGCCAATGCCTGAGAGTGGGTCAAATTTCGTTCGTTTAGGGCCTTTAGCTTATCTTAATGCGATCAGCATGAACAAAACACCATTGTACATGATACTTGCTGTGTTGTTTGTCAGCAATAGAGATATCATCGAGGATCAACATGAAACAGTGAACGTGTGTGCACCGGACTGAGGGCTATATGAACCATTTCACTCCCCATTTGAGATCTAATGAACCATCTCAATTGGCACTTTCCCCACTCACAGCAGTGATCGTTTAATCATTAGGCTCACGAACGTCGATCAGTTAACATGTTAATTTCACGAATATCACTCTTCACTCTCCAACTGACGGAATTATAAACAAATTACGCTAATTTGTCTAAATCCTATGAATATCAGGAGATCATTTCGGTACCTTTACACAAACTCTGCGTCATTGTGTGGCTGAGGATTGAGATGATCACCTATGCAGATCGATGTTCTTTCTCCATAGGTGTTTTAGAGGTGAACAAAAAAGACGGAATAGCTCTCTGTTATCTTCTTCTCAGATTCTCTCTCTCTCCTCTTCATCTTCTCAGCTCTTTTGTTGTGCACATTAAGCGTAAAATCCTTCATAGTTGCTCAAAGGCGATGCCATAAGCTGAAAAGAATAAATAAAATGTTATTTATTGATACTCTCTGCAACAATCGCTACTTAATGTCTTCTTTTATGTACTCTTGAGAAACATTTAACGATCAAACAATAGTTTAGGCATTTTTTTCTGCACCATTCATTTTCAGTTCAGCGTTCATCACAAGTGTTCCGAGCATTCGAAATAATTTAGCATTTCTGCCATCCATTTTCCCATTACATGACAGTTTAAATGCTCACAAATTACTTTCGAATCGCTGAACTGAAAATAATTAAATGCACTGTTGCACCTCGGAAGACCTTCTCGTGCCCACTTTTTCATCAATCAATACTGCTGGCGTTCAAAGGGGTTTTGATCCTCTCTCGCATTTGACTCGATTGTGCTTTTTTCAATTATGTGTACATATCCGTGTTACATTTTACAATTTTCAACTGACTGAGCATCAACTTCGCTTCCAAGAGGCACACAATAAAAATTATTCCGTCTGTTTGCCAAGGGGTGTCAGAATTTCTAAGGCCTCGCAATATTTCCCTTATTTATTTGCTCACTCTCCGAAGGAGTAAGTCAGACTTGACATAATCTCTTATTACACTTTTTCAGATGCTTTTTGCACTTTTATTCGACACCATCGTATTAAAAATTTAGTTCATTTGACACCATGTTGGTGTGAATAAAATGAAGGAGGACAAAACATCTGTCAAAATAGTCTAATTGAAATATTTATACTCAATAAGGCGGCTCAAGAGGTGGATCTGCTCCAATAAACCAATAATTATTGTTTGTATCACATGTAGTTTCTCTCAACAAGAATCAATTGTCGTCACAATGCGATATTACTCGCCATTCATCACTGTTTCAATATTTGCATTGTCCTCTTGCTCTGAATCCTCCTCAAACATTGCATGATGTTATAAAAGAACATCTCTTTATCGAACGACATTTCTTCTGTTTAATTGTGAGATTAACCACTTTTCAGCTCCCGCAAATCCTGAGCAATTTGACCAAATGACAGAATTCTCAGAGAAAGAATTTAATTACAACATTCAATTCATTCTTCACTCTCAATTACTGACATGGAGTTTTTGCTATTGCATTTTTCCGTACATGCACTTAATGTCATCTCGCATTTTGAAGGGATAACAAGATCGCCATTGTCTGAATTTCCACAATAGTTTGACAAAGTGAGGGTGAGACTGATTAAAAAACTTTAAGGTGGAAAGATGTGTATTTAATTGCCGTCGTTATTTCAATTCTGCACCCCTTCGCGTCATGGCAGTGCGCGAAATAAGCAGGAAAAAAGCAGTTAATGTTGTGTTTCGTCGACATTGTGTTAAACGATTATTCAAATTTAATTGAAAATGTGAGATTCGATACGGTTTGATGAATATTTGACTATAAATCACAATTAACAGTACATGGTCTGAACATTTGACGCCGCAAATTCACTAATCCAATTAATGCTTTCAAGGATTCCATGGATTTTGGTAGAGAAGATTATCCATATTCAGTGCCTTTGGCGACATCAAGTGGTGAAGACTCACTTTGGCTGTCATATTGCCAGCAGGAACTGCCAGAGAAAACGAGGGTGTTCCTCGATTACAATAGTTGACTCGCAACTTTTATGCATATGTTTGTACTCGACTTTTTTCCATCCTCCTTATCACATTGCCCGTAATCTTCTGTCTCTCTCTCGCCCTCTCCGACGCCGCTTTGTCATTCAATCTGCATAATCTGACAGGCAGAAAGAAGCTGCAGTTCCGAAGAAAAACCCCCATTGAGTCCCACATGTTCGCCGTGTTTGCTCTATGAGTAGCCTAGAAGCTTGTTACTCAATGGAAAATTCAATAAACATCGCTTTAATAGTGCATTTAATTGCCTTTTAATAGCACCTCGACGCCTTCAAGGGGAATTTATGTGTTGAATGAGTTGTTTGTAATTTAAACAAGCGAGATCTTGTTGTTTATGTCTCTCCCTCGATCCACATTTGATCTCCTTGGCGTTAAATAGTTGCCTCATGTGTGTCCTCTTAGGCCTTTCGGGCGAAAAAGTGTTCCGGGTTCATTAATATGTCACAGACACCACTTCTGGGGGATCAAAAATGTCCCGGACGGCACTTCTTCATCAACTCATCGGCACGTTCCAACTAATCTTCGACCCCAGGCGACGGCAATTTAACACTTTTGAAAATATTTGTAGAAAAAATATCATGTTTGTTGACAGAGAAACTCCTTGGATAAATATGGTCAAGAGAGTGTGCTATTGATCGATGAAATATTCGGCAGAGTGTAATTTTCTGGGAAGATTTGCTGATGTCATGCCTTTTTGGGACTTTTTCTTAACTCACACACCGTGTTTTTTTTTGCCTACTTAGCAATCTATGTGTGAATGGACGGATTTTTCATTGAGAAATATTAGTTGTGATTGATAAAATTTTTCATAATGCTTGCAAAAAGTCTTCATATTGGAGATCACAGCTCAGCATTTCCCCTTATGTACTTCACTCACAGCGCGTGATACATAAGGCGATGGAAAGGCGGTGCTTCTGCTCAGCGTGGCAACCAGTCAAAGGAGGGAACAACACTACCCGGAGACGCGTGTGTTCGTATGGAGCTCGACGAGCCGGAACATTACGGCTAGGCGACAGAGAGTAATGTGGATTTGGTGGCGGAGGTACAATTTAGTTTCAGTCGAGCGACCAATCTCACTGAGTGGAAGTTACAGTGATCTTTAATAGCAAGTGCATAGGTTCTAAGGACTGTCCTTTTGGTGTTTTGTGCTATTCAGTGGAGAACATACTTTTTTGTGATTAATACCAAAATAAGCAAAATCAATCATCCATGATGATGAACGACGCTGCCGCCCTGGCGGGAATGATTCCCTATGACTCCATAGGTCTCTACGAGCAACCCAAGCCGCGATTCATCTTCAAGATGCCCAGAGTTGTGCCGGATCAAAAGTCCAAATTCGAAAGTGACGAGCTCTTCCGTCGCCTCAGCCGCGAAAGCGAGGTGAGAATGCAATCTCTCCACCCAATTTATCACATGCTACAGTTTCTCTCAAATCCCCCAATTCACCCAGAAGAGGAAGAGATTAACGCCGGGAATTACCATCTCTCAGTAGCTTTGTTTTCTTACGAAATAGTCAAGAGAGTGGGTTTTTTTCAATCACTCGACTTACCGCTTGCCATTCACCGTGCGCTGATTCATTGTGAGTAGAGCACGGCGCAGTTCCAAGAAAATCATCGTCGGTATTTCCTCCGGTATTCACGTTGTCACACAAGTTGCCGGGCCTCTGCAAAGAGAGTGTGTGTTTGCCTAATTATGCAGTATTATTATTCAAAACACTTTGATGAATTGTGTATTAAATGAAATCTCTTTTTTCTGCCAGGTTCGGTACACGGGCTACAGAGATCGTCCACAGGAGGAACGCCAAATACGCTTTCAGACTGGATGCCGGGAGGGCCACACTGAGATATCATTTGTGGCATCCGGTACGAATCTACAGCTAGTTTTTAACGCCAATCACGGTCCATATTTACCCGAGAGAGAGTGTGATTTCGACAAGGAGCACGGAAAGGTGAGTTCCCTTCATTTAGACATCAATTATCACTGTAATCACTTATAATCCGACAAGCGTTGCTCGATTCAAGTGGGATTCAATTGATATGCCCATTAGGATGTTCAAATTTGTTGAATTTCATTCGTGAAATTGATTTGTTCCACATCTTGGATTAGGATATCTGAGAGATTTTCAGAATGACATTTTTTTCTCTAAAAGGCGCCAGCCATAATTGGGTATATTTCCTCGAAGCGTGCCAGAAATTAGAAAACTATTAATTTACATGCACCCAGAGAGTCATGTTAAGGATGTCAGATGGTTGTACACTTGATCTCTTGATGCGGCACAAAAAAAAGACATGGAGGAGTCAAAGAGAGCAAGAAGTCTCAGAATGAAGTCAATGAAATAGTAATTATGTGCACTTCAATATCCTCCCATTCACTGGCGCTCCTTTGGCAGGAAGATTTTTATACACTTTTCCCTTTGTATTCCTTCCCATATGGGTGCAATTTGAAGTTTGTTGGATGCCTCTTTTGTCTGCTGCATCCGAAAACAGAGGAAATTGGATCTTGAGCAATTTTCGGAAGAATATCGCCTGCCTTTGCCTTCTTTCTTTTGGCTCTATGCATGTCAATTAGTGTGCTTATATTCGGCACGCGAACGTCAGATGTTTGATGTAGCCTCAATGTTCCGTGTGACGGAAGGTTCAATGCAAAATTGCACATTGAATTAACGTTACTTTTCACATTTTTCTGGAGATCCACACACAGCCTAAAGGGCGGTCGGATGTCGATTCCGCCGCTGTGATTAATTATATGTTTCACACTCCGACAGGGGCAATGAAAAAGCCAAGAATCATTTTTTCGGCCTCAGCACTTCTTTTTCAATTCATCCCTGAGTGAGAAAAAAAACCCTTTTATTTGGACCCCTTTTGCCAGTGAAAGAGCGAATGCGCAAAGTGACACGCTGAGCTCTAATTCTAACAGAATTAACTGTTATAGAAATTGTAAATATTTTTGTATTTGTCAATTGGAGAGAATTCATTTTTTCAATTCCTAATTCTGTCACTATGAGGGACCCCTTTTCGAACAGGACTAAAGAGTTCAATGGGAAATACCTCCTGATGGGCCGTGATTATTACTTTAGTAACAGTGCGAATAAAGATGTGAGCAGAGAGCTGCACTTCACTACACCGTTGAAAAAATGGAAAACCCATGGCTGTGAGACATCAGAGCTTGACCAAAGGTCACCCGGGCCTAAAAGCTAATTCTCTAGAACGATTCATCGACGCCCATAACTTTTGCTCAGTACCTGCTGGCATTATTCGACTCTGTGGTAGTGCTAAACATCCATGAAATGCTACGAGATTTATGGCAAATTACCAAGAAACTGAGCTGGATGGACACCAAATGGATTTCCAGGAGTGTCAGACCGAAAAAAATGCATGGGAGCCCAAAGTGATGTAATTATTGTCCCTTTTCTGACCTTGGCTGCTGTTGCCTCAGCACAATGAAGTTGTCACCATGCATTTCCGTCCTTCTCCTATTTATCTCGGCCCATTATAGTTGACTTCTCTGCTCAGCATCACTATGGAGAACAGTGAAAAGAGTCAGATAAAAAATACTTAGGCATTGTGGGTGTTTCAGCTGCTAAAAAACGCCATCCTTCTTACTTCTCTCTTCAGGTCCACATAAAGTCACATTTCATCATGAATGGAGTCTGCGTGAGATTCCGAGGGTGGCTCGACCTGGAGCGTCTCGACGGGGTCGGTTGTCTGGAGTACGACGAGCGACGGGCTGCCCATGAGGATGCGATTCTGCGCGATCAGATCGATCGATACAACCAGCGATTGCGGGACTTCGAGGACAAGCAGCGGGCATATCGAGGCGACAGGCAGGATGAGATGGATCAAGTGAGACGTGGCGTTCCGGGCGGGATTGGCGTTGGTGTGGGTGGCGGCATGTGGAGACGATAAAAGCCAATTTATTCATGCTCACAATCCTAGAAGAGAAGAGAAGATGCACAGCCACTATTAGCACATGAATGTGAATTTATTTTGTTATGTTTTGTATATAAAATTCAGTTTTTTTTATTGTGTCGCCACTTCTGTATCATCTTTTTCTTTTCTTTTCCTGTGAAAACAAGAGTCGATAATTCTATTTATCACCTTTCTTGAGAGACTTTGCAAACGATCTCGAATGAGTTGAAACACATCTGTAACTCAATTGTACATTTATATTTTAAGCATAAAAATGATGAGTTTGAAAACAAAATGCTCTCTTTATTGATGGATATGATCCCGAACACGCGTGGAATTGAATTTTTCATTTGCACGAACTCCACGGAATCCCTACGGGATAAGACATTTGCAAATACATCGTCGCAGCACTTCTTCGCCCCTGCAATCGGCGTTGCCCCTTTTCAAATTAACCCCCTACAAGGTTTGTTTGCAGTTGTGAAACTCAGTGGAAAATTCTTCCTCTGTTCTTGCATTTGAATTTTAATTCAGCACGAATTGGGGAGGATTAATTGGAAGTCCTGGCATTTTTTGCTAAACAAATTATCAAATATTTTCCTACCCTTCCAACTCACGAGCGATTAGCCAGGAGGAATCTACAAATATCCAATGGGTGGAATGTGAGGAATTCTCATAAGGTTGCACAATGGCAAACTTCCTTCTTAGCGTGTTACGTTACGAGATTACAATCAATATTTGCCAGGATATTCAATTTCTCAAAGTGCCTGCAAAGGAATACAAAAGAGGCACGTTAATACTGTTTGGAGGCGTGTTTCCTCGCACTCTCTCACTATATCATCCAGTATTGTTGCGAAGGGCGATCCCAACTGACCCCCAGCGCACAATTAATTTCCCAACACGGCGACGTCATGACGCAGTGAAAGGGGTAATGCATCAGCAGTTACGGAAACAATTATGCCGTAAAACAAACTCGGCGCAAATTTGCATATTTGACCCAATAGTGCAAGCATGACATTTTTAATACTAGTAAATTTTTCTTGTCCATTTGTCAGCCCCGCCCAGAATTCATTCGGAAAGGCGCGAAAAATCGAAAAGGGTTATGAGCACTATTAGTCTGCTAAATGAGAGAAACAAGAAAATCGTGTCAGTAATAAATTATCAGGCGCTGCGTATTTATTTAACAGCGTCACTCACATTCTCACTCCTTTTCCTACTCTCTCAATCCTTCTTTTTACCCCTAGCAAGCGACATTACCCCTTTTATCCTCATGCTCACGCTTTGTACCTCCGAAATCATATCTAAATGTTTATGGAGTGATTCTCTTTCTCACATTGTTCTGATTTTTTTCCCGCTACAATCGAGCGATATGAACAGTCGTAAAAAATGTGTAAGTCACCCTTTAGCCATTGATGTTTTTTTTGTCGCTACTCTTCAGATTTTTGGAAATGATATAGATATTAATGCCAATTTTTTCACGCTGGTGATCCATCAATTTTCACCCATTGTTCAGCCAGTGAAGGGCAGTATTCGTGTGAGAATTACCATAAAAATGATGCAGCACATTTTTTGCGAATCAGAATGATCATAAAATACGACAGGATAATGAGTTGGTGCATGTGTTCAGGCGTTTTTTTATCTCAATCTATTAAAAATCTTTGTGTAATGTGATAAAATCAAGCCAGTGGCGTTTTATATTGTATTGCTTTGAAATTTTTGCTCCGCAATATGTAAATAAAAACCTTAAAACAACTTCATCACATCAAGAAAGGGCATAATTGAAAGTCACGCAAGGATAAAAGGATCTCATATCTAAATTATTTAATTAAACGTCAGACATGGAAGATGCGGAAAGCTATTTGTCATATTAGTCGCGGTGTAACATCTCTACTGAAATGAAATGGCAAGAGTACATCAGAGATTGTCATTTGCACCAATAAATTACATCCAATTTAACCCTCTCGCTATCTCATCCTTTTATTAACCCGCCATGCACTGATTTTAGCGCATCGAATTGTCCATGTTACGAAGGGTGAGTGCAACATATGGTGAGTTTTTCTCCCAGCTTCTCAGCCTGGATCACCCAGTGAGAAATTAATAACCTTGCACACCCTGGAGACCTTCACTCCTGGAATATTTATTTATGAGACAAGCTGTTGACAAGCATCTCACAAGCTCAATATACTTGGAGAAATGTGCCAAATTGCCATATTAGGCGTCAGAAAAAAGCGATGCGCCAGTCTTGAGGGAATATATTTTAATTACAGCGAACTTTGCACGTGTATCACTAATCCAACCCTCACGATATCCGAGATAATCCCGCCAATTGATATAAATTCATGGTGGGATTATCTGGAGATGAGCACCTGATATGACAACGCTTCGCTGAGTGTCAAAGCGAAATTGAAGATAATTAAGAACGCACGGAGATGTTGAGGACTCTCTACCTGAGATTCATGACAAAGAATTAATAATCTCGTTAGGATTTCTGCTCTCTTTTACCCGCATTTCGATGCTTTTTGTAGGAGTTTCTTTGCGCAACACAATAACAAATATTTTCCTGTCTCACGAAGATTTATTCCTTGTCAGTGCAATTCATCTTCTGCTCCGGAACAATTCGGTCTTCTTGCCTTCTCGCCCCACTGCGAGAGATCACATTGATCCTCATCAGAGACACCGAATCTTTGTCGTATTAATTGCACATTCGAGAGCAGAAGAGGTGAGCAGAAGAAGTGGCTCGAATATCGGCAGCTGGCCACTTGGGTGGCAAATATCATCTAATTTTCCACATCACTGAGGAACACAGATGAAAAGTGATACTGTCTCATGAAGGTGATGATTATGTGCGTAATTTATACTATATCGTCTCTGAAAACGCTGAATCCATCTCACTTTTCACTCCTCTCTTGATGTTCAATTGCATTCATGACCGAATACTCACGTTTCTGGCCATTTCAATGGGACGCTCAAAACCCTTCTGTTCGCAATTGTTGGGTGGATGGCATAAAAGTTCGTGATTTCTAGCAAATAAACTCCTCACAAATTACTCCTCTCATTCATCGCCTCTTTCACTCCTAATGATGTACAAATACACACCGAAGACCTCTTTTTGTGCACCCCCGCATTTAATGGGCCCATGCAATCAATGCTGATGTCAATAGAGAACTGCACAATTTTTCATTTCCGGTGGCCCATTATCGAAGAGCAGAGCCTTCAAAATGTAATTGAGGGTTATTCCCTGACTCTTGCCTTCAGCCACGGATTTCTATGCCGTCGAAGAGTTCCCAGATTGGCCGAAATAAGACTGATTGGCATCTAAAGTGACGATTTGAAAAGAAATATATCGCATAGTGTCATTCACACGTGTAATTGACGAAAAATCACTATTTTTCCGTCTGGATTACTGATCTTTCTCTTCTTTTCTCCCTCAAGGCAAACAAATCCTCAGCGCAAACGTCCCTGAAACATCAAAATCCATTACATTTGCCAACCCTTTTCTTTCTCACAACTGAAATTGTTTACGATATAAATTCGATCAGTGAGATTATTCTTCAAATGCGAGTTAATACGAAAGGCAAATACGGCGAGAGCAGAGATTGTGAGACCCTCATTTGAATTCACTGTCAAATGTTCATTTCACAGGCTGAAAGCAATGAATATTCCGGTGAAGCACTGAGGAGAAATTTCAAACAATCTCGAACATGAAAGTGTTGAGAATTTTATGAATTTTCAGCTTGACTTTAGTCATTATTTTCTTTCAGTGTCCTCCTTAATCTTTTTCAATTTCCATTCACGCATTCTTATCGCCATTCATGGCAATTTTTAATCTAACACTAACATAGCAGTGGTGGAAGAATTGTGGTTTCAACAAGTATTAAAACGATTTTCTACTACAGAAACTTCATGCGAAGAGATGAGATTTCTTTTTGTGGTTTTCCGCTCTTGCACATACCACAGATTTTCTACATTAGAGTTACAAATTAAAGCACCTCGAAGATTGCAATATGTAGTAAATCATGTCGGTGACCAACAAAAAAACAGTGTCCCGAAAGATGAATTAAATCACACTCGAATAGCATATTGCAGCATAAGTTTTGTCGAATGTTTGCTTATCGTATTATCAAACATGAAATCTGCATAGGGGAAAATGCAAATCTCCGCTCAACATTTTAATACTTGCACGTGAAAGGATGCTTTAAATTTGAATAGGGTAGACTTTGACGTCTCAATTGATGGGGAGATGTCGGAAATTTCACACTTTCTTCAATATTTGCATACAGAAAGACTTTAATCTCACTCTGGCTGTGCGTCGGAAGGGTTAACAGAATTTCTGTGATGCACTGTGTAAAATCATCGGGATTCAATGAATTGCCGAATCGAATTTTATTGCTTTCCATTGCAAATTGCTAACGTGCAGTGCTTTGAAATTGATTTGCCAGGGTTTATCTCAAATCTACACGAGATTTCTTTCATTGTTTATCGATCGAGGCCAAAGGGTTGATGGATTTATTTCCCAGGAGACACAATTTCACGTCTCATCCTCTAAATCTTAAGCTCATTGCCGGGCTCATGGTAGTAAATCTTCTCTTTCTCCCGAACCAACAGCCAGAGAAATGTACTGCGCTCTTGGCAACGCCCATAGCGACCAATTGGATTGTTCCTGATTCCCCTCCGATCGATAAACCCAACAATTTTCCGGATACATTGTATACATTGCGGGTCTGTTTATATTTTCACTCGCAGCGTTTCAAGCTGTGCCGCCAAGTAAATAGAACTGAATGGCAAGGAAAAATGGAAGCTCGTAGCATAAAAGGAGCTGAAAGGCATGTTTTTTTGTGTTGGAAATTAAAGAGGTACCAATGCAGCCATATTCTCATCAAAATGTGTCCCTATCATCGCTCAAGAGGTGGATCTCTATGCCTCTAGATTACACATGAGATAAGAAATAACTGCCCTTGCACAAGAGGGTGAGCATTAAAACCCGAAATTTCAGTCATTGTCGAACAGATTATTAAAATAGTTTATTTATAAAAATATGTATGTATGGTTCCAAAAATGCAACATCTTATAAAACTCTCTCCTTCGTCATTGTTTAACAATTATTCACACACACATAGTATATTGTGTCTCTCATCTGCCTGCACATCTACTAAAAGTCTGTGTTAGAAGTCGAATTCCTGATCAATTTTCAGTTCAATGAGTGAGTTGTACGCGAAGACATTGAAGAAGCACAGACCCACGGTGAAGAGATCAATGAGTGGCACCGAGAAGTTCTCCGCCAGCTTGTCTATTACAAAGCAGTTGATGATGCAGAGCATGGCCAAGCCCAGGGCCCAGTAGTTGTCCGCCACGACTCCAAAGTACAGCAGCGACATGATATTGCCCAGGAGAATGAGGAACTTCACCGTATCGTGGCCGCCGGGCGTGAGCAGCACGTCTAGGATGGGGATGCCCGTGGAAGAAAATTGCACGATGGCCCACAAGGAGTTATTGACACGCTGATAGAGTTGCGTGACCAGCAGAGCCACGGGCATAATGCGATTGGCATTGAACGTGACTGCATACACCGAGCGAAGGTGAACAACGAGATTGGGATGCCCAAAGCGGAAGACGCCGACGAGTCCGTGCACCAGCAGCATGCCAAAGGTCGCCACAGCAATGGGGTACACCTCCAGCGACACTGTCCTGCTCACACACCAGCCCGAGATGCCAGACAGACAGATGTGGACAAGGCACGTGGCGTAATTGTGAGTGCTTCGGTGATCCACTTTCTTGAACCTACGGTGGAATCAGGACATGCAAATTGAAACCGCCTGGCATCTCCAGACACAACATCGAGATGATACACTGACACAAACACACACACAACATCGAAAAACAAGGCAGAGAAAGGACTAAAGATCCTCCACACAGTTTAAAAGAGACGAGAAAAGTTAAGAAGAGACAGTTTGTAAGAGTTCGGAAGACATCTTAAAATAAGAGACAAGCGACAAGGGTGAAATATTCACTTCACTTTCACTCGCTGAACATTGACATTGAGCTGAGGAAGAGTCTGTTAATTCGTAGCACATTTGTAGCAATTATTATAATTAGTTAAATCAAATGTTTGAAGGTGATTTTAGATAGGATTAGTAAATAAAAATCTTTAATATCAAACTAAATCAAATCTCTTTCGTATTTCACCTTTTTATAATAGAAAAAAAATCATATGTCATCGAATCAGAATTATTTTCTTTCCCAAAAATGAAAAGAACTGTCCATTTTATAATCAAAAATAATCCGACAATTCTTAACTTTTCTGCCCAATATTTACCAAACCTACTAAAGAAAAACCTAAGAAAGATTGAGTGGAAATATTGCATATCAGAATATGAATTTCAGCTCCAAAGCAACGGAATAAACACTAATAATTAAGTACATATTTTCTTGAAGTCTATTTACATCACACATAAATTACTAATTTGTTTTTTATTCTTGGAACTTCCTATTTTAACCAAAGAATGAGTAATTTCTTGTAACTTCTCTCTCTTTGCAACTGCACTCAATTGATTTTATCTTTTTTATGTTAAAAAGCCAACTTCAATACAATAAATTTTGTTTCATTTTATACAAATTTCTACAGACTTCAGAGGATTTCATCTAGCTTGATGTTGTGGGTGAAGAGAGGGCCCAAGAAACACAGAACCGCGAGTCCCAAGGCGTACAATTCTTTACTTGGCAGAGAAGACCTCCGGAAGATATTCGTGAGGAAGAAGCGGTTGATGAAATCTCCCTCTACAAGCAAAGACCAACTCATTCTGTTTTCAATCGTGGCCATGCATCCCAGATAAACCTCCGCAGTTAAAGCCACACAGTCGTAAATGTGGTCAGACAAGTTAAATGTTCTTAGTATGGGATGAGCCACGATTGGGAGCGTGAACAGGCAAATGTGGAGGAATCCCATATGAGGTTCGCACAGGACTTCAGTAGCGATTTGAGCAGAGACGAGAGGCAGAATCCCAATTCTTGCCATCTTGCTAGAAGCCTCGTAGACATAGTTCACCACGGAATTGTCAAGGATGGGTTTCACGCATCCGATCATTCCATGGCTTAGCATTGCAATATAGGGACTCCGGGCCAATAGACTCTCACGTCGGAGCGCGTACAGGGCAAAGGAGCAGGAGCCACAGAGAAGCAAATTCGTGAGAACCTTCGAGTACTTCCAATTCCAATCGGCTTGTTCTATGAACACCGGCCGAGGTGCCAGTTCTGGAATGTCTGCAATGGGAAAGTCTCTGAGAACACCACCGGAAGATAAGTGTGGTTATGCTACCGTCGTCTGTCCAATTCACCATCCAATCACTCATTATTCGTGTTTGATACTAAGGAGAGTCGTTTGGATTATAGCTTAAAGCTGAATTTAGATTAATTGATCAGGATTTCGCGTGCGGAACGTGAAAAAAGCGATTGTTTTTGTTCCTACAAAGACACTACGATTGCTCGAAAATCTCGCTAAATACCAGTGCAACGCCACAAACAGCATGCAATAATAGACAGAAGTAAAAAAAATCAACTTACCGGAACATGATTACCGTTCTATTATCTATCTAGGAGTGTTTTTTTCACGATTTTGTGCGTTTTTGACTCCCTTATCGTTACTCTATTGACACTTTCTCGCCGGATGCAATTATGGTAGGTTGCGGATATATGTCAGTGGATGTCCGGTTTTAGGCTGCGTATATTACGCATCTAAATATTTCCATGTTTTCCGCGAATTTCCCACGAGAAAATAAATGCTATTATGTTATTTGTTAGCTCTTGGTACGAGTTGCTTGAAAAGAAGCAAATTTGGCACCTAGTACGGCATTTAGATAAATTTCATCATTCTGGTTGTGGACGATGTGAATAACCTCACAATTGCTGCGTAATGAATTTTTCACTATATGCCGTTGATTTTTTGCTTAGTACTCCCACAAAAGACCTATTTTTGTATTCCGAATGAATATTGCTGATTTTCTTGACTTCCCGTGGTACTTCGGGATTTTCATACAGGAATTTTTTGACGAACGTTTTTCTCTGTTGCAATTTGAATTGAACGACGCAGCCTTTTGACGCGCCGACAAATGCATCCGCGGACGGCCGCATTCAACATCAGCCAATTGTATAGAGTGCTTGTATAGCTGGAAAACTCCTCTAATTTCCCTGCAATATCCCTTTTGCCGTGCTCGAGAGATTGTGCAGGCAGTGCCAGTGCGTTGGTGCGTGGAAAATAGCTGGAAATTGAGGAGCAGAGGTGAGAAAATTGGTAGAATAGTGGAAGCCTCAAGCGACTTGTCAAAGGAAAGATGCCAAGGACGTTTTGGTGGTTTGCAGTCCCGGAAAGATAGGATTTGTGGTTGCTTTGAGGAGTGAGGGCGCTATTCTTGGGGTGTTTTCATGGAGAGCTGAAACAGGAAGGATTTCAGTGTATTTCCGTATAGGAGGGAAATTAACATTTCCGCCTGTAAAGGATACAACGCGGTGAACGAAGGCGAATAGTGAGTTTTTCCACTCCCGGATCTGTTTTGAGTTTGTGTGCCCCCATTGCGAGTCCGGGAGTTTTTTTTTCTTCTTAAAAGGACTTGCTTTAATTAAAGCACAGAGGTTGAAGGGAGTCAACAGCTGCTTTCGGTATTTCTTCCTTGTCTTACCGTTTCCCATCCCCTTTTCAATCTCTCACCTTTTGTCGTCTCGCATCTTTCCCCTTGTCTTGTCCTCCGCGCTGAAATTGGGTGCATTTCCTCGTGGCAAATTCTGCCTATTTAAACACCCTTTCATTGGCAGTTTTTCAGGAATTCCAGCCAAACCGGACGCAATCGCAGCAAACGTGCAAACAAACCAACGATGGCATCGAAGGGAGACGTTGGCGCTGTCCAGAACTTACGATCCACGAGGTCCAAGGCGTCCGGTCTTGTGGATCAGAATGCCATGGTGACGCGCAAGAAGAGGAAAGCCGACGCAAGCCCACTCAAGAATGACAAAGTGAAGCGCTCGGCGCTGGGGAATCTCACCAATGCTGCTGTGGAGCAGGCCACAGACAGCAAGCTGGCCAGCAAGGCGGCCTCCATGATGCTGCCCGTGAAGAAGGCCATTAAGTGTGCCGTGCACGGTAAGAAGAAGACTGCCATCGCCACAAAAACGACTGCGAGCAAGAAGACCAAGGTATGATGGGTTATTTTATCCTAGCGTGATTGTTGGAGAAAATTGAGATTCTCTGTTTTCTTTTTTGCAGACTGAAGTGCCTCAATTTGTGCCTCCGCTCGCTAAACAGGACGAGAATGTGGACATCTTGGAGGAGTTGCCATCGCTGAAGCGCCCCCTGACACGTGCCGCCGCAGCAAGGAATGCTGTGACGGTAGAGACGACAGTTGTGAAGCCAAAAGACCCACTGGAGGTCTCCAAAGCGGCGCCCGTCCGGAGAATCTCCAATGAATTTGAGAAGACTGGCGAGAGCGTGTATATGTCGGCTCTCGATGAGACGCCCAGTTCGCGGTGGTCCACGAGCACGAGCCAGAGTGACAGGAAGAGCCGCTCGAGTGTATCCAGCTGCGACGAGGACAAAATGCCCGTGCCGTCGCCATCGAAGATCGAGCGTGATCCAGTGCCCACGGACGTGGAGGACTTTGACAAGGAGAATCTCATGGATCCATTCCAGGTGTCCGAGTACGCGCCGGACATATTTGACTACCTCAAGAACAGGGAGAAGCTCTTTCCGGTGGAGCCGTACATAGACAAGCAGCCGTCGCTGTCCACGTGGATGAGGGCGCTCCTCGTGGATTGGATGGTGGAGGTGCAGGAGTCATTTGAACTCAACCACGAGACTCTGTACCTCGCCGTGAAGCTGGTGGACATTTACTTGGGCAGGGAGGTGGTGGCGAAAGACAAGTTGCAACTTCTGGGCGCCACATCCATGTTGATCTCATGCAAGTACGATGAGCGTGTTCCGCCCCTCATCGATGACTTTCTGTATGTTTGCGATGGGGCCTACAGCAGCCGAGAGTTGATTGCCATCGAGCGGAAGATATTCAAGACGATAGGATTCGATCTGGGAATTCCGCTCTCATATAGATTCCTGAGGAGATATGCTAGGGTGAGTTGCGCCTTAGCCGCGTGCTCTGGGTGAGATTCAATGCATTGGTTCCTTTTTCTAGTGCGGAAAGATTGACATGTCAGTTCTGACTCTCGCTCGCTACATCCTGGAATTCTCTCTCATGGATTACGACACCATCACGCTGAGTGACTCAAAAATGGCAGCGGCGGCTCTGTATATCTCTCTCAAGATGACAGGAACAAGAGAGTGGGACGCAACTCTGGAGTACTACTCGGGTGAGTTGATGGAACTTAGGAAAACGCATGATCTCTTTATGTATCTTTATTCAATGGGCACTTAATTCTCGCCAGGCTACAAACTTGAGGACTTCGTACGCGTGGCAGTTCTACTCAACAATGGCCTCCACAAGAAGTTCAAGGATCCTCCCTTGTCCACCATCAAGAGGAAGTACTCCCACAAGATATTCCACGAGGTGTCCAAGAAGCCTCTGATCAAGAATGCTCAACTGCTGGGCTCTTTGGCGAATGTCAGCGAGTTCGCAGACTGCGTGTAGAATTAAATTTGTTGTTTATGGAGTTTTCCCACCTTTACCATTATCAATTTTGAAACATTCGTGCGCGTCAAGGACATTGAACAATGATTTTTAAGTAGCGTTTTTATATGATTTTTTGTACTAAGTGTATCGCTGCGTAAGAAAATTTTGAAAATGACGATAGACTCGATTAAATAAATTTGTCACACGATTTAAAATCCGCCTTTTTCCGCTCTGGCTTGCGGTGGTCACTCATAACCCAACTTTTTTATTGGTCTGCAAAGGTGAGAGTCAACGATTTCTTCTCTCCCCCCGGTTTTTCATTCTTTACATTCTCTTTTAGAATAATCGTCGACTAAATGGGTGTCAAAGGACTTACGACATACATTGGAAAGAATGCAAAGAAGTTCCTTTCGCCTCACGAGCTGCACGACTGCAATCTGGTCATCGATGGAGACAATCTGGCGTGTCAACTGTTTAGAAAAGTCTGCGAGACCACCAACTGTGCCTTTGGGGGCGACTATGACATGTTCTACATGCAAGTATGCCGCTTCTTCACGCTCCTGGACAAGTGCAATGTGAAAGCTTACGTCCTGTTGGATGGCGGATATGAGATATATCGCCTCCGGACAGTGCATTCCCGGCTAAGATCGAAGATTGCTGCGATCAAGCACTTGGATCCCACTCGTCCGGATGCCGTCCACTTTCCCTTGCTAATCAGGGAGGTCTTCGTCAGAGCGCTGAGGGATATGAAGGTGGAAGTGATGAGATGCTTATTTGAGGCTGACGAAGAAGTGGCCAATCTGGCAAAGCACCTCAATTGTCCAGTGCTGAGCTACGACTCTGACTTCTACATCTACAACGTCCTGTACATCCCCTTCGTCTCGCTCACGCTGAAGGTGTACAAGAAGATCATTCAGAGGGACGGAAACGAGATGGTGCACGTGGAGAGATGTTCGCTGAAGGCACGGAAGAGGAATCGAAAGGCCAGAGTGCCTGTCATGGACATGGATGGGGAAGATGGTGAGCAGGAAGATGCAGATGAGAAGTGCTACTACTATCTGGATTGCTGCCTGTACCGGATGGAGAATCTAATGAAGCACACCAAAATGACTGAGGAATTACTTCCATTCTTCGGCGCGATCATCGGCAATGACATCACTCAGAGATCCAGGCTCAGAAAGTTCTACTGTGGCGTCAACACACGCAAGAAGAGGAAGCAGCAATCCAAGCTCCAGAGGCAGATCGATGGACTTATTCATTGGCTGCAGCACGAAACTCTGTCCTCAGCCCTGGAGAAGCTTGAGATTCGCACTGACAAGGAGAACAGAGAGAGTCTCCTCGAGCATGTGAAGACTGCTTCGGCGTCTTACACATCCACGAACAGCATCTCGTGTGTCTACTTCGGATTCGTTGAGGAGACTGAGGAGAATGAACTGGAAGATGACCAAGAAATCTGTGAAGAAGATCCGAGTGAAGATGAGGAAACAGAAGAAGAGGAATCAAAAATTAAATTAGCTGAAAATCCCGCAGGAAGAAAGGACATTCCGCCTTGGCTGAAGAGTAAATTCCTCCGGGCTGAACTCCCTCGATACTGCATTGATCTCATTCACCTGAAGATGTACGTGAACAATCCACAGATTGAGAACTACAAGCTCAAAGACGCAAATTTGGTGGCTCTTGACATCCTTCTGCTGCTGTTCCGCATCTTTAATGCTCCTGAAACGCCAACTCTCAACTACTTGACTAGACTTCCTGGCCAGATCACCTATGCGAACAAGTACCTGACGCTGGAGACAACAGATGACATTGCCTTTGATCCCGAAGAGAAGAGTGACAAACTCTTTCGCCACATTTTCTGCAAATATGAGAAACAGCAGGAAATGTTTAGCCTCGTGCCAGCTCTCAGCTCAGCTCAGAGGCTCTACACCCTGGCCATTGTCTACTGGACGAGAAAGTCAAAACTCTGGACATGGATTCACATCCGAAGCCTCATCCTCTCGATGATGATTCTCAGCTTTGTCGACAAGAAGTGCGGAGAAATCCGCAGCCAAGAGGAATTTGAGGGAATCAATGGGAAAACTCTGCAAAGAATCAAAGCTGAAATGGCCAAAAAAACACTCCCGACAAGTGAAATCCAAGAGGAGTTTACAGAACCCAGAGGACGGCAATTGAGGAAGAAGATCAGCAAGAATGAGTGCGTTATAATACAAGAGCGGATCATTCCATTCCTCTCTCGCAATGTTCATCACAAGAAATCTTACACTGACTTCTCCAGCACAATTCTCCACGGATTCTCAGAATTCCAGGCTGTTCTGTATCACATGATCACCCTGAACTCAATCTCAAACTTCCCATTTGAGGAGCCTCACGTGGCTAAAATGTACAAAGGATTTCTGCTCTTCAATCTCTATTCCACACTGAAAAAGCGTGATGATCCTGAACACTATCTCAGAGCTAATCTTCTCAACTGTGCCCACAATTTCTGGTCATACTATGACTACCTGATGACCTGGCTCAGGAAATTTATACCAGAAGAGAATGCATAAAAGCGGAATAAATACCTTTCTGACTACATTTGTTTGCCTTTTAACAAAATTATTTGATTACACCTTGAACTTCATCCTCAGATTCGGAATCTAGAGTTTCCAGATGTTCTTTGATAGTCTGTCGCAAGCATTCCTTCAATTGTTCGCCCTCCTTCTTCGCCGCATTAACCTGAAATAGCAAAAAAGACTCCATAGAATCCACATTCATCAAATCATTAAAAAATTAATAAACTTACAAGAACGTAATCTTGCTCCAATTGTCGAAGAAGTCTCAGTTTGAGCCTCACGAAAGCCGTAGGAGTCTCCAGATCAGCCATTGTGATTTTGTCGTCCAGAATTTCAATCCAGAAACTCGTATTTCTTCCTCCAGAACGCCTCACTTCCACACGATAACTCGGGATATTGATATTCCTTACTGGAAGTTTCAGTTCGATTTTCTCCAATTCCAACTCATCAGCAATGTCCTTCAGCGTCTGTCCAACGCTGACCAACTTTGGGCGTTTCTCCAGCAAATAATTCGGCACATCTGCAAATGAATTGGCTTTTTTGCCACTCACCGGATTGGGCAGCACTTCAGGCATTTCGATCTCCAAGCATGAAATCAAGAGAAGTTGTCTTGAGTCCAATTTTATGCGATTTTGACCCTTTGGTGGCACCAGGAAGTCTTTATCATTGAAGAATGACTTGAAGAGCATCTCAGATTTACCTCCCAGCATAAAGAAAGACAAGAGAGTGTCCACAAACTCATCGAAAGCATACCTGTACTCATAATTCCTCAACTTCCACAATATTGCATTGCACACGGAATTGAGGTCATCACGTGAGAGAATGTTATCCTGCATATTTGTGCAACACCACAGGAACGTGGCGAGATCTTTAGCGCGGAAGTTGGGATTCAAGTATCTGTCTTCTCTGGTCAATTCAATTGACTTTTCGTGTTCCTCTTTGATGATTTCCATACATTCAGCCGAAATGGTTTTGCCAAAAGTCTCAGGGATTCGACGATTCTCCGCAAAGAGTGCCAAAAGGTGAGTATATGCTCTTAGATCGCCATCCTGGATATCTCCCTCTTCGAGAATAGATTGTATTTTGTCCAGAACGCATGCACTATCAACCTTGTTGTGCCTCAGACTCTTCACGAAAGTCACCAGCAACTGAATGTCCACATCGGTATTCATGCTGAGAATCTCTGATATTAGACGCTGATGGAAATCCTTGTCCGAGATGGTCACTGTGGCTTTGAATGCGGAATTTGCCACCAATGCCAGTTGCAAACTGTCCAAATCCTCAAGATAGTTGCTCAAGTACATTTCCAGGAATGCCTTGAGTTGCTCACTCTGTCGCTTGGTTTTCTTGAACAGCCCCAAGTAGAAGCAGATTTGCACGAAGTTCTCCTTGGTTTTGTTCTCAGGGAATCCATCAATAAGCTTTTGCAGTCCGCGTCTCACGGTATCCAACTCTGTGACTTTGTTGGGCAGCAAATACATAAACATCTGTAAAATTTCCTGAACGTCTCTGTACGCCAACTTTTCAATCCGATGATTCACCTCATTATCCACATCATTTATCACTTGGTAGATCTTGGCGATGTCCGCATTCCCGCGATAGTTTGCCGTGAACATGAGGAGCCTGACCAACTGATCTGATGCAATTTTTTCCAGCTCTTGCCGGAACCTGTCTTTGTTCTGCACGGGATAAAACTGACTGTACTTGATTGTGTTCTTGGCAATCTTTGCCTCCACACTATTTTGTATGGCTATCGACTTGGCGAAGCGATTCAGGAGAGTCCCGGAATGAGAGTGATCCTCATACTGAAAGTCCCTTTGTGTGAAGGTGGCGTACGAGGAAACGGGTGATTTCCTCACATTCTCCACGAGACTTCTCAGTCTCCACATCAAACGAGACATTTTTCACTGCCTGGATTCACAAATAACTAGGAAATACTGCGTTTTCTCGAATTCTAAGCACTCCTCAGCGTGTGTCCTTCAGAGGTTATGTTTCGTCAATTAATTCATACGGCGAATGTTTGGTGGCGCTGATTACTTTCAAAAAGCCCGCCAACGAAGTGGAAATTGAAAAAAGTACATACAAATCGAATTGTTTCCTCACAGTTCCCCTTCATTTATTACCCTTCCATCACACGTGGGAAATGGAATATGTGGCAAGAGATCTAGTCTTTCTGGATGACTTTCCTTAATGAGTTGTATCAGCAATTTCGCTATTTCTTCCCGCTTGCGGGTCGGCAAAACGGGCCAGAACCAATTTTCCAGCTGTCGAATAGGCAATCGAAAGTCTCTGATGGGATCACAGAAGAATTCTTGAGCATATTGCAACAAGAACAGACCACAGTCGAAGCAATTCTCCTGCTGAGGCAGTTTCACTGAATGACTAGGCATGTTTCTCTCGTTGAATACGTGGCTGGATGGATTAGCCATCGGAAAAACCTTTGCCTGATACTCACACGTGAGGTAGTCACGAAGAGTAGCCACCACATGGTTTTCAGCATGTTCAAACATGGAATCGAATATTAAGATGCAAGGCCTGTAAAGCAATGCGTAGTTACATCCTATTTCAATTTCATATAGGCTAACTTACTGCTTAATTGGTTGATGTCGATCCAATCTTCTCATTGGAACGCCCTCAGAATACGTTCGTGGTCCATCGAGTCCTGGGAAGCAGATAATAGCCAGGAACCAGTGATTCCTCTTATTGATTGGAATCACCACAAAGTCCTTCTCAAAGAGATTAACATTCTTGGTCCACCTCTTGACGCGGTTGTGTCTCTTCTGCGTCACCGTCATCTTCAGATTCTTCTCCGCCTGACGCTGGTCCCTTGATGGGACAGCGCTTAAGCGTTCATAGAAGAATGAGCTGAAGAAGTGTGTCTTCTCGCGCTGCTCTTCAGAAAGTATTGTTAAGCGCAAATAGTTCAGGAAGAAGTCAATTATGACATCATTGACAAATTCCTTAGCGGCCAAAGTCTTGTAATCCTCCGTATTGATAGAAATTCCACCCTGTCCTTCCGGATAAATAAGGATCTGATGAACACTTCTACGACTACAACTGGCACCATCGTTTACAGTGAGATCCTACAAATATTTCACATGTATCATGTAAATTAGATATTATTTCACTTATTTGATGAGTATTGAGGTGATTTACCACAATTTTATCAGTCATTTAACCAGATTTTCATCAAGGAAAAGACCAAACAAGTGATAAACAAAAGCGCTCAGTATACGATTGTTGAGGTTAAATATGACACTGTTTTGCACGGCGAATGTGTGGTGGCGCTGTCGTCAAGTGCGCCAAACTAAATTTTACAGACCTCCAAGTGTTTTTCCTCGATTTTTCTAAACAAACAATTTATCACAAGATCTTTCAGTTATCAGTCTCATACATTAAAAAGAAACCATGTAAGCGCGGTGCAATGCTTTACCATGGTTTATTTTCGTCATAATACAATCTTATTTCTTTGCGAATGAGATCTTCATCGCGTGAGTGGGTGTGATTTTGAAGCCCTGGAGGGCCTCCTTCGCTGCACTGCTCTGCAATTCGCTGGCAAACTCCACAAAGGCGATATCGTGACGATTAGGCACCAGTCGCACCTCCTTGAATCCCGGAAACTGATTGAACAGCATCGAGAGCATCATCTCGTTGGTTTCCTCTGGAAGATTTGTGAGGAAGAGGATCTGATTTGGTGGTTGCTCTGCTGTACTGGAAGCATTTGTTCCAGAAGCATCAGCATTGTTGGCATTCTTAGCTTTCTTTGCTTTCTTGTCCTCAGTCGACACGGCCTTCGGCGGTTTCACCTTCTTCGGCCTCTCCTTGAATGTGCCCTTCATCTTCGCCACGAGATCACTGTCTGTCTTTGCATACTGAATCCTCATGGGCTTGTCGTAGAAGGGAAATCCTTGCATGGTTCTCAGCGCATTTGTGGCGCTGGCAATCTCCTTAAAGATCACAAAAGCCTGCCCTCGCATCTTCAGCGTCGCCATGGCCACGATATCGAGGATCTGGCCGAATTGGGAGAAGATGGCGTACAGAGACTTCTTCAGTTCCTCCTTCTTTACCTTCTCATTGAGATTATTGATGTAAATTGTGTGATTTGGTCGGATATCCATGATTCTGGGATCTGTAAACAACTATTAGGTTAGGATTTTGTTTACACTTTTTGCAACATTCTTTTCTGCGCATATTAAGCCATTTTCCCCCTTTACTTTAGCATTAAACTGAGTATTTGATACTCACCTCAAGGTCTGCACACAATTTAACACGAAAATTTGTGAAAAACCAGAGAAAACAGCCAAAAAACTTTCCTAAAAGCGGCGTCTGCAATCCGAAAAACGTTTTGCTTTGACGTTTGCATGACCCGCCTCTGGTGGCGAACACTGTTATTAGTAATAAAAAAAAATTCGCCGTTCTTGCACGTGAAAAGTAAGAAAATTCGCAAAATACTCCAGTAAAATGCAGAGAATCCGGGGAATAGTGCTCAGGACTGGTCTCCTAGTATCCACACGCACGTATAGCCAGGGTAGCCCGAATGCTCTTGCCACACTTAGGCGAAAGACTGGCTACACCATCTCAAACTGCAAGAAGGCTCTTGACTTGCATCAAAACAATATCGTGCAGGCGGAAAAGTGGCTCAATGACCAGGCTCAAGCGATGGGCTGGTCAAAGGCTGAGAAGCTGGAGGGCCGGAAGACACAGCAGGGTCTTATTGGTGTCCTCGTGAGAGAGAACTGCGGCATTATGCTGGAAGTGAATTGCGAGACCGATTTTGTGGCTCGCAACAAGACGTTCCAGGAATTCTTGGCCGCTTCCTCCAGTACTTGCTGGCAGTACATCCGGGAAAATGTGAAGAATGCCTCAGACGTGTCACAGGTTTGTAGACAGCGAAGAAAGTATGTGGGCATTTTTATTATTTCAATTGATTTTGCAGAAAAATCTCTCTACTGAGGATCTGAAGAGTCTTTTGGCCACTGATGGGAAGACTCTGAACGACCATTTGGCTGTCTTGATCGGGACAATAGGGGAGAATGCAACTCTGCGTCGGGGAATTGGTTTTAAGAGCGAGGACAGCGATATATTCCTCTCCGGCTATGCGCATCCGTCTCAAATCAGCGAAGAAGAAGGATTCGGCTTTGGCAAGTTCGGAGCCGTTGTTGCATTTAGGCGATCAGATACTCCACGTGATGCTGCTTTGGAGCGCAGGATATGTCAGCACATTGTGGGTATGAATCCAAAGAAGATCGGCAAGAAAGACGTCGACGAGGCCAATGAGGACTCGGACAACGAGGAACTCCTAATCTTTCAGGAATTCGTAGCGGACAATTCAAAGAATGTTGGTGAGGTTTTGGAGGAGTCCCGTCTCGAGGTGATCAACTACTCGCGATTCGAGTGTGGCGAAGATAGTGAATTATAGACATTCTGTGAGATGAGATTTTAATCTCTCTTCCTAGAGTAAATAGCCATGAAATCCCTGTACAACATGTTTGAGTCATCATTGCGCGGCCGGAAAGAGTTCCCCTTCCACTGGGCTTCCATGGCCTTGTTGCTGAGAAGTATTCCCGTGGGATTCACTTGCTTGACCTTTGAGTTCTCAAGACCATATAGTAATCGATACTTTTCCGAATTTATGAGCAGAATTTGCTGATACAGGGCCACAGAAGTCACCCACATGTAGAGTAAGAACACTGCAAGGTGAGTTGGATTCATTCCAAAGAAGATTAGGTGGTTTGAAGAGCCTTACAAAGGTAAAATCCTCCTGCGCAAGTCGCTCCAATTAGTTCTCCCAGAGGCAAGTGCTTCTTCAGGCACATCATAGCGATTACGTGGGTGCACAGAAATAGAAGAACCTTCACCAAGTTCAGGATCATGAATGGCACCAGAAGATATTTGCTGAGCTGCAAAGTGAATTATGTAAACTAAAGAAATCCCATTCTATTGAAATTACCCTGATTGCTCCAGTGATCAGGAGAAAACATGAGACCAGATGCAGTGAAATGATGACGATGAAAATCTCTAAGACTAGCGCCAAATGATCATGAAGAATGGAGACAACTCGATACACCAGGATATTATCTTCCACCTGCTTCAGCACTTCATATCTCTCTATCTGCTCCTTAACATCACCCGCTTTCGCGCTCCCGAGAAAGTACAGACAAGTCATTGAACAGAGAGAGGCATAGACTCCAGCAAAAATGACTCCGAGGCGCACGGAACAACAGAAGCAGAAGTGGTCTAGGAAAGGCATTCCGGGCAACTAATTAGTCCAGAGCGCCCAAATCGCTGAAATGACATGTTTCTGGCCCATATCGGCCGTATCGGAGATCTCCAGATAAGACCATCATTAGGCAGCGCATTGAATAACTTAATAATATATTTACAGACAAAGAAATGGTTCAATGTCACACTGATTTCGACGCATTCAGCGACTCAATGGCTAAAGGTTTCGTCGAAGTATTTAGGCTAATGACTTCCTTCTTGCTCTCTTCCTCAAGGAATATCCAGCGTTTCTTGCTCAACAAGAAGAGCACCATAAGCAATGGCAGGTGCAGTAGAGAGAAGCGGAATAGCTTGCGGGAACTGCTGCTGTCTGAATTTCTGTAGAATTTCCACGCTACAAGTGAGAAAAATTTTGAGTAAATGATCTCTCGACTGCGGATTTAAGCAAACTCACCCAGATAACTGAAGTACAGGTTGAGAGGCAGGGATGTCAGAGCGAACCAAGGATCTGTGACTTCCAGAACTGGCGCCAACAATGAAATCCCAGTAATTCCAACTGTATATCTTAGAGCAACTCTTCTGCAGAGTTGAGGATTCGTCACAGCCATCATTCTGTATCCAGCGCGTGAGTAGTCTGGCCTCAGGTTCCACGACAGCGCATTGAAGTGCGGGAACTGCCAGGCGTACAGCAGCGCAGCTAGGATCCATGCTCCAGTGTCCACATGTCCTGTGCACGCCACCCATCCCATCACAGGCGGAATAGCGCCCACGAATGAGCCCACCCACGTATTGAGGATGCTGTAGCGCTTCATAGGCGTATATATGCAGGTGTAGAGCACAAGATTGGCCAGACCCAGTGACGCTGCGAGCCCATTCACGCCGTAATTCAGCAGGGCATAGCCACTCGCCCCCGCAACGGTTGCGAACGCCACAGCATGCAGAGGAGTCAGCATTCCCTTCACCAGGACACGATTGTGCGTACGGGACATCTGGGCGTCGAAGGGCACCTCGAAGAACTGATTGATGGAGTTTGCGGCGCCGGAAAGAAGTCCTGTGCCAACAGAACAGAGCGCGAAAGTGGCGAGATCGAATGGTGCTGGAGCCATGGCATATCCTGCCATCGATGTCACCACAACTAGCGTGGTCAGACGGATCTTAGACAATTTCAGGTACAGCTGAAGTGTGGGGGAGAGTGGAGTCTTCGTCCAGGCATCGGCTGCCGGCTTCTTCTCTATCTTTCCAGTCTCCGGCAAGCGAAGCGGCGGCTTTATGTTGTTCACATCTAGAGAAATCAGCACAGCAGGCTTAGTTGCTCCGACTGAAATGGCTATGGATTCATCGCGCGACCTCTCGTCCTTTGCCAATCCTTCCAAAGGCTTGGGATTCACTTTCGTTGCATGCTGAAGAGGTGAAAAGCTTAGAGAAGAGAACTTTTCCCAGATAAGGCAACTACTTACTCTCCGTTTGACGACCGCCGTGTAGGAACAACAGAAGTTTAGTGGACGGATCAAGTGAAAGGATCTTACCGTCAAGATATTCATCATTCTGATCTCCACTCCTCACCACATGATCCCCAACTGCTGGAGATAAACAAATTCACTAGAATTATGTAAGTTTGCTCGTGAAAAATCACGTTTACGCTGTCAACATGGTCGCCAGTGGCGCTTCGGTGGTGGCGAAAAAGAATCAAAAGAGGTGGTGAGATGCCGAATTCCCCACTTTCCCCTCAATTCCAGAAAAACTCGTCCAAGATTCCACCAAAACGACACAAAACAGAAATCTGAAGATTTTTCCGATTAGTCCTAGGAAATTTAGAAGGCGGCAAAAGTTAAAAATTTCCATTTATGTAAATTTGTATGCATTTTCCACTGAAGAAAATTTTATGATAAATCCTGATTCCTGAAAAAAATTTTACACATGCATTTTGGTTTCTATTCCATCACGTTCGAAATATTAAAAAAAAATTTTAATTATTTTCCCTGCTTATTTCTCTATTTACTGTGTGGCTGTGATAGAGATTAGGAATTTGGTTTTCAAAACTGATTTGGCGATTCTTTGCTTTCAAATCATCACAGAATTTCCCTGCGCATTTGTAAAAGAGCTATTTTCCATATTTCCAATATGAATAGTAATTCGAGCACATCTAATTGGAAGCTTTCGCAGACGAACCTGTTGGGAGTGTCGTGCGAAAGGTCCGCGGCGAAGTGTGGACAGGGTGGGAATGCCGCCGTGGCTTTGCATGGGCGCTCGACTTGAATCGCTGGAGGAGGCAGTCGATTGGTTGCTTTCGTAGTGCCTGGCTCGTAGTGCGACTACTCGTGAAATTTCTCAGTCCAATTTCAAAATACTTGTCCGATTGTAAATAGAGTGTATGGGAATTGTGTGGCTTCATCGCGAGACTGTTTTGTAATTATTGTAAATAGCGCGAGTGTGGGCCTCTTCACAATTTCTCGCCAGCTCCCAGTGCAGCTGGTATGCAATTGGAGGCAAATTGGAAATGTCAGCAGAGCCAAGTGATGTGAACACCTCGAAATATCTCCACTTTTCCCACTGGCAAATGTGCCCAAGAGGCCAAATAGTGTCCATTTGGGGTGGAATTGAGTGAATCTTGTGGTGCAAGAGTGTTTAGGTGGGGGCAAAAGGCAGAATACTCGACGCCCAGAGATCCCCAAGTGTCCCCCCGCGCGCGCGATCGTGTTTTGCATCCCACAGCCTGTGTGCACTCGCTTCTCCGCTTTTCGGGTACAGAAATAGTTAAATGAGTGAGACACGAAAATAAATAGACACACAGTGCAGTCCTCCAGGCCCGCCTCCGTGTCACACGCCCGAGCCCCTCCAGATGCCGTGTGGCGAGCCCCAGTGAGGCTCTGAGCGTCCCGCGGGAAGGATCCAGCATCCCGCGATCATGAGTCGCAGTGAGTGCAGGAAATTCTCGGCCAACATCTTCAACGTGAGCAAGTGCAGCCACTGCTTCCGCCAACGAGAGGAGCACAGTCTGGCAGCATTGGAATGTAATCGCGTAAGTGTTTGGCTATCCGATCGCGCTCTTCTGGCTCTGTGTTGGAGCCACTGCTTGTTTACGACACGTAGAAAATGCAGCCTCCGATCGCCACTTGATATCCATATCGCTGATCGCCAGAGCGATCAAAGAGACTGCGGGAATTCGGCTTACGGGCATCTCGGCATAAGAAACTCACGTGATTAGCACGATTCCCACTGATAGAATTAAATTGATTTGTTTACACATCCTCAGAATCAGAGCGCAGTTATCGTTTAATCTGAATGAATGACTCTCGATTCAATAATAGTTTATTAATTGCGAATTGTGGGCGGAGCGTGTGGGTGGGAGGGTCGATTCTTTTGCATAAATCTCCAATCGAACTTTTGGAACCGCCAAAGTGAGGATTGTAAAAGAGAAATCACAATTTTTGGACTGTGCTTGTGAAAATTTGCCTCTGATTAACAATTTAATAACTGCAATAGTACCGTTTCGCAGCTAATAGATTCCGCTGTAGAAAACGAAGGTAGGAAAGTCGGAGCGCGTAGAGTATTTTATCATGACTACGGAGATCTAATGTGCATATTAGAGAGGAGGTATATAGTTGAAAATGATGGTACATTATGTACAATTGTGTGTACTCAACACTTTCCTTTGGCACGGATGGACTCTCTACGCGAGTGCTTCTCGCGCGCGCATACTCGATCACTGTGAAGATCGTGGTGTGGGCAAAAATTAAATTAATATAGTAGAAAGCAATCAATTAAATTCGTCAAGTTCAAGAAATTGCCAATCCGCCCGTGAAAACATGTAATAAAGACACGGGCGCAGAAAGAGAGACATTGAGGGGCGAGCAAAAGGAGCAACAAAAGAGACTCCAATTGCTCAAATTATCATTATATTGTTGATGTGGTGCTTTTTTAACATTTATTATTCCATCTCTTTTTCAGTCTACGAGGAAAGTCACGAAATGCGGCTATTTGTTTGTTGCACCTGACTGGGATTTTATCACAAACCCACTGTACAGAACGAAGGTAAGAAGACATGTCTCAATGGTCTCTCGTATCGCCTAAATATATCTATCATTGTCGAAATGATAAAACTAATTACACACGCCGTTTCTTGCCTCCTTCTCTCCACCCGTTCTTTTTTATCTGCGCCTCTTCTGGCTGCTTGTGTGTTGTCTCGACAAAAGAGATACAAATTGCGTATCTTTTGGAACAAATATTTGAGGAATTTTTTCACGTAAACCACTCTGAGATAGTGCTCAAGAGATTTTCACGATAGAGTATCGCCCCAAGGGTTTCTCATTGTCGAAACACACTGTACACACTTGAGGGGCTTCGGTGAATGTAATTACTTCTCAAGAAGCCCTTTTTGCAGTGGCTGCGCATATTTTGTGTATTGTATTATATAAAATTCTGAGCAATTCCTTGAATTTGTCATTCCTTAAGGCGAACTCTCGTTGAGCTGCAGGCTTTGCCTATGAGAAAACATTTGGTGCGATGCCGAACGGAAAAGCTATTATGCAGTGTGGAGTTGTAAGAGAGGAAAGAGCCTTATAAGGAAATAAAGTTGTTTTACATGTGAGCGCATTTTGTGGCCAATAAGACACACACGTGAAAAAGGTCTGTTGATAATTAGTAATGAGAAGAAATTGAGCAGTGGCAATTTGCGAGCAATGCCAAAACAATAACAACGATCAAAGGAAAGTTGAATGTCCTCATGATGGATGTGGCAAAAAGCACCCAATATTTCTGCGAAAAAGCTACTGGTCGCGGTGCGTAGAGGTGGAATTTTTAGAAATCTGCACGAGTTTTCACCGTGAACGTTGCGTTTTGTTTTTCTTATATTTCTCAATCGAAGCCAGAGAGTTGAATGTGTATTTTTTCCTCGCATCCCATTTTTCAGCTAATTATTTCACTGAAATATTCGATCTGACAGACAGTGAGGCTGTTGGATGAACTTGATTTATACTTATATGCTATGCGAAAGCACTGAGTGAGATGTGTCTTAACATAAAAATTGCTCTAGTTCTTCACTCAACAAGTGCAAAACGAGTGTGTGCTTTTCTATTGTAATGAAGGCATTTTAACAAGGAGGTTAGAGTTTTTTTTTTCTTAATTAAATGAACAGAGAGAAAAATGTGTGGTAGAATTCCATATATTTCGAAGAATGCAATAAAACTTACCAAAATATTGTGGCGAAACATTAATGACCAAAGTTTTATAGTGTGTATTCAATTTTGGCATTCCGTTGGCTGTATCAGCCTCTACTTTGAGACTTTGTAGCCGATTTTATTATCTTGCTGATAAGGCGCATTTTGGTGGTGCTTTGAAGTGCATTTTATGACTTGGGAGTATCGACAAAACTTCACTCCACCTCTCTGGCGGTGAAATTCCTAGACAGACAATTTCGTATCAAGGGTTTTGTCTTCTGTGTCAAATTCGTCTGAGGGATTTATTTTGGCATCATGCAAAATGGGACAACCCGCAAATAGATTCACTTCTTTTTCCCCGAAAGTGACTCATGTGGAAGCACGAGATTTGCAGAATTCTTGGCAACTGAAATCCTTTTCTGCCATCTCAGCACAATATTTTCAATACACGTGTGAAATGACTGACATTTTGTGAACAGACGCGATATCGCTGATAAATAATTTATGCGGGAAAGGTCATGCAAATATTAATTGTTTATCTAACACACTTGCCATTTGAGACTTTACGGCCAGTTGTTCGGATTATGACATTCCTGAGGAAGTTATATCCTGAGTGGGAATATTGCACTTGACGGTATAATAAACTATTCACAATGCAAGTTGAGATCAAGGTAAAATGAGCAATAATTCAACCTGTGCGGTGCACAAAATTTCAATGAAAGTTCGCGCAATGCAGCTTAGAGGTCTGCATCAAGGAAATTCCCAAAGAGAAGTGAACGCAAAAGGGCATAATAGCAGCGGTCTTTGAAATCAATTTCACTGTCTCGTCATAATTTCTTCAAGTATATATTATATTTTGAATAATTGTCAGGCAATAAAGCATTTAATTAAATGGTAGTTAGAGAAAATGGTGAAAGCGTTCCCTTGTTTCACTCTCAAATTGACATAAAATTGAACACAGTGTTTTTTATCTTGCCGATTGCATGGTGCAAATAAAATTCTGCAAATTTTACTATCAGCAGTAAAGATATAAAATATTAAATACGCCAATTTCAGTGTACACAGTTCAGTAGCTATATGAATAAGCTATTGTGTAAATTTTTTTTTTCTTGAATTTTTACCCAACATGTGTGATAGATTAGAGACGTTAATAAACATAAATTGCACTTTCTGCTGAATTGAATGTCATGAATATATTTTAAATAATATGAGCATTAAATAGGTGAGCTCACTTTATTTTTAGATATACATAAGAGCTCTAAAAGAAATGCATACATTTTTTAGCAATTATCTGTGCTCTCAAAGCATACCTTCACATTCATATCAAGGGTTTTGAATAGAAAGGCCAAATTACCAACTGCACGTGGAGGAATTCATTCAACGTGTGATTGCGAGTCTACGAATATTTGGGAATTTTATCAAAAATACTTTGTAGTTCATGAAGCGAAGCTCATTCCTTTGCCGCCTACTTGAATCGATCTTTTGCAATCCAACTGCAAAGAGATCTGAGTATCACCCTTGCTGATTGAAACACCTGTTGCAAGTAGCGCCACTCTCCCCTAATAAATCAGACATAATCGAGATAATCAGATTTGCTACTACACATCGAAGTGTATGGCTTGCGGAAAGCATACGCGCATAAGTCAGGCAAGTGTGAAGACATATGATTCTACGCTATTATCTTGCGAATTCTAATTAAACTGTAGAGGTAAAATTAATTATTTCCAGCATTCAAAGTTAAATGACTCTCATATGCCACACATCCGTAAATTCTCCGTTTGTTTTCCCATTTATGTGAGATTGTAAAGAGACCTTTGGGAAGCGATGTTGCCTGTGGTGTGTGAGATCCTCTCTCTCTCTAAAAATTTTAACGACTTTTGCAATATTTCTCAAAATGTTCTATTGATTAATATTGATTTCACCATTCGAGGCACTCGCATGAATATTCAGTAGTTTGTGCAAGTCTTTCTCCTTTCGTAGGTCTTTTGGGTGATTTTTTGGTTTCTCTCTATCTCTTCTGCTGCTTTGCGCGGCTGTTTTCTTCGCGGGCCCACGAGAGTGTACAAGCACACGTTGTGCAATGAGAAAGCCTTGGGAGTTCATCAGTTTGGTAGACTCATTAAGTATTCTCAGTATGTGACCCCTAGTTGAAATATAAATTTTTGACTCTTGTCATAAAAATTGTGACAGAGAGAAAAACACCAGGAGAGACACAATTTGATTTCCTATTTTATGTATTGCATACATAAATATTTCTCACATGCTATGTTGTCCAATTATTATTGTCGTTTAATGCTTACGAGTGTATCTCCGAAGCACAGTATGTAAATTTTTTCAAACTTTGTACTATGTTCCGTTACCTTGAAAGTGTGAATTGAATTTTGAATCGCTATTGTTGACCTATTTGTTCAACTCTCTGCAATTGTAAATATATGATCATATTTTAGAAATAAAAGAATATGAGCTCAAATAATTTTTTAATGCAACGCGAATACACAAGGCAGCACTTTATGCATGAATCCATTAATTAATGAATTACTGGGCGAAGAGAGCCAGTCTCGAGATCTGCTGGGCATAAATGCACCAGAGAGTGAGAGAGATGATAAAATGTGTGTGTGCAATAAATTAATTATTACTTTTCCAGAGGTGGCAGCGTAGATGGTTTGTGCTGTACGACGATGGGGATTTAACATATTCCGTCGATGAACATGTAAGTTTCTATTAATGTTCTCAAAGAGATCATGATCGACAGATCAGATAGTGCACGACTTGATCACTATCGAGTGATATTTGATTGATCATTTTTCATAAATGTACAGAGTGCTTCTCACAGGTCAATATATAAGATGCAGAAAAATTTTTCCAATAAATATCACGAATTGATCATTGATTGCTCCCCTTTTTTCTCACTTCACTCCTCAATAGCAATTATGAATTCTGGGACACTTTTTTGCCACAACACACCAGATCAAGTGCCTCGGCGCGAGCACACGCTATGGTGTGTGGATCAATTAATGCTAGAAATTCCACACAATGTTGTTTGTATTGAATTAGGGTTACTACGAATTGAGCTGTGCAAAATGTATCAATTTTTATCAATTAACACAGAAGTCACACTATCAATTGCGATATATGTAGATCACATCGATCGAAGCATGATTCAATGAAATTTATGTTCTTCTCACCCTTCTGCCGACAGCCGGAAACCATTCCTCAGGCGTGCGTCGACATGTCGACGGTGGTGGAGGTTACGTGGGCGGAAGAGATCACCGGGCATCTGTTCTCCCTGGCCATCCGGTGTCCCGACAAGGTGACCTTCGTGAAGGGGACGTGCTCGGAGGAGTCAAACTGGTGGTTCAATGTCTTGGCGGCATTTCCCAAGATTAAGGTGCGCACCAAGAGGACCACCAAGTTATCAGGCGGCGGAATGTACGGCAATCAAGATAAGGGTGAGTGTGTAACTTCAAAAACAAGATATAGAATCTTTACGATGGCCCCAATTGTTAACAGCTCGCTTCTCACTGCCGGACGTGGAGAATCAACGGGAGGAGAAAGCGCCTAGCTTGGGAAGTAACAGCATTGAGGAGTACTTCAGCAAGTCCTCCAGTCGTCCCACATCGCTGCCCATATCATCCAACGCTCCGGCAATAGTGTCGGCGATTGTGAAGGGCAGCGGTCAGGGTGTGGATATGATAGATAAGCCCAGAAGGACGTCCAATCATGAGCGCGGTGATCCCGATGGGTGTAATCTGGACTCGGAGACCACGGCCAATTTCATGTCGGAGAGTCTGATGCACGACAAGAAAGGGTGGCTCATGAAGCTGGACAATAAGAGTCGAGAGTGGACTAAACACTGGTTCACTCTTCGCGGAGCTGCACTCTTCTTCCATCGTGATCCCAATGCAGAAGCCAAGGGCGTTCTGGACGGTGTGATCGATGTCAATAGTCTCACGGAAGTGATTCCTGTGTCTGTGTCCAGAAACTACGCCTTCCAGCTCACCACGTGGGAGAAGAACCAGATCACGTTGTCTGCTATGGCGGATAGTGTGAGGAATGACTGGATTAAATTACTGCGAATGGTGGCAGGCATCACGAGCAAAGCGACTGAGAAACCCACCACAAGAAACACCTATGAATTGATTGAGAATACGAGTCTGGAGAAGGACATTTTGTTGACTAACAAGAGCGATGATCTCAAGAGTGAAATTGAGAAGGATCTCATGAAGACTCAACAGCGATATAAAGACAAAAATCGCATCTTTGCGCTCAACAAGAACCTCCTGCAAACATTTAAGGGTCAGGCGACTAGCAAATCTTCGGGAAGTCCATCCAAGATCAACTATTCGTCTGACGAGGAGTACGGAACAGCTTCAGAGGGTCGTCATCCAGACAGTTTTGGCTTTGTGTCTCCCATGTCACCGTCATCGCCGGTGATTGAAACCAAAGAGCGCACGAATTCGCGGTCCAGTTCGCGGGCGGGGCGCTTCAACAAGCGGAGTCTCTCGTCCCCACCCAGCTCGAGGCGAAGCACGATGGACAGTATCAGGTTCGATGATGCCATTATCAGTAGTTCTGTGGATGATGACATGGAGATTAGCAGTATTTTGCGGAGTCGACTTGTGACTGTGGAGAAGGATCTCTGGATGATGCGCGAGGAGGCGGAAGAGCGTGAAACGAGGATGACAGAGTTGCTGAGGACGCTGGACAAGACGGAATCTGAGCTGTCGACACGAATAAAGGAGGCTGAAGATGCTCGAGATAGTCTGGCTGTTGAACTGAAGGAGAAAACGATACAAGCTGACGCGTTGTTTGAACAACAAAAGGGTGAGATTGAGAACTACAAACAGATGATTAATGTTCTGGAGGATCGACTGAGCCGAGGCATCGAGGAGAATGATAATCTCTACAAGAAACTGCAGGATATTGAGAATTCTGGAGCGTCGAGTTTGTGCAGTCTCAATAGGTATAAGATGAAGCGCGTGGACTCTCTGAGTGATCTCACGAATCTCAATGAAATTGATCCCTACGCCGTGGAGAGGGACACTCTCGCGGATGAGTACAGAGAGCTGAAGCAGCGCTTTGAGAAAGCCGTCAATGAAATCAGGCTAATGAAGAGGGAGCTGAAGGAGTCTCAAAATCAATTTGACTCCTTGGAGATCAGCTACGCCACTCTTCAGAATGACATTGAGCAGGTGAAGAGGGACAAACATTCTCAGCTCACAATGATGGCAGCTCGGATTCAGGATCTCACGTTCAAGTACCTTTCGGCTGATCGTCAGAACCGCGTGCTGAAGCAAAAGATTGCCAAGACGGAGAAACGTCGGTCGTTGTCGCTGAAGGGCAAAGAAGCATTCTCGATTCCTAAGGAGTTTGAGGAGAAGTTGACAGAGTTGGAGATGAAGATTGATAAGATAGAAGTGGGAGAAGCAAGTGTGCAGGAGCCCAAAGGTCGAAGTGTTGTAAAGATGAGGAGAAAGAGTCTCGATGATGATGTGAATTCTGTGAAGCCTGTAGAACAGATTCTCCGATTGAATTCATTGGAGAGGCGAGTGAATAATCTCCGGGGTAAACCTAAGGACACTTCTATGGCTAGGAATAATAGAAAACTGTCTGAACACTCTGTAGATCGCCTCAAGTGGCTTGAAGAGACTGTTGTCTTGGCTCTGTCTCACGTGGAACAGAGTTTGAAACTTCTGCAAGATTCCCCGGAAACATACTTTAAAAGGAGTATGGAGAAATCCCTCCAGGACACTCTGGATGTGCTGAGGAGCGCTTGTGAAAATTGCCTGGGCGACTCCAATTCTTCGTGGGAGGGCGAAAGGATGAAGAAGTTGGTGGAGGATATGGAAATGGAATTGCGTGGGAAGCTCTCGCAACTCCTCAGCCAGAGGCAACATCTCAGGGCGAACAGCCAACTGACGCATGAAGAAAACATGAAACTCCTAGCGGAGCGTGTTGCATTCGAGAGTGTACTCTTTGGCAAGCTGCACAATGCCATCAGTCGAGCAGAAACTCCCTCCAGCTGCGACGAACACCTCATCTATGCAGAGGTTGTGGAGACCGTTAGACTGATGGCGGCTCTCAGGAAGAAGCTGGACGGGGAAACGTCTGTGGCGTCGCTGGGCGATTGCTGTACAGATGTTCTCACCAATGTTCTCTGTCGTCGGCTTCTGCTCACGGGCAGTCGCTGTGGGAATGATGGTGAGTGCGCGGTGAGGATCACTCTGCCTGGTGCCGTGATTGAGGATCTCAGGAGGCAGAGAGGAGATCTCCAGGGGGTTTTAGGGGATTTCCGGCTGCAGGCCATGGAAAAATTGGCTGTTGGCCTGGCCGTGGAGACACTGAACAGTATTTCCAGCAACAAGGCTATTAATGAGGCCAGCCAAGAGGCTTGGCAACACGCCCAAATGATCGTCAATAGCGAATTAATTCGGGCGGAGGTTTCCCAGGTGTTTAGGAATTGCGTGAAACAGTATCGGCAGATGATGACACCTGCCAGGAGTCTTACCATCGCTCTCTCGGACGTGAAGTGCTTCGAGCACTTTGCCGACACCGTGGGTGTCTTTCTCAGGGGAGAAGTGGATTCGACTCTGACGGAATTGATGGCAAAGCACGAGGAGGCTCTCGAAAGAATGCAAAAAGGGGAGCTGGAGAGAAAATCTCCATCCCCAGATGGCCGAAAGCTGCTTTTCCAGTTGGCAGACATTTGTGCCCATCGAGCGATCATCGATGCCAGGATAAGTGTGCTTAGTGGGGAATTTACTGAGCCTCCAAGTGATGACATGATTCCCACGAAAGACACTCTGACACCCTTAAAATCTGTGGATGTGGCCAAGTATGAGGATCTGTTCTGTCAACTCGCCGAAGGTTTGAAATTCAATGTCACTGATCTCGCTCTGGAGGCTGACTGGAAGTTCCTTGGCAGACATCAGCGGCAGGCTGAGGAAGTTCCGCCGAGACACGCATCAACAATGACTGAGGTGGAGGTGAAGAGTGTCTCGACGGAGTCTGATCCGCTAGCGTGCGTGGAGTGCGAGGAGACGCGAGAGAAGCTGAGCAGCTTGGGAAAGCAGCACGAGGACAGTATCAATGATATATGCCAAAGCTACAGCTACACTGTGGAAGTGCTGAAGCAGAAGCTGGAGGATGAGCAGCAGCTGAATGAGAATTACAGGAGTGAGAATATGAAAATCATTCAGCAGTTGAATGAGCTGAATTGCAAGCGAGAGGCCAGGAAGTCGGAGCTGATGGAGATGACGGAGAAGCTAAATGACATCAGTCACACGTACAGAGCGAAGAAGGTAGACTGCCCGCATGCGAGTGATGTGGTGGACAGCCGGAGTCCGCAGGAGGAGTATGAGAGTGAGAAGAGTCACCTGTTCCAGCTGGAGAAGCATCTCAAGGTGGTCAATGAGGGTGAGGAGGAGGACAGTCTGAGGAAGCGCTACCAGTCGGAGATTGAGCAGTTGAGAGTGAGTAGGCGACAAATGTTGATCTTGAGTAGTCTTTTGACGTGATCTTCTCTCTCGAAGGCGCTGTGCGAGAAGGGTCTGGTGGCCATGGAGTCCTCCCACAGGCGGATCATCAGTGAGCTGGAGAAGAAACACCAACAAGAGCTGCAGCAAGTGCTTTGCGAGAAGGAACAGGCGCTGGCTGAGGAGACACAGGTGAGATACCAGTTAATTAATCGCACTCATTCTGATAAATATGTAAATGTTTATGGGAAAATAATTCACACAATCGACTGATTATTTTACAATTTACTTGCTAATCCAATAAAAGCACATCTGTTCGAACAGACTCGGTCATCTGACGAGACTTTATGTGTATTTCCGGCTCTGAAATTAGTTTATGTTCAATCTATCAATTTTATTCTAATTATTGCCAAAGCTCGTCCAAAATAGCCTCACGGCCGCCTAAAATGGAAATGTTGAGTCGAATTGAGCGTAAATTGCAGCAAGTGAAGTGCTGTTAATTGAATTATCGGCCCCACAATCAAGGTGGATGAGTGATCTTTGATGTTCCACTTGCAGGCAACATTGGCCGCTCTGGATGCGATGCGCAAGGCACATCAGAGTGAGGTGCAGCGGGAAATTGCCCGATTCAAGCAGGACTTCATGAAGCAATTCCAGAAGGGTGGCTACAATTCCATGGCGATGGAGCACAAGGAAAAAGAGTGAGTGGATGACAAGGCATGCAAGGGGGAATCCCTAACGAATATCTCTGGGTGGTGTTTTCAGGCAGGAACTTGAGGAGGTGCGACAAGAGATTCTGTCGCTCTCGGAAAAATTCTCAATGAAGTGCGTGGAAACGGCATCACTGGAGGAAAAAATCCAACATTTAACACGACAGTTGCTCGCCTCCCAGCAGCAAGTTCAACAACTCAAATCGAGGTTAATAAAATTAAAATGAATCAATAATTGCACTCGCCAGTTGCACGTACCAAATGGACTAAATGTACATATTTCTCTCTGTCTTTAAGGGATTGCCAAATGGAATCTCACTTGCTTTCAATGAAAGATGAAAGGAAACTTGAGGAGTCCAAAAATGTGAGTCACATTTAGCTCGTGATCTTGATCAATCTATAGTGAGATTTTGCAGTATGTTTTTTTTTTCTCTCTCTTGTGTGTGATAAAATATATCCCACTCGTCATTAATATTACAGTGTTCATTTACATGAGAGATTAACTCTGAGACTGTTTTTTTTGACTACAGGGTGTCTCATATGAAATTGCTTATGTATTGCTTCTATGAACTCAATAATTCTGAGCTGACAATTGTAATTACTAATGCAAGAGTGCCTCTAAATCTTGATTATTGGTCAAGCAGTGCTGGCAATTTGTGTGAAACTCCCTGTGAATCTCATGAGAAGAGACGTATAGGCACTTTTACAAGGCATTCATAATGTTTTTGTTCACTAATAGCATGAAGGTGAAAGCGCAGTACCGAATTATGCTAAACAGACAGGTGTTAATGAGAACACGGTAATGCAAAAAGCAAAAGAAACACATCCCAGATTGAAGTTGAATGAAGGTATCGTTTTATTGAAATGATTTTCTTATTTTTCACCACTTTTGGCATGCCATTTGTCGTGATTATTGACTAACAAATCTGACTCTAATTGCCACTCTTGATCGCGCGCAGGCATAAAGCTGTCTCCAATGATTGGGCACGGATCATCGGCGACACTGATACCGCTGGAGAGGATGAAGACAAAGGTGATTTCCACGAGCAACCTGAGCCTTCGACTGAGCCGGAATCTCAGAGATTTATCGTCAAAATACAAGGGTGAGGTGGACGACGGCCGAAGGGCGACCGGAGCAACGGGCTCCGGGGCAAATCCTCTCTGTTCGCCTCCTCCCTTAAATGAGAGGGACGCTGAACATGTCCTGAGGAGATTTGAATTAGAAATCTAGCAGTATCTCCCACATGCAATTCACATCTCTAACTCAAACTTATCCCTCCCGCTAAAAAGAAGGTGCTATGAAAGGTTTTTTTTTCTTTCCCCGAGACAATACAATTGTGGCCAAAACTACCTGTTTTTATTAACTAATAATTACTACGAAAAGCAAAAGAAAAACCAGCTATTAATAAGTCAATCGGCATTGTACATTTGTCATCTTTCACAAAATGATTATAAGAGACATAAAAAATCCTCACTGTATTTATTTTAATATTGCAAATCAAACTAGCCTTACTACAGTAATTTAATTGTACACTTCTACATAAGCCTAAACCCCAGTGTTATTGTTAAGGGATGGTTTTTATTTGACATTTACATATAAAACGAAAACATTTGTATAAAATCATTTACTTAGTCGTTCCTTTTTGTAATAAAAACGTTTTTCTCTTGAATTGAATTCTCTGTTTCCTTGGTTTTCCCGAATTATTCGTCGTCTTCAGGTAAAAAGCATAGAAATCCTGCTTATTCTGAAGTTCTGTCCATTTGTTTGAATGGACATGATCTTGAAGATTTAAAATATCTTAAAAACTTTTTCAAACTGACTTTTCAAACTCTTCAATTGTTCCTCGGCGCAAAATACATTTGAGTGGTTTCGGAGTTGCACTGCCAACTTCACGCCGTTGGCAACGGCGGCCCGACTGACCGCAGCCCCATATCGAATCCAATGAAAACATCACACACTTCATTGTCATTTTCCTTATCCACGGTGAGCGTGAGCGAGTTATTTTGCTTTTTCCCGGGAAAATCGCCATGCTGCGGCGCTAAAACGTGTCACAGTGCAAAGTACCACCCAGGGGGCTGCTTTTGGTGCTCGAGGTGGCGGTGCAGGTGTTCGCGAAGGGTGGGAAAAGGGCTGAAAATAGTGGTGTCGAAGTATTGGCATCGATGTGGTGCTGTGCAGTGTGAGACAGCCATAAGGCGGTGCGCGAGTGCAAGTGAGACGGCCACTGATGAGTTGGCTTGAGCGATGATGGATTTTCTTGTACCTTCATACCTGTTCCTCGGATAAAATAGTGTATATAGCAGTGTCAATAAACTTGAGGCCCCTTCTCGCCACAGTGTAAAGACGTCGCTGGCGTGTAAAAACGCATTACACCTCGCCATCCACGTTGCAATGTGCCAAGGTGAGAGTTTTCCCCTCCCTCGCGGGCGTGTGGGGCTCTCGTGGCCCACCTGAGGTGCAAAAATACACCCGCCGGAGCCAAAATACCGAGCTCACTTTTTTCTCTCTCTCGCCACTTCGCAACGGCATAAAGGTGTGCCAAACTCGTTCTCTCACCTCCAACCCGTCTCCTCGAGTCCACCTCAATTCGCCGTCGCCCAGTTTGCGCATTTTTTTCAAGCACTGCAGGCGCGCGATTGCACAACTCTTGCCAATCCCTTTGCCGCCATGTTTCGCGCAAAAAATCACATGCCTGGCCATTCTTTCGCCGGGAGCGGCCGCAGGAGCCCCACCGGAGAGCCGCCCAAAGCCCACCAGAGCCACGTAGGAGCGAGAGAGGGCGCGCGTGTGTCGAAATGAGGCATAACGGTAAAAATGCGTCAACTCTTTTACCGGATTGCACGGCCTCAGCGCAGCGGCCGCGAGGGCCCCACGGTGTGCCCATTTCCCGGAAAGCCGGGCAGGAAGCTTTCTGCGCAGATAGGGAAAAGCGAGCAGAAGGAGAGAATATTCAGCTGCTTTTCCCGTGTGTGTGGATTTTTCGCTTCCTACTTTTGTGTGAGACATCGTCCCGTTCTTCTGGCCAATCCCCTGCGCCAGAGCGAGACGAGCGGCTGTGTCGTCGCCGAATAAACAATGGTCGCGGTGTCTCTGTCGCACCCATTGAAAAAGTGATTGTAAATATGACGCACATGCAAGGTCGTTGCGTATAGATTTTACATATCTGAAGGTCGTTCATGTGGTCACGTGATGACGGTATTTCATGTGTTCATTGGTACTCGACTCTGAGTGCTCCGTTTGCTCCTTACAGGACAATTGGAGGGGATTTCATGTGTACCCTATTAGACAATGACAATAACCATAATAGTTATTTGGGCTATAGCCAATCTGGCTGGTCAGAAGCTACCCAAAATCCCGAGAGGGGAACAATTGGCGGTAAAACAAGGCATATTTTCATGAGCTTTGACTTTCTATTAATGAGAGCGATTTAGCCATTTATTATTGTCTTCAATGCGACATATTAATGTACATTATAGAATATACGATGATTCATTTGACACTTTTGGCAATTATATTTCCCCTTTATTTCCAGCGGAGCGCGGAAGAAGATGAAAAGTCAACTGAGGAAGAGACAGAGTGATTTGTGTAAAACTGGAAATACTTGAGAAATCCTTCGCAACATCCTGGAGAAACTGGACAATTTCTGAGCAATGGCAAGTGCCGGAGAGTGCGGAAAAGGGTCCAACATCAGTGTGACCAACATCAATTGCGATCAGGGTGGAATGCAGACGCCTGCCATTGAGGCCACAGTGCAGGGTAACGGATCTGGAGGGGCTCTTGCAGCTCGCGCCACGACGCCGAATCACTTCTACGGCGGCAGCGGCAGCATTAGGATCTCCGTGCCGAAAATGGAGGAGTCCGATGAGTCGGACAGTGAACTGCTGACGATCGAGGAGAGCGCCAAGGTGAACATGAGGACGAAGGGCGACGGAACGGCTGCCAAAACCGCTCCGCGGCCCATGTCATGGGAGGGTGAGTTGTCTGAACATGAAGACGTTATGGATGTGGACAATGTGGCGAGCAATGGGACCGCGATTGCCGCGACGTTCGGCGATCCGGTGATAAAGGTGGAGCAGCGCGATATGGATGCGAAGGAAGAGAAAGTGACAGATGAGGCGATTTCCCTGATAGCTAAGGCCTCCAGTGAGTCGAGCAACGTCCCAGTGGATGCCACCGGAAAGCACTTCATGCAGAACGACGTGGTGAACTTGAAAGTGGAGTCCAACATGCCGGAGTACAATTCATCCGTGCAGGCGCCACTACTTGTGCGCTCCAAGACAACTCTCCTGCCAGCCAATCCGAGCCCAGACTCTGCAATCCACTCCGTCTACACGCACAGCTCGCCGAGTCAGTCGCCGCTCACGTCCCGCCACAACATTTACACACCCTCGCTGAGCCGGAACAACAGCGATGCCTCGCACAGCAGCTGCTACTCGTACAGTTCGGAGTTCAGCCCCACGCACTCCCCAATTCAGGGACGCCACAGCATGTACGGCGCCATAAATGGCTCTCCTCTGCACCACAGCGTCCTGTACAGGCCTACAGTGTATCCAGTGGATGCGGAGTCTCCCGCCGCAAGGGCGTGCTTTGACGACTCGGCAGCGCTCGAGGGAGAGGCTCTGCCGTCGGCGGGCATCTCCAGACAACAGCTCATCAACAGCCCGTGCCCGATTTGCGGAGACAAGATCTCGGGCTTCCACTATGGCATCTTCTCATGCGAGTCGTGCAAAGGATTCTTCAAGAGAACCGTCCAGAATAGGAAGAACTACGTTTGCGTCCGAGGATCTGCGTGTCCGGTGACCATTGCCACGAGGAAAAAGTGTCCGGCATGCCGCTTTGAGAAGTGCCTTCAACGTGGGATGAAGCTCGAAGGTAGGAATTTGCGTACATTGAAAAATGTGATAAGACTATTTACTTATGCGCGTGATAAGTTGTAAAATGATAATGCCTCGATATGACTTTCAAGGTGATGACCAAAAATGGGTGTGAAAGACCGTGGAATTGTGAAATTGAATCTTTGATTATTTTTTTTCAGCAATTCGTGAGGACAGAACCCGCGGAGGTAGATCGACGTATCAGTGCTCATTCACGTTGCCTGGATCAATGCTGTCGCCCTCTGTGATGTCAGAGTCGTCGGGATGCCATCAGAACTATCGCATGACTGTGCCGCCGATGAAGGTTGAGGTGGGCGAGAGTGCGGGCGGCTCCAAGCCACGCATTCCGACGCTTCTCCAGGAGATTATGGATGTTGAGCATCTCTGGCAGTACAACGAATCGGAGCTGCTGAGACTCAACCAACCGGCGCCGCCGGTGACGAATGGGACACAGGCAACGAATCCTCTGCTGGCCAGCGCTGGACTATCGCAAGGGGACAATTCCAATCCAGACTTAATCGCAAATCTGTGCAATATTGCCGATCATCGGCTCTACAAGATTGTCAAGTGGTGCAAGAGTTTACCGCTCTTCAAGACCATCTCGGTGAGAATCTCTTAGATTTGCCACTGGCCAGCATTCGAGACGATTGATTGATAAATTTTTCAGATTGACGATCAAATTTGTCTCCTGATTAACTCGTGGTGTGAACTTCTGCTCTTCTCCTGCTGCTTCCGATCCATTTCCACACCCGGAGAGATTCGAATATCCCAGGGAAAGTCTATAACATTGGCTCAGTCGCGATCTAGTGGATTGCAAGTGAGTTAGCAATGCAATGTTGTTGATTTGCGCAAAATTTAATGATATTATTTTATTGTTTCAAGGCTTGTGTGGAGAGAATGCTCAATTTGACTGATCACTTGAGACGCCTTCGCGTCGATCGCTATGAATATGTTGCGATGAAAGTAATTGTATTGCTTCAATCAGGTAATAAGCCTCATGATTTTCTGCAAATGACAATTCTCATATCAATAATAAATGTTTTGCAGACACTTCGGAGTTGAAGGAACCAGAAAAGGTGCGCACAAGTCAGGAGAAGGCTTTGCAGGCACTTCAAGCTTACACTTTGGCTCACTATCCAGAATCACCTGCCAAATTCGGAGAGTTGCTTCTGCGAATTCCTGAGTTGCAACGAACTTGCCAGGTATTTGAGGCCTTTCTTCATTAGTTTCTAACAATTTATGCTGGTTGTCTGTCGATTTGCAGGTCGGTAAAGAGATGCTGACGATCAAGTCAAAGGAAGGAGACGAATTTGATCTGCTTATGGAGCTCCTGAGAGGTGAACATTGACACACTGTTCCCTGTGGCGACGGCAATTGTACTATAAAATAGTACAGGGATGAAAATAGTTTGTTTTGCAATTCCTGACATTAAAAATGACACAAAATCCAGTGTGTGACTTGTGGTACAGTTGATATGAGGAATTTAAGTAAGATTGTAGGAATGTAATGTCTTATTTCTCTACATTGAATGGTTAGTTTATTATTTTTCTAAAAGAATTAATTAGGACAATTAAGCAAAAAAGTGCGAAGATATATCAGTGAGACGTAATTATTATATATATATATTTTTGAGAGAAAGGGGATGCAAAAGTCAAGTATTTTTATACGAACTTTTAGTATGTAAAGAATTGGATAAACATATATTTTTCTTAAGGACACCAATGACGTAAAGAATGTGCCTTTAATGAGACAAATCCTTTTGAGGGTGTGTAATTTTTGCATCACAGAGAATTTTTCTCGTTGATTTCAATGTTGAAGATGTGTATTTTTTGCTATAATTATTTATTTCGGAAGGTCACTTTTGTGCGAGAGAGAAAGGATTCATGAGAAATATGTCATTGGAGGGAAAAAGGAGGGAAATTTATCAGTTCAATTGGCAAAGCTACGTTGAAGGGTAATTTAATTACTAACATTAACATTATAATTTCATTTTATCCTAATCATAGATTGTGACGACATCTGAAAATCAAATCTTGAGCTGCATTTTCCCATTTTCTGGGAACAGATCTGTGATCTATTAATTAAAGAGGAAGGAAGGAAGGAATGAAGAGCATGGAATGATATATTTTCACTCTTAAATATAAAGCACACTTTTTCATGTTTAGGGTAAATTTTGAGTGTTATGTCGTTTTCCTTTAAGGTTATCATAATTATGGATAAGATTCTTTTTGTGCTTCAACATTTTCTGCAATTATTTAATGACGGTTAAGGTCTATGCAGGTGGAAGACATTTTGGCGCTGGAAGTTGGATTGTGGGGACCAAGATTGTGCTTTGATTGCAATTCCTGTAAACAGAACTCCAGTCGAAATGCCCGCCTGCATGGAAGTTAATTGATAAGAAAGGCTGCTATAATGAGAAATTTTATATTTTTACAATTATATACAAAATAACGTTAGACATACTTTAACAGAGATGAGGAGAGTGTATTTTTTATTATTTTCATTACAATCCTTGCAATGCTAAAAGAAATTTGGGGTTGTCCGTCTTATTTTAAGAGAAGATATTCACTTCTTGACAGAGAAAATTCAGCCAAGTTGCGAAAGACTACAAGATTGAGAGCCTTCCGAACTCATGAAGAATCACTTAAAAAAGCTCAGTATTAGAGTGATAGGAAAAATATGAGCAATTATTATACAGTAATTTTAATTGATGGAGTGAAATTGCATTCATGAGATGACTTACAGACTAGAAATAAAGAACATTTTATTATATACAAAGTCTATATTTTGTTATATGAAGCCTTTATGTGTTAACTGCAGGGAAACCTTCGCGTTCATGTCGAGATGATTTGATGTAAGGACGGAGATTTCTCTCCTGGAAGACTTCTCGTCGGTGGCATCAATCCTGAGTCGTGTGAATGGTAAAAAAGGGATGATTTCGTTCAATTGCAGGCCGATATTGAACGATCCCGGAGTAATCTTTGAATCATCTTCATGAGAAATGAGGAGATTTGTGAGAATCACAGTGAAATTGCCAATCTTTGCGATTTCGTGTAACAGTTTGTAGCATTCCCTTATCATTGTCACGTTCTCACTGAACTTCTCCTTTTTCTTGTCGAATCTCACCACGTGAAGAATCGCCAGGGAATCCATAATGAGTAGCCCAAATGCGTCCAACGCCTCCTTGTTAGAAGCGATAAACTTCAGCATTGGTTTTAGATCGCTCAAGTTCCACACTTTGTCTATACGGATCAGGCTGAGAATTCTCTGAAGTTCCTCCGGAGGCTCTCCCATGTCCACTAGAAGTTTCCTCATTAATGCCGGCACAAGATCTCCATTCATATCCACGTACAGGCAGCCAATGCCCTGTTGTGCCAATTTTAAGGCTATCGTGTGGCAGAACTTGCTCTTTCCGGTGCCAATTCTTCCGCAAATCTCATAGATGTGACCCACTCGCAATCCTCCTCCCAGGAAGTCATCCAAACTGGTGATCCCAGTCGATTGATGCTGCACTTGACTTACCCGTACCTCAAGAAGTCTCTCAAAATCCTTTCTGATCCGGCGGATTGTCTCCACGCCAAGCTCAGTCGTGGCGCAGAGATCTTCCACTTGCGTCTCCAGGAAAGCCCTCACTGTGTTTATTCCCATCACAGTAAGTAATTCAATCGACTCCGATGTTAGCAAGTAATGCGAAAGAGGACTTTGAGTGCTCAAGTCCATTATTTTTTTGGCGCGTCTTGTCAAAACACCACAATTAAAGGGTTTCTCTTCAGCAGCCAACTTCACTCTGCATCTCGTGGGCACTCCAACCCGGCTGAAGGCCCCACAGCATGCGCGTTTGTGGTAGAAAGCCACTACGCTGGGGCATTCGTGTGCTTTGCGTGGACTTTCCATCTGGGCGAGCGAACAAAAAATTTCTGTCAGTGCGAAAAGTTGAAGAGGAGGCTTTACAGGGAGTAAAGCCAGTGATTAAAGCAGTCAGACAGGTGAAAATCGTCCAACGGGGCGACAGTCCTTCTCGCTGGTGCGTGCAGTGTTCGTGAAACAGTGAATCCTCCGGATTGTGAGGCGCTCGGTGAGCCTTGCGAGGCCGTGCCCGAAATTGCCAATGTGTTGCAAGTGAGAAGCCTCCGTGACTGCATCCGCCTCTCGGGAAGCCCGAATTATGCAGAGACGACTCGAGGGCACTTCCGTTAATCTCTGTGCATCCTCCAGTGCGACCAAGAGTTAGCAAATTGACCAAGAAGGTGAGCGTTCAGCCCTGGCGGGCGGCCCATGACGAATGGGTGCAAAAAACTTGTTTGAATACCATTAAGACGAAGATGATTGGGCTACGTAAGCAAATCTGTGATCTTCTTTACCTGCAAAATATTTACTTCCCATTTTGGAGCAATTAATTATTTCCGCTATTGTGTGTAAAATTGACATCATTGTGATTCGTTATTAAAATGCTAATTATGCGAATGTGTGTCGATGCCGATTTTCTTCACAAACTCGGCTTTTCCGTGCTTTCCGTTGGTGTGTCTCATGTTCACAAAGGGGGAGAGCAATGCCTCAGCGCGTTCACGGTGTGCTCGAGTTTGTGGTTTCAGAGGTTTTAGTGGGTTTCAGTCGTTTCAGTGACTGTTTTCATGGATGAAATATTTGAGATTCCCTACGGCAGGTCGAGCTTTTGCAGTTAAAGAATTCTGATATAAATATTCACACGGTAAACCACTCTGAGATGGATGGTGCGCGGCCAGTCTTGAATACTGTTCTGATGGTCCTGATCCATAATAGCATGAGGGAGCTACCTAAAGCCCCGCCCATTGGAAATATCCGCCCACTTACTGCACTTACTGGATTCTCTATTGGAATATAGAGATTATAACTCAATCACTTTCCCAAAAAGGCCACTAATGACTGATCTATCGATTTATTTAAATACTACTTTCCTCAATGAACGGATCGTGTGTGTAAAGTGAAACGAAAGGGCAAATGCATACAAATTTTCACTTTCCGCTAAAATATACATATTATCTTCTCTTGGATATTTTTTATGGACTCTTTCCTCATCGACGCGCCATTCGATCTGTGAATAGTGGTGATTTCACTTGTGTATGAATTGATTGCTGCACTTTTTGTCTTCGTTTTGATCACAATGATTGCTCATACAACTTCTGTGTCGGCCTCCGCCACACTCGCGTCCTCTTGTATTTCTCATCTCGCAGTAAATTAGAAGAGAAAAAAATTACGTTCGCATGCGAAAAAAGACCGCACAATAATTGATTACACAAATGCCTGCCTTTTGCGTCGACTTCCTCGCGAGTACCAGCGAATTTCAGAGTTGCTAATAAAGATAATTGGTTTTTTTTTCTCTTCGTGGCGTTTTGTGTTAAAAATATAATAAAAAGTGACAATATGTGAACTGGGCGACGAGTCTACATCACATTGTTGTAAAAGGTGGATTTGACCATTTGACTGGGATGAGAACAGGGAAGAGAAGAAGTGTCGCTGAGAGTGTAAAACTAGTCCATTTGATATGTGATAAAAGCGAAGCAAGTTTTGCTTCTAGTCATGTTTAGATCTTCAGTTGTGCTTCGTGGGCAGAAAAATGGTCTCTTTATTATTCAAGAGATCGTTGAGAACACTCTGGAGACGACTTTTCCTTGAGTCTGCAGAGAAATTCAATTTCACAAGAATTTGACTCAATACTCGCACATTATTGTTGAATTACACATTTATTTGCACCATTTGCACTCATTATGAGCGGAAATGAGAGACAACACGGGAAAAGATTGGGCAATGTGCACGATAATAAATTATTCAGCTTTGATGACAATAACGTGCTATCTTGCTCTCCATTCTGATATCAGGTGTGATTGAACATCAAATATTTAGACACGGGATTGCGGATCTGGAGTTTGTACCTTTGAATTCATAATCCTTTTGGCAAATCATTTTCATCGTCATCTTTATTGATAAAACAGTCGTTTTAATTGCCACAATGCTGCGGCTTTTCCAAAGTGTATCTCTTTGCGGCATGAGACTGCAGAGTTAAGTGAAATATAACACTGAATAGCGAAGAGGCCCAGCAATAATGAGTTGAGGAAACCGCCTAAACACAGTTTTCTTTCGCTGTGTGCAGAGACTTGTCTCTAATGATCCGCTTTGCCTGTGAATGCGATAAGAAATTTAACTATATATCAGTTGTAGTTGAGTTGGTGAAGCGGAAGTAGTGTTTTCTGGAGCTTCGCACACAGTGATTTTGGGAATTTAACACAAATTGAGGGGGAGAGAGAGAGAGAGAGAATGTGAATTGTGGGGGAGTTGCTGAAATGGTGAGAATTTTCAAAGCGCAGAGATAAAATTCCATTGAAAATAATAGATATTTCCTCGTCATATCTTGTATTTCACGTTGAATGAATTTGACGATGAGATTGCTCGTGAAAAGCGAAATGTTGCTAATGCGAATTTTAATTTCGATTGCATTCTTTGAGTTGGATATCTTAGCTTTGATGTATATTAGAATCCAATTAGGCTAAGCGGAGTGAATAGTCTAAGGTGAGCATTTGTAAACGATGTGGTTAAGCGTAATGAAATGGGATCCTTTTTGTATTTTTCACGCCACCTCCATCCGTAAACGTTTCACTTTTGTGTAGTCAAAATTTCTCATTAACCTAATTGCTTCTCTGCCTTCACTTTGTGCAGTATTATTATTCAATTACTCAAATGAAATGGTTCCAGTGTCACACGTCTCCACACTCTTGGGTCCCATCGTCGCGTGGAATGTGTGTCTGTGAGGTCGAGTGGCTGATTGGGTTTGATCAAAAATCAATTTCTCCGGACAGACGGAGGAAAATGGGTGCTGTGCAGCTTTAGACCATGTGAATTTTTACATATTTTATACCTTTGTCGTGTAATTTGTTTGCTTCTCTCTCAACGAAAGCAAATTCGATGAGGTGGTCAATTGGAATGAGGAGAATCCTCTCAAGGCTACTGATTGGAGATGTTTGTTCCATCTCTCAATTGGGAATTGACGAATCAATGCAGGAATAATACTGATGATGACCTAAGATGTGCGTACCACTGTGATTAATACGTTTGGCTGTATTGTTGGTATGTTAATACCGTGTCTTGAACTCAAAGGTCATACTTCTGTGGAGGCAAAAACACTCTTAAAGCATGTTGTGCATCAACATCTTGTGCGATGGCTCGGTGTGGGCTTTTTTTTGCTCAGCCCAAAGCAACATTCTTGTGTAATCCACGCGAGTGAGGTATGAAATATTAATTTACAGCTGAATTATTGGCAGAGTCATAATTGGACTGAGGCTCAAAATAAATCTACAAATAAAAGAGGGCATTTGATATTCATTCATCACGATATCTTGTGTCGGAAGGCCTTTCAGCCACTTGTGAGTTCGGCCGAAAAAGTGTGCTTCAAGTGAAATTTACTCACTCCACTGAATTTTACAGCATTTTTCTGTTTAATTAAATTATATACGATGTGCGGTGACTCAAGGACTTTCTTCGAGAGTCTTTAACACTATTTGTATTTCTGCATCACACACGGATTCACTTTTCTTCTTCTCTTGAAGTCTGTTTGCGAATTAAAACGTAAGCTTGGCATTTATATTGTGTATTTGACAAATTGATTACCACAAATGTTGTCAAAACTTTTCCTGGGACTTGCTGAGATTTAATTCTGCTTAGCAATAGAAGATTGCATACATTTCGCCATGCGTGCAGTTTTTATTAAGTAATTAGAGATATTTTGTAAGAAAATCTTTGTGGAGAATCTTAAATTGTAATCAATTGATCTACAGCGATTTTGTTTGTGTATATATGAAGAGCTTTTTTGCACAAACTCGTGTGATTCTCTTGAAAATACTGACGTGTTTCTCATTTCAGGTGAATCCTCATCAATGAGAGAGACCAGTCGACAATGATCACCCGGCGAAATTGGTTGCTGCGCTGCAGTATTCTCATCAACATTGCCGTCTTGCTGTACATTTGCAGCCAGTTGATGATCGACAGTGGCAATGTTCCAATTGCACCCGCGTATATTGTGCACGTGAATCCGGAGAAGCAGAGTGTTCGAGCTGAATCTTCAAGTGCGAATAGACTTTTTAATCAAGTTGTGAGTATTTTCTTTTCTTTTTCCGCTGTCTTCAGCATTTGTGCTGAATGTTGTGCGGTTGGGGCATTTTGATTGTGATCTTATTCACACACTTTCAAGGAGAATGACTTGAGGGAGAAACCCAAGAGTGATGACGTTCCGCAGCAACAAGTCGATGAGGAGCAACAGCAGCTGCAGCAGATGAAAGATATTGTGGACAATAATGGGGAAGACAGTCGATTTGAGGTGCCGACGGAAGCGAACAGTCATGGGAGCAAACTCCTCAATGAGATTGTCTATCAGGACCTCAATTTAGTTAGTACAAATTCAACATATTCAGAGGGTCTGCTGAACGATAAAGAGTTGGAGAGTCGATTGAGGTGATTTATCAATCTATCCCAACGTGTGAGCGTGCTCGCTAAGGCGTCTATTTCTATTTATACCCTCCGAAATAGATCACTGATCAAATGCCACGACGGAGATTATGAGCCGAAGACGGAGCAGAGAGGCGACTTTTGGGTGCTCAAGAACTACGTTCGGGCCGATCACGGTGAGATCCATTGCTACGAGAGCATCACGTACACCACACATGCCGACTACACATTTCTGGACAATTTGGTGCCACTGCTGGAGAGATGGATGGCCCCAATTAGCATTGCTCTCCATGCGCCAGGTTTCGATTTCGCTGCCACCATCAATGCCATCAAGTTCTTGAGGGATTGTCCATCTGAGGCGCATCTCGTGAGACAATTTGTCACTTTCCACATTTACTTCAGCAGCAAACATATTCCAAAGAGCGTGAGTTCTCTTTTCTTTCCTCTATCATATATATACTTCCGCGTAAATTTAAATCACTAGGTTTAACCGTTTTGGCATGCACCACCAATTTTGCGATCTTGTTGAACATTTTCAATGATACGGATGAACACATCATGTTCTCCCGTCAGTTGCTGTTTTCATTCCCTCTGTACTTCGTGTTGTAATGCTGAGCGTGAAAACTTTGCCATTTAATTCATCAAAAAGTGAAAGAACCGGGAGGCTCTTCACCACCAATTTTGTGCATGTCAATCAGATAAACTAATGCTAAACACACTAAATTTCCTAATATTGACTCTGACAAAAGTTCGTATCAATTTCATCGAATATACACACGAACATGTGTGGACGGGGGGAAAAAGATACTCACGCAATCAATCAGAGTGCTGAGAGTTTGAGATGATTTATCGTCGACAAACACTTTGCATTCAATTGAAATTCAGAGAAATTACACAGGTTTTTCCGGACAAAATATGAATGGCCTAATATTTTCTGCAATATGCAATTATTCACGCTAGAATTATGTTAACTAATCACGAGAGACTTTTCTCCACCACATTCACGGCGGGGGTCATGAAATATTCTCCGGGGATGGCCCATGGTTGCCCCCATGAAAATGCAATATAAAATGAAATATTAATTCCTTAGCGCAGAACGGCAGACTAGAAAATAGGTGAAGAAGTTTTTGAATGAAGAAAGATTATGCATGCGGAATTTGTGAGAACAATAAAGCGATGTATTTATTCGGATGTTTGTCAATTGCTCAAGAGAGGGAGAGAAAAAAGAGAACTACAATGTAGATTTCTTAAATTCCAAGGTTTTGCCATCGAATGAGTGATTTTGCCCCACTGAATATCTTCTGACAATAATTGGAATGCACGCAAAAAGCAAAATGATAGGGGCAAATGGAGAATTATCACACACTGCGATGTCAGTGCGTGTAGAATTGAGGCTACAAATGATGATATATTGACCTATTTTGCTACTCTGCAGGTGCCGAAGTACGACAAGGTGCTGGAGACGCCATACAACTGCTCCAATCCACCGCCCTTTGCAAACATATCGTATAGTCAGCTGTACAAGACGCAGAAGAAGCTCCTCTATCCTGTGAATGTGGGTCGCAATATCGCTCGTGATGCTGCGCTCACCCACTATTTCTTCGCCAGCGACATCGAATTGTACCCCAATCCGGGTCTGGTGAGGAAATTCCTCGAGATGGTGGCGCGCAATGACGCCAATATCCAGCGACAGAAGCCCAAGGTCTATCCGCTGGCCATCTTCGAGGTGGACAGTTCGGTGGCTGTGCCGCGCGACAAGACAGAGCTGCAGGAGCAGTTCCGCAAGGGGAAGATCATTCCGTTCCACAAGAAGCTCTGCCCGAGCTGTCATGGTCTTCCGAAATCGAAGGAGTGGATGGCAGCCAATGAGACGGACGAGCTGGGTGTGTTTCACATTGGGAAGCGCGTCGGATACTATCTTCACTGGGAGCCCATCTACATTGGGACCCACGATGATCCTCACTACGACGAGAGATTGAGCTGGGAGGGAAAAAGTGATAAAATGACACAGGCAAGTTGATGGAATAAGTGTGGAATGTTCTTCAATGAGTTTTCAGTGTAAAACCAATCAATAAGAACATTCAAATGCTGTCTTTTCCAAATGTTCGATGCATTTGTAACGGATGGAATGTCTTTTTGCAGGGATATGCACTTTGCGCTTTGGACTACGAGTTTCACATTTTGGATAATGCCTTCTTGGTGCACAAGCCCGGCATTAAAGTACTGAAGAGGGACCCGAAGCGCGCGATGCTGGCCAACAAGACAAATCAACTCATTCGCAAGATCATCTATCCGGAATTGCAGGTGATGTACGGCGTGAGAAAGGGTTGTGCTATATAGTAGTTGGACGTTCCACCTTCCACGCCGCAGCGCCGCAGAACGCTGGGCCTGGGAGTGCTCACAGCTGAGGAGATGGCCTTTCTTTCGCCCAGAAAGAAGGGACGCTCGATGGTGACAGTGTGAAAGGACTAAAGATACTGCATTTAGTGGAGGAGTGGAAAGATGATGTTCTTGAGTTTCTCTAACGTATCCTCTTGTACATACTAAGATAAGCCTATGATGTATGCTTTTATCCTACTCCTACATATTTATAAAATCCATATTACTATATATTTTATACAATTTGATGAGAAAGACATTGTGTGTAGGGATTAAGTGAAGATATTATTTAGGCACAAAAAAAAGCAGAAGAAGAGTAAAGAGAAACATACAAAAAAACGTAACAAGGAATAGAAAACAACAAATATTTACAAGGGAAAAAAAACCATGAGGAAACTAAAAGTAACATAAAATCAACCCTAATTCTAGATGAAACGATTTTGCTGTGAAATAATTCCCCTATAAAATATGAAATAGAGATAAAGTAACCAGAAATGATAGCGCGAGACTACAAGTAAAAAAAAAATAGTCCATTTATTACCAAAAGATTCGAGAGATAACTCTTTTTGTTGTTATTGGGAAAGATGAATGAACAAAATCAATAGGATTTGTTATAGTTTGAGCCTTGTTTGACGCTCTTCCAGATACAATTTTCCGTAGTTGATGTAAAAGATGTTGTGAAAGTGAGAAAATTGTTGGCTTCTTTATACCATTTTTGTATTCCACGCATTCTTCACCACCGTGTCATTTAATCAATATAGTCCTAAAGTGTGTAGATTTTAATTTAGTATCGCTTTTACTCTTGCGTTACTTAGTTGAATTACTTTTTTTTAGTTTACGGTGCAGCATAGAGAACATCTCTTGCAAATTTGAAATCTCTCATTGCATATTTTTTCTTGCTCTTGTGATAAAAGAAAAAAAATACTCAAAATGCGATCAAATTTTTTTAGGACCTTTCAGAATCTCAGAAATTCTCTATCGCTGTATCGAAAGTATTAAGAAAAATATCCCGTCTTTGGTGAATTTCAACATCTCAGAAAAGCAAATAAATCTTCAAAACCATAGTTTAATAGGTAGTCTTCGTATCTCTATAAGTCATAGTATTACTAGTGTCGTTAGCTATTTTTTTTCCTCAGAAGCTATTTTAGTCTTCTTTTGTTGCATTGAGCAAAAAACACGTTTTCTGAATATTTTCCAGCACGCACAGATGCTATTAAATAATCTTGTTTATATACAAGCATTTTCCATAACTCTGAAGTGACTTTTCCGTCTGATTGCATGAAAATCAATCTCCTTTCGAAAATTTCATTCACAGAAATAATTAACTTTTCTTGTTTCACACTTCCGAAATTGCGAAAGGGAACAGTCAAAAGATGATAAATAATGTCAGAAAGAGGAGAAATCAAATGTGAGATATGAAGAAATGAGAGAAGAAGGAAAACATATTGATGAGAAATTGCGTATAAAAGTGCCTTAGAATATGAAAAAAAAAATTGATTTAATAATGAATATGTCACAATTTTGTAATATTCATAAACGTAAGTGAGGAAAAACCCTTTTATTGCTACCAAAACATTTTTGAAAAAAAGAAAAGAGTAATGAGAAAATGTTTTGAACCAAGTTGCGATTTAGTTGAATCGAAAAATCACGTGAAATGTGAATGTGTTTCATCTCCCACGAGAGTTATATTGATGAATTCTATAAGAACAATAAATGTGTAACATTTATGATGGCAAAAACTGTAGAAGGAACAATATAAGTGCGATAAATCTTCTTTGTGTCTAAGCATTCGAAGGCAACACGGCGAAGAGCCACCCTGAATCACGTCTGCGAGGCGATTTTCCCCCACTTTTGTGGGATTTCGCAGTTTTGAAAATGTCAACGAATATTTTACACCTGATCTCAGCGTGTGATCTCAGCGAGTCTCCTTCCAGTATCACATTGAAGATCATCCAGGACGGTTCAGTGCGTTCAGAGTGTCGCTCTTCTGCAAATCTCATCAACACCTTGACGACGAGTCCGTGTGCCACGCGCCGAAATGATGCAATACGCCATTGCGATCTGCTGCTCAGTGTTTGCACTGCAAGGTAAGACGACAGAGAAGATCTCTGGTCAATTTACTACTGGTCCGCGAGATGTGTAATCCGTGAGTTAGTCGAAAGTGGCTCGTTTGCGCCATTTGAAAATGCAGTGATCTTCTCAAGTGTGATGATTGTCGACTCAGGGATTAGCCAAACCCGTGCTAACGCCAACTAGAATGCGTGAACGCTGAGCACAAGATTTAGCCGTCTTCGGAGAATTCTAAGCAGACGTTTCTAGCTTACAGAAAGAGGTTTTTCTCGCTAATCTACAACACATATGATTATTTCCAATGCAGATATTTCTCTGAACTTCCCATTCCGTCCTTCAACACTATCAATTAGCTCTTATTTAATTGCGATCAGTGGGACACCAAGATAGAATTCTTCTACAAAGGCAACAAAAGCAAGTGTTAAACAATATACAAAAAATAATTATTATTTATTCTTGTAATTTATCTCAAAACTACAACGCAAATATTAATCTTCTCTCCAATCTTTGTTCGTTCAAGAAACTATTTCAGGAGATTACTTCACTATGCTTTTTGCCACAATTCATCGCTCCACTGACTTCGGCTTGTCCAGTATCTTTTTTCCTCCAGTTACAGCCATTTCTTGTTAGTCAAATGGTCAATTTTCACACAAATCCGAGGTGAATCTTCGAATAGGCGCACATGCGAGGCAAAGAGGTTTTCTAGTCTCTCTCGGAAACACTTTCGCTTTCCAGACGACCTTCAGGGTCTCTCGGCGAACATCTTCGCCAGTGTCGAAAAAACACATTAACATATTTACTCTCTTCTCTGCTCATCCTCCAGTGCTGGGTCAGTTCAACGAGGCAGCGAGATTCAATGCCTTCAACGCCTTCCGACAGCCGCAGGTCACGGCGCGTCCTATCCAGGCTCAGCAGCGATCGTCCTCATGCGCCGAGTCCAACGGACGCTACCCAGTTCACGGGCAGTGCGACGCCTACCTTGAGTGCCGCGATGGCGTGCCCGAGGAGAAACTCTGCCCCGACGGATTGCTGTTCAACGAGAAGGCCGGAGTGTTCACATATCCCTGCTCATATCCGATTGATGTGGAGTGTCCGCAGGGTAGACAAGCTCTGCAAGCCGCCCAGCCCACGGACGACTGCCCGCATCAGTTTGGCTACTTCCGCCTGGGAGACGCTTCCCACTGTGGCCAGTTCATGAATTGTGTGGACGGCAGAGGATTCACATTCGACTGCCCCGAAGGATTGGCCTTCAACAAGGACACGTATCGCTGTGACTGGCCAGATCAGGTGCCCGATTGCGATGCTGAGGCCTTCCTTGGCTTCTCCTGTCCAGCGCCACCGCCAGGCTTCGGTCCCGAGGAGACTCGCTTCTATCGCTCTCCGCACGATTGCCAGCGCTACTTCATCTGCCTGGACGGCCGCCCGAGACTCCACAGTTGTGGCGAAGGGAATGCCTTCAACGATCTGACCAACGCCTGCGACGGCATTGAGAATGTCACTTCGTGCTACAATCCATCAACCTACCGACAAGCCCAGCCGGTGGCAATCCAGCCCACGCGTCGTCCTACATCAAGGCCAGCTCTGCAGCCCGTCAATTTCGATCCCCGCGGCTCCTTCCGCTTCTAAGCAGCGCCCTGCGATTGCTGCAAGTGCAGGAAAAACACCCTTGTAATGCCAGCGAAGTGGGAAATACACGAAATAAATGTCGGAAGAGTGTCCAGGGGTTCTTCCCATCCCCCATACTCACCCTTGACAGCCGTGCACGGCTGACGGTTGAGCAACACACACAAGCGGCGGCGCGCCGCCCTGTCTGTATTCGGGCACGCACACACACTGCGCTCTCCGTCCGTGACGACCATCCGAACGAAGGCCCCCCTGTATAGTTGAGAAATGGCTGTCGCCTCTGAAAGGTGACTCCGCTACTCAGTCCACGCCACCGCACTGCAGTTCACTGTGTCGCCCCAGAAACTCTCCGGACGCGAGTGCAAACAGTTCACACGACAAGGTGCACATTGTTTCTCGCGCGAAAACCCACCGGACAACCATTCAAGTGCGTGCACACCAACTTTTCGCCACTGTGCGTGTTCTCGCCCACTCAAGCCATCCGGAGGTGGTATTCCGTGGTCACTGCAATCCCGGGCGTGGCCCCAGAACGTCAGCACAATGAATACGGTCGCCCTCGAGAAGCTAAAGGAGCAGCAAGCACTCTCGGTAGAGTCGCTCGCGGATATTTGCCGTCTCTGCCTGCGCAGCGACAGCGTCCGCTTTGACATCTTCAACAATGAGGAGGACTACAAAGTGCCGCTGAGTCAGAGAATCTACGATTTCTACAGGATAAAGGTGTGTTTTTCTCGCTTTTCTTGCTGAATTTTCTGCATAACATGGCGGATTGTCATTGTCGATCGATGCGTGCTGCCATCCGCTGACAGCATCAAACAATGCAATATCACAGCATGTGTGCTGTGATATTGCGTTGTGCTGTTGAAGGGTTTTCTCACAGCATTGAGATTTTGAATTTTAAACCGTTAGATCGTGGATAATAATTTTATTCCTGGTTTCTTTTTTTTGCAGGTTTCAAAAACTGACCGCTTGCCAACGAAGATTTGCCACCACTGCTTGTTCCAGACGGAAGTGCACACGGAGTTCCGAGAAGGAGTTATGCAGAATGAGAAGAGACTGCGGCAATTCACGGCGACTGTGTGGCCAGAGAGTGTAACTGAGCTTGCCGCACAGGAGAGCGAAATTCAGGAGAATGGCTCTCCGGAGGAGGATGAAGTGGATGAGGAGCGTGTGGCTCAGCCAAGGAGAGAAGTGCAAACGCAGGACGTGAAGGGACTGGAGTGCTTTCCGGACGAGAACAGTCTGGTGACTGTGGTGGATCCCAACAAAGACTACAGCAGTTCGGAGGATGAGGAGAGCGAGACTGAGGAGCAGGAGCCAACAGAGGTGGAGCCGGAAATCGATCAGGACAGCATGGAGATGGCTGCAAACATGCAAAATGTCTCGGAGGCACTGAAGAATATCTTCATGTGCAAATTCTGCGACACAGCCTTCAGCTCGGCGGCTCTGTGCGAAGAGCACGAGGCGAAATCCCATCGGCCAGACGCTCCGTATGGATGCAATTTCTGTGATTTTAGCTGCACCTTCCGCACATCGCTCATCCTCCACATCAGGGATTGCCATCGCACGGAGAAGCCCTACATCTGCTCCACGTGCAACAAGGGCTTCGGTCGGCGGTCGGACTTGAAGAAGCACACCATTGTGCACACGGGCGTGCGCCCGTTCTCCTGTCCCGTGTGCAACAAAAATTTCTCCCGGAACACCAACCTGACGAAGCACCTGCGCATCCACAGCGGTCTGAAACCGCACGTGTGCTCGCGCTGTCCGCGCTCCTTCACCACTCACACGGATCTCATGCGACATCAGCAGGTTCATTCGGGCGTGCGCCCCTTCCGCTGCTCCAAATGTCCGGCCACCTTCACGCGGCGCGACAAGATGCTTCACCATGAACGAGTGCATCTGCGGAAGAGCGGCCAAATTCCGCACACCACCGGGGATTCTGGTCTGGACCCCGAGAGCATGGTGATCTCGCTGGATCCCTTCGCAAATATGAACCCTCAGTTGACGGTGGAGCCGGAAACTGTGGGCGAGGACCACCTGCCGCGCTTCTCTGTGCCAGATCACATCCAGAACCTCGATCTCATGTTCCCAGAGACGTCCAACACCAGCGACGTGGTATCCTACGGAGATCTCAATGGGTCGGCTGGCGACAAGCGCGTGTGGGTGTGCACCAAGTGCCCCAAGAAGTTCATCAACAAGTCCTCCTTCAGGGAGCACATGAACAAGCACACGGGCATCCGCTGCCACGTGTGCAGCATCTGCTCCAAGGCGTTCTCGCGGAAGCGCGAACTGGACCGCCACAGTATTGTGCACACGGGTTTCAAGCCTTTCGAGTGTCTCACGTGCCACAAGCGCTTCGGCAGGAAGGACAAGCTGGTGCGCCACGAGAGAATCCACATGGAGGGAAAGCTGTTCGCCTGTGCCGTGTGCGAAGCCGCCTTCACCCGAAAGGACTCCCTGATCCTGCATCAGAAGATCCACGGGAAGCTGGGCCTCAGTGACGAGGTTCCCGGGAGCTTAATGGTTCCGGATATGGCGCAGGACTTCCACACGGCCGGCGTGCTGAGGCAGATTCCGGAGTTCATCCCACCCATGCCGTGGAGTCAGGAGATGGAGCCCAAAGATTGTGGCTTTTTTCAGGAAATGCAGCACTGAATGCATTGCATTAGTGATAGATTTGACAAATCTATCAAGCTTCCCATTTCACCAAGGAATTGTAGATAGTAAATGTTGACTCAATTCTCAGACAAAGTCTTTTATTCTGGATTTATGAACTCGTCTTCACTCAACTCAGTCGATAGAATGGCAAAATTGTTCTTATTTGAGGTCTCTTTTTTTTTAGTTTTATTAAAAGCTTCGCTAGAATAGACGGGAAAGCTTAACGCATGGCCAGACAACGAGAATTCTCGCATGAAACCAATGTGTGGCTATTTGCGGACACACGCATTAATCAACCACCCACAGTTTAGCCTGTTGATTGAGTTACGATTATTTGTCTTGATGGCAGGGCAATGCCCCAGCATCCTCGCACCCCCTAATTGCCGCCCCTTTTTTCACACATATTTAATTATATTCCCACTCACGTATTGCGCCCCATGTGATTAATGAAGGATGACATTAAGCTTTGACGAAAGCCCCACACGAATTCAAACAGGACAATCAACTTTATTATACAGCGAATACGGGGATTTAGGGGAACTTGTGACGTCCAGAGACACATTTTTCCCGTGAGATGTACATATGTGTGTTGCGAATCGTGAATAATGCAATCAATCCAGCCGATGGGAGTGAAGCTCTTCTCTCTATCACTTCTCCGATTTAGTACGATCTTGACTTTTGAACTGGTGTTGTTAACTAGGAATGTTTGACTATCCTGAAGTGTTCTCTCTAATTCGCCACTTGGGTGAAATTGTTACTTGCCAAGATTCTGAAATTTGACACTCGTCATCACCGTCTTCATTCTCCACAGGATGGCTGACAACCACGTACTTCTGGTTCGCCAACGCTTCCCTGGCAATACTGCTAGTCTTTGTGTTAATGACTTTCATCGGTCCGCGAGGAAGCAAATTCACATACGTCGCCAAATTCTCCATGTTCTACTACCTATCGTCAATGGTTGTGTCTCTGCTCGCGCCAATCTTCATCCTTCGCCCAAAAAATGTGGTCAACTGCAAGTGAGATGAGTTGTGTGTTATTTTTTGGTGCCATACAAGTGATTACGCAATGACTTCTCCTCAGATTGGGTGGGTGGTTCATCGGCAAGTGCACCTACTTGCTGGGAATATCCTGGGAACTGAGAGGATCTCATCTGTTGCGAGACAACGTTGGTGGCATTATTATTAGCAATCATCAGTCGTCTATTGACATTCTAGGTATTGTGCGTCGATCGACGATCTCATAGAAATTCCAATATATTTTCTCTCCCCACTCTTGTCAGGCATGTTTAATCTCTGGCAATTTATGGATCGCGCAACTGCAATCGCCAAGAAAGAAATACTCTACATTTTTCCACTCGGTCCAGTGGCCTGGCTAGCCGGCATTACCTACATCGACAGGAAATCACCAAAAGATAGCTACAAAACCCTCAGCAAATGCGTTCGACTTATGAAAGACGACAAGGTCAGTTTAAGATTAATTTTGCACGCTAATTCATCGAGAGAACACCTCTTCATAGATCAAGATCTTCATGTATCCTGAAGGAAGGAGGAATGATAGTCGAAGCGGATTCCTACCGTTTAAGAAAGGTGCTTTCAAGACTGCAATTCACGCCAAAGTTCCCATAACGCCGATTGTGCAGTCGCCGCTGTACTTTGTCGATCCCAAGAAGCACATCTTTGATAGTGGTCATGTTATTCTATCAGTTCTTGATCCTATCAAAACCGACGATCTCACGGACGAAGACACCGACATGCTGATGAACAAGTGCCGAGATCTCATGCTGACAGAGTTCAGGAAACTCAGCAGTGAAATCGAGAGTAAATTGTCAAATATGTCCTGGATGAAGGAAAAGCGATCAGGAATGTATTTGAAGGATTAACAATCAGTTAACCTCCCTTAAACATAGCTTTCACGTGAGGTAAACTCTTTTCCCATCTTTTGGGGTGAATTATATCAGTTTTTTCTACAAATTGACTCCAATGCGCGGAGTGGGGGAAATAAGTCGTTTAATCACTCAACTCGTGCGATAAGAAAATGTATAACGAAGCATAGATGATTAAATGTTCCCAAAAATATTTAGTATGGCATTGACTTTGAGAGTGGAGTAAACAATACGTAAAATATTCGGTGCTCAGGATGTCGGTGAATTCTCTGGTTTCCTGTGCAAAGTGCCTTCTAGGTGAGAATCTTTCTCCTCACGCTTGTGTGGTCCGTAATATGTTTGTTTCTCCTCTGCAGAATGGGTCGTTCGCGGGTATTTGTGGACTTTGGCCGTTTGCCTGGCAATATTTATTGTTCTTGTTATTGCGGCCAATCTCGGTGATCGAAGGAGCAAATTCAGATTCCTCGCCAAATTCGCCATGATTTACTTCGCCACAATCATGGGAACCACTCTGTTGATTCCCGTCTTCCTCTTGCGCCCAAGAAATGTCGTGAATTGCAAGTGAGATTGAATATGATTGCTAAAATTGCATTGATGCGTGATTTCGTGACAATTTTTCCCTACAGAATCGTCGGGTGGTTCATAAGAAAGTGCTCATTTCTGCTGGAAGTGACTTGGGAAGTGCGTGGAGCTCGCCGACTGCAAGATAATGTGGGCGGTCTCATTTGTGCTAATCACCAGTCATCAATTGATATTCTAGGTAAGTCCAGTCGCTTACTTCTTTACCTTTGCATTAGGTCTTTTTATTTGTCGCGATAACACAACCTCGTGGAGGAATTTTCTCCTGTTCAAATGTTAATTGATCCCCATACTTTCGATGTGCCTTTTATGACCTGTTACGTCACACCACGCCTGATAAGAGAGAGATTGATTAGCGGCCAATCTAATCGAGAGTATGATTGTGTTTTTCTCTCATTAGCGATGTTCAACCTCTGGGAACTGATGGATCGAGTGACTGGAATAGCCAAGAAGGAAATGTTCTATGTTTTTCCATTCGGACCGGCCGCTTGGTTGGCTGGATTGCCGTACATTGATCGCCAATCGCCGAAAGCAGGCTATCAAACTCTCGGGAAGTGCGCCAGGCTCATGAAAGAAGATGATGTAAATGCTGCAAATTGTAATTTCACCAAGTTTAGCCTAAGGATTGATTAATATTTGCAGATCAAAATGTTCATCTATCCGGAGGGAACTAGGAATAGCAAGCGAGGACTTTTGCCCTTCAAAAGGGGAGCCTTCAAGACCGCAATCACTGCCAAAGTGCCCATAACGCCTCTCGTCGTGTCGCCCTATTATTTCATCGACACCAAGAAGTACATCTTCGACAAAGGACACGTGATAATCTCCGTTCTCAATCCAATTGACACCACTGACCTCAAGGACTCGGACACAGACACGCTGATGACCAATTGCAGAAATCTCATGCTGGAGGAGTACGAAAAGCTCGCCAAGGAGATTGACAAGAAATCAGCCGATCCCACTTGGAGGGACAGAAATCGACCTAGAATGGCTCTCAAGGATGAGTGAGATGAGACAATATACTCTCTCTCTGTGTGCTGTGCAATTTTGCGCATTACTGAAATTGCGGTGTAATTTAAGTAAATTATTTGCGTCGACTTTGCATAACACTGTCATTCGTCCTCAAGTTCGCAATGGATCAAGTTGGGATTGTGTGGATTTGCGTTACGATCTTCATTCTGTCTCTCTCGAAATTCTTCACGAGATTAAGAAGTGTCCTGAATTACTGCTTCTACATGGTGTTTTGCAATATTGTGGCTTTACTGCCGCTGTTCCTCTTTCCATTTCGACCGTTTGACTCGAGAAATGCCCTGAGTGCCGCCTTCGTGGGCAGATTTGTGGCTCGTCTCGTGGGCTTGGCGTACAAAATTGAAGGACTGGAGAATGTGAATATCTCCCGAGGCGGAATTATTGTAATCAATCACCAGAATGTCCTCGACATGCTCGGTATGTGTAATTATTTTACTAATCCTTTCATGCTTCCCCTATCTGAGGAGTTCTCTCCCATCCTTCCACCCAAAGTGCTGGCCTACATTTGGCCCCACATTGGACCAGCATCTGTGGTGGTGAAAAAGGAGCTGATGTACTACGCGATCTTCGGCGTAGCTTCTTGGACTTGGGGATCACTCTTCATCGACAGATCCAATCCTCAGCGCGCCATTGAGAGCCTCGAGCGACAAGCGGATGCCATTGAAAGCAGGAAGGTTTGGCAAATTACTCCCATTTCCAGATCAATAGGGCAATTGAGATTTCCCATGGTATTTCAGATGAAACTGATTTTCTTCCCGGAAGGAACACGGAACAAGGGTGAGCGCTTGCTGACGTTCAAGAAGGGCCCCTTCAGGCTCGCCCTGCAGTGTCGGTGCCCCGTTCAGCCGATTGTGGTGTCGCGCAATGACTTCTTCCGCTCTGTGGGTGGCACTTCCGGCAGGGGTGTCATTAGGATTCTGCCAGAGGTCGACACAACAGACATCGACATTGACTGTCTGGCGGCCTTCATTGAGAGAGTTCACGGCGAAATGGACGATGTGTACCGGGAGTTGAATAGGAAAATTGCCTGCTGATGTGTTGGTTTCATTGAAGGTGTTTCGGTGACGTTCCAGGTGGAATAGAGGAGGGTTGTTGTCCGACGTCAGCCGTTCAGGTGATTCAGTGCGCACGCACAGAGTCTTCGGCTGCCGACACACCCTTCGCCATTTGGGGGGTTGCTTCCGTCTCCCAGTGCCGCGGACGCATAGTTGGATTTCGTTTCGCCAGCCAACACATGGCTGGAGCCTCCATAATCCACTGTCTCCACTGAAAACCACCAAATCTTGCTCAACTTCCCAGTCATCCCACCTCTTTTCTACTCCCTGTGCCCAAGATCCACCTTTTGTACCGCTTTTGTACTCATTTCCACCCCGAATTTTGTACTAAGGGACCCCCGGCAGAGGAGACTCGGCATCGGAGTTTCGAGTGAATGTGTGTTGGTGTGTATTCTTATCAGTGAAAGTGAATTGCATCAATTTCTTCGGGCTCATTGCCTCCTGAACTTATTATGACTCTGCAGATGATTCGAATCAGACAAGGAGAAATTTTCTGAATCATTTGCTCAATTATTCGTCCCCACCGTGGCGTCATGCACTCCATCGAGACGCTGTGCCAGGAGATGAGCAAATAGAACCATAAGGTTTGTACACAACCACCTTCAGCTCCGTTCGGGGCAATGGAATACACACAAAATATAATCAAAGAGAGAGTTATTTGCGAGTTTATCAGAAACACTCTCAGAGGGTGAATATATCAAGTGAACGACAGTGTAATTATAGTGACTATAGAATGTGAATTTCTTCATCTCCTGCACCAGCGAGCGTCTCTCTCGCACACCCAGTTCCTCCCTTCCAGGATCAGAGATTGAGAAAAGTGTCACGTACATTTATCTTGTGCCGCTTCTCCCCTCGAGATTTCACTCCGGCCCTCGTGTTAAACTTTAAATGCCATTTTTTTCTTCACCCATCTATTGATCGAATCTCTCGCTCTCGCCGTGGCATTATGAGGCCGAGGAGGAATGTCCCTTTTGTGGGAACGGCGGATACTTGAATAAATAACAAAATAGAGTGGGTTCAGTGAAATCCGAAACCGCCCCCACTAGACACTTTTTATTGTGCTCAACACTGAATATAATGTGCGACGATTACAAATAAAAGACAGCTGGAACGGAAGTCAACTAATCAATACTTTTCATTCTCCCCCTATTTATCGTCGAAACAAATAAATATCGAAATGAGCACCACGACAAGTTAATAAAGTCACCGAGAATTGTTCGTAAGTCGTATATCATCTCAATTTTTCCTCATGAATTGACATGGCGTGGCGAATAGAATGATAAATTTTATTACTATTGAATCCTTATAAAGTCATAAATTCACGAGGATATTTTAATTCAATGAAAGGCGAGGTATTGAGTGTGAAATTCAATCTTGGTTCCTGAGAGGATTAAAATATCACAGATGCTTCTCTTATATAAATTATATCCTGTCGTATTATTTAGAAGAGTGGAGAAAGGCGTCTGTCGCCGTCTTATCGATGATTCTCAAATTTTTATTTCAATGAAAGCGAAAATAACATCATGAATACAAATGTCACTATAAGAGAGTGACTTTCATGCCCCGTTACAACTGAATAGAAACAAAGTGTCTACAAAATTGCATGAAATGCAGAGACGTGAATTACATACAATTATTTTTCTACATTTCACAATGAAGTTGAAGACATGCAATCAATCATGTGCAGCAAATAGCTGAGGTGCCTCATGTTTGTGCCCCTTATCATTTCTCTAAACTTCCATTAGAGCAAGAAAAATGCACCGAGGATGATTTATTGGGCCGATAGTGCATGAAAATTGCTTCGGGGACACCGCACAATTTCATGGGTAGATGGAAAAATATTTGCCCTCTCTGAATTTATCACTTAATGAGGTGTTTCTCTCTGTTTGCCTTACAGATTAGTCACCCACTTGCCAAATATCAGGGTGGATCGCCTCTCCGAGTCCTGCCGACGAAGGCTATGGAACGCCTGTGTGAATCATGACGGAGAATAATAAAAAGTACTCAGCTTCCGAGACCATTCAGGTGAGTTTCCCTGTACTTTTATCCCCGGACGGTTTGATGTGCGCACTTGCCCAGGCGTCTTCGAGGGGGTGAAGAGCACAATGATGTTAAATGGAATTGACGATGGGAGTCACATTGTGATGCATTTTAATGCTATGGATTTGCCATTAGTGGCTATGCGCATGTTCAGCACGTGGTTTCATGAAATTTTTTTGCTGCTTCGCACTTTATTTATAGCCATATCGGGATTGCGGGCGTAGGGAAATTTTCCCTAATATGTTACACACCAGCATAATATATATTTAATACGCCAAGCCATTTTCACCATGAAATCCACCACAATTTATCATTGGATCCAGCCCCTGACGAAAATGACATTGTCATAGTCATTTGGGGCCCGGGAAAAATGCATAGCAATTTTAATTAAAGTAATTTCACCATGAGAGGGTTCAAAATGACATTGATATGCAGAGTGAAATGAGGGATTTTTCGCACTGTGCGCCCGGGAAAACGAACCCAATCATTTCAGCAGCCCTCTTTTTGCTGCGTCCTCCCCGAAAGCCATCACCATATACAATTGGAGTCGTTTTGTAATCCACTCCCACCCACTTTCCCGTCAGCCCTCCACCCCAAAATACAACACTGTACACGTGTAGCCAGAGATCATCATAAATACTGAGGAGAAGAAATTTCCCATTTCCACCCACACCCTCGATGTTCAATTGAGGCGTTCGGGGTACGACGAAATGGAATTATTTCCGCTACATAACGCCGCAGCTTGGCACCAAAGCATTTCTTTAATTTTAACACAAACATCTTCCTTCAATATGTTTTAAAGACACACAACCCCATTCCGTCTGGAGGCCAGAGGAAAAAATATGCGGAAAATGCCATTCTTCTCAGCCCACGCTTCTTCCCATTCATCCATGAACAGCTTGGAATAGTGAAAGTTATGAAAGAGAGGCGGAATTTTTATACAGCTCATGTACAACTATTTTCACACAGCAGTGAAGAAAAGGCACAGAGGGTGAATTGCACGCACTGCCAGGATTAGATAATGCATTTGCTGCGTTGTGTGGAAACTCTTGCACAGTTTTTAGGCTGAAGCCAAGGCTGAAACAGTTGGGCTTTATGTTGTACGGAATGAATTTCACGATCTTGGATAAATGCTCAGCTTGATTTATCTGCTCGCCAAAGAAAAACCATAAATCAGAGTGTTTTTTTCCGGGGCGCTAAAGAGCTTCATAACATAGTTATTCGCCCTAGTTTCACGGAATCGGTTCTATAGAAAAATTATGACATTTCGTCACGTTAGCGTGTAAAGATAAAAATAATGATATGAAATCTCGAAACTCGGCTGATCTCAGATTCAACATTTCCTGGGTCTGTAAACCCAGGTGAACCATGGAAAACTCCTTGCCTGCCTGTGTCGCATAAAGCAAGGCCCCAGCATATATTTTTATTCAATCTGACTGGAAAAATAGTCTGAAGCACGACGCGAAAGCGGAAATCTTGCTAGGGAAATATTTATGTTGGCGCTTTTAGGATGCTTTTTGCGGGTGTTGTGCCATGTGAAATGCCTTTGAACTCCCGTCGTCCCATCGACCCGCTCTGCACTTGAATTTTGCCATAATCCTGGAGGGCCCGAGGGCGCTCTGTGGGTGGGTGTGAGCGAGAGGGACGCCCGAAACTATACACAACATTTGTGTAGAGCAATTTGATGGTTCTGCGCATATCTTCAGTGTCAGGACATGGGAGAATGTACATCGAAGGGTGGAATACGTCGGCAGACTTTCATATAGTAGTAGCAAATCTAATTGCGAACGGTGTGGCTGGGTTTTTCCCTCACGGAACCGCACCATGACGCATTTTTCCATGAGAGAGTGCTTTCACTGCATTTCGCTTGCCAGTCAGTGTGAATAATCGAGTGGTTGGCTGAGCACCATCAAAGAGCCGACACCGGTGCAGGTGCGGGGATAGGGATGATTGGGACGTCGGGTGAGGTGTTGTGTTTACTCTCTCATCTCGGGATCGGTTTCTCGTGAAGTGGCGGGTGCGAAAGGTGTGCGGACGGGCGTGAAAAAGGGGGATGCTCTTAGAAAGCCAATTTTGAGCTCCGGCGCTAGGACAGGCGGATTAACATGCTCAATTTTGTGTCCCCACGCGATAAATTGACTCGAGAGTGATTGACCCACCCTCATTGAGGATTCCAGGGAATAAATAATGTGGTGTGTGTGTGCGGGGGGTGATGTTATTGCTTCTGCAAGTCGTGGGTTGAGTGATGATATTTTTCCCAATTTCATCAAGTGCAGGCGGGGAAATGTGTAATTTCGCTGCGAGATGATTCCGAGGAGGGCTCAGAAGAGTCCCAAGGGTGCCTCCTGCGACTGGGATTCCCCTAGCTCGTCCACGGGCACAATCAAGCGGAGGCCCTCCCTGACTGCTCCACGACGCTCGTCACTGCGTCAAGACGATGTCCTGGATCGTCGTCGGAGCATGTCATCGCCGCAGGAAATTGAGGGAGGAAATTACACCGGCGATGGAGCTCCGCGACGCAATCAAACTCCTGAGAGGTGCATGAAATCAAATTTGAGATTTCCCCGAGTGACATGGAAACAGGAGGAAAAAATCGATACGCGACCCCAAAAGTGTTCGCCACCGGGGCCACCCTCGAAGGTGACTCTGTACAAATCTGAGAAGACGCCAATTAGGGTGGGTAAGCCTGAGCCACGCACATCCGCCTTCACGTTTCGGGAGCTGTTTCGGGACTTTCCGCCGGGCGGCCCGCCACCCTATCGCCACCCACCGACGGCTAAGCAAACAAAAAGAGAGCTAATTGAGTTACAACAAGGTGGCAAGCTTCCCGTCAAGAGGTACTCATCGAGAATTCAGAATGAGTACATAATGCTGGGTCCGCGCGCCAGCGAAAGGGTAACGGGCATCCCCCAGGCGCGGTCGAGGACCATCTTCAAGGA